GAGACTCAAAATGGTCGAGATGAATAAAGAGACACCATGAGTGAAAAAAAGGCATCTTTACATTTGATTGGGAGGCGAACAAAAAGTAGGAACAGCGCCTGAACCTACAAATAACTGTCTGACCATTGACTTTGATCATTACAGTATGATGCAGCACGATCATGAGTTGGAGATACAAGAAAAAATTCGCTCGAGAAATTACAAAGCTTGAGTGAATCTAGTTTTGCAATGGAGATCCATCATTTCACTCTCCTTCCTTGTGTGATATTTCTCTCGCCCTCCCTTTTTCATCATCATCGCTTGTAATGTGATCATTCACTCTATCTCATTACAGACCGATCAATTGCCGATTCGTGTAATTTGATGTATTAATTATCCGGTACCCAATCATTTTATTTCGACACTTTGCCACGATCGCGCAGATAATCTACAATTTGTTCTCTCTCACTTGAGCCATCGCGAGGCATCCAAGAATGGGCTCAGAGACTAACAATAGGGCAAAAATAAGAGTGAAATCCTCCTTGTGATTGTTGTTTTGTCTTCCCAAGAGACGACCTCCTTCGCCATTCATCAGCCCATCAATTTCGGCATCAATTGATCCACGAAGATCGTTTTTGGATCTATTGGTTCAATCGTAAACAATAATGTTTCAACAAACACTCTCCTTAAGGTACTCATCTATCCAACCATTGAGCAAGTCTGCTTCCAACATTCATGCAATAAATGTTGGCTTCTTATTATACTTTTTATAGATATACAACAATATACAAATATTGCTTAACCAAATATAAAGCATTGGCTAATTTAACTTGATAAACTATTATCGAAAATCACTGAAACTTTAGTTTACTAACGATCTTTGCTGTGCTTTGCAAAGTTGTAGGCTTTGAAATGAAGTTTTATGCTACTTTCCAATGAAATAAAAATACTTCAATCATTTTGGACACAAAATATATTAAAATATTGTATCAATTTTTGTAAAATTACCAAGATTTCCTGAGTCGTTCACTCGCTTCTCTTTATTCAGGAATTTTGTATGATTTCCACCCGATCTTCTTCGTCAATTTTAATAGACGATACTTAAATTCGGTTCATTTCATTTAGATCATTTCGGTGGCAAAATACTTCAGCTTCATCCATTAATTGTACCATCTATCATCGGAATTTTTATGAATGAAGCTCTCTGCAAATGACCCACTTTTGAGCCTTACATTAAACTAGATCGTGCTGAAGATGATGATCGTGCTTTGATGAGATTGCCAATATGACGTTCTACAGATCAACTTCGAAATACTTCCTCTCACTGAGCACAAGCAATTTGATCTCTATATCTGCTAATCACCTTTGCTCAGAAGAGTGATCATCCTTAAAGAAATGTTTGAGGTGTATTTAAGGTGTTATTTGAGAATATGGAGAGATACCGCAAGGAAAGTTGCGTCGAAAAAGACGCGTAGAAGAAGAGGAATTTATTAGATCGGATACTGAAAAGATTTCCATCTGGATCGCGCGCGTCTGAGTTTCTTATGTTGCACGCAATTGTGTGATGGCGAAGTTACATTCAATCAGAGCGAGGAGAAATGATTGATCGATGAAGATTTATGTTTTCCTTTTTCTCCTATACATCTCTTATGCGGTCAAATCGATACTGGCGGCCAGAGAGATTCCAGTGGAAGGCGCGAGAGTGGATAGTAAAATTCCTTGAAAACTTTTACCTTTTGTTTATCTATGTACTTTATCACCACATTGAGGGACGCTCAAGAGGTGGTTCAGTTCACCGATAAATCGATGCCACGAAATTACATCTCATTTAGAAAATTATCGCCGCTCGTGGATGTGGAGGATATCCAGCCGCACATTGTCTTAGAATTCTCGCCCGCGTGATTGCTCAATCCGAAGCTGTGTGTGACTTAATCACTGGCACTTGGGTCTGCCAAGCAATAAACCATCTCCTCATTATGCACGGCTCTGGCATCTCTCGAGCGATCTCACTTTCGCACCTCCAATAAAAAATAATTAATCACGATTAGTATGGGTGTCACGCATATTGTTTGCAAAGTTGTGATCTAATTGTGCCTAATGGATGGCGTATGCATTGGCAGACTACCTTGATATGGAGGCATCTCGCATTATTCTAATGCCTCATACTTGTAACCATTTCTACGAGAGTCGATTGTAATTTATGCTCGCCAATGTGGGCTATGAAGGGCGTTTTCGACTCGCCGTGTCGCCGGAGATGATGCTGCAATACATTCATTAGAATAACTTATTGGCTCAATATGAATCTCTCCGACGATCGTTATATAAATTTCTAGTTTTCACTTCAATTGAAATTGCCTTCAGGAATTCACTCAGGGGCGGACAAGTGAGCGGATTTCTGCCACGAATGCAAATATAAATTCAATTTGCTTCACTTGTGACAAGATCACTTTGAAGATGAGCTCAAAACTTTGTCCAGAGGACTTTTCCTAACTAACAGACATCGACACACTCACTTCACGCACATTCATAAGAACTTAGTCACCCTTTAATAATTTTATGCACTTCACATTCCGCCTTTTACATTGAGATATTAATTGTAGTTAAATAATTTCCAAAGCATCAGCCGATATTGCAAGAAAAGCGAGGCAAGGCGCAGAGTTAAAGTAGATTAATTCACTACAGTGGATCAGCGTTGAAGACGCAAGACAAATGGTTGGAAAAAAAAGACTGAAGAAGGACCTTGACTAATACTAGACGCTCAATGTGGAAGATATTGAGAGTGAAAAAGTGGAGAATATGTGAAGTTTTCTGATGTCGTGTATTTCTTATATTCAAATTGATTTGCGACACTCCCATATCAAACTCATTGAAGACTCCAAGGATTTTCATCAAAAAGACTCTCAGTTTCTTTTTATTTCCAACCACGAGGCGCATTAGTTTTTCGACTCCAAACCATCACTATGGATGGAATCCGATCAGTTCCAACAGATTAATTTTGTTGGCAATGGAAGGTCATCAATAGATTCTCCATCCAATATGTCTGTGTCTCAATACTTTTTGCTCGCGTTACCATTTTTTCACTCCACAGGCGGAGGAGAAAAAAATGCCAAAAAGACTTTCTTCAAAGCTCATGCCCAAGAGGCTTATTTGAGAATTCTAATATGCCCCTGAGGTTATTTTTGTCGCCAATCACAGGCGGAGATGAGCGCAGGCAGTGGAAAATACGACATGTTTCAGGTTTCACATCCACTGTGATTTAACCTCAATCGGTGAGAGCGATTCGTGGGCTCTGGGGAAAAAAAGTGAACTGAATAAAATTAATTTCGTCTCAGGTTTCTGGTATGGCACTCGTTGAAGTCACTCAAAAAGTGCTCATGGATGTAATAGGTTTTTGCAGACACTTTCAGCCATGATCAAATATAACGACATGCGAAAGATTTGCTCTCGTTTTCCATCACTTTCTTCGCACTGAGCGTCGAAAAGCTTTAGCCTTAGCACCAAGCTCATCACTGAGCAGTTAAAGATCGACTCAATGAAGGCAACTTTTTGCCCAAATTCATAATAATACTCTTTAAAATATCAATGAAGTGCGAAAGACAATAATAACCGCAACCTCCCATCGTTTTATCGCATCTCCAAATTAAATATTTTGACCAATAGAGCTGCGCTAATGAGGGAAATTACACATATTGCCACTCTCGCTGGGCGCGCGCGATCACGGCGAAATCGATCTGCGATAGAGCAGCAGAACAAAAAGTGACAAGATTGTTATGTCGGAGATGTCAGGGGGAAAAAACGCCACTAATCGGGGCGCTCAGTGAAAGTCATCAAACGTTGGTGGCACAAGATTTTATCCAACAGCCAATACCAGAGCGCCTTTTTATCCGCAGCATCTTCCACGCGGATAGACAGAACCACGCAATATCTTCGCCATCGCGGAATTTCACTTTGCCCAAGAGGAACCCTGGAGAAGTTCAAGTGCCTCAATTGAGTTGACAAGATCTTATGTAAAAGACAAGAATTAAGATATTAAACTCAATTGCATTCACGCGAAATTATTTCACTGGCAATACGAACACTTTCTTCGTGTGCCTTTTGAGATTTAATTGGCGCCCGATTTTGGAATGTCACGGTAATCAATGCTACACCAGGTATGCAAATTAATGAAGAATTTTCGATCAGAATATTACGCGATATGTAGTGTTAGTGGAATTTTCCAGCAAGAATTGAAAATCACTTGAAACTTATTCCTTCGAACCCCTTTAAGTACAATTACCATACTTGATATCTGTTTTGTATACTGTACTTATGCATATTATTTTTTATGTTATTATTATCTTATTAATAAAGTCAATGAGGCGCTATTATTAGTTTATGCTGACGCCTGATCAAAACGATCAAAACTGATAGTTTAGAGCTGGAAAAACGACATTCCAACGAGAAAAGTTCTGCTGTGCGTCTTTTGGTTTCAAAATAGCAAGAAATCTAAAACCAGAAGCTTTTCTGACTTTAATTTGAATTCACAATTTAATATAAGAAAAAAACTTCACAATTTTAAGATGATCCGTTAGTTAAAGAAAAAATTGACACGAACGATGCGCGAATGTAAGAAAATATGTGTAGAATTGCGAGAGTAATTTTCAGGCTCAGCGAATTGATATATCAAATGTGGCCTGAAAGTTCGCGATGGGGAATGCAAAAAGAGACACTGAAGATGGTTGAAATTGAATTGAGCGTTTTGCCAGATGATGTTCTTCTAAATTGTTAAGACTGTCTTTTTCGCCGTGCACGAAAATTTCTCCCCGGTAGGAGTTTCGTATCGGTGGAGTGATCATGTAAGATAGCGCCCATTCGAGTGAAAGATGTTACAGCTTTGCCTTCTTTTTTCCTATGTTTTGCAGAGTGCTAAACAGCGATAGGCGAGCAAGAGGATAAATGTGGTGCAGTTTTAGATGTCTGTGAAGCACTTGAGCTGTGTGTCGAGAGAGGAATCCAACACAACAGCATTTGAATGGTTAGTGAAGATGCGAGAAAAAGATCATTCGCCCCGAAAAATGCTCCCGAGTCCGAAGCAGGGGGCCGTTTATCCCTTGCTCGGCAGCAATTTATCATTTTCATCGCAAATTCCATACGATTTATCTCTTGCAAGTCGTTCCTCATCATCAAATCTATTGCTACAGCAGAATGAATCGCAACATGATCAGCCACTTGACCTACGGGTTGATCACAAGAAGATTGCATTCCATTGCGCCACTAATCGGGTTGAAGATGAAAATAGCAATGTCATCATTATGGATCACCGATCCATGAGTCCCATCAGCAACAACAATAACAATGAGGACAATTGCAAAACGAGCAACAGCATCGGCACTTTTACCAGCAAAGAGGAGCTGCGGATACCCAGCCTGCCGTGTCCCTCGCCGGCGGCGCTCTTCCCTTCGCCCACCACCCTCCACCCGCTCATGCTGGAGGCCATGGCGAAGGCGGCGCGCATCCCGCTGCACTACCGCAGCCCCTTCGTCTCGCCCCGCGCGCCGGCGCCCTTCGACTTGCTGCGCCCCAAGCCCGAGCTCCTGTCCAGCCTGCCACAGCTCATGTCGCCCACGGCGGCGCAGCCCAGCAACGGCGACAGCGCGGCCGCGCTGGGCAACTCCCTGCCGCACCCCGGCAAGAACAAGGACCGCTACGCCTGCAAGTTCTGCGGCAAGGTCTTCCCGCGATCCGCCAACCTCACGCGCCACCTGCGCACGCACACCGGCGAGCAGCCGTACAAGTGCAAGTACTGCGAGCGGTCGTTCAGCATATCCAGCAATCTGCAGCGGCACGTCCGCAACATCCACAACAAGGAGCGGCCCTTCAAGTGCGCCCTCTGCGAGCGGTGCTTCGGCCAGCAGACCAACCTGGACCGCCACCTTAAGAAGCACGAGGCGGACGCCGTGTCGCTGGGCCTGGGCTTCGACGAGCGCCTCCGCAACGCGCGGCGCTCCACGCGCGGCCTCACGGACGACTCGTACTTCGAGGAGATTCGCTCCTTCATGGGCAAAGTCACGCAGCTGCCGCTGTCGCTGCGTACCGCCACCCACCCACCAGACGCCCACTCGTCGCGGAGCTCCTCGTCGTCCGAGCCCGTGTCGCCCAAGTCCATGCACGACGACACCGAGCAGAACAACAACTCCACCACGAGTAGCAACAACAATCACATCAGTGACGATCACGTGCAAGTTACCTGACCTCTCTTTCACGCTCACCTCGCGCGCGTCTCTCTCGCTGTCCTCGACTTCCGCCCCATCCCAATCGCCGGAGTTCTAAGCGCCACACTTGCTCAGAAACGTCTTCCAAGACACTTTCTTCTGATCCGCTTCGGTTTTGCTCTCTGAAATTATATCCAAATTGACACAAAAAATATCTGAGAAATATCCTGGAAATCAAAAAAAAAAAACCGTCAGATCAACCACAGATTCAGATTCAAATCCCAATCGCAGTAGAAATAAATTGAAATTATGCCTAATCTTTTATCTCTAAAGACCGATTTTGAAGAGTTTTTTCGATTTATAATGATGAAAACACAGCGTTTGTAATTTGTCATTTATTCATCTCTTTCTTCCCCACGCGTATCGTGCATCTTCCTTCCTACTCTGTCAGCGACCGACTCTGACATGTCGAGACAGCCATCGTGCGAGCAGGAAGGAAAATGCACGATACGCGTGGGGAAGAAAGAGATGAATAAATGACAAATTACAAATTACAAATGCTGTGTTTTTACAAGAAAGATCAAAATTATTCTGCGAATAAATCGCTTTTAGTGTTGTGATGAAACATTTTGGATCAATTTCATCATACAGTTTTTCAATTGGTTATACTTTTAGTATGATAAAAATCCTTCTGATGCTGTTCTTTAAAAGTGTTTATCAAATTTCAGATAAAGCTAATTCCATTAGTAAATTTACAGAAATAATCAAACGCTTAGAACCTTCTTCGTTTCCCTCTTCGTTTTACATATTGTTTCTCTAGCTTATTAGTGCAAAAAGGACGAAGTGAAAATCAACGAACGTACAATACTAGAGTTATTTGTAATGAGAAAAATGTATTATTGATTGTAAAAACTTGATTTAGTAAGAAGTTAAATGAAACATTCCTACTTAGTGTTATTGTAATTATGTCGTGTAAATTAAATGCTATAGTTTCAGTGATTTTCAGTGAGGAATTTGACTGTGTTTACGACAAAAAAATGTTCACGAGAAAATTCGAGAAGCTGATACTTGCTAAAATGTCGATTAGTCTATGGCGTTGAGTAGAAAGTGTAAATAGATCTTTTGTAAGTACTGTGAATAGAGTTTGTAAGTGTTAGAATATAGATCCAAAAGACGAATAGGATTTGATAGAAGTGAACAGAATACTCTTTTTGGAATTATTTCATACCAAAGTCATTTTTTTCCCGCTTTGGATGCTGACAAAAATATTGAATTTTTTCCCAATTCAGTAGAACAATGAAAAATGTGGATTATCCTGACTCAAGTTACCGTGAATCTCCTTCACCTATTTTCACTGCCTAACAAGATAGATTTTATCGGGGGAAAAAACAATGAGTGAAGGTCTACGCTTATCACAAGCAAATTTTGCTCCAGTTTCCATTCCTGCAAATTGAATAGTATTTGCATAAAATTGCAAGAGACTGGAAACATCATGAGAAAGATATACAAATGTTCTGCAAGATTTTAGTGAATTGCATAGAAATGTACCATTTTATTGCGTCTTCAGTGAATTTGTTATAGAAAATCTTCTGCATTTATCACACAGCTGTCGCGTTTCAATAAGAGGCAAGCCTTTCCACAATCTGAAGCACCCTGAAATAATTCACAAAATAGAATGATAACTGAAATGAGATTGTTTTTCTTCCTTTTCTTTTTTTCAAAATTGTACCATAAGAAAACTCTTCTACATAACCTGTAATTACAACAATTGTAACATAAAAATAAAAGAGAATTTTTTTCTTCTTAATTAGAAAATTAATATATTGATTTGTAATAGTATAAATATAGCATTTAATAATTTCGTGTAGAATTACAATTTTAATATTGTTACCATTTTCCACATAGAAAGCGAGCACTATTATTTTTTGTTTATAGAAAAGAAATCATGACCAATTTCTATGTAATAAATTTTTATAAATTGAAGTCTCTCGTTTTTCTTTCTTATCGCTATGATTTCTGAATGTAATAATATGCTTTATAAAATGGAATAATAATATTCGATATGAAATGTATTCAGTTTTAAAGCGTACATTTTGCCTACTTTCAGGCCTTTTATTCGATTACTTTTGAAATTCAACGACATCGAGATGTTTTTTTTTGCTGTCTTCAACTCAAAAAGCCTCGTATAAAATTCGAATGGTTTTAATCAGTTCACAATTAGATATTAGTGAATTTGTTAGAGTGAAAAGAAAGCGAGGTGTTAAGAAATGCCCTAAAATGAGTTTAATACGCTTAAGCATTGAGATCAAGCATTTAGAAATGCACGAAAAATTAGCACTAAAAAATTTCGATACCTTTTAGAAAGTTGAGCAAGACAGCAAAGCATCTCAAGCAGTTTGTTACATTTCAGGAATTCCTTATCACATATAGAGTTACTTCCACGGATGTGGCATAAAAATCCACGATTGATCGACTTGTTGGCTGCATTTCTCAATAAACACCTCAACATGCACACCCTCGTCTCTGCTTTTAGCGCCGTGCAGGCAAAAATTCGATACCTTGTGTATTATCTTGAGCTTGGCAGGATCATAAAGCCACGATTGGCGTACGGTGTCTGAGCACGTTATAAGTCTTGCCATTGTCGAGTTGCTGCTCGATTCTGCAGCTTTCTCCGAGGCATCAAGGCATAAATTTTCATCTGTCATTATCTTACCCTCTTTAGTCACCACAAACATTTGCGTGAGTGAATTCTGTGCTGTTTTGCAAAGCTCAAGTGTTGCCCGGCCGAATTGGTTAAAAATACCATTAGATGCGGAGCGCATTAAGCACAGCGCATTTGTGTAATCTCCGTCTAGGAAGTTGTGCAATTTGTCAGCATTGTTATTTATCAATCGTATTAAATTCACCCAATTGCCTCCGCTGTCCACCACGAGAGTCTTGTACGATTCATACACGCGGCTGCTGGTCGAGATTTGCACTATTCTGCCGAACAATCTGTCGTCGGTGGGGAAGAAGTGCTGTGGCCATACTTCTGTCAAATACCACTTGAAATCCTTGCAGTCCAGAGACTTGCGAAGAGCCACGCGATCAGTCACGTTCTCAAATTTGCGAATTCTCGAAGCCACAGAGTTGAATTTGAAGAAAAATTCCGACCACTCGTCCATCCAAACTAGAGCCACTCGCGCCAGGTTTTTGTTTAGAATCTGAAAAGGAAAGCGTACAAGAAATGTACAAATACATGTGGAGAAATGTCTTGAAATTACTCACTTCGTTCACTCCACCGGGAAATGTGTACGGCGAACTCTTCCTGAAGAGGTGACCCACGTGAGAACAGGGCACAATTTCGATTTCCCCGCCGCACTGCCACACACGAAAGGACAGCTCCATATTTTCGCCGCCCCAAATCTTCATGGCTCTGTCGTAGGCGCCAATTTCGTAGAAATACTCGCGATCAATGGCAAACAGTCCGCCGGCCATGGCTGGTGTTCTGAAGGGTGTCGTGATGTCATTTCGCCTCTTCAGCAATTCACTGCTTTCCAACGCGAACCACCGGAAATGCAATTGCCAATTGAAAGCTCCCCAGTGCAGCTCAAAGCTCTTCACATAGCTGAAGTTGTCGTCGCTGATGATGTCAATCACAGGACACGCGACCTTCCGCCGATTCTTCTGGATTTCAGCCAGCAATGGCTCCAGCCAGCCAGGCGAGCACTCACAGTGCGCGTCCAGGAAGACCAAGACATCGCCTCTAGCGTGCTCAGCCCCAAGGAGTCGAGCCGCAACCAGACCTTCTCGCTCGCGCAGTCGGAAAACTTTAGTCACTACTGGAAGTTCAGACACATATTCCTCCAGAGGTTTGTCCAAAAAACCTGGAAAAGAAATAAAAGTATTAACTCAGTTCTGATTAAGACAATTTAGAATATTTTGCATTCTCAGTCTTGATTTCTTCCTCACCATTTCATTCTTTTAGGGATATTTGAGTCAAGTAAAACCACTACAGAACATTCACTACTCACTTCTCTCACTCGCATCGTCCACAAGGATAATCTCTTTGAGGAATTGCCTGGGACTTCTCGTGATGACACTCCACACAGTCCGCAAAAGCACTGACCACGCTTCGTTGTGAAAGACTACTATCACAGAAGTGCTGGGCAACTTCTTGCCATATTGCCTCTCAATGCATCTTATCCGCCTCACGTCCGGAAGCGTCCGATTCAGAGAGATCCTATCACTGGCCAGCAGATTGAAGCGGTTTATCTGGAAACTCTGCTGCATTCGCACCATGTCCTTCACCGGAATTGCCACTGGCTTCCCATTTTCACCCTCTCCGGGAATCGGAGAGAAGTTGTTTGAGTTCAAGTCGTCTGCAGAAATAATAAAAATGATAGTTGAATAGATGTATAATGGGATCTTTGCTATGTGAATTATACCTTATATTCCACTAAGCCATCACCAAGAATACTTTGGGAGTTAACTATACTGACGCCAGCACCAGGATACATAGGATTTTCATACAAGCGTGACTTACTCTTGGAGAGATTGCCCATGATTCCTGGGCCAATGTAGTGGCCCACAATCACGCGACTCTTCTCCCTTAGCTTCCGCACCTTCGCCTGGTTCTGCAGTGTGAGCATCCTGGAAGAGCTCTCGATGAGCGATCCCACACAGTACACCAGAACAATGAGACAGAGCATTGTGAGGAAGAAGCATATCTTCCTATTTCTTTGGAATCTCCACATTCTGAGCACTACACCTCAACCTTCTGGTAATTCAAGACAAAACTATCCTGCTTTTTGGCTTATCTGACATCACTTCCCGAAGATGGTAACATAATCTTGCTGTGAACTTTCACTTTTTCATACTTTTAAGTTAAAATCATTTTGTAATCAAACAAAAATAGAATTTGTTTAGTCTTTTGACTCTGTATTTCTGAAGTGAGTCGAAGAACAAGAAGAAGAAGGAGAAAAGAAGCTAAACGTGCACACAATGAAATGTTTTAAAATATCTGTTTGCACACTGTAAAGCAAGTAAATGCACGTTAACCCATTAATTCAAATTATGAATATATGAATTTTCATATGTACACAAATCCAATATAACTGCTTCCTATTCCCTATTAGAGTAAAATATCACTAATTTTCATACCTTTGGTGTAGAGATTTTTCACGGATTTTCCTTTGCTGAGCTTGGCTTTAAGAAATTTAACTTTAAGTCTATGCACACTCTTAAATTGCTCATTTATTTACTAACGAGTTTACAAATTTAATCTAATTCTTTACCGTGTACTTCAAGCACAATTTCACATATTTGTGCCTCGGTTTCACATACACTCTCAGACGCAAAATGACAATATCGCCGTCACATGGTAGCCAACCCAACGGCATGGAAAAGCTTCACTTTTCACTGGAAGCTGGAATATTCTCCAAAGCGTCTCGCCTGGGCCGTGGGTGAGGTGAACTTATCCGCGAGAGATAGTGCAAAAGTACAAAGTATTTGTGTAATTCCAAAAGCCCTCCGCTCATCAAAATACCCATATTTTCTAGTATTTTTTATGTCAAGCATTTCTGTGTTAAATCGCCGGCGGAGTATTCAGTGTTTCTGTCTGTGAGATTACTCTCCCGGCGGAGATAAGCGAAAAAAAATCAACAGAGGCTCTCAGTGTTATCAGTGAAAATTCCACCTTCGGCAGAAAAGCGGCACGTTGACCAAAAAAATGGTTTGTTGATAGTCGTTTTTAGAAAACTGCGTATTTTCTTGTGCCTCCTGGGGAAAAGTGCGCCGACAGGAAGGGCCCATTGAGCAAATGCTCCATACGACATGTCGCGATTGGGAGATGCGCAGAAAGCCCGCTGTGACCTCTATGCGTACTCTGATGCAGCACAGATAGCATAATTTTCATTCATGGCCAAAGTGCTATGGAAAATCGCGAGCCCATTCAATTGCCGTGTCTTCTGAATCATCCGCTCTGCCGCCTTTGCTTCACGCCAACAGCGTCGCGCGATCGAGAGCGATGAGATCTATTTATATAAAAATTCGCAATTAGGATATTATAGCGCGTGTTTCTCACATGTCACTTCTTTCGCGAGAGAGAGAGAGAGAGGGAGAGAGAACTCCGTATCCTGAGTATTTGAGTATTTCCATAGTTACTCTCGCATTGGCTTCCACCCTGACTTTTACTGCGAAAGTTCATCAGACGGCGGAATTGATGTGAAACTTTATTCTTATCGTGTGACCTTTGTAAAGTTATTTGCGTGAATGCATTATTCAAATTTATGCATAAATATCAATTATGGAAGTTATCTAAAGTGTTGATTCATTAGATATATTTCAGGCGATATTTATGAAAACAACACAACAAAATGTGTTGATTAAAATGCAAATGACATTATTGAATTGTGTTTTTTGACGCTATACCAAATTGAAATTTGATTCTTATTAGACTTGTCCATGGAAATTTCTTGCAGGTTGAAATATTCGCTATTGGGTGTCGACCAGCACTGTCAAAATTTTGCACATTCACATCCGGGAGTTGCTTTGAGCTGTGAAAATAAGTGATAAGAAAAATCGTGACTGTAAGACTTAGTACAAAATGAAGAGACTCATCGATGTGGAAGACAGTCAAGAAACTGACGAAGCGTGCGAGCCCGCCCAGGAACCGAACGCGATCAACTCCAACTTAGCACTAGACGTACTAGACGATGATTGCCTGCTTTCCATATTTTCCCACCTGAATGTCCTGCATTTGATAGAGTTGGAGAAGGTTTGCAGACGATTTAAGGCTCTCGCTCAGAGAATGTACAAAATTCAGCGTGTATTGGACTACGAAGAACTCTCGGATCAGAAGTCCAAAGAGACAGTGCAAGTTCGGATAGTGCTGAGGGAAGTGAGGAACATCTCAGCGAGGTTAGGCCCGTATGTTCGCACCCTTAAAGCCCAAACCTGCTCATTTTACAACATCGATTGCATTCTAAGCGATATCCTCAAGGGCTTTAGTAACTTGGAGAACTTACACCTCAATATGTTTGACATCACCCAAGTGAGCTTTGCGATGTTATCTGAGATGTTCGCAAAACTTAAAGTGATCGAGCTCGAGAACTGTAGATTTTCAGGCAGAATGGAGAGAATTAAGGCATGTCTGCAACATGCAACACAATTGGAGATTCTGAATCTATCTGGTAACGATAGCATATCCGGATACTGTTTGACTGATTTGCGAAACATTAAGGAGATCAACCTGAGCTCTTGCTTTGCTATCGAGTTATTCCACTTCACACAATTCTGCCAAAACAATCCGGGACTGAAGCGGCTCAACATCAGCTATAGCTGTCTTACCAATGGAGCCACTTTGCGCGTGGTGGCGAATCACCTGCAGAGCATAGAGAGTCTCATAGTAAGGTACAACCATGAGCCTAGGACTCCCATTGACTACAACATCCTGAGAAATCTGCGGTGCTTAAAGGTTTTGGAGCTGGACGTTGCCCCCGACAACTTCACATTCGACACTTGCCTGGCAAGACTGGCCGTTTGGAATGCATTGCAGCACGTCGCCATTTATTCTGGTCCCTTCACGCAAAACACTTTGCACTCGCTGTGCTCCCTCAGAGAGTTAAGGGTGCTGAAGCTCCCGCACAATAGGAATTTGAGTGACGAGAATCTAATTCAAATGTCATTCGCTAAAAACTTCCATGGCCTTCAAGAACTGCATATAAATCATTGCGATCATATCACCAATAGAGGCATAGTTGAGGTCATTAGAAGGTGCCGAGACCTAAGACGTTTAAAACTGTATGGAGAGAATATTACAAATAATCTCATCAGCCAGATCTTACCGATCTTACAGGACAGACCAGCGACGTTGGAAGTCGTTGCGCTTTGGAAGATGATCCCATCAAAAATCCGTGATCAGATTCGCGGGAACCCCAAAATAAAATTGTATTATTTGTCAGAAGATGGAATGTTCATTTTACTTTAATATTGAATTTCAGTAATGATTGGATAAACTTATAAAAATTGTGCAGAATAAAACACTTAAAAGTGTGTGAAAATTTTCGTTTTGCTGATCTATTGTCTATCTGACATTTTCTAGAAACATTTAGGTTGAGACATCTCAAGTTTGTAACTCTTTACAAATCGGATAAAAGCTTTTGAAACTCTCAAGAGCAAAATCATTCTTAGGCAAATGTTAGAATTAGCACATACTTTCATATATTGCGTCTTCCAAGTTATCCAAAACAATTCTGCGACCCAATTTAATTGCAAACACTCAGATTCTGGAAATAAACATCATTAGCCAATTTTCATGTTGATCAGAGAGACGAGCGCGATTTTCTAATTTAAAGCTGAGAAATTCCTCACAATACATCATTTAGAACTCCTACAAGTTCACCATGTTAAGATGTGCTCGCTTCCGTGGTGTTCGTGCGCGCTCTTTACTCGCTCATTCTCTGGCGAAAAGTTCTCAGTGAAAAATCCATACGCTATTTTCCTCGATACACACACGGAGAGTGATTCAGTTGGCTTCTGATTGTCGAACAGTGAAAATCGTTCTATTAATACCGTTTGAGAGCCAGAGTGTTTCGAAGTTGTTGCAATTCTTGCTCAACTCTTGTCTTAGGGCAGCTCCTATTTTTGCATCAAATCCTTGATTTCCTCCTGGGGGGGAGATTCAGCAGGAGGAACAAGAGAGAGAGAGAGAGGGCGAGAGAGGGAGTGACAGAACGTAATTTGGGGGGTGAATCGTGAATGAGTGGAAAGTGTTAGCGCGAATTCAAAGGCCCGAATATGTCTTGGAGACTTGCGGTAGGTCACTGTGAAGTTCAAATGCCTCTCAATTTTCAAAGCATTGCGGCTGAAAAATGCTGAAATGTGATGGTCTGACATGAGTGAAATTTATCGGTGAATGGATTAGAGAGAAATGTGAAATCACTGAGGGACGTCGCACAGTGTTGGCATACATATGAGCTCTCTGTGCATGGGGTGACTGATAAATTTTATCTATTGATCACACAGTATTATGTACATTTTGCTGACTCGGGCATAGTTTGGGTGAAATTCTCGGGAAAACCTATTTTATTCTATTTCCCCCCATAAAGTTATCCAACATTACGAAATACCCGAAATACTTGATAGGCAATTCCCTGTCGTCTCATTTTGATATCACATTTCCACTGTCTCAGGAATTGTTTTTCTCTCCAAAAAGAAAAATTGGCCATTTTCAGCTAATTTTAGACAAGTAAATTGCTCTTGAGACATACACACATATCAAATTCAGGAGAAAGAATCTCATCGTCACTCATTAAAGTAAGAAATTCTTAAGATATAGTCAAACTATCTCACAAATGACTCTGTTTTACCTTGAAATGTGTTATTTTGAGAACGGAATAAAATGAAAATCTCTCAGATTTTCACTTTCTCGCGAAATTATTGGGAAACATCGTGCTTTTGTAGAGTATTTTGTAATGTTTAGGAATTCACAAAACACACTTCTCTTCCGAGAATCCACTTGAAACCCTTTTAGACACATTTAAGGGAAAACTTGCCTTTACAATTAATCTCCATATCGTGTGAGAAAAATTATGCAGTGTAATGCAAATGACTTAGTAATTTCTTGAAATCAGGATTAAAATTAATGCTACACGTTTTTTTTCTTGTCTCTCAAACAACAAAAGCATACAAATAGCAACCCCGATGATGAATAAGCGCTAGTGTATTGAGGAGTGGGAGAAAGGGCAACACGATGGAAGAAATATATTGATTTCCTCGTGTACGTTTAAAGTCCAAATCTCCTTATGGCACTTTGGCACATGTATTTGAACTCGTGAGCATTGCATGCGAGCACGGAGAGTGACGAAATGGGGTCATCGAAATTATGTGGGTGACCCAATTTCGTGTCTCTCCTGAGCTTTCTCTTCCGCTCTCCCGAATTTCTCCCAGCTGAGCTTTCGGCTACAGAGTCCTTGAGGATGTGCGGCAGTCCTTGAGGAAGGCAACGCGTCAATTCCATTATGCAATGCTCCGCTGAGCACTTTGACAGGCATTCTCCCCAATTGAATTGTGCTGCAAAATTGACCAAACTCAATTGTGATCAATTTGATCTCGAATGCATGAACGAGAAGAGGATAATGGAGGCATCAATTGATATTTATTTATGGTGCTGCGAGATGTGATACTGAATCAGGCCTCATTGTTGGGTTTATTGAGTGGGCTGTCGATGCGCATTAACTTTCCTCTCAATATGGAAACCAAATAAAAATTAAACTCATCGAATCCCCTTCGTCAGGGTCTGATCACTCAAGCGTGAGACATATTTAATGATCCCTTTTGGTGTGGCGCATTAAAAAACAGCATGACATCTAGTTTGAGCTTCTCGCAAAAGAGACGCTTTGCTGGGTAAACAAGTGTCCGATGGTGCGCGGTATCATTAATTGGGATTGAGACAAAATCCCACCCATTAAAGTGTGCGCTTTTTTATACACCATCAACATCATATGCCAAAATAGCCGTGTCCCTCTAAATTCACGGCTGACTTATCAGTGAATCACGAAGAGGCAATAAAAATAGACAGAGAGACCACAAGGTGGGAGGGTGGATTTTCGCCATTGTCTTGCACGTCATCGGTAACAGGTGGTGGGAAATATTGGGATTCAACTCTTGGCATCCATCCCACAAGCCTCGTGGCTAAGCTCTCACTTTCTCGCTTGCAGTACTCCAACAGCCGGTTAGACTCCACAGATGTGACCACTGGACGACAGCTACAGAGGATTCTTCATTACTCCATCACACCCAGTCGACCCATCCCGACACTGAGGCGTTCAGAATGTGCCATTCATGACGTTGACTGTGATGAGGTTTACCCAAAGATTTACATTGGTGATGCGTAAGTGAGACTCTTGTCAGCTTTTATCGTCTTGATGTCAAAGGAATTGAGAAGAAACGACTGAGATTTGTATCAGCAAGTCGAAATGTCTCCTCTAGACATACTAAAATTTTATCAAAGACAATTCAAAAGCACTACTTTTGAGATTTCATATGAAATTCATCTTGAAATTAATATTAAAATCAGAAGAGTTTAGCATTATCTGTGGATTATCATAGAATTTCCATTGAAATTTGAGCTTATATTAATATCAGCTTGTAACGAAATACTTTTAATTTGGCTCAATCATTTTGTGACGCCGATAACCAAAATAAAATAAACAAGGGAGTATAAGAAAATATACAAATATTAGAATTGAATCGCAAATTTAGAAGCATTATAGTGGACACAAAGTGGTAATTCATAGAATTGTGTTCATTATGGGAGCATATTGGATCAATTTCAACAGAATAGAGCCAATTATCTAATTATGCAAATGGACTGAGTTTATCGTGATTTAAATAAACACAAAGGTATAAATATTGAATTGAATTCTGCCATGGCTAATGGCGGCGCTTTTTTGTATATTATATTGTATAATCAGCAATATATTGTCTTCTGACCCAAGCTGAGAGTGTCGGTGATATTAATCATACTTTGTGGTTGTATTCGCAGAGCGTCAGCTAAAAATAAAACGTATCTCCGTCTAATGGGAATAACGCATATATTGAACACCGCAGAGGGTTCGCGTTTTGGTCAAGTGGACACAGGACACTCATACTACAGAGATATGACCAATATACGGTGAGTGGCGAGATTTGTCCTCTGATTGAAGCGTCTGAGTTAATGTCTTCCTGCGCAGATACATGGGCTTCCCGATGATCGATCAACCCACCACAGATATCTCACGCTACTTCTACATCGCATCCAAGTTCATTGAGAACGCCGTGAATAGTGGCGGAAAGGTGCTGGTCCACTGCCTCATGGGCATGTCGCGGTCGGCCACGTGTGTGCTGGCCTACCTCATGATCGGTCGCCAAATGAGCGCCGCCGAGGCGATCCGGACCGTCCGGATGCACCGCGACATCAGGCCAAACGACGGCTTTCTGCAGCAACTGGCCGATCTCGACAATGAGCTGCGACGGGAGCGCAGCTTCAAGCTGTACTAAGGCAGACAGACATCCCTCGCATTGATACTATTTAACATGCAAACTAATACCAATTTAATCGTTAGCGTGATAAGAGATATTTGCAGATTGAAATCCTCTATTTCTCTATAGTTAACTACAAATACTGACCTGCGCTTCTTCACCTGATTGAGTTGACAACGAAAGTTCTCTATTTGGCAAGGAAAAATACAACCAAACAACACTGTAGACAGTGTGGACATCACCTAAGAAACATACACTATGGAGACTACTAATATATATTTTTAAAAGAAACCATTATACAATGATGCTATACAAAAAAAAAGATGGTAGAACAATTGTGAATTGTTTAAACCCACCCCCTGTACTTCAAACATATATTCAAATGGAATGGAAATCAATAAAACTGTACAAAAAGTGCTATAAGATCTGTAAATAAACTATACTTCATATTTTTTATAACAATAAAATCTTATAGAGTAACTATTAGTGAGAAAAAAAAACAGAATGTTATTAACACTTGAAGAGACATGTGAGAAGCAGAAATTAAAAACTATTTAATCTTGTTCCAAAGTTCAGGCTAGTTCTTAATATTTAATGATGAGAGCATTGAAGGAAAGAATGGTAGTGATTACAGCACATGATGATGAATACAAAGAATTTTGTATGGCCTCAAGAGATTTTACAAGAGAAATCAAAGGTAAAACCTATACAAATGCCAATCACAATATATGAAAAAAAACTATGTGAAAAAATGTGTACACATATACATTTTTTGGATAATAAAGTGCGGATGAGGTAGCAAGATGACTTCAATCCACTTCGACAAATTAAGACACTTATTCGTCACTTAACTTACTATTTAATTCGTTATCTCGAGGTAATTTTTGTCCAGCCTCAATATTTTGTGCACGCAGAAGAGTATTTCGCTTGAATAACTATCACAACCATGCAATTGAATCAAAGCTCCTCGTGGTCCTTCTCACTCGATAGGTACTGACTCGATGCGCTCCTAAACTCCTCATGATGCTCCACATGATCTGCCGCCTTGTGCACCAGCCTCATGAACTCCGCGGCGTCAAAGAAGTAATTGGTGAACTTGGCATACGCGCCACTCTCATTGCCACTGCCATCATCCTCACTCTGCAGCTTCTCCGCGTCCTCCCATGTGACATAATTGATGCCTCTGAGACGCGCCAGGTCCAGATAGCACGTGGGATCTTCGCAGTTGTACAGCTCGAAGATTGACGCCCAGTTTGGCAGGAAGAGCAAGTGTGTGAGACCAGCTCCGTGCATGCCAATGAACACGTCGGTGTTTCGCGTAATTTCCAGCTGCTCGCGGAACTTCATCTGACTGCCATAAGCGACGTTCTGCACATCAAAGCGATCATCCTGACGCAGTCTCTCCATCAACTCCTCCTCATTCAACACCCGCCGATACTTCGTTCCGCGCGACAAGAATGTCACTCTCACCTTAGCACTTGTCCGCGGATGAAGAGGAATCTGCAGCCGGTGTAGAACGAACTCGGAAAAGGCACGAAATAATCCACTCTTCTCACAGCCTTGGATCTGCGAGTGACAAAAACATAAGATGCTAAAAAGTTATTATCAACCAAAAAGTGTTTGGAAGGTTTTTTTTTTATATAAACAACACCGTATTAAGTTCATAGCAATATCGCCAAAGAAATGTTCCTAATGGATTTATCATACAGGCACGTATTCCTCTCAAATTCGATTGAATTGGAGAATTCAATTTGTCATTCCAATTGGAATTGGCACAATTTTTGACAGAAATAGCCTAAATCGGTTTCATAGTACTTAAAATCGCAAAGTATTCGAATGCTTACAATTGGTGTGTTGTAGAAAAGTCCAAAAATCATTCGAGGTAAAAGTGGAAGCATGAGATTCTTGAAGCACACCGTCTTGCCTCGAAAGGTGTTCAGGTCCCACAGAGGATTCTTCGTGAAGGCCTCGAAGGTTTCAGCAAATGGTGAGATGTACTTGTAAGTCTCCCAAATGAGAATCCGCACATCTCGTCCGAATGGATCGAAATCCCTTCCGTTGGACGTGTTTACGTGAAGACTCGCGTACAAATTGAAGAAATCACAGAAATGATGGTACATGTTAATACCTAGAAGAGAAGCAGTGGCGGTTATAAATGTTTTGCAGGCTGTTAAAGATGGGAATTGGGAATTTACTGGCGTCCAATTTGAGAAGCACTGTCGGTTGGGTCACGATCACGTCGCACTGCCCACTTTCGATTGGTCGCTGAGGTAATTCGCTGAAGAAACGCAATTCTGGCGCCCACGACTGAAGTGGGCTCAAATGTCCCAATTCCTCTCTCAGCCGATTCACGTGCAGCGTGCAGTGACCGGCAATTTCGCCCTCCTTCAGGACATCCATGTGATACCGAACTGGCTCGCGCCGGTGCTGGAAGTCAGTGAAGTTGACCAGAATATTCCTGCCGCTGCAGAAGCGCAAGTATTTGGAGCACTCGAGAGAAGAGTCATCGCGGAAGAGTGGCTCGCAAATGACTGACTGTTCCCGGATTTGCTGCCGCACGAATCCTTATTACACAAACAGCAAACATTGATCTCAGAGCCTTCTTGCAAGCATTCACAACACACTCACCGAAGTCAGCCTGGCTGAAGAAGGTGCTTCTCTGAGTCGCCTTGTCCTTAACATACGTGGAATGTTCACCCGGACATTCGGGCTGGGAGAAGGCGTGATTCTCCCTATCACAGTCATCTTCGTATCCCCAGCATTCCTTCACACCCGGAGCACGTGAAAGACGATTGAGGTGATAAACTACGTGAGATTCAGGTAAGTTTAGGTCTTCACTGCTTGTGTTGGCGAAGCATTTGGCCAGTGAATTAAGTAAAATGACAAAGTTAAGCACACAGAACACAACATTATTTAAATTAGAGAAATTGGAGGGCATCCTGAGTATTATTTTTAACTATATTTCACAGACTACAAAAGAGCAAACGCAAATATCACATGCAAGCAACAATGCTTTGGAGAGATTTTGACACTCGACCATGTTTGTCTCCACGAATTTTGCCATAAAATTCATAGCACGACTTTTAGCGGCAAATTCAAACATTCGAAGACAAAACCGTTCAAATCTGACTCGAGCAAAAGATAAATTTATGGTTTAAAGAAAAGTCATGTATATTGATTGTGTTTCTCAAAGTCACACTCACAATATTTAGCTCTAAATATACAGTGAAATATGGCGTAACAATACTTTCTCAATTCTTTTTTTCTTTGAATAATTAGTATTTATTCAATTTTTTGTGTTCACTTGACAAGGCGCAAACGGACGCAAATAAACTTAAGAACAGAGAAGATGAACACTTCATGGCTTGTTTTACAAAGCACTTAAATATGTTTTCTTAAGATCTTTCACCTCAAAAATATGATTTTTTTTCTTTCCAAAAAAATTATTTGAAAAGCAAACCGTAAATACACATTAAAATTATTACGACGGTCTTGGTCTTTCGTTTAATTTTCCCACTTAGAATTTGCATTTAACCTTAAAAAAAGCATTGTCGAGGCACTGACCTAGTCCAGGAAAACTATACGCAAAATCGTTAATTAAGAACTACGTAACGAAGTTTACGATCTCTTGGTTGTACTGCTATTATCTTGGCCTTAACCATATAATTACAATGATCCTTGTAATTATCATATTTTTAACTGCATTCTCTCTGCGACAAGAAAATCTGTTATACAATTATTAAAAGCGTTTTTCCAGAAATTTTCTGCATATTTTATTATCTGAAAAATTTCTGGCTACTTTCATAGCAAAAGAAACAATTTCATTTTATTGCATTCGATAAGGAAAAGTGATATTCCTTGATATTTGACCCATTTTAATTGCTTTTGTCTTCCACTCAAGACTCAATTACACTGTTAAATGCGTAATGCTGCGGAAGTGGGGCAAATAATCAATAAATTAACCATTAAGCATTCCTTTGTGCAGAGAACCTCTTTATAGGATCTCCACTAAAAGTGGCCCGCATTGTCTGACTCAATGCGATGTTTCCGGCAAAATTTTAATGTGGTTTTTAACTTCGGCACCGCTTAAGATACCGTTCGGCTATCTATGCTTTTTCTCACCTGTACTTCCCCATTTTACTGACTCAGACGAATGCCAATAACCCATTCGGCTGCCACTAGTCAAGGTCCCTTATTCTGGCCCAAAAGTGAATTTCAGCTATTTTCACTGGACGGCAAAAACCAAAAATAACTGAGCTTTTTAGTGTACACTAAAGTGAAATTGAGTGATGAAGAAGAAGAAAGAAAAAACACTTAATTGCCCGGTATTTTATATGCTACTCAGAATCGAAGTTAATTATTAGGTGTAATCCATTCGAACTGTGAACTGTTACGAGAGACACGCGCCAATGTTTAAGCACAGTGTGATTGATATATCACTTGATTTGAACAGAGAGAAAAAAAAACTTGTCGAGCTTGCTGGATTCTTGAAAATATTGGTGTTAAAGTGTTCGGAATTTCCAATACCCCAGAGAATATCACAATCTTTAAGAAAAGTAAATATAGTTCTGTGATAATTTTTCTTTTTCCACATGCACAGTGTGTGTCAGTGACTGCGCAAAATTGTTCACAAAAATGTTAAGTGAAATAGTAAAAAAAAACAGCCGACACAACATGTATTGAAATGTTATTCAAGTAATGCAGAAATTACATACTGTTTTTTATGCAAATACTTACAATCGTGTTAGAGACCAATAATAATAATGTGGAACTGCGATTTCGCTGTGACACACAGTAGAAGCGCCAGTATTGGGTATTTACAAGTTTTCGCGTGTGTGTTTATAAATATGTCGTTTTTTTTTTCAACAAGATGATTCAATCGCTTCAGTCCACCAGAAGATCTTTCCGGCGTAGCATCGCCAGTAATTCCAGTTTGACTTTCGCACTCGCACAAGATACATAGTCTAGTCGCGGAGGCTTCTTGCAAGCTAATTTGAGAAGTTTTTTTTTTATCCGACTGGAAGTGAGTGTTTAAATATGTGAAGTTTGTTGAAGTCGAAACTTTCTTGGTCAATTATTCAGCACGAAAGCCAGTGTCTCGTGATAGTGGTTGATGTGAAGATGTGTGGCAAAAATCTGTAATCAACTGCTGAAGGCAAGGAATTGAGCCAAAATAGGTCAAGTGTCTTATCACACTTTATTCACACATTCAATGGCAATTTCTGGGCATCGCTGTGAGAATTCAACAGTTTTGAAATTTCTACAAGCTCTCCTTGTGCGATAAATCGATGCCAAGCTTGCTGTATTAACTGTACATCGAGTTTCAAAAGTAATAATCTAAGAGAGTGCAAAATTAATTTCTGAGGATTTCTGAGCGTAAAAAAGAAGTTAAGGTGGAAACAAGTTTTGCCACAACTCTTCTTCTCCAACTGCTATTGACAACTCCTTGTTGTTGTCTTTTTTCTGCTGATTTTTACAATAAAGAAAAAGAGAAGCGAAGACTCAAAACAGCGACATGACCTTCGGCCATTTCATTGCCATCGTCGCACTTTTGTTAATTCCACTGAAATGTGTGCATCTCACAGCGGAGGCTGAGCGCTATGGTAATTCTTTGTCAATCACTGCATCCAATCTCACGTTATGGAATATCCCATCACTTGCTGTACACTCAATCAATTTCCCTTAGGTCTTGCCATCAAGTGTGTTTCTTTGCATTTCGGGTATTTCCCAATCGCGCTCGACCTTTTCGTCGTGTGGATTTTAACACTCGTGCATGCGTTTTCTTTCTCGCCGTCCGATTGACACTGCTTGAGGTCAAGTTGTTCTTATGACGTCACCCACTCTGGTTTCGTGGTGAAAACAACTAGGGATACCTGATATTTAATCTGATCTTACGACACACTGCGGCTCAGCAATTAATGCAAATTCCAGCTCGTGCGTCCAAAAAAGATAAAACAACACACAAAATATCCCGAAATTCAAAGAAAGTTCACACATAAAAGTATAAATTTCAGCGATAATTTTTTTTCCACCCCTTCTCTATGTAAATTTGCTATATTGTTAAAAAGTTTTCCCATACCTTTAATATTTCATTTGAACAAAGTTTCCCTCGCGAAAGTACATAGCGCGAGAAATATCTGCATTTGTCCTCCCTCTCACGTTCTTTCTCCCAATTCGCCTGGGATCGTTTCAGAAGGCAGCGTATGCAACCTCGCGGATGGAACTCTCGGTGTCTGCAAGGCGCATCGCGAGTGCATTTGGGCGAGGGAAGGATTCAAGAGCGGAAGACTGTCGTACTCTGACATCGTGAGATGCAGTTTCGTCGACAATGACGAAATTATATGCTGCGGAGACGAAAGACCGACGCACGATGACCTCACGCCGCCCAGCACAATCGTGATTGATCCAAATAACCGGGATCAGATATATTTCATGTAAGTGTTGAGAGTCTTGCGACGATTAGCAAAAGACAATATGTTATATTTCATACAATAGTAATTATGCTTCTGCTTCTGTTTTTTATATGGCGATCTCTTGGACATTTTTTAATACAGTTATCAAAACTCCATGTTTATTCCACTAAGAGGATCGATATAACAGAAAAACGCACTTTTATTACTCTTTTCTTAGGGGTTTCACGATTGAAACACGACTTTATGCTTTAAATGTCTCTTAGATATGTAAAGTTTGCCTGACTAACAGAAAACCTGGTTTCACTTAGTTCAACCCAAAGTTATCTCTCTCAATCCATATGTCGTAGTGATTACAGTTTCTAACTCATTCCAGATCTCCTGATAATGAGAATTACTTGCTAGAGAATGATGGAAAGACATCATCGTCCATCGTTTCGACTTCACCGACCTCGAGGATCGAGGGAAAGGGCAGAAAGTGCGAAGAGGAGTGCAAGAAATTCATGGAGAAGTATCAAACTCTCTCGTATAATATATTGGGTGGTGAGGCGACAAATCTCGGGGAATTTCCGCACATGGCCGCCCTAGGTTATCCGTCGCAAGAAGTCGGTGACGAAGTGTACTTGTGGAATTGCGGGGGAAGTCTAATTTCCGAGCAATACGTCCTCACTGCGGCCCATTGCACGGCAAATCCCACCGCACTGCCAGAAATTGTGCGCCTCGGGAAGGTCACACTGAAGAGCAACGACGACACAGCTGTGGCGCAAGACATCGCCATCAGTCGAATCATCAACCATCCTGATTACAAGAGGAATCGCAATTACCACGACATTGCGCTTATCAGGCTTGCGCGTCCGGCGGAAATGAACGAGAACGTTAAGCCCGCCTGTCTCAACACAAATCTCGATGATGTGCCCGAGCATACGCACCTCGTCGTCACCGGCTGGGGTGTGACGTCGGTGGAGAGGCGAGAGAAGTCAGGTTTGCTGCTCAAGACAAATCTCACATCGGTGCCTCTGGACAGGTGCAACCGGACGTACTCTGATTTACCACGTGACCGCGCTCTTCCCAATCTGCTCAACGATGGTCAGCTCTGTGCGTTCGATATGACGCGCAAGAACGATGCATGTGAGGTGAGTTCTCAAACCTCTAAATACGCACACAAACATTATTAGAGAAACCCACAAATTCTGCTCTCGCAGTTGACAAAATTCCATGCATATTTGCACCGCAAACATTGCTTTGTTCTTATAATTCTAAAATTATTAAAAGCTTATATTTCAATTGATCGAATGCCCTAAATTAATTGTGGTAATGGAATCTGAATGCGAAAATGTATCTGAGCGAAATATTCACGTTGAATCTCTATGAAATGAATAAGTCGGACACTTCCATTCGCTGAGCAATCAACTTTTGTGTTTAATTTGTCATATATTGGCATGTGTGTGACCAAATAAAATCCCTCCGATGTGACCACATATTGCACAAATATTTGCAGTTATGTATACATCAATATCTGCGTGCAAAGTAATGGATTTGGGGACGGCAATTTATTGCATTGCCGAGCCATCATCAGTGCTGATGAGATTAAAGCTTGTAATACGCATTTTGTATTAATTCCAGGGCGACTCCGGCGGTCCATTGCAAACAGTCAGTGATAATGGCTTCGCCACAATAATTGGTGTGACGAGTTTTGGCATTTCTTGCGCGAGCTCAACACCAGGCGTGTATGCACGAGTGAGTTTCTATTTGGACTTCATAGAGCAAAATGTATGGCCAGATAGTCGCTAATAAATTCACCGATTAAACCTATGATTTATGGACAAAATTTTATTCTTTGCTCTCATCGCCATGGAGACGCCAGGTGGTGAGACAGAAACACCAGGCGCCCCCATTGTTGTGCGAGAAACTTATCACTTTATCGATTCACCGCACATTGTTCATGCTTTTTAGCAACACCCGCCCCATCATCCCCTGTTGTCAGACAAAAACTTGCCATCTCGAACACCTGTTTGATTGCACCAACATTTTCCTCTCAGGCCTTTTCGCACTCCGCGCTCAAAAGTGTGCACATCAGTGAAATATGTACCTCATTTTCATGCCCTTTCATCAGCAATATAATTCAAATTTGCCAGATATTTAATTAATTTCAAGGTACATTTCACATCACAAGTTTCCCTGTGACGATACAATGGGAAAAACTGTCATACAGTGTAAGTCAATTACCCTATTCTCTCATGTTGCCCACCCACTGTGAAATGGATTGCGAGAGGTGGATTAATATAAGAAGCAAGTACTTACGGAAAAACCAGTAGTTTTATCGTACGCCAGGGAAATTATGTGAAAATATGCGAGAACGCTATCGTATTCTTGATTGTTAAAACCATGGAGCTTTTTGTATATTTTTCAGATAAATGATCCACCCTTTCAAGAGGTAAAACCGTTTGGCTTCACCCTCTAATGTTCTTGTAATACGTTTCAAAAAGCCTCTCCGTAACTCAATAAGCTTGATAATTATTTTACCTCCATTTTCGCGTATTCTTCCTAAGTGATTCGGAAAGGGGGTTTTGCCTGCTATTAATGCCATAGATACTCGCAAGCACACACAGTATAGATACGTCTTAATCTACTTCATGGAGAGCGTTATGTTTTTCATAGTGCTATTGCAATTTAAATTGATCCCAAAGGATCAAGAAATGGTCCTTTTTAGCTCGGAAACGATTAAACAGACAAAAAATTTACATGGTTTTTATTAGACTAATTTAATTATCTGCTGTTTGGTGATTCAGAAGCATTTTTAAATCTAACTCTCTCTTTGTGTAGGAGGATAAGTTCTTTACTCTGATTATGACTGGTTTAAGGTCACATTCAAACTCGACACTTGAAAATTTGAACAGTGGTTTACCTTTTTAGGGATGCAAAGCACTAAGTCTACCCAAATCACAGAAAAGTCAAACTCAATCATGATTTATGCAGCTTGGCTTCACGTTCATTATAATCAATTTCTGAGATGAAGACCCTAATGGAGGAAGGACAGATGAACTTTCATTCATTTAGTCGTCCTACAATTGAGAGTTTGCAAGAAGCACTTTTTATCACCAAAATGTTACAGTAACGAAAGTTGTGTAATGTCGAAGAGTGAAGAGTTCGTGTTGCTTTCAATTCATCTTTCGGTATTTATAATGAAAAAAATAATGTTAAAAAATCTACAGAAGAAATTGACTAAAAAGAATTGTTTATTCCATATTTTTATCCGACACTGAATTGTTGACACACGTTGGATAAAATTCACAGTGCAATTTACAACAATATTCCAAGTCAATTTCGTCAATTTATCAACTTTCGTAGTACCTACTATATTATTAAAAAAATTATCATATTCATGAATGAGCAAGTGTTAGAAGATTTTTCATTCTCACACACATTTTCACCATCTTTTGTGCGCAAAAGTTCATCTCTGGGCTTAAGAAATATGAATGTAAATAAATTTCACAACTTTCTGTAAAGTGTTTTGTACTTTTAAAAGTGAAACGAATGGTCTTACTTTACTAGAATCTGAAGAACCAACTTTTAGCTTCTTTAAAACTTTCCACAGAAAAACTACAAATAATCCGAGCCTAAAGTTTACAGATGAAAGTAATAATGATTTCAACATTTTCACCTCGAATGGTTGTGTGAAGAGTTCAGAAGGATAAGAAGAAACCAAAGAGTTTTGTCTTGCATCGGAGATTGGAATCATGCAATAATTACTACGAAACGGCGAAGGATCCGTGGACCGGTGTATGTAAAAAAGCGAACCGCTTTATGTATCTGTTTGGCATTGGAACGCATGCGCTTCCCCAGTTCGTGTGCATTGCGTTGTGTGTGTTATATTCTGATTATTTGGAGAAATATAGGGAAAGCTGTGTGAAATGCGAAAGGTCTGGTGGCCACAGTATCAATTTGAGCACTATCCTGTCGAGACTGCTCTCGTCAGTCCGCCGCAAGTCCTCCTCGTGGGCGCATCTCGGCAGTACGCGCGCGTCCCTGCCGAAGGAGCAGAAATATCTGGTTGCCTCAGCCAGTGATAAAGTGATTTGTCGCGGGTGCTGAAGGGGATCAAGGGAGGAAAATCCTTGTGACACATAATTTCATTGGAGTCATTTTTGCTTTCTCACTGCGAATGCCCAGGGTGAAGAAAACACGAGGGCCAGCCTGAAAGACAGGTGAAAATAGGATGAAGAGGAAGTTTAATATCCTGATACGCGATGGGTATTGTGAGTCTCTTTTTTTCCCGTCAAGAGGGATGTGATATCAATATAAATTTTTTTTCTCCTCGACAAAGAAAAGAAAATTATGAACGCTGGGAAATCGGGAGAGAGGGCGAAGACCCAACCCTTAATCTATTTATAAGAAGAAGAAAAAAAAAACACACCGTATGGATAAGGAGAAGTGGAGATTTCCAATGTGGAGAAATTCTTGTGCAATTCGAAGAGGGCATCAATGTAACTTGAGTATGTTTGCGTGAGACACACCTGAGTACAAAAGGATGAAAATATCTAAGGGAAGAATAAAATTTTCTCTTGACAACGGTGAATCAACATTAGACTAAGTCAAGAACGTGCGGGCGGCATTTGAATGATTTCACCTCTATTGTTGTACTTTTGTACAAAGATTTTCTTCTCCATGAGACATTGGGTGGTGGGCATACGTGGAGAAAGAAAAACAACTTCCATGTAAAATGTAGCATTCTGATCTCCCAATACAATGCTCTCTCGCTTTAACCCTGACAACCGATATCACTTAATAGCGCAGAGTGGCTGTTTATAGAATGAGGGGAGATATACGCAAATGCGATAAATATCAGGTGGAAAATAACATACGGTGCAATTATTCGGTGATGATGGAAGAATCAAAGGCCAGTTCCTGTCGATTTCTCACAATTTGCCAAACGACCACTCTAGATATACTTCTTCATCTGGTGCTGGCCAGCTTCATTAAAAATAGATGGAGAGCAACACCGTGCAGAGCTCAGACTCAGCATACGCCAGCCTCAAAATCTTTGAACTTCTGAGTCAATACGCAAATACACGGGACTTTGATTCTCACATCCGTAATTGATTCTCTAATTTTCACCAAATTCCATTAAATTTGCCGAACACGTGTTTTTTCTTTAAATCTATATTACTATAGAAAGAATGTTACCGATGATTGCACATCTGCTTTGCACAAAGTATAATGCTAAACCTTAAGGTTTTTTTTACAAAAAGCTCACAGGGAAAAATTATATATAATAATCTCCTTAATTAACTCTGGGGCTTTCTTTTATTTAGATTATTCACGTGAGTAGGATTAAGATAAAAATTATTTAATGATGTTGTTTTTCTAGTTTGCACAGCGAAAACAACATCAATTTAATGATTTTGACCATAGTTTTTTCTCAGTGTACGATATTTGTATTGAAAGGCAATTTGCCACGTCGCATTTCCGTCTCTGTTTATTGTTTTCAGAGAAATTTCACGGCACATATTCAACATTCTAACTTTGTGTCTCTTTCCTTGTTAAATATTCACAAGTCGATTGCAACATACGTGTTTATTTATTTATCAACTCATCCAATATCTTGTATCTTAACAATACTGCTGTCGATAGAAAAGAACAACTTCATCCAGATCTCTCTAAACTTCTTCTTGTATCCGCAATACAATATTATACCGTGAATAGTATTCGAATGATCTGCTTTGGGATTGTATAGTGCCAAATTTACACATGAACACTTCTCCCTTAACAACGATAAACACGGAAGGAAAGGACATCATCTGTGACAAAAGGTGAAAACAGAGAGCGAGGGAAACAGGAGGAAATCCAATACGGAATACACAATACGGAGTGTGACTCAAGGACTTATGCCAGAAATTGGAATGTAATTTATTTTCCACACATATGTGCTTCAGCCAGCGCCTCACGCAGTGGAGAAAAACACGGACAAATGCAAAAGTGGGGTTCATTTGGGAGTGAACAGGCTCTGAGCGGAAAAGGAATATCCATCAATTAGCGACAATGGTGAATTCACGGGCAGATTTGGAGACGGAACTGGCCGAGGAAATCCCCGAGCACTGGTTGGCAGTCATTGCTCACTATGTGCTGGGCTTCCGGAATGACACAGTGGACTTCACTGCGCCCATCCTCAAGCCAGTCGCCGTGCGCTTCTACCCGCTATTCATCCTCCAGTACGGGCTGCTCCTCGTGATTGGCCTACTCTCCAATATCGCCGTTATCGCCTACATTATGCACTATAAATTGTTTCACGATGCCACCCACTCATTCATCGTTAATCTGGCTTTCTGCCATTTCGTGCAGTGCTCGGTCGTCCTGCCGATCACTCTCATGGTGCTCCTGATACAGAATTGGATATTCGGCCAGTTCCTCTGCTTCTTCCTGCCACTACTTCAGGTGAGTAATTACATATCATCTTGCATGCAGAATGTGAACGTCTCCATAGAGAAAAATAATCAGCTATTTGTTGGTAAAAGTTGCTGCACAAACTTCACCTGCACTTTGGCAGAGAAACTATAACTCCATTCAAACTTGCAACTGATTGGTCCCCTTAAGCAATTTGAGAGTCTTTTTCGCTACCGATTTTTAACTTCCTGCTTGTGGAAAGCATCGCAATTCTTTCTTCAGAGAGCTATAGAGCACATTGTTGAATTTTCCGGTGGTTTTGAAGAAAGATTCTATAAAACTTTTCAATGAAATAAGTGTGAAGAGGGTAAAATTGCAATCTACTTTGTTTGCCTAGCAATATTTCTCTCTGGTTGCGCAACAAATAAACACCTGATTGCAATTTAAAAGTGAATAAAAGCACTTTTGATAGTCACAAGGAAAAGCTTTTATAAATTAAACTTTCTACTGGTTCGCTCGTTTGAGCAACATTTCAGGGATGCGAGATAAGTTTTTTTGAAATTTGTCACCAAGGTTTTAATAAAAAACCATTTGACAAAATGTAATCCCTAAACATGGCAGTAAATTTCTAGAAGATTTGCACCACAAAATAATGCGCATCAATGTCAGAATAGGTAGAAAAACGAGACAGAATGGAATAAATAAATCGTGTTGTTTGCGAGACAAAACTCTCCTGCTCAGCATTATCATTCGGGTCGCGAGTCTGCGAATTCCCTGTTGGCCATGACTTCGTAAATTGTGCCTGACAACTATACTAGCGGAACACTTTTCAGCGAATCGCAAGTAAATTTTCCACCCGTGGAATTCATTGAGTCGACACATTCGCATTTATGTGGTAACAGGGGATTTTGCAAATTTAAATTAATTGCCACAGCTTTAAATTACACTCCCTCGCATACACTCGAGCCAATGACTGCCAATTGAATTTTCACCCACACTTAATTACATACCGAGGTTGCTCAATATTAGAAAATGAGCGTTTCCACGGAATATTAGACTGTCACCATAGATACTTGTACTATTGTGCGTCGTATCACATATTGGCCTAATTAGTCACTAATTGACTTCCCTCGATATATCTTTAAAATTTCCAGGAGCCCCATTCAATTTTCTTTCCTTTGCGATTCTTCCTGATTGCATCAAAGTTTCCAATTTGTCAACGTCAAACATCAGACAGCAATTTTATGGGCAAATAGGGGGATTCTTGCGGGGGTCGATGGGGATGAAGATGATTAAATGTTAATTAATTTGCGATGCCAGAGGGATTGGGTGTAATTAAATTATTTGAAAAATTCCAAATTTTCAATGTTCCTTTTATATTGATAGTCCGGTATGTAATTAAAACTTCATAGGTTTCATAAAGTCAAATACTCGATAAACTCCTTGTTTATCTTCTTTGAGGATTTCATCTCTGAGCGCCATACCTGAGATTAGGCAGTGGAGAATTACTTTTCTGTCAGCCATTCAATGGCATTCTTCCTATTTTCCTCCCGAATATACGCACATTTATCGACGGATTATGAAAATCCTTAGTCCAACAAACGATATCGTCTCTCAAGAGTTTATCGTTGAAATGCTGACGAAAAACCTTTTAACTTGATGACAATAAAATGTGGTGTTCTCTTATAAAAATCGGCAGTTTTATAGGATTCTTTATCCCCAAGTGGACATGAGAAGATCTTATATGTTGGTATTTTTGCACACCCTCTTCTCATAACACAATTTCTTCTATATCTTTAACTTAAAGTTGTTTATACTCTGATATGTATCTTAACCATTCTAACTTGATGTATTTCCTCTTCACTGTGGACAATTCTGAGAGGAAAATCTATCAATACTGCAAAAAAGAAGGCCTTCTACTTTTAAAGTTGAAATCTCACAACTTCCCCCTTGGATCAATTGAAAAGTCAATGTTACACAGTCGAGAATTCAAGCATAAAGGTTTGCAAATTATAATAAAATCCCAAAATTCCATATAGCGCTTGTATTAAAGAAAATCGTATAATTTTTCTTGGATCTTAAATTATGTTTTGAAGTTCATCTTCAAATCAGATCTTACACATTTTGAATTGATCACAAAAATTTCAGCTTTGCATAAGCCAAACGTAGCGGATATTTGACTATACTTATACTTTTCCCACAATAAATATATACTCTTTACGACTCTTAATAATCTGTCTGTGACTTTAATATGCTGAAGCACGGGTGAATCTTAGTGGAAATGTGGAAGAGAGGAAAATAAGCAGATGAAGAAAAGCTCAACTACACTCGTACCGCCCTTGAATTGGTGCGAATATGTTTTATTTTATAAAATCTTCTATGTATCACGTCTTAATGTTTAGAATTCGTATTTCGTTTATACGATGCTTCCTATGGTGGGTGTTCAAATGCCATTTATTTTCCACCCTCTTATCCTCTAGCAAACTTCGAGGTCCAACAAGTCATCCATTTTCCGAGGAGAGAAGCGCCAGTGTTTAAGATCAAAGGCTAAATTGAATGTTTTCGATACGACCGTCGGCAGCGAGGGTGGATTTTCATGTCTTCGCTGCGATTAGCAAAGCTTTCCACTACGCAGAACTAAGCAATATCAAATGTGAAGCATTCATAATGCAGATATTTCGAGAAGAAAAGTACATAATTTTTTCCGTCTTGAATCCTCACAGTTTTTATTTCATACTCTTCCCTATAATTAAGTTACCGTACACCCGAAAAATGCGTTACAATCGGAGGCGTGAGCGAAAAATTGGATAATGTGAAAAATTCGGCTTAATGGAACCTTCAAAATACAAGCGTTGAATGGAAAATTTACCTGTTATGAACAAAAGAGAACTTTTGTATACTTGGAATTCTTACAATGATTTCATCCCACACAGTTTTATCATGGTTTTTTCTCCTTAGGCGCTGAGAAAATACGCACATTTTCAACATTCTGAGTTAAAGTGCAGAAAAAATGTGTATTTCCATTATTATCTTGTTGTGCACAATTTGCATTTTTCATGTCAGCCAATCACACACTTTAAGAAGCAATGCAAATTTCATTCACAAGTTTCGCTCGATGCAAATTAACATTATTTGCGGTTTTCCATACTTAATGCATTATTGTGCATCTATGAATTTTGCTCCAGAAGTTGCAGGAAGTTTGACAAGTTGAACTTTGAAAAGATTTTTGTGGGAAACTCAAACCACGCTTTCCTATTGATTCATTAACATTTATGGCTTAAGAAGTGTGATTTATGGAAATTTGTTGTTGGAATTGTTGTACAAAGGATAAGTTTCTATGTATACATATATATATGCATGTAAATTATAACCTTGAGTGAATATTGCATAAATCTTTTAAGCTCTTGTAGCGTGAATCCTGCCATTTCCAACGACTTGTGGGATTTTTACATAGTTTACAGTTCCCTTTCATATTATTTCCAGGATATTCCTCTTCATGTGGCAATTATTACTCATCTGCTGATTGCGTGGGATCGCATGAGGTGGCTCATGGACCCGCTGAGAGCTCGTTTGCCAGCTTTCGTCTGCAGCTGTGCGACGTGGTTAGCTGGCATGGTGATTGCTCTGCCGTACCCAATTTACACTACATATTTAGACCTCGGGGTGAGATATTTTATTTACCTTCCGCAACAATAGGTGTTTTAATGTGCTCAAAGTACCTGCAATTTTAATCAAGGAAAATCATTAAAAACTTTTTAATAAAATTAAGTGGTTCACACCAAGTATAAACTACAATTTCCCAGAGAATTTTCATTGTTGATAGTGATTCTGAAATCACTTTCGCAAAGGCTCTCAAAAGCCGATGCTCGCATTTTCTGTCTGTGGTCTTCCATTTACTTTTGCATATGCAATGAGTTCTCTATGTATCTATGAATAATTGAATATGCATAAAGCTTTTATCAGGATAATAATATTCTCATATGATATGAATATGTGCACATACAAAAATATTAGTATCATTTCGTTTTGAATGTCGGCAGACCAATAATAAAGGAGATAATGCTGAGAAATCATCTTTATGGTGGTAATAATTTGAATCTACGACTGGAGGAGGACTTGAAAAATTTTCCAAACCAAGTCTCTGATAAACTTTGAAGGGCCATAAAGGCGTTATGGTTTTTTGAGCACTTTTATTGATATATTTAAGTCGTGCTTTTAGAATAGCAGCACTGAATAACGTATGAAATCTCTAGGATAGTCTTTTCAGAGATGGCAAAACGAGTATTTCTTTGATGCAGTCAAGTCACGGAATTTGTTTTACTGATACTACAATTTCTCAAGCTTGTACTCTCTTTAGCATCCATCTTATTTCTGCAGAGGAAACATAGGAAAGCTCTCTTTGTGCTCTGCTCGAACATACATTGCTCCACCCCGCATTACACTTTTTCCTGCGCATTTGGTATATTTCTCACCTACACAATAAAATAAAACAAATAAAGTTGTGATGAAAAGGTGGGTGAACGTCAATTGGCACCTTTCTCATATGAGTATTTACTTGTTGTACCTAAAGGAGAATTTCAAATCAGAATGTTTTATGTATTAGGCCAAGGGAAGTCAATGGGAAAGTATTGAGTGAAAGTTGATTAAGTTTTTAGGGAATTTATTCAATCCGTACACCCACATGGCGGAGAAAACTCTCATCGCAACTCTGCTTGACTCCAAGAATTCTCGTATTTTCCATGCCTTAATGCCGAGACAAGTTTGGGAAAGGGCGAAAGAGGCGATGAGAAGTTGCTATAATGATGAAAATTATATACCAACAAAAGAGCAAATATGTTGTGAAGAATATGTTAGGGAAAGAAACAGGATATTTCACATCGTGTATTTTCATATTATTTTGCTTCTTGTTAAAATTACACCCAACCAATGAGCCGCACATGCCATTAAAAGGGGTGAAAATATATCATAAAGAAAAGCTCGGTTTGTCATATTGATTGCATTCACGCGAGGATATTACACTTAGTGTGAAATATGATATGCGATTATTAAAGTCAAGGATGAAAATTTAAGATTCACCCCCAAAATTTGTTATTTCACACCCGACAAATGTTTAACATTACACGCAGCAGATGTACAATTTTATATAAGCGATTGTAAAAACTCCTTCACTTGCTGACAAACGGGAGATGATTATTATATTGTTTTGTGGGAACATAGTGTCAGTGACAATTATATAATGTTCAGCAAGTTCTGGGTGCTTTTCAGCATAATGTCCTGATTATAATGTCACACTTAATTAATTAAACATAACAGGTTTCACCGCTAATGCAGACTTTTCACTGGCTTCCAATACACAGCATATATCTTTTAATTGAACACAACAAATCAATTTAGCACCTAAAATAAACTAATATTAATATGGTATTAAGAGCATTTACAGTCAATTTTGTATAGAGTAATTACTTTAGTGCGCACTAAAAGTTCATGGATGAATGTTAACATTTCACTAGCTCAACAGCAGTTATTAGAACATTGCAAATGTGCCAGTTTATTTTCAGCTAATTTTAACTCATATGATGAAATATCTCTGTGAGATTTAATCTATTGCCGGTTGAAAAGTTTATTAAAACGCGAACTCCTGATGGAAAATGTCTTCAATTACAGTGATACAAAATTAATTAATAACTCCTATTTGACTGCGCTGAAAAATTATATGCAAAGTATAAATCTATACTGTTAATGCAGGGAATTTTTTTAATTGCATTAATTACACATTATAACAGAAATGTAATACTCTTGCTGTTTTGGTTTTACCATCTATTTCGTTTAATATCTGTTCAATATAATGGTCAATTTAGTCTTCAATGAAGCGCAATTCTATTGTTTATTTAAGGACTTTCAATTTAAATTACAGCTTAAAAAATAATAACCATGATATATTTTCCTTTTCAGTTGTACATGAAGCAATTCCGTGGCGTTGGGATTTGCGCTGTAAATCTTGTGGACGATATGCAAGAATATATGCGAGGACTTTTTGTCATAATGTAAGTATTGCACAAACACATAATATACACTTTATTTACTCTGAAATACTCGGCTGGATTCCACTTCCATTCCAATTTAATATTCTTCAACACTTAATACGGGAATAAAAGTTAAAAGAAAGCATTTAATATGAAATATGAAAGCAGAAGATAATAAATTGGATTCTTGAAGTGTTACATTATATAATATATCTATAATAAAATCACGACGATGTCACTATTTGATATGAAATAGAATCACAGCATGGAGAAAGTACGAAGTCGTCCTTCAACTTTAGATGCTTTTCTCTGAAGAAATGAGAAATTGACTGCATTAAACTTTGCTATACAAAGATACATTTTCCATTACAAATATTGCAATGAGTGCAATGCAACAAATGGAATATTTTTACACAGCAATTTTCTGTATGATTTCCAGGTATTGCGCACCTGTAACTATTCTGTCGTATTTGTACATAAGAACCTCTCGAGAATTGCGGGAACCCGATGGGCCACTCGATGTACTCATGTTTGAAGCCAGAGTTGATACACGCAATACACATCAGAGGTGAGCAAAGATATTGAACACATTTTACGTTTGAATTGTGTGTGAGATCGTGCGAGTGAAAGCACATTGATGAATATATGTACGTTCTGTTTAGCTTTATGCCAAGTTTGGAGAGTAAACTCAGAATGTCATAAGCCCAATCGCAAGCATGAACGCACATTCATGGGAATTAATTTATCCAGAAATTCCATTTTGCAATACTTTGAGCCATAATCTTAGAATATGACAAACATTTAGAGCACAAGAGCTCTGAGACCAGATTTAAAGGACTTTCGGATCACTGAAGTAGATTTATTACACTAAATGTTATGTCTGTATGTTAATGTCTGTAACGTAATCGTAGATCTCAGTTTCTTCTAGATAAAGAATTTTTTTTTCAATTTTTCAAGTAAAGAAACAATGAGGAAATCTAATCATGAGATGATTTGTTGTATTATGTGAACTAAAGCTTACAACCCAAAAACCCTTTCCTTTTTCTCAAGCAATTTCCAGATAGAAAGTTGATAGTTAGTAAAGACAATTAATATTGCTTGATGACACCACGAAATAATAATCTTCTTTCAACTATTTAAAGCAGTTTGTGAGATTACAATTGTACAATCGTGAAGTGGTACATATATGTTAATTAATATTCCGTCTTCAGTAGATTGTTGAGTGCTGAGTAGAATTTATGGAATAAATTTGTCGTCTAACAAGAGAGTGTGCATTAATATTGTCTCTTATAAATAGTAGTTCAAAAGCCTTAAACATTAAAGTCAAACTTTCTCAGATTTTACTCACGACATTGCGCTATATTAAATTGATAAGTGGACGTTTTTATTGAAAGTCAACCTGCACGATGCTGAGCTTGTGGAAAATCCAATTTGACGCATTTGGATCTACAAAGGAAATAAGAGAACACTTTTAGCTGAATTCTCCGTTTCTCTGGGTGATAGAGAGGGGTTTTGGAGATATTTCGATAAATATAAAGAGATTTCAGCATGGATAATGACAAGTGTCTGTGCACAAAGTGAACGCGATTTGTAAAAGTCGAGGAGTTTAAAAAGAGACAAGGACCTTTTCAACGTTGAAAAAATTTGGTTTTACTTCTTGAAACGGTAAAAGCTGGTGTGCAATAACTTTTACTAGCTTCAAAGGCACACTTCAACATTATTCATAAATTTATTCATGCAACCTGTTGAGCACGAAATGCGTAGGAAGTCTCATACTTTTTCAGTATCATTGGCATTTTCATTATCATTTCAATCGATAACGAGTACTGATTCGATAGAGAACCATAATTTGCGAGTAATAATGGAAATTGTGAGATAGTTTTATACACTTAATAGCAGCGCAGTGATAAGATAAGATTAAAGGGAATTTAATTCTATATACATTCGACTGTTACGCAGTATTTTCAGAACTTTATATGCTGAAATTGTTGCTAATGGTGAAACTTGAAGTTGTCAACTCAATGATCTTTCTTAATTGGACGCTCATTTATACCATAAAGCCAATCAGATTACATTTGATATTTTGTTTATTCACTTATATTTCAAATGAAATCACATAAAACATTAAAATCCATTCACAAATGAACACGAGTAGAAAGCATTTTGTATGCTAAATGAATGGAGTCTCTAATTAATTATGAGTATTCTTTTCATATGAAAAATGATCCCAAATTTCTGTATTTTCAAACAAATTGTATCCTATGTACACTGATGCTACATAATGTATGGCACGCAGAGGTAACTGAATGACGACATGACCTTTTGGCATGAAAAACAAATCCACACGCAGATTCGGCAAATCAGATACCGAGAATTCCACATTCATCTCTTTAATTGTGCACCATCACATTTGACTTTAAGAACGGGCGGAAAATTAATGTTTCTCTCTCGGCTAACGAGGGTGACTTCTTGTGCTCAAACACTTTTATCGGATGTGAAATGTGACCCTCGCTTTAAAATTACAATAAATCCGATTTGGTAACTTTTCGATGCTGAAAATTCTTAGGACGAAACACCTTTCCACACCGTCAATTCATCGCGCGTGTATTCATTGTCTACCCAGCAGCAATAAGATTGTTGGGGGTCCTCCATTAAAATTTCATTAGAGAAAATGAGCTTTTCTTATTTTTCCTCTCACTTACATCCACTCAATATTTAATTATGTCTTCTCCTCCAGACACTGTCATCTTATCGCAAAAATTCAAATTAAAATTGCTAAAGGACAACTTTTAATTGAACAAAGTATACGCAGGAAAACAGTGCGTGAATAGGAAAGTGAAATATCTCTAAGAAAAGGGTCACATTGCGAAGAAATGTTTATGAAACCGCGCGCTTGTGGCAATGATAGAAGTTTAAATGATGCTTTTTAACAATAATAATATTTCATACGATGACTGGAAGCCAACAGAACAAAACGTGCATTGAAAAGTTATATTATGAAGGAGGACAGTAAGACATTAAATATCAAATAGACAGAATAGAATTACGCTATTCTGTCCATTATGCTTCACATTAAATGACAATGGATCAATTATGGCTTGAATTCTGTCACTTTAATATCACTTAACACACATGATAATGCTTCATAAATTGTTTACATAAAAATGTGCCAATTTACCACATTGTATGCTTAAGTATATCTTAATTATGGCACTCTGCTATACATCTGCCCAATATATGTCTCCTTGTACGCAACATTGCTGAGAAATTTCCATGTAATTTCCTTTGTAAATGGTGGGAAAACAACAGGTATCTCGTGTTTAGCACTCACAAATTTTCAAGATGAATTTCTTTGTACTTTCGGTTTAATAATCTGGAAAGATGAAATGTTGTGAAGTACATTCACCAGAAATGGTCCCCAAAGTGTAGTATTGTGTGGAGTTTTTCGGCAGGGGGAATCAAGAAAATGCCATTGAGATATCCTCTTTGTGAGTATTGCATTAATTTGACCGTCGCTCTTTGGAATTCGAGGGAATAAATTAAATTTTCGAGTGATGTATATATATAGAAATGGGGTTTATAATGTATTTTCCGGCATTGAGACGTGACTTCTGTGTTTTAAGAGATATAATTCAATTTTTCTTGCTAGTCAGGCAAATAATTCTATCGTGGGTTTTGCCATACAAAAAGCACCCAATCGTGAATATTTGATATTAGAAGGATGCTCAATTATCCGCCCGAGAAACAAAGATATTCCAGGCGGAGTATTGTGAGTGTTTCACCACAAATATGCCTATGCAAAATACACGTGTCTCTTTTATCATCCACACCATTCTAAATGGTTGCACAGAGGAAATTTGGCTTAATGTGGCATGTTTACATTTTCATAAAAGTAATTAAGCCACCCTTTGCTGCTGCAAACACTTTTACGTTATATTAGCATGACGCGAAACGTGGCACCGAAATTGTTGCGAATTAGAGGATTTCATGCTGAAAATTGAGATATTCGCAGCACTTTAAAATAATAAGAAATTCATCTTGAAGTGAGGAAATCATTTTCACTAAAGAGGAAATTGTAGAATTCATAGGGATAAATATCTACTGTTCAAGCTTACATATTGCAAAATTGTTTTAGCACATAGCTTCAATTGAGATGAATGATGTTACGTATATAATACTGTGTTTACTTGACATGATTGAAGCTTATTGAAATTTATTGTCGAATATTGTGCCATGTATTGAAGAGCATCACATTATATTGGAAAGGAAAAGTAACTCGAGAAAAATATATTTTTACACGACGCAATTTTCAGTACACAATATATGTAATGGTATTTTAAAAATTAAAATCTAATATCCTTTGAGAAACATTTGAACATATTTGAAAATTGATACAGCACATGCCAATTAATTGAGCTGCTGTAAAAGACAGACAGACAGACAGATGTCGATTCAAGCTAATTTTACGGGTTATCTAGCATGATTTGGAACTTTCCGGGGACACTTAATCTTTCGAAAGCACTACAAGCACAGACTCAATTTGAATACCACTCCTCGCTGAGCTTTCATATTTCGCAGTGTCTGTGGCCATTCTAAAGGACGATGGTGGGCAGATAAGAGCAAAGTTTCTCCATAAAAAGTTTTATAATCTGTTTTGATCCTTTTCAGCTTCACGGTCAATGTGTGATTTTTTACAATGTTCTCCTTATAAGCCAAAATGTACGTGTCTTGACCGCCCTCTTTAGATTATGTACTACTTTCGGAAACTCTCGTTAATCATAGAGTAAATTACAGTCTCATCACTTTCCTCGTGCAGTAGATAAAATTGAGTGAAATTGAGGAAACTCTTCAGAATATATAAGTTTGACAATTGCTCACCAGTCAAAGTCAGTGAATCGAAAAACAAAACTAAAATAGTTTGTGCATTTTCCACTAAGTATAAGTCATAAAGTTAATCTATTTTAAACACCACCATTTATTTTCCTCAAAAGCTCAGAACTTTTGTAATGGATTCGATTCACGCTGAAGCAGAATTCAAGGCATTTCCTATGATATTCGAAATTAGAATTCCTCTCGTGGTATTTTAATGAACATTGATTCTTAATATGAGTATTCTTTAAAGTTTTGCCAATATTTCACATATGAATACTTTGTCCCTGCATTATCTCGAGCTTCATCATCAGCGGTGCACATAATCATTAATGAAAGCATCTGTTAAGTTCCAAAGTCGCCTGAATATAATTATATGGAAAATGAATGGAAATAAGTATGAAGAACTTGCACAAAAGCTCTTCATTTCATTATTATCTTAATTGTACGAATGTACTACGAAAAGGGAAAATTACGTGAATTGACTTCAATTGTGTGGTTTCGGTCAGTTGTTTGCCGCTTGCAATGGATTAGTAGATGAGTGAAAGGAAATTGATCACTCTAAGCCGGTGACAATGTGACGTTGATGATTTATTCTCATCTCAGGTCATCATCGTCGTCGACGAGCGCGCGAGCGGGAAGGGGAAACACCTACAATGGCGAGGGTTCGGGGACGAGGCGGCCATCTCTCAGGGCGCACCAGCAGCGCTCCTACGACCTGTACGACGCCGAGCTGGACGTGTGCCGGGAGAAGAGGACACAGCGCTTCCTGGGCGCAATGGCAGCCGTGCACGTCATTTGCGTATGTCCGCTGATGATAATGAGGCAAGGCACTTTGGCATTTTTCACTCGACAATGAATTTTCGGCTGAATTCGCACACATTACTGAAATGGTGTGTCTGGGGCACATGGTTCCCGATTCAGGCGAGGACTCATGCATATATTTAGGTCAGATGGAAATTGGTCTATTATTAACCGTAGCATATGCAAGGGAGCAGCGTGGACATGTGATAGGGCTCCTTCTCTTCAAATAACACCATGGTTTAATATACATATTTTAATGTCAATCAGGCTCGCTCGAATGGCGCTCGTGGAGACCTACGACAATGCCACACACTTCGATCTCACGTATCTCATGTTTGTGTGGATGGCCTTCCTGCCCACCGCCATCTTCCCGTGGATCTACGGCTCGTGGGTGTTGACCAGGTACGAAACCCTCTGATTTTCACATTACAACCAAATTATTTCTCCATTTCCGGGGTGGATATACCCTTTGCACTGCCTCTGCTGCCCTGTAATTTGTCCTCCGTCTTTTTCAGGCCGGTGAAGGAACGTCTCCGCGGCTACTTCCGTCTCTCATCGCGCCGCAGCAATAACAGCATCCCCAAGGCTGGTGAGCCTCGTCTCTCCACCACAGAAGACTTCGTCTCCCAGGTAAATATGGACAATTCAGTGAAACTTTTCACACTGGCTTATAACACCTGCTTGAGTTCAGATTTTGTCAAGGATTTAGTCATTGCATTTATCGTCCTGCGACTTATCGAGAGAGGAAATATTGCTTCTGCCATTTATATAAAGTTGAGCAGTGGCATCTTTATTCTGTATAGTAGAGTCTATTAGGAACATATGTACGATATATAACTCTATATGGCTCAATAAGGGATTGAAACGGGCGAGTGAAGCGATGAACTGAACTTGACATTTAACTGGAGCAAGAAAAATGTATGAAACTTATGGGTTCATTTACAGCTTGACGTTGTACAACAACTTGAAGATGACAAATTTTACATATCGTTAAATCCGCAGACATTGTCATACTATACATATGTATTCTATCGATTTTCTTACGTTTCTACTCTGTAAATGTATAAAATTTGCTCTATTTCACTGATTTTTCAAGTAATGTATAGTTAAAGTAAAGAATTATATAGCACAGATAGTACAACAATTCTTTGATGAATTTGTCGAGAAGAATGCGAATACGAACTGTGCTCATGCAACTGACAACATTCTTCAGCACTATTATTGATTTTATATCCGGAAGAAGTTTTTAAATGTGTTTTCTGCAAATTTAACAGGATGTCACCACGGAAATATCACACATCCAGGAGAGTAACTACTCTCGTCACGGCGACTCTTTCACGCGAAAACACTCCCGAAGTCGCCAACACCGACGGAGCAGCAACAGCGAAGGTAATTCAATGGCATCTCGAGGATCTCGCAGCAATTCCGTAGGCAGAGTGGCGAAGAGGGACTCAAACGCGAGTTCAGAACTGCGAGAAGTATCGCCGTTCAACGAACGCAAAAGTGCGCTCGATGTAAAGCCCGTGGCATCGTTTGCGTACAGAAAGTCGAGCTTTCTACTGGACACCAACTCAACATTGTCAAATGATCCGTCATTTCCCGGCTCCACCAGCACTCTGGAGCACGATCTGGAGATTATAGACTTGCTGGAGCGCGAGAGGAGTATGGATATTCAAGAGATGCTCCAGCGCGAGGCCGCGATGGAGGAGCAGAGCAGAGCGAAGCCGCGGATGCTGCCGGAAATCTCGCCGAACCGCGGTCTGGTCACATCACCACAGTTGCTGGCCAGCTCAAGGGGCAGCACGCGTAGGGTGAAGCACAGACAACTGGCCAAGGATATCGATCGACGGGATTTGGCGGCGTCGCGGGCGAGACGCGCCAGACGCACGAATTGGCTCAAGTCCACGAACTAGTCAAGAAACCAGGTGCAATTTATTTGACTTATCGGTCAAGATTGGTCAATTGTGTGGTCAGAAGTTGTAGGAGAAGTCCCCATTGGCGAAATTAACGCTCGACACCTCATTCGATGGCGAAAATCGCACAGCTCTGCCGCCATCCAAGGTGCTATCGAGTGTCTGCTGGGCCTCGGCAAATTGGTACCTCTGCTGCGTGTATTGTGGCACAGAATCCTGGACGGCGTCCGGAACGCCTCCTCCAGCGAAAGCCCTTTGATATTGTTGAGCAAATGGATAGGGTTGTTGTTGATTAGAGAATGGAGAATACACCTGCGGAGAAGCAGAAGCCAATTTGCAGATTAAAGAGAATTTCTTGGAAAGCTCTACACACACACACACACACACACAACCTATTAGGACACAGAGTTTTTCGCCCCCCATATTCAGCCCACCCACGGCATATCAATCTCTTGCAAGACCATAAATTGTCCACTTCTGTATCTCAATTTGTGTGTTTGTATGGAGCAACATAATATCCCATCGTGAGGACCAATCTCGGTGATGATATCAATTAGAGACATGTCATAGTTTTAATCCATATTCCAAATGCGGGATTATGTGCGGTATAATGTGATATACTTGTAGAAAATTTGCAAAAGGTTTTCCAATCTCTTCCATATTCATCCCAGATAATTCTAATCCCTGTAAACCTGTCACTTTACTAGACAAGACAAATTCTAAACTTAATATGTATATCTTCAGTTCCCCATGACAATTTATGTGGAAACAGCATAAGAGATTTGTGGTAAAACTTTTTCAGCTGAACTTAGAACTTTAAGACAGTTTGACTTTGCTTTTTGGAAAACAAGAAACTGCGTGAACAAATGCCGAGGAAACTCTCGTTATGATTTGTAATGACTTGATAATACATTCAGTTGTTGCATAAACAAGCTTTTCAAAATTTATATCACATTTCCATGTTGCCATAGATGACGTTGAAAAATTAGAACAGATTTCTATGAATTTTCTAAAAATTAGAAATTGTTTATTTTGAAAGTTTTTTCAAGAAAAAATTAAATAAACCCGTATCAAAGAAATGAGTAGCAAAAGCTTCCAATTGAGAACCGACAAGTAAATTAATGTTATCTGAACCACAATGCAAACGTTTCCTATTGAAGAACACTATAATTGAATAAATAAATAAATAGACACCATAAACATAATTTATGGGTTTTATGTGTAAAAAAAAAAAGGTAAAAGAGGTGTTTTCAAACTTTACAAGTATAATAGCTTACCGTGAACTTGGTACTCAGAGAAGAACAGACAAACTCTAATCGTGAATTGGAATATGAAAACATCGTTATATGTACATAATTACAACAACGACAAGTGAAATTATGGATGAAGAGGGTTCAGTGGAAAACCCTGGTGGAAAAGTTTTGCTCATTAGCGCAACTTCCGCGTGAAATTCATTCTCTCCTCCACTATGGAAAACATTATATGTTGGAATGAAAATGCACAGTGGATAATAAATGCAAATTTGTATAATGTTATGTAGATAAATGAAGAGATATTTCTTGGGCATAAGAAAATATATTTATCCTGATTAGTGGTTAAGACAATAGTTGTATATTTTATAACGATATTGGTAATGGAACTTTAACACTGGATAGAAATCTTTCATGGTCGAAAGTTGTGTTGATAAATCATATCGAAGTTGGAGAGGAAAAAAATATATATATGCAACAATAATCAGACGTGATATGCATAATGCGACAAATGAAAAATATCTACGTTTTGTGGTCTTCTTACAGTGAAACCAAGAGTCAAATCTATTTGTATATGTAACCAATAGTTTTGGAATTTTTCCGTTGAACTATGTGTAAATGTTTATACAAAATGTGTGTGACAAATGTGAAATGAAGTCAAACTATTCCCCGAAAAGTATAATTATATATCATTAGAATATTCGTGAAAAATGTTGTACAATTGCATGGATTAACACCCAATGTTTGTTAGTGAATTTAATAATATTGAAAATCTATATCTGTTACAATGATTGCTATACAGTAAGACATTGCGTGACTGCGGACTGTAGAGCGTGGAAGACGGAAAGTCGTGATGACGAGAGTGGATGATTAATAAAATTGATATGAACAAATAATGTGAAAATTACATTCACCTGTTGATGATTGGTCGCCGCCACCTGGGAATCCAGCGCGTACTCCCCTAGAGGCTGGGCCCCACCCCCGAAATACCTCGTGAAGCTCTGTTGCAGGCCCGGCGCTGTGACGGTGAATGCATTCCTGTTGGCGTCCGTGAAGAGCTGGAATTGCGCCGCGGCGAGTGAGCAGACAAGGCAAAGTCCCAGAATTACTGCGTGGATGATGGATTGTGGAGACATTTTCATGAATATAAATCTATAAATGCTAAACAGAGAACAATTGTCACTTTATGATGAATTATAGCATGGCCATTTGTTCTTTTCTGGAAAAAAAACACGATTAAATAAATTGTGCTCTTGTCCAACATATTCAGTCAATTTGTAATGTTTATACTGTGTATTGTAAATTTTTATAATATATTTTTCCACCATTTCGACACTTCACTGAAATTACAGGCAAACAAACAAATAAAAAATATCTCTATCATCATCACAAAGTTCACAAATTGAATTTGCCCTATTTATTATCACACTCTTTCTCCGCAAAATTGCGGTTTCGTTTGCTCGCCACCACCCAATTTGCCATCACCATTTTACGCTGAAAAGTGTACCTGTGCAGAAGACAGTGTATTACTTCCTTAGCTCAACAACACTGATGATCCCAATGAATTGCGCTTTCCAATATATAAAGTGCCGAAATATTATGAAAACCCCCCACTTTGTACGTCACCATTGTCTCTGGATTTGTCGGTTTTCTACAATTCATATCAAGCCATGAATAATAATATTATGTACATGCATAACGAGCAACAATAATAAGTTAAGGAGGATGGCTAGTGAAAAGGGATACTCAGCATGAATGCGGGAAAACTTTTTCTTCAGACCCTCCTTGCCGCCCCAAATTTACAGCTTCATAAAAAATATGATTATTGATTATCACAGAAGGTCTGCACTCAGAGTAAATATGTGGTAGACATAATGTGAACGCGGGAGAAGAGACTTAACAATAGCACTCCACATTGTTGGGCGTTTCATGGGGAATTCAATAGATATAAATTTGAATTTTTCAGGATTCTTCTGATTTATTACGGCCAAAAGTTTTTCTGCACAGCATTAAGTAATTAAAAAAGTATGAGAAGTCTCTCATTATTCCTAATTTTTACCGACATTTCTCATTTTTATGACCGAGTCTTATGCCATGAATAATATTGTAACATATTTGCTAAGGAAAATCACACCCTTTGATTTAAGTTGGACGATATTTGCCACCTTAATTCACTATTGTATGTGAGCTTTTTATCTTGTTGCTAAATTTAATTTCATCGCATGAAAAACTAGAAATTGTCGGTTCATGTTCAGCTCTATGAATCAAAAAATTCGTATTTCTATAGTAATATTGGAAAATATTGAGTCTCGCATTCAGACCACGTCCTAAAAAATCGATTTCACATATTTAACATAATTAACTTGACATGCTCAAATAATGTAAAGATTAAAGTGTGAGAAATTCGTTAATCCTAGATGTTGTCAAGAACGAGTGCACGTGTTTCTTTTTTTCTGAATCAATATTCTTTTGGCGACAAATGTACCAGAGCACGTTCAGTGACTATTTATTTCAATTCGATATCAAAGATTAATGTCTAGAGCCGAACGAGAACACTTAAGTATTGTCAGTGGAAGTTGCAAGTGGAATAAGAATTGAGGCTCGTGTATTGCCGAGATTTTCGTCACATAACAGACCACAATTCCAAGAATAGGCGCACATCTCTTGATACGATTCTGTCGAAATAAATCATGTATTGATATCATAAATTTCACACTCAAAATTCACATTACGCAATATCAATTAAAATTCATCGATAAATTCGGTCTGCTTTATCTTTTCATTTCCATGACAGGACATTGTCTATTTCCGATACAGCACGTTTCCATACGAATTTCGTGTATTCCAAGTTTGGCCAAAAGAAAGCCATTAAGAAAACTCTCGCGTATGTGGAGAAAGTATAACCTCAGAGTCGTGATTTTATTTCTCGATACAAATGCATATCATTAAGAATGAGAATCACGTAGAGTTATGCATTTGTGCACAATATCGACTTCTGATTGAACTATATTCAATAACATTACTTCATTAAGATGACTTCACGACGGAGAAGTGATGGAGAAATGTGAAAGCTTCCATGAAAGTTTAACCGAATGCTCGGTTTGAATCGCATTTCCACTTTCCAACGTCGACTGAACTGCGCAGTAACGCCCGAATGTTGGCACAATATGCGGGATAAACGTAGAATGCGATATTCAGTACGTCAAGCAATGACATATCAAAAACACAATTTTTCTTTGAGGTTGAACTTGCAAAAATATTCTTGTGTTTTTTCTCATATATCACAAATTTCGCAACTACAGAAATAGGATAACGTTTTATTTATACTTCTTGCCTGTTTCGTTAGTGTGTTTTTTTTCATGTACATTACTTCCAGAACGTTATAACGCACATTCTTAGCCGAGAAGAAAATTTATTATTAAAATAGAACTTAGAGGTTAGTCTTCGACAGTAGGAAATTTTTCCATTGATTTGCGGAAATTTTTCAAGTCTCTCCGCATTTGTGCCTAAATCGTTCAATTTACTCTCCGTTTTATGTGTTTCTAGATAGAGTTTTTTTTTGAAGCTGACATTAAAAACAAACGTTTTTTGCAATAGTATATTGAGAGAGAGAAAGAGAGAATGGAATCGTCACATAATGAGCCGATGTCAACACAGAAATACTATAGAAAAGCTGCTCATAGGTAAGAAAATAATCTTTCCAATAATTTATGCTTAATCCTTGATATTACCATACAAAATTGGGTGGATACTAAAAATTTGTCGCAAGTGCGAGAGAGTTTAGCCTTGACCTCGAAACGTCACGACACGAGAAAAATCTCAATGCGATTTCATTCAATCAAAACATGTTTTTCATGTGAGATGCACGAAGACCTCTATATTCTTGTGTGTGCCTTTTTACCCCACGGAAAAATGCCGCGGAAAAATTCCTCAGAGATACATAATGAGGGAATGTGCAAACATCCAGTGCCCCAGCACTGATAACCTTCAGAATGGGGGCCCCAGCAGAAGCTCTGCAGGATGTGAGAAAGCAAAGGCTTGAGCGGATTGTTTACTGCTTCTCCACATACTCTACATTTTACATTTGCAAAGTGTGCTAAATCTGAAGATTACGAAGTAGAAATTTATATGACCATTATAATAATGAATATTAGAGTTAGCAGAGTGCTCGCAATGTTCATAAGCTGTACAAATGTACATATTGAATAACTTGAAAAGAAAATCTTCAGCTCACAAAATTGGAATTATCCTCATAAAGCAATTTAAAAAAATTATATTATAACCCTAAGGCAGAATAAAACACGCCCTATTCTCGTGAGAGCCTAGATCTGGGGTGACATCTTGTGTGTTAACATGGCAACCGTAAAATCGGGGGTTTGGATTGTTCGCGCCAGATTTTTCTGCAGTATCCAAAACGATTTTACACCAAATTACGTTTTAGTCCTGCAATAGCCTTTCTGTGATTGATACAAAATACACGTATTTGAATGAATTCTACATTTTATACATTTTTTAATCTATTAAAAACACATGAAGTGACTAAAATACCAAGTGCCAAGCCAATTGCTTCTATCTCTAAGCATTAATGGCAGGCAATAACACTTAACTCAGCATTGTTGACATGATAACGTAATCAATGAGATAACGCAATCCAACAGTGTCTGATGCAAAATAAGAAGATATTGTAAGATCATCGATAGTCCATTGGTAGAAATTCAATCCGGAGGCAATAAAATAGTTTAGTTCTGTGCGGACCTTGTAGGAAAACACATCGTAGACTCGTGTAGTTTTTTTTTCTGTACCCAATCTGAGAGTGACACGTTTTCATTGACTGAGATAAGAGATGCCGGAAATATCACAGGACGCCTTCGAGACGCTGTACCCTGTGCACGACTGGAGACGCTTATCGGCCAAGAGTCCACATAATTGGGACACTTCCCAGAATGTTGGATACAAGCGAAAGCACAATCGAAGGTAGTTGAATGGAACAATCATCCCATGCGTTTATCGCTCCCCGCATTTCTCAAAACCAATTTGACTCGTTCGCGAGCGCCTCGCTTAGAGCACATTCTTGTGCGAGTGTTGTGTGTGCACTGGTCTTGCGAGAAAAATTACATAGAGTGAAAATATATTCACGATTGCCCCTCTCCTTATTTTAGAAGGCTCCCACTTGGGGATTTGGTGTGTTGGTGACGGTCAAAGACAATTTTTAATAATAGTTTTCATAGCTCTAAGGCACACTCAACATTTCCACCTCCTCTCCAAGTCGCCACGGCATTTTTCCTCGCGCTCTCGCCACAAAGATTGCCCTCAAATATATCTTCTCTTTTTCCATGCCTTTCTGCAGCGCGATCAATTAGTGAAAGTATTTTTTAACAAGTTGTTTTCCAAAAACACTCTCCAATTCGTTGTGACAAATAGTGGTGAAAACAGTAGCACATTTGCCCCCATCTTAGACTTGCTTTTTGGAATTACTTTACAGCTCAACTTTAGTGGCCAATTAAGTGTGTCGCGCTGTGTAACAAAGGTGTTCAAAATGCCATGCAGTTCTTCCTATCAGTTTCACATAGTTTTGCCCATGTGTTGAGGTGTTTTCGTTACTGAATGATTCACTTGGATGCATTTGGACCACTGCTGTTTTGTAGAGCATTTTCACGTAGAAAACAACTTTATTAGTTCACAATATTGGTTGTTATAGACCTGAGACATTAGCAGTCAAATAGCCAAGATGAGGGAAGATGAATTATATCATTTTGATTATTTGAACAGTGGTGATGGTATTTGTGAAAGATTCAGTGAAGATTTCCTCTATAATTCACATACCAGTTGTGAAATGATCTCTGACAAGTGAGTTTCTTATCATGTAATTCTAATTTTTTCCTCTCTTCACAACACAAATTATCATTTTTCGGATTCTGCTTCAATGAACATGCCAGCTTATTTCATTATACTTACAATGAGCTGCTAACTTGTCCAGCTTGCGTTAAACAAATCGCGTAGCTCTTTAAATATTCAACAGTGAACTTGAAAATTAAATGTATTTCAGCCTATATTTGTGTGAAAATCTATGGCAAAATACTTGAATGTCAACATAAAATCACACGATGAGTAACACCAAAAATCTATTTATATTAGATATTTATTATATGTATAAAAGTCATCAGGATGATCACTCGCGAGTGTAGATTTGTTGATACATTTGACCAAAGTGTGTGCGATGCGAGGGCATTGAGAAGTGTTGCTAAATAACTTCCTAAACATTGGACACTGCTCAAGAATTAAGATTGTGTTTTCACACTCAAAAGGGCATCGTCATCGGCATAAATTGCCTATTTCATCTGTCTTTCACTAGTTAATTAAGCAAGAAGCTTTAGACATACATTTTATCAAAGCCGTTAATTACCTGAGATGGGAACATTTTTTTACATATTATCTTTTTTGGCATTTCTTAATGTTTGTAATATGAAATTAGTCATAAATATAATATCTATTAAAGCGATTAAAATTTGCAAAAAAAACCCAACAGTAGGTACATATTTCGTCTTATGAAAATCAATGCACATTGTTTACATTTCTATATGAAGTTTTCCATTCTCAAGATCATTTTTAACCATGTAAAGGCCCAACACTGTCTCTGACAACATAGAGCTTGAGCGTCGGTTTCGCGGTATTTCTGATTTGCATGTTTCGATTATTTTTACCCAAATGTTCACGTGAAAAGAGGTGCAACAAAGCAATTTATTTGTGCACTGTGACGCTTGTGACCTTCTCAATTGAACTTCATGCGAAAATCTCTGGCGTTTCGATGTTTTATTTTCCGGGATGACAAGAGTGCTCCTCCTCTCTTGATAAATGCCACAAAGATAGGATTTATTGACCCCAAAAGCACCGAAAACATATCTGAAATTGCTGCGATGTGCCTCACTGGAGACACTGAGAGTGAAATGCTCTCATTAATTTGTTTATTGTATTGATAAGGCGGCCATTACGCATCCATCGCAAATAATGTGTCCAAATATATGTATTTTACTGGGTCATTTAATAGTAAATGCGTCCAGAGTTTATGGTTTGCAATGTCAGAGAATCTTTACAGCGCACTTGTGTTCTTTTTCGCTAATCTCTCGTGACTCAATAACTCTAAATACAATCCATCCAATGTTGCACTGCGATTGATTAACGAATTTAATAAATATAATATAATTAAAAACATGTCACAAATTCTGGGTTTTTAGAAATTTTTCCCCTCATTCATAATTCATAACAAACTCTACAGCTTTGATTGAGTTGACATTCTTTCCATTTTCTCTGCTATTCTTGCTTCATATCTTGTTTTGGCGGAAATTTTTACACAAATTAAAATTGCAAGCCTTTCTATTATTTATTTACAACGCAAAATTCCCACTGGTTTGTTTAGGAAGAATGCAGAGAAAAAAATATATACCAATTTGCTAAAAATTTTTCATTTTCGGTTGACAAGAGAATTCGGTTCGGTTTATGTACTGATATTTGGTATCTCCAGTGCTGTATTATATGTAATGTTTAAACTGGTCTTAATACAATTCAGACGAAATCTCATTGATGCCGCCAAATAGACGACTTCCGCCCAGTGTTTGCTTCCATACAAAATCACAAATATTGTACCCTTTCTTAAGCAATTACTATTTTGTATACAGAAAATTTGCCCACACAGCATATCGAAAAAAAGCGAATCAACAAAAAGCACACTCAATGAAACTTACATTCTCCTTGATTGTCTTTCCAGAATATTCGTCAACCGATCGCTCCACTTGGAGAATATCAAGTTCTATGGCTTCGACATGGACTACACGCTGGCGGAGTACAAATCGCCACAGTACGAGCAGCTGGGCTTTGATCTCGTGAAGGAGCGCTTAGTCAATATGGGATATCCCGACGAAATCCAGCAATTTGAGTACGATCCGTCGTTTCCTATTAGAGGACTCTGGTTCGATACGCTCTACGGAAATTTGCTCAAAGTTGACGCTTATGGAAATATTTTAGTCTGCGTGCACGGCTTCGAATTTCTCAAGCAGTAAGTAAATCTCTTTCTCACTCTACAAATTGTTAAAAATAGAACAAGTCAAGGAGCAAAATAATCTCTGTGAGGCAGAAGCTGAAATCGATATCTGAAATGTAATTTCAGAAAAACCTGTTTTACATACAAGGTTTTTTAGAATAACAGACAATTGCAAAATAAATAATGGAATCATTAGTTGTAGAACCACATTAAAAAGTGTTTCAGGAATAGAAGTTTTACATTTGAAAAAAAATCAAACCCAGAACCAAGAATTTTTCATGAAATGCAACAATTCTTAGAGAAAAGAAAACTTTTCACGCTAATTTTGTAACGAATTGAGTGTTGACACAAACATAATTTAATTATGAGACCATTGTTAGTAATCTTATAACCATTATTCTACACAAATTGAACTGTAAAATATTTTGAAATTTTTCATAATAATAAAAATAAATGAGAAATTGACAAATTCTCATCAGATTTCCACTGATTTTCTATTGCCATTTTCTCTTTTCAGTTCCCAAGTCTATGATTTCTATCCAAACAAATTCCTCAAGTTGGATGAATCTCGCGTGTACGTGCTGAACACACTCTTCAATTTGCCTGAAACATACTTGCTGGCCTGTCTCGTGGACTTCTTCACCAACTCGAAGGAGTACACGCGCGAGAAGAACGGAGTACGCTGCGGACAGCTCTTTATGTCCTTCAAATCCATCTTCCAGGACGTTAGAGGCGCCGTGGATTGGGTTCACATTCAGGGAGACCTCAAATCTCGCACCATTGAGGTATAAAATTCGCAGCTTCAATGTGTAGAAAATGCTCTAGCATGTGATTTATGTTGCAGAACTTGGAATACTATGTGAAGAAAGACCCGCGTTTGCCGATGGTCTTGTCGAGAATCCGCGAGAGTGGATCGAAAGTGTTCCTGCTGACGAACAGCGACTTCAAATTCACGGACAACATCATGACATACCTCTTCGACTTCCCGCATGGCGCGAAGATGGACGAGGCACACCGGAATTGGAGAACTTACTTCGACCTGATTGTCGTGGATGCCGGAAAGCCGTTGTTCTTCGGCGAGGGAACCATCCTGAGGCAGGTGGACACGAGCACAGGCGCTCTGCGGGTGGGCAAGCACATGGGGCCTCTGCAAATCGAGCACGTCTACTCTGGCGGCTCGTGCGATGTGTTCACGTCGCTGATGGGCGCCAAAGGCAAGGACGTTCTATACATTGGCGATCACATCTTTGGCGACATCCTCAAGAGCAAGAAGATTCGCGGCTGGAGAACCTTTCTGATAGTGCCGGAATTGGTGCAGGAACTGCACGTGTGGACTGACAAGTGCCAGCTCTTTGCCGAACTGCAGCAATTGGACATCATGCTGGGCGATATGTACAAAAACATGGACTCGAGTGCGAAGGAGAAGCCAGACATATCGAAGGTCAGGGCGTCGATTCGTGATGTGACGCACAAGATGGACTTGGCGTATGGCATGATGGGCTCGCTGTTCAGGTCTGGCTCCAGGCAAACGTTCTTCTCTAGTCAAGTCGTCAGATACGCCGATCTGTACGCCGCCAGCTTCCTCAATCTCATCTACTATCCGTTCTCGTACATGTTTCGGGCGCCGGCGATGCTCTTGCCGCACGAATCGACTGTGGCGCACGAGCAGCGATTCATCATGGACAAGCCAATGATATCTAGAACGAGGTCGAAGATCGAAATGATCGGCACGTTTGATGGGGAAGCTCCGGACGCCCTCAATCAACTCGATACGAATGCAGATTTGAAGGTAGGACAATTGACGATTTCCTTGCCAAAGGCTTCAAATGATACCATTCACTCTTCTAGCTCTCTGGCCTTAACGACGAGGCGACGGTTCCGCACACCAGGCCAGAGACACCCAGATCGGTGACCCACAATCACGATGAGGACTTCACTGACGAGGAGAGCGACAGCAATAAAGGGCAATAGAGCACTATTTATCTTAGGATTGTTAACATTGTATAGGAATTGCTTCCAAACACATTATTAAATGCTCCAAATTACGTAAGTAAAGATATATAGATTCACTAAATTTGAAACGCTTTGTACAAAATGAGAGAAATAGACGGAATTTTTGTGTTAGTTGAAATTCCTTCAGTTTTTCATGCAAGATGTTGTACAAGTTTAGCGGATGAATAAAATTTATCAGGGATTCAGAGTTCTTGAACTTGAGTGGCAATCGCCACGCGAAACACAGCACAAAGGGTCACACGACGCATTGTAATCGTTTCATTTTTTTTTTTTTATTGTTCCAATGAAGAATGAGTATTTTACTTGCAACGGAGCTTGTTGTAGTGCGATTCGTCGAAGGTGAAGACAGAATTGGATGATGTGACCAATTTGGCTGCATTGTCGCTGAAAATCACATTCTTAAATCCAGGCTCAAATTCACCAAACATCTCAAACACATCGTCCTGCTTGGCATTCTTGCCGAAGATTTCCGCACTGGACGTTAGGCTGTGCACAATTCCGTCCAAATTATTCGACCCGAGTCCACTTCGAACGAAAACCTGCGAAAATAAAACGTATTAAATGTGCATTAAAGCAACAAAACAAAATAACTCACCGCAGTTGGGAGAGTAGCTTCGAAATTGCAACTGTTGAAGTCCTTAAGAGATTTTCGCGACAAATCCTGACAAACCAGCTCTTGATTTCCATTGTCCTGCAAATCCTTGGCATTCACAATGCTAACAACTCCATTATCCGCACTAACGATATCCAGCGGACACGCTTTCTGTCCTCTCTTCTCGTTGAACAGCAAAGCAGCGTTCACAGCTCGCGGATCGTCCGTGCTGAATTTCAGGCTTGCCTTCTTCAAGAAGTCAGTCTTGATTTCCTTGTTAATGACAGCAACCATCACGTCGTCCTGCTTAAAGGATTCATACAAGACAGACACCAAATTGTGCTTCCTGGCCAATTCATAATTGTCTGCCTGCAAAACCACGACATCGGCTTCATCCTTCTGAATTGCAATCACGCATTCCTCAACAGTCTTAAGAACGCACACAAACTCGGGTCGAATGTATCGTGAAAAGGCGGCTTTAGACATGGCCTCACACTTCTTGAGAGCGATGGTGTCAGAGACGCAAAATCTAAGAAAGAAGAGATAAAATAGAGTATAGAAAGAAGATTATTGTAGGAAAGTTTGTAGAAATAACTCGCTATCTTTACTAAAAATCGTTATTTTCCAAAAACATTAAACTCACCTGACTTTCTGTTCGTATGGTCCGAGCCTTTCAATGACATCCTTGTACTGCGCCCTCGTTAAGTGCTCTCCGGGCAGAACAGGGCGATCCTTGCTCACCAGCACGGTGTTTTCCTGTATCAAGAGTCTCTTGGCGAGTTCCTTGTTCGAATATGACTTCCCGCTCTCAAACATGTCTTTGAGTTCAGCCTGCAATTTCTCATATCGGCCACGCAGATCTCCGTTGCCCATGTATCCTTGCCAGGGTCGCTGTGCCCATGAACACGCGCGTCCAGTCACAGGGCGGCGGCTTCCGTCCTCGCAGAGATACTCGTAGTCATCAGGACTAGCGCTTCCCGTCGGCGGCGCCGCAGGATTGTTGCCCACGGGAAGGCCAAAGTATTTGTTGACGAAGATGACCTTCGTGAATGCAACATCGCCGCCGTTCTCCACGAGACACCTGATGGCTCCATCGTATCCCGAAAACTTGTCTGGATAGTTACACTTGACGGGATCTTCGCAGAGAGCACAGAGGTTGGCGTACTTCTTCTTCAGCGACCTGTTGATCTCCTCGTCTGGCGAGTAATCGCCCACGAGGCAGGATTGTGTGAAGAGATTCGACAGGCCTTTGAGTTCCCTCTCCACGGCCGGAAGAGTTGGATCGCTGTCCAGCTTGAAGATGCCGTGCTTGCGCAGTTTCGTGATGGGAACTTTGTAGCCAACAGTCCTTCCGTAGCCCGTGTGGCAGGACTTTTTGCCCTGCAGATCCTCCAAAGAGCTTATCGGTGAACCCTTGCGCACGAGAATGATGCCTTCGTATCGGAACTCGGCCGTCGGCTCCTCCAGCGTTCGCACCTCGGCGAACACGGCAAAGTCCTGATTGCTCATCTTGTACGCCAAGTACATGTCCTCCGGATCGACTGCCATGAAGTCCGCCTGGCGCTTGTTCACCAAATTGAGGCAATCGATGCGATCTCGGCCAGCAACGCACTCGATCGTGGCCTCGTGATCGGGTTTGGTCTTCATGAGGTCCTGGCAGACATTGTGCAGCTTGTGCGGAATGCACAATTTATCTAGACGGAAATAGAGCATTAAGACCACTTTAGAATAACCAGAAAATACTCACTTCGACTCTTAACGACACTCAAGGTTCATTGCGAGAACACAAGAAGTCTCAAGAGCCGATGGAGAATAAATAGAATCACTGAGATTTTTCTCTTTGCCGCACTTTGATCAGTCTAATCTGCATTCCTTAGCGTAATTACCAAAAATGTTTCATTATCACAGTGACTTACAAGATTCCGCCAGAACACTCGGCGCTGCGCTGAAGATCGCGCCTAGAGCACAAATGCACAGAACATGTCTCAATGTTTCGGCGAACATCTTTATAGTGAAACTGTGTGCTTGTCGATCGCCGGCAAGCAGTATTTATACACTCGCGGAATCTCAAACAAGTTACCGTGGCGATTTGTGGCCACGAGCAGAAGCTGCGGGGAGAACAGCCGACAGACAGAGAGAGAGATCCAGCAAATCCACCCACAGACTGCATCTTTTCCACTTCGTGTTTGGATTTCTCATTTGCACGCGCTCGAAAGCGCGACAGAAAAGGCACAGAGCCACCCTGTGATTATAGTCCAGTCTTATCTTAATTAATATTCCGCTGAGATGTAGCGAACAGTTTCGGTTGACCCCTGCAAGTATAAACACAACGCTAGGGGATTTCCCTGGAACTGGAGGCAATTAATGTTGAATTTTTATCAAAATTTCACTGATATTTTCAAAGTCTGGCGAGAAATGGTCTGTAGAAAAACCTCAGAGCAATAATATTTTCAATAGCTAATGTGCAAGCTCCATTTGTTGCAAATATAATTCTGTTGAATTCGATGATAATGATTTATTGGTGGCTACTTTATTGCAATGAGTTCATAAACGCATGCACAGAATATAAAAGAAGAGAATAAAGCGTGATAACAAAATTTAATAAAAGTTTGATTATTCAAATGAAGAACAAAAAACCTAAGTTTGATACATGATACTTGAGTTATTTTCAGATTAGGCGGCTCTGGAGGAGAGGATCTGGGTTAAATCTTGCTTAATAGATAACCTTAATGAAAAATCAACTTTACTCTTTACATATGCATAATTTTCCGCATTTTCCCGTGTATAAATTTTTTGATCTGAAAAATGATCTAACGTTTCGAATCCATAAAGAAAATAAACCGTTTCGAAAACTCACTCAAACGGTTACATCAACTTTATAAGTGACTTATTCAGACTGGAAAAATTGGGGAACATCGTGAAAGTGGTGATTTCTCAAGGATTTCCTGAGTTTTCCTCTTCGGCGCTCCGTTATGGCGATTCAAATGCATGGCGGGAAGGGCTTCGTCCAGCCGCGTGCGGTTTTGGAGACTTTCGTCCAGTGGCGCGCTGGTGTGCGTGGCGCGACGCATTAGTGTGAGTGTGCAGGAATATTTGGGCTGTTCGTGTTGATTTGAGCACTCGACAAGGTGATACCTTTGCTAAACACGCAATAAGTGATCCCCGCGGAATTGTTTGTTGATCTGTGGCTTCCTGGTGCTGGCTGGTCGGCAGATATCCACGCGAGAGCGCAGCTTGAGCAAGTGTCCGGCGATTGGGCTCTGTGGTGCTGGAATCCCTCTTCCATTGTCTCGCCAATTCCCCGTCTTGCGTCTCTGTCTCTCTAACGCCACACGAGCGGAGGCATTCCTTGGCACTCGCCGACAGCGACACACACACTCACAGGGGCGCTTCGTGCGTAAATTGCGTCTTGACTCGGGGAATCTTCCGGATGGAGAAGGCGGCGTGCGTGAGCGAGCGGCAGATGGAGGTGGAGGTGCTGCACGCGGCCGACGGCTCGGCTGAGGAGGGCGCTATGGCGGTGAAGGAGGCGCTGATGAAGAAGCCCGCCGTGGATGGGGAGCGGCTGAAGCGCAAGGCGAAGCGCCTGGTGAAGCATAACAGCGGCGAGCGCGTGCCCGCCAACACCATGGACTTCGTGGTGCCGCACCGCCGGTGGAAGAACAGCCGGCGCTCGCGCAACGGCCACGGGCGCGGGCTGCCGAAGAAGGGCGGCGCCGGCGGCAAGGGCGTGTGGGGCCTTCCCGGCTCTGAGATCCTCGAGGAGGACTTCGAGGACCACAACGACCCGAACTACGATAGCGACGACAAGAACATCGAGCTGAAGGAGGTGATCCCGGACATCACGCCGGAGGAGTACTTCAAGCGCGTGGAGCCCATCTTCCTGGAGTACTACGAGCACGGCGACACGCTGGAGGTGGCGCAGAGCATCTACGAGGAGACCACGGACCCGCTGCGGCCGATGGTCACGTCGATCGCCATCGAGATCGCCATGGACCACAAGCAGTCGCACCGCGAGATGACCTCTGTCCTCATATCCGACCTGTACGGGCGCGTGGTGACCGGGCGCGACATCTCGCGCGGCTTCGACATGGTGCTGAAGAACTTGCCCGACCTCATCCTAGACACGCCGGAGGCGCCCACGATCCTGGGCAACTTCATCGCGCGCGCCGTGGCGGACGACTGCATCCCGCCACGCTACGTCACCAATCCCGAGGTGGAGGAGCTCAACGAGCACGCCATCGTGGCGCTGAAGCGCGCTGACACGCTGCTGAGCATGAAGAAGGGCCTCGCGCACCTGGACAACGTGTGGGGCCTCGGCGGGCCGCTGCGCCCCGTGAAGATCATCACAAAGCAGATGACGTTGCTGCTGCAGGAGTACCTCTCCTCGCGGGACATCAAGGAGGCCCACCGCTGCCTGCTGACGCTCGAGGTGCCGCACTTCCACCACGAGCTCGTCTACGAGGTGAGTTGTGTTCCTGCCCACTGAAAGCCCACGCATCTCATGCCTTTTCACCTTCCAGGCGGCCGTCATGGCGCTCGAGTCCATCAACCAGTCGACGGAGGAGGCGCTGTGCGCTCTGCTGAAGAGCCTGGACGCCGCGTGCATCGTCTCGCCGCTGATGATGGAGCAGGGATTCCAGCGCGTGTTCGACGACATGACAGACATTGTCCTCGATGTGCCATTGGCGTACATTATGCTCGACCGCTTCGTCGAGCGGTGCAGCCGCGCCGGTTTCTTGTCTGATAAGACTATCAGGAACATGCCGTCCAGGTAAGATCAAACATTTGCCAGCGCGATAACATTCCCGGCCGCACAAAACTCCTTTCATGCGTGCGCTTCACTCCACTGGCCGCTGAGGAAATTGACGAGAAGAATCACGAAACGCGACTGACCTTGACAATATTGCCTTGACTCTCGGCAAACTTTATAATCGACTTCCTCACTTTCGCCACTCTCAATTAATAAGATAAAATATGGCACAGGAATTCTCGTTTTGAATCTACACTGTGCTTTTATCAGTCCTGCTGACCTCTGTCACAGTTTGTGGCTTTAGGAAGGTCAGAATGGGTGTTAACGTGAACTTCGCATGGATTCTCTAGTGTTTCTTTGCGCAAAATTTAAGGGATTGCGAGGATGACATATGATTATCAGTGCAAAATCGCTAAGTACGTTTCGTGTTCTTGTTTACATTCGATATGAATCTCAAGTTTCACTTTCTATGATGAGCTTCATAGATTTTTATTGCACTCTCGCAGAGAAACAACAGAATGAAGAAGTCATTTAAATGCTGATCTCAGCAAAATTCGTCTTTGTTGAATTCTGTGAAGCAGAGTTTAGAAAGAAATTAACTTTATTGCGTTTGCAAACAAACATCTTTTGAATTCCAATTAGAAGAATCGAAAATAAACTCTTTGATTTGCCTTTGAAGCTCTATAAAACCTATTTTAATCACAAATTCTTGTCGAAAACTGAAACAAACAAGGCAAATCAATAAGTTTACCCTCGAAAATTACAATTGGCAAATTGTTTAATTCTCCAATCCAATCGAATCCGAGAGAAAATCATGCCTGTGTGATAAATTCCTTAAAAATGCAGTGACTGGATAATCAAATTTAATCAAAAAAACCTCCACAAAGAATTGTCGAGAGTTTATAAGATGTAATTTGATTGAAAACGTCTTTCTTTCCCTGCGAAGTAAATCAAAGCAAAGCATTTCCTTATTCTCACCACTTTTTTCTTCGTCTTTTCATTACAGAGGACGCAAGCGTTTCGTGTCGGAAGGCGACGGAGGACAATTCAAGCCGCCGACGGCGTCGTTTGCTTGCGACAACTGAACGGCACAACTTTGACTCAGGGAGTGACGGAGAAGTGAAGACTTTTTCTGCTCTTGGGAAATGACGGCTAATCGCAAATGGATTAAGTACTTGCTACCTGAAAATGATGAAACACGTTTAAGAGTCACCCCAGTTAATTACAAGATACTATAAATGTGCTTTTCTTGCGGGAGAAAATAGAGAGGAAGAGCCTTTGAGTATCACACAGACATTTAATATGAATTTCCCATTCTATCTTTTTCCTATTATCGCATAGTTAAGTGAATTTATCCAATGTTTAGAGACAGAAAATTTCCTTTTGTCATATTTTTGAAGTTATCTTTTCATAAAAAAAAGAGAGAAATGAAATATTCAATGGCTTCTAATTCCAGTTAATGTGGTTTATCTTCTACATCTACTTAAATAGGATTTAATTTTGTTCTCCATATGCTTCAGAATAATAATTTTCTTTATGAATTAAGTAAACTTTTAAGAGAGAAAGAAAATTGTGAATGATTCAGACTTGCATTTCATTACAAACTGTAATAATTCACTATATTTTCCGTTGAAGTTGATAACATATTTTAAGAAATACTCCTGAATTTGATGGTTCACGGAACATCTCTTTGATATATATTTTATATAAATGAGTCACTCTCGGAAGTGTTAAATTCTTTTTTTGGAAATGATGAGAAATTGAAAAATTTGACGCAAACAATGAAGAAATAAGTCTATACAATTTCTAAAGGACAAGTGAAGAAATAAAGTGTTGAGTAGATAAAGATGGTATCGTTGATTTTATAGTGGGTGGCAAAGACGTAAAAAGTCGGTCGCGCAAGGTGACAAAAAACATTGATCACAATTGATGACGCGCGAGCGGATTTGCGTACAATCAAAGGGCTGCAAAGTAAGCAACACTGAGAGTTTCATTGACGTGAAATTTGCAGCTGCTGAAAAACGTTAATTGTGTGCGAAAATAACAGGAAATTTGTCGACTTTTTGCAGTTATCTCTGCAATCAGTCGAAAGCGGGCCAGCTCGGCAGTCGGCAGCCCCTTGGAAGCCACTGCGACAGTCCAGCGTGTCTGGATTATGCGCCAGTCGATTGGCGATCGCGCTGCCACGCACAATGGAAGTCGTTCCGTCCTCGCGATCCTCGTCCGGATCGTCGCAATCCTCGGCCAGTGAGTGCTCCAAGAGGAACTGCTACGTCTCGCTGAAGCACTACGACTGCCTCCTGGGCGAGCTGCGCTGCCCGGGCTGCGCGCGGCCCATGCACGCGCCCATCCTGCTCTGCCAGTCGGGGCACAGCGTGTGCCAAGAGTGCGTGCGCACGCAGAAGTGGTGCCCACTCTGCCGAGAGGACTTCACGGACATCCGCTCGCTCACACTGGAGGCGATCTCCGCCAAGGCGTACTTCAGCTGCAAGTACGCCAACCATGGCTGCTCCGTGCGCCTGCCCTTCGAGCTCATGAAGTGGCACAAGCCGCGTTGCCAATTCCAGGCTGGCAGCTGCTTCATGGGCAGCGTGTGGGGCGGCTGCGGCTGGAGCGGCCGCAAGATGGACTACATGCAGCACTGCGCGGACACCCACTCCGAGAGGTTCTTCCGCGGCGCCGATGCCGAGCTGTCGTGGTCGTGGCCACCGCGGAAGACGCCCAGCGCCAAGGACGTCATCGCGGTGTACATGTTCAGCGTCTTCGGCGAGGTGTTCGATCTCTATCAGGTGCACAATCGCACGGCCGCCATGTGCCTCTGGACGATGGTGTGCGAGTCGAAGGAGCGCAAGGCCAGCACGGGCTTCGCCTTCCAGATCGAGCTCTTCTGCCGCCAGGACCCGTCGCGGCTGCTCGTGCAGCGCCACTCGTGCCACAGCGAGCTGGACGAGGATCTCCTGGACGAGGCGCACTGCGTCTGCATCGCCAACGGAGATGTCATGCGCTTCATGGGAGACGATAAGGTAATCCCAGGCTGGCTCTCTCTGATTTCATCAATCGTTGAATCTTATCACTTTGCTACACATGTGATAAAGCGTAAAGAAGCCGGGAAATCCCAGCAGAGTGATGTGAATACGCAAAAAGATAGTGCGATTTTGACCCCCAAAAACGCAGAAGATAATTGAAACACTGAGGATTCTAAGCTAAAATACGAGTCTGAATATTTTCTTGCTTCCTAAAAAGCACTTAAACAGAACATTAGCAGTATGTGGGAAGAATAATTTAGTTTTAACCGATGCTGGCCTCATTGTGAGCTTCCAATTGGAGGTCCAATATGATTTTTTTGGTAATAGCTGATACAAACACTTTTTTAAGGTTTCAAATTCAGCCTTTACTCATTCGATTCTGACCTCATAAATCTGTAATTCTTCTTGTTGAGTAGAACTTGTGCTTCTCTTTCAGCTTTAGAGAGGCTTTATAGCACAAATTTAATGTAATGTAGATACTTAAACATGGGTATTTGCTTAATACAAGCAATTATAAACATTTAATGACAATGGAATCACAGCAAACAATTTACTTTTTGCTATCTTATCGCGTCTGTTCCATAAATTCACTATAAAAATCAATCAAGTGCGTTAAACCCAGAACAGTTCGTGCCATTTAAGTGGATATTTTTTGTCCATTGAGACTTTTATGACCCTTTCTGGCGCTCAGACAGGAATTAAAGGCAAGAAATGAGGCATTTTTCGTGTGAATTTTCCATGTTCCTCTTGTTTTTCCAGGAAATTCACTACAGAGTGAAAATTCTCGACATGCGAGAATGCTTGCCAATGCCAACATCGGCTGTTTGTCAGTCCTGTCCGCCCAAGATTCTCCAGAACGGCGAGCCAGAGCCCGTCGAGTGCACAAATCACAAGTGCGTGCCCATGTCCAACATCATCACGAGAAAGCAGACCAAGAAGATCACCACTCGCGAGGGAATTCAGGTGAGCGAGCTTCCGAGTTCTCCTTCTGCATTGCTTGATGTGCGAATTTATCTTTCAGAGTCTCGTTCAGAGCGCCGCGAAGACCTTCTCGAATGGATCCAATGGGAGTGTCTCGAGTCTGGGTCTGGACGCAACGGAAGAGACAATACTCACGCAACCCATGAAGATAAAGGTAGTGAACGGCGCTGCTCCGATTGACGTCAGCAATCGCGATTTGAAGGGGATCTTCAGCAGGGAATTCCAGACGTCTGTCATGTAATAAATCTGTGGCGGGTGTGTTTATTGTGAAAGATCTACAGCGTGTAATCTTCCGGATGGTAGAGCTCACTCAGAAGTCTGTAAACGTACGACGGTGCATTTCCTCCGCTGGAAGAAAGTGAATAAAGATTAAATCCTCGAAACTTTTGCTCTGTTTCGAAGCCACTCACAGATTCGAGATGAAGAGAGTGACAAATTCCGGGGGCACGTAGTCGAAGACGGGATTGTAGCATCGCACGGTGCGCGCATCGCGCATCTTGTAAGGAATCACGCCTTCCGTCGTGCCGACCATGTTGAAGGCGTCCATCTCGTAGCTGCACAGATGCACGGGCGAGAACTTGTACATCGGCACGAGCACGATGACCGGCACGGAGAACTGCTTGGCCGCCAGGGCGACGGTGTAGGAGCCGCAAGCCGCTCTCAGGCCGCCGTTGGCCAGAACGCTGTGCGTGCCGATGATCACCTTGTTCACGCGCGACATCATGGCAAAGATTGCAGAGTCTGGGATCACGGTTGTCTCGATCTTCGCCTTCGCCAGGCTCGCGGCCAAAGTGTGACCCTGAAATTGAATAGTTCTTCACCATTACTGAATTCAGGAATCACATCCAGGCGCTACTCACCCGACAAGACGGAGCACATTCGGCCACGACAACCTCGAAAACACGCCGCTTGGCCGCTCTCTTCAGGAAACTCTCGACACTCCGCGAGTGGCCGAGCGTGAGAATCAGCTCGGAGGAGTGAATGTGCTCAGCCGCCTGTTCGGCCAAGTTCTCCTTGGTCGTCTCCATCTCCGTCTCGATCTCCTGCAAGTGATTCAGCACGGAATTCCGCAAGCCCTCCTTCGGCTGCGTGTAATCCATCGCGGAGGCACTTTCACTGGTCTGCGTCACGAGCTTGTGCAGCGACAGAGAGGCCTGAGACTCGTCATTCCTCACCAGCTGCGCCGAGTCGAACTCCTCGCGGATGAGCTTCAGCACGCGCCGACACATGTTAGCCGAGACGTTCTCCTGTGGCAGCGCCTCCATCAGGATTCTGCCCTGATCCCGCACGATCTTCATCAGCTCATCGGCTGTCTTCCACTCGCTGGCAGCGATTATGTTCTTGAACACATTCACGCTCCTCGTCGTGATCTCATAGGAACTCTCGATCTTCCTGCAGGGCAACATTCAGGGCGACAATACATGAATATGAAAATTGTCTAGGAAAAACATGCAGCTCACCTCGTTATAATGTCGTAAATCATCTCCGCTACTTGCAGAAGTGGTAAAATCTGATTTCCAGTATCTGATTTCATCTTTGCGCACGCAATTTGGCCTAAAAACTCAGCAAAATTCCTCTAAAAACGCTAGAAAGACACCATGAAGATGATGAAACTTGACACGCAAACTGTGTTGTCAAAAAAGCTGAGTTGAAACATAACCTCAGAAATAGCAGCCTGAAGTTACAAACATTTTTGAATAACTTCCGTTGAAACACTCAGAAAAATAATGTGTTTACCTGGAAAACATAATAGCATTCTTTAGCTTGAAGAGGGCTTCTAGGAAAACAGAAATGGGAACGAAAGAAGCTGCACACATATGTAAAACATCTGAGACCAAGTCTAAAACAGTAAGAAAACTAAAAAATAATACAAAACTCATCACTTTCCGGAACGAATATAAATTGAGCCATAAATAAAAATACATTTACACTGTCACTGTAGTCTCCTCTTCGCTTCCGGATTCCCTCTTCATCCTTCTGGGTTTCTCATCAACCTCCTCGTTCTCACTCGTCGACGAAGAGTTCTCCTCTTCCGGGATCCACTTATTGGGCCCCCCTAAACCGAAATTGTCCACCTCCATCAGAACAGCACTCCCTGCAGCAATTGGTTGGATCTCAAAGGCGTCCTCCTCCATTTTCTCATCCTCTTCAGCTTCAGTTTTCACCTTTTTCCTTCGCTCTCCAACACCTCTCGTAGGCAGCTTTATAGGAAGACGCTCCTGATGTGATGATTTAATACCGCCCATCGTAAGGCACTTTACAAAACTCACTCGCTCGCCTTCCTGGCGCTTCTTGGAATCTTCCTCCAGGCAATTCTTAATCATTTCGATGTGATTCTTGGCATGCTTCACTCCGCGACTGGCCAAGTCGATAACAAATCCTGCCGAGAGGAGTGTCACTCCACCTAGATGGAGCCCACAGAGCTCCTGATAAGAGTTCAGTCCGAAAACAACCTTCGCTTGGGCGACACGTTCCTCTAGATCTGTCGGATCGGCACAAGATATCGTTCCATCCTGGAAGATCACATAGGAAACGCACACGGGGAAGTGATGCAGCACCAGCGGAATGGGATCCTTCTCCGCGTGACTGTGTATGGTGAACTCCGTGCCAGACCACGTAACGTCGGGTCTCCGGAAGTGAGCGAGAGCCGCCAGAACTGCCACAGAAGCGCAGTCAATTATGTTTCCATCGTGATTCAGCACGTTGACATCCACTCTCACACTCCAAACCTTCTCCTCTGCCACCAGGCATAGCGATTCGAGATCCACACATCGCGAATCCTTAAATGCACGCTCCAGGATTCGATTTATCTGAATGGTTTCATCTGAAGAACGTCCAGCTTCAAAGTGTGCAGCTGCCATTGGCCCAATGTCCACATTGATGTTCAGCAGTCCTTCCTGTGGACGCACTGCCTTCGGCTGGACAACCTCACAGGACACTTGGACAAGGACTCGAGTCTCGCCAAGCGCCACATGAGCGCTTCCCCACTCACTCCCGAAAAACAGTTTTAACGCCCGGAAATCATTCATGCGCCGCCCATCAATGCGCTGCAAAATACCACAATTTACCTTATGATTAAGCGAAAGGGTTCATAAACTTACCAAATTTTGACTGATGCACTTATTCACAAAGGATTTTTCCACGTTAGTCAAGATTTTCTCGCGCATTTTTCCTTCTTTTCCTATTTGTTTTGATTCCCTTCACCATGCGAAGCGAAATTAACCTAAAATGCACTATTACTACATCCACTCGTCGCATAGTGGCGCTGCGAATTAAACTGATATACGAATATATAACCGTCCATTGTTATACACGTTATACATATATATGAGAGATCATAATAACTTTTCCTTGATTTTCCTATTGAATTTCTAGTCTATAGCCAAAATAACATCTTCTTTTGATAAATCAAGTATTAGAAACGGGTGTTGATGACGTCAAAAGCTATGATAAATATTTTTTTAAAGAGAAATTTCTGAAAAAATGGTTTAGTGAAACTTGATGACCAGGCAACTCCATCGTTCTACCAGGCGGCTCCATTTTTCAACCAACTGAAACTGAGAGTTATCAAAATGATTCCTTGATGTAATAAAAATTTTTGGGAAATCACAAGAGTTAAAAATAGCAAAATGCTTGGAGGTTAGCAATAAAAATAACAATATTCTGAAATTCGATGCAAAGATTTGTTCAGAAGAAACGCACAAATAATAAATTACTAATTAATGAGCTTTATGCTCCTATTACCAAGTACAAATTAAAAATTGTCCATACAAATAACATAACAGCTGAAGATTAGGTATTCCCGAGTTCAACAATCATTAGGGAGAAACAGAGGCTGAAAAACACCTACAGTAAATTTTTGTATGAAATGAAATACGATTCTAGCATGGAATATTTTTAGAATTAAAATATCTCAAAAGCGTGAAAATATTTGCAACTTGGAAATCCACCCACAGAGCAGCAGTGCGCAAGTGAGATAGACCAAAATCTCTCCAAAGGCACAAGAAAAGGAGTTTTCACCTCATGAGAAAAAAAAATCGTGGATGAATTGGAACAGAAATAAATGCTCTCAACTCAGCACATTTTCCCGATGCTCCTTCAACGCCCCGAAGTGAAAGCGTGTGAGAGGAAATGACGACGAGGAGACGTGTGGGAGGATATTTCTCAATTGGAAAATACGTGCGACAAGGCATTTTCTTCTCGTACACCCAATTTTCTCACTCACTCACTGAAATCACCTCTCACATACTTGAGGGAAAATAGTTTTTCACGCCAAACACACTCAGATGGGCCAATACACGCAAGTGCAGACAGTCCTGTGAGATCGGCACGGTCTCACAATCTGTCTGATCGTGACTTCAGTCTACCCGCAGCAGCACAACTTCGACGCCGTCAGCTGCCGGACTTGATTTTTCCTTAATTTCTTAGAGTAAGTTTTCCACCAAGAAAAGATCTTCTAAGCCACCCACCATTGCTCTGGATATACTCAAATACTTGGAAAATAAGTAATTTTCACAAATTTGAGAGTGATTTGCGATAAAGAGCTTCAACACTTTCAAAAAATATATTTTCTTCCTACTTTTCCATGCGATCGAGTGTGATTTTCTCAACCCAGGATAAAGTGCCAAAGTAATTTGATAGTGCGTTTGTGGAGGATTACTTAAGAGAAAATGCTAATTATTTTCGCATGTCAAGGATTACAGTGTTAGAATATAGTGAAAGACCTTCGAGTGTTGCAGTTACGTAATTCATCCACAGATATCTAAAAAAAAAAAATTTCCGCAAGAGATCCTCATAAATAGCCAATGAATCTTCAACCACTCATCCACTGGAAGCCATAAAATACATCCACTGAAGCTCCGCATCAGCCCAAAAATAGTGACTTGATCACGATATTCGGTGATCATTCAGTGATCCTCAACCCATATTTCAGATCTAAAATATTCCTAGGATCTTGAGAGATGTAAAAGATCACGGAGTGAGAGACGAGCAATATGTATGTGGCAAAAGTAATCCAATACCCCGTCCGTGGTCGAGATCTATTTTTGACGCATTTCGCGATCGTACGCGCTCGTAGAGCTTTCAAGATCTCGCTCTCTCCCATTCGTGAAGATTTCTTCAGATATGTCTCCCATTTTGGCATGATGCCTCCAGAAATTGCCTCCCAAGAATCCCACGAATCCGCGATCGCGCTCTCCTCGCGATCGCTTCGCGGGCGCTTCGGCCATGATCTCGAGAATTTGTGGCAAGATTGCGCCAGGGAGGAACGCATGCGATGTGAAAAGTCTAAGTTTAGAACTATTCAAAATAACACAGTGAATACACATCGAGATGAAGGAAACTTTTTCTAATTTTGTATCAACGAAAATTCACACTCGATCACCTCTCTCAGTCTCGCCCAATGTTTGCATTTCGCTTCCCCAACCGAGGAATCCACAATGTGTTTGGCACACTGGCCATATATGTTAGGGGAGCCAGAGCGATCGTTTGAATCGTTTTTTGCCAGAAGCCCAGGCGCTAAACATTTTCCACTCACACACACATACACGCCGAAAGAACATTCCTATCCCACCCAATAATTCTCTTGGCGCATTTTTATTTCTACGTGGGATTATAAAATTCATTTCGCCAATTTTTGATTCGATAATTCTCGTTGAGACATCCTGAAACACATTCGACATTGTACTGTATTTGCATTGTCATGAATGTGCATAAAATTCAATTTGCATTTTTCGATTCGATTGCAAACATTGAATTTATAAGAAGTAAAAATAAATGGATATTGAATTAAAGCGTAATGAAGCGTAATTCAAGTAACAATTGAAGGTCCATTTCAAGGTTGTGAACTTAAGATAATTACGGAAGCTGAATACATATAAGTATTTCTGGGTCTCTGAAAAACAACCTCTATAATTACATAAAATTAGAATCAGAGAGCAAAATACTAATTTTACATTACATTCTTGCAGGTTTATAACCCAACAACTCTCTCAAAATGTCCGACGATGAGGAATACTCGTGAGTATACTTTTTCCATACTTTTCCCAATAGTTTTTCCTTCCGGACGGAAATGTTACCGAGAATGACAACAGAAATGAACTAAATTTTCTCAATGTTCTATGAAATTTCCCTTCAAGTGTTCATATTTCTCTAATCAAATGTTTTCATCCTTTTATTGTAATCAATAAAGTTAAGATATTCCTGAACATCCTAAATGTTATGATATGCAATTTCCTCCTTTTTTTATGTTTGAGAACAATGTTTCCTTGATATGTTTTGAATGACAAATGAAGGATTTTGCTCCCCGAAACCTTTTCCTTCTGTTATATACGAATAAGGTATTATATAAAGAGTGATTAAAGAATATATCATTCAGAGAGATTTTTTCGCACTTCTCGAATCAACGATGGGAATTTCTTCACAGAGAAAATTTAGGAGAAGAAGTAATTGAGATATGTTGATATGATGTATGATTTTCCACCCTCATTCTTGTCCTAATCCATCTCTCACCCCTTTTTTCGTAGTTCTGAAGAAGAGGAGGTCGTCGAGGAGACTCATGAGCAGTAAGTCCATCGATCAAGCTCTGTAGTCAAGAGAAAGCTTTTCCTAAAAGTTTAAGATCTTTAGAAATTCTGCCGCATAAGTGATTACAGTGGAGATCTTTCTAGATATTTGAAGCATTAGATTTAGCCTTCTTTTCAAATGTATAGGAAGTGTCTTTCACATCTTCATTGCGAAAAAGTAACGCAAGAGTCTCTTTGAAATGAATACATACCGTGAAAAGACACCGATTAACCTATTAGTGCCTTCTAATCTCTGAGTTATACCAAGGGTATTTTTTTTGTATCTTTTGTCAATCCCTATATTGCATTACAGTTTCATAGTGCTAACTAACACTTGACTTCTGCCAATAACACTTTTCTCGCTTCTAAATTTGCACCGTGAAAGGATAGAATCGGAAATATCTAATCCAAAATTAGGCAAATATTGAGTGAGAGGTGAAATAGGTGCAAAAATCTCTCTAACAACTTAGCTAATTGTCTTGTGGGACAACAGAATGTCCCGAAACACTTAAAATTGTAAAATATGATTACAATACAAAGTAGATATACTGTTTGCAATTAACTAAAGTAGAAATTTTTCTTTTTTTCTTTTTGCAGGAAGTAAGTAGTCAAACCCCCTCTTAATTGTAGTACAAAAATGCAAAAAAGCCCATGTAGAGTTTTTGGTAGTATATTTCAATAGATCATTCTTAATACATCGAATTCATTTTTTTACCCCGTTCATTCACAATAATTGCTCTTTTTTGTACAAATTTTTATTGCCATCCACTCGACTAGTTTCATAACTGACATTATGTTTTTAAAAAACCAAATAATATTTTTTGTCATTGTTTATTTTTTTGTGAATACAGAGAACTTTTTTATCACAAGAGATTGTTTACTGAGTTTATTCATTGGCTCACAAATTTATCGACATATTGGGCAAAATTTAAATTTATAACTAAATTATATTCGGAAATGTTCAAATCAAGCAATCTCTTAAGAACATTTTTTTGTTTTATCATCATAGTTTAGGCAACTCAAAATGTCTTGGCTTCTAAATATTTCTTAAGGTTTCGTTTTTTTTCTTAAGTTTCGTTTTGAAAAAGCTCTATTATGACACATATTCTTCTGCAATTAATACACAATCTTGGAATGAAGGTATACATGCGGTGCTCATGTTACTTTTATTGCGAGACTGTCGCTTCTTATTATAATATCGCTTTGTGAAAATGATCCCGCTTTAGCGCTTGATAGACGATCTCCCTTCAGAAAACGGCGAATTTTCAAATTGTCGTAACAAAAGAAAATCAACTCAAAATGTATGATAGTTTATCAAATTAAACAGCAAATAATAAACAAATTATGTACATATTTATGTGTGTGGTAAATAGAGGAAAGAATATTTTGTTAACACACTTATTTTACCTTTTTTGGTTCATTTTGCTGCAAAACAATCAAATCATCCGACGATCAAATTTTTGAAAACGAACGAATACCTCTTAAATTGATCAACACAAACACACGATGCCGGTGATCACAACTTTTTGTCGTGACAAAAATCCGATTAAAATGATAACAAAACGATAGGCCAGCTGCCAAGTCCGAGTAAGTTTACCTCATATCAACAGCCAAACAACTAAAACAAATTGTCTCTTCAGTGGAGAAATAAGCAACTATTTTTTACCTAATGGAAGAAGAGCTTTTTTCTAATTTTCTTCTTACATTCTTATTTTTGTTGATTCTGATTTTTTTTCTTTTTAAGAGCAAACACGCTTATGGCTTCTTGTATGGTGAAGGAATTACAATAAAAACACAACATTTAACTTATAAAATGGAGTTTAATGCAATGTGCATTTATCTGACATTTACTGGTGATAAGCAAAATAATATAAAAGAACAGACGTTTTTGAAATGCTAAGTGCATAAACTAAACTATAGAAACGGCGAAGGCGCAGCAATTCGCCAAGAATATGAGTATCGTAACAAAGATATGAAATTTTTAAGTTATAATAGAAATTATATAAATAAAAAATTTCTCTTCATGGAGAAATCACTTTAAAAATACGAAGGAATGCTACGCATAAAAGAAACAGCTTAAAATACTTATGACTGAATAAAAGTATGGTAAACAATTTAACTCCCTTATCAGCATGTTGGAGTAAAGATATTTCTTACAATGAAAATCTGCTTCCCTATACTTAATCGTATATTTTTCCTTACTTTTCTGTACTACTCTATATGCTTGTTTTATTCGAAACAACAAAAATAATACTTGAATACTGAATAAAAGCATTCACAGGATTAATTCATTTCTTTCAATCCTTTCAATTTCTTAAATACGCAAAAGGGGAGAGGCCGGAGATCCTGAATTCGTCAAGGTATACAATTCCACTCTATCCCAAGGCTAGAATAACCAATTGTCTTTCATTGCCTAAACAGCGTCAGGATCAGAAGCGCTCTGAGTTGGATGAACAGCTGAAGGAGTACATCAATGAGTGGCGCAAGCAGCGAGCAAAGGAGGAGGATGAGTTGAAGAAATTAAAGGAGAAACAAGCCAAGCGCAAGGCGAGTGGAAAATTTTTCTCACATGTAGTTTATTAGTGAAGTAATTGGCGGAAAATTTACAGGTAACTCGCGCTGAGGAGGAGCAAAGGATGGCTCAGCGCAAGAAGGAGGAGGAGGAGCGTCGCGTGCGTGAGATTGAGGAGAAGAAACAACGCGACATTGAGGAGAAGAGGCAGCGCCTGGAGGAGGCCGAGAAGAAGCGCCAGGCCATGGTGCAGGCCATGAAGGACAAGGACAAGAAGGGACCCAACTTCACCATCACCAAACGTGACACCAGCAGCGTAAGTATTTATTCTGTTTATCCATTTTCGCGGATCTCTTGAATAACACCAGTTACACGAAGAGGGTCAGCGTTGAAACCTTAAGTTTTCTCCCTCAATTAAAAGAAAGTCTCTTTTTTGCAAAAGCTCAAAAATAGTGACAAATACGCGAATAGGGTTGATATTTCAGAAATATTAAAGATTGGACAATTTAAATTAAAAGAGCAACAGCAAACATTTTGAAACGTCCACTAAAAACTTGGTGAAATGCCAGAGAATCAGAGAAACAGAATATATCATTTTTTGTAATCTGTTTTTACCATTTTTTAATGCAGAAAACCATCGGAGATGTAAGTATATGAAAAAGTTTGGCCAAGATGAGCTTTTGAGTAAATGTCGTGTAGGTAAAATTTTTGGTCTCATGTGTTTCCCCAAAGCTTTCTCTCAAAGTTTTCATTAAAATAAATAAAAAGAGAGCATTTAATTAAAAACCGTATAAGGCATCTCTAAAAGCCAACTTAAAGCATTACCTAAAGCTAGAAAAAGTGTCATTTGACTTTTCTTTTCTCGTCCGTCGTTTTCAGTGTTTTCAGACAATCCCAAATCTAAATTCCATTCTATGTTTAAAGAAAAAGTAAAAAAAAACATTTAAAGTATGAACAACTCAAAAAATCCTTACTGTTTAAAATAAAAATAATATCAAAGCTATTTCTCATCCGTAAAAATTTCCGTATTTGAATTTATTTCTATATAAAATAAAATCCATAAAACTACCTTTTTCCACTCTATTTCTCTTTCAATTGAATATGAATGACAAAAAAGGAATTTGAACTTAAATATGACATAGTTTAGCCTTCAATACAATAAAGGACCGTATGCAAGTAAATTGTTAATGTTCATCTCGGATTCTTCTGTTCTTGAAATACAGATAAACATGTCCGCTCAGATGGATCGTAACAAGACCAAAGAGCAGTTGGAGGAGGAGAAGAAGATTTCTCTGTCTTTCCGCATCAAACCCTTGGACTTGGCTGGATTGAATGAATCCAAGCTCCGTACTAAGGCTCAGGAACTCTGGGAGACCATCGTCAAGCTGGAAACTGAGAAGTATGACTTGGAGGAGAGACAAAAGCGTCAGGACTACGACGTAATTAGCAAATTAACCCCACTGTCTCTTCACATGATTAATGCAACTTGAAAATTCTCTCTTGCAGTTGAAAGAATTGAAGGAAAGACAGAAGCAACAGCTGCGACACAAGGCTCTCAAGAAGGGTCTCGACCCAGAAGCCCTGACAGGAAAATACCCAGTAATTATCCTTGACACTTTAAGCATATAAATTACACGGAGAATCTCATTTTTCTCGCTTTCCACTTCTTCTAGCCCAAAATTCAAGTCGCCTCCAAATATGAACGACGCGTTGACACCCGCTCTTATGACGACAAGAAGAAACTCTTTGAAGGCGTAAGTATCCTCTTGCACACTTTATAGATATGCACAATAGAATTTTTTTTCCAATATTAGAGCATTTCTAAAAATAGCAACACAATGTGACTTTACTATCTTGCACATTATATTATGAAATGTGGATGAAAAAGGATAGTAAATTCTCAGTGTTATAATCCTCAAATATGTGGCACAGAAGAATAATTTATACTGGATTTTCCAAGGGGTACATCACCATGATGGATGAAATGAGAAATGATCGGTGGCAAAAGAGACACGATAGATTCGCAAAGCGCAGACGACGTAAGGATAATTGCCACTTTTCCATCCTTCAAAACTATGTTTCTTGTGCAAATTGTCACCACACTGTCATTTCCATCCATCACGTTGATGCAATACATCATCAAGTGAATTTCTCTCCCACATTCGAGCTGAATATCTGAACAAGTCGGTTGAAATTTCAAAAGAAGAAAAAAAAACACCTGATTCGCTCAGATATCCGTTCTTCCTGATTTCTCTCTGTGTCTTTCTGTGCAAATGATGATCATTTTGAAGTCTTTTCAGAACATCAGAAATATTTTGAAAGCATGTATTGATCTCCTATTGTCTTTTTCTCTCTTCCACCATGTCTATCTGTCTGTCTGCCCCGCGTGTTTCATATTCAACCCTTCATCACAAAATACCACCATCATTCCTCCACGTAAAACTAAACAGGGCTTTGAAACCCTCAACAAGGAGTTCCTTGAGAAAACCTGGCATGAAAAGAAAGATGAGTTTGGTGGTCGTCAGAAGAGTAAGTTGTCTATCGTCTTACAAATCTTTCACTCGCTTTCATTTTATCATGCAACAATTTCCGCATCTTGAGTCTGCGTCTATTCTGTTCCTTAAATTCTCTCTGTCTTTCTTCTGTCATTTCCAAACACTTCTCTCGCCGTCATGCTGAGAGTGAAATCCAATAAGCTTTTTTATCATGAACAATTGCAGCCAAGCTGCCCAAGTGGTTCGGTGAGCGACCTGGCAAGAAGGCTGGAGATGCTGAGACCCCCGAAGGCGAGGAGGAAGGCAAAGCTGACGACATCGAGGAGGATGAGGTTGAGGAGGTGGCCGTAGAGGAAGTTGAGGAGGAGGTGAGATCACTGCATACCTTGCAAGGCTTTCCGACATTTTCACCAACACTTCTTCACTCTTGCAGGTCGTTGAGGAAGAGGAGGAGGAAGAGGAGGAGGAGGAAGAGGAGGAAGAGGAGGAGGAGGAGGAGGAAGAGGAGGAATAAATCCTCGGTAAAAAAATACACCGTTCCCCCCTCCCAAGAATCTCTTATTTCTCTTTGTCTATCCAACAAGAAAAGAAGAAAATTTGTTAAAAATAAATAATATGCCGCTGAATTATATTATTGTACAATTTCTTTTCCTTTCGTAAAGAAAAACAAAAAAAAGTCTTTTACTTATTAAACACTATCAGATTCTCTGTCACAAGCACAGCTCTCTGTAAGAAGATATTAAGGAACAATTATATTTTGTGCAAGGAGAAAAAGAGAACTAAAAAATTACTTATAAATAAAAAAAATTTTCATTATTACTTTGGCGTTTCATTTTATCGTTTTTTTTTCTTGAATTTATGCATGCACATAATATGTGGCATAAAGCGTCTCCCTTTTCATTTTTTCAGTCATTGAAATATGACCCTCCGATGTGAATGGGCAAATCACAAAATCGCTTAATTATAGGATCGCCCTTTGCGTGCGACGTGCCCACGCGAGTGCACGAGCATTGCAACTGGAGGAGGCCATACGGAGGCTACGCCGCCAGGTGGACAGGGCAGGAACAAAGACGCCGACTCAGTTCACAGCCATCCCTCCCATTTATTCATCACTCTAATAGAGACAATTCGATATGCGGCGGCACTTTTGGATGATGAGCGCCAAACAATGGAAATGACAGACTCCGCCGCTCTCTACGATGATGATGATGTTGGGTGAATTTGTATGATGTTTAGCGCAGTATTTAGCACACACAGATGAGTTCTATTATTCCCATACCATTTGGACTCTTCACTTGGCTTTCGTGTCTCCTCTTTCTCCCTTTGATCTCACCGACTGCGCCGCCTCTGGGTGATTCACAAGGCCCCAGCATCATCCGAGGGACTTTATCATCTCCGCAGAGTCGCACAATCAACTTGAAAATCGAAAAAAGAGAGATGTGTGTTCTTTCGCGAAGAGTGTTAGTCTGCCGGAACTTGTTTGATCTCTCTCATCTCACCGCTCCACATCCATTGAGGCTCAGTGTTGCCGGTCGGGGGAAATCGACAAAATGAATGTAAATTTAAATTAATGAGGAAAAACACCGCGCAACTCTACACCTGGATCGCAATTGCAGTTTCGCCATGCGAACAGAGAGTCGTCATTAATTTCTTTCCGCGCATCTTTCAGCCACCCACAGTGAGTGCCGGCACCACATGAATTCTGACAAATTAAAAAAGAAATTCTTCAAAAGCAAACTCCTCCGCCTCAGCACACTCGCTGGCTCTTCAAAAGAATCACAAGATCTACTAGCACCAGAGTGTTAAAATCGTGAATATTTCATTTATTCCTTTGACTTATTACCTTCATTGTCATCCGACCGTGGAGTGGATGGAAAAGAAAGAAGTGTTTCTACAGAATTTCCCCAAACCATTTCGAATTATACTTAAAAATCCTCATAAGAGCACATTTCAACATTTTTTCTGCATTATAAGTATGAATTTGGGAAAAATAACTAATATTCCGTATTCACATTTTTTTTTCTTCTCTTTTTACTCTACACACAAATAGAGAGAAAAAGTCTCGCCACTGTAATTTGTATCTAAAATCTCTCCGTCTCACTCTTTCCTTCACTTTGAGTTGATTTCCTTTGAAATGTGCGCACTCTTTTGAACTACTTTGAACTGTCCGCCAAAATCTTAATGGTAGAATGCCACTGAGAGACTAATGGGCAAGTTTTCAATTGAATGCCAACAATTTCCAACAGTGAAAATAATTCTTTCACACTCTTGTGAGCACTTTAATTGAAATTTCAACTCATTCGTTCATCTCTTTGTCCCCCGTTGTTATACATTTCTTTTTCCGCGTCACACCATTCAGTAAAAGTGTGTACTTTCGTGCTCTCATTGAGATTTGCCTGATTCTCGACATCTCACATGTTTCCCTCCAAATTAATTTAGTAATTGAATATCGCCCGGCAGAGTAAATTAAATCACCCCCAATCCGCTTTTTACATTATCTCCACACACTTCTAGTCATACACTTTCAGGCAATCTATGCATACAGCAGAGCCGCACTAGAGACTCTGTGGCGCAAGTTTTTTTCAATTGATATCTAAATTTTCATCCCTTTGATCCCATTTCCCTTATTCACCCATGTGCGAGAAACCCACCAACTCAAGAGATGCGGAAAGCCAAAAGTGCCCAAGTACAGCCCTGGCGGTGTCTCGGTGTGTTGTTTGGATGGTTGGAAGAGCGCAATTCCCAGTCGATTTTTCATTCCTCTACAAGTAGTCGGATGAGCAGAAGGCATTCAGTCGGTTTGCTCCGGAGGTGGTTCAAAGTGAGAACGAAACTCTTGTGAATTTTATTCGCCTTCCTCTATTTACGCTGTTAACCCTCGAAATAGTGTTTCGCCCCCTCGCGCAAATATTTCTGTGCCAACAGCGATACATTCATTGATTTTCGACACTCTCTGTCCGTTTATGAGCATATTTGACAGGGAGTTTTGCTCTATATATACACACTTTTTCACCGAGTCTATACAGTGAGTGGGAAAAAAGAGAAGCAGTGAGGAAGAGAAGAAAAAAAAAAACGAGGAATTTTCTTCGGTGTGATTCTCTCATTGATATTTGTGTATTTTTATTAATGTGTCAAGTGAAGGCTGAAAGTGCGATACAGAAGAAAGAGAGCAAAATATAGATCAAAAACTGAAATTCATTGAAGGAAAATTGTGAATCGCAAGGGAGAAAAAAGAAACATATTGCCACAAGTGTGAGGAAACTATTTGGAAAGCAAGAAAAAGAAAGTCCCCCGTGAAAAGACTGTTTCTGATAAAATTTTGATAGTGCGCTTTATATTTTTTTTTATAAATGAAAACTTCATATGCCACGCGTTTTATTTTGTGTGTGGAATGTTGTGACCTATTTCTGCCCATTTCTATTTTCACATTCAATTTCATCTTATTTTTTGATTGAGTTTCTATCTCCCGTCTATCTCGCTCACCCACACTGTCTGCATCAGAGGCGAGTTTGACAGATTGTGTGTTTACTCAGTGCGGAATATCTATATCGTGGAAAGAAGAAAATCACTTTGGAAAAATACTTGTGAGTGTATCTCGTGAAGAAAAAGATACTCCTCAACTCCACGCCTCTAACAAGAGACTTGCGGCGTGAGTAAAAAAATAATTTGAGAAGTGGCGTGGAGAAAATATTTATGAAAAGAAACAGAAGGAGAGAAAAATGATAATAAATGTGAATGTGTATATAAGAGAGAGAGAATTTCCATGGGAGCAGCAATGAGGAACTGATACGGGACCAATTTCAATAGATCACGTTCCCAATACATCCAGCGCATCGCATCATCAAAAACAAACACACCGTCTTTTAGGAAAAACAAGCACCAAACACATATATACAAAATGGCGGGAAACTTGATGAAATGGTGGCGGCACAAAATCTTGGGAGGCTACAAACAATTTTCAGGTAAATTTTCTATTCCTCCATATATACTCAAATGGCCCGACAATGCGCGCCTCTTTTGCCTCCGCGCTCACTCCGACTCCACTCCCTCCTGCTGCACTCCGTGCGCCCATGCCAAGGGTGAGGAGACAAACAAGAGACTCAAATTTACAATCACAGAGCGCGCAGACATTCAACCTCATTCAAAAAACTCCCTCCGCTCTGCCATGCCCGACACCGTATCCGGGTTTCAATTCTCTTTGGGGGAGTTTTTACGTATTTCTCTGCAGCACTCTCCTTATTTTTATTCTCCTGCCCATGTTCACGGCATTCCTGCAGTCTCACACTACTTGGGAGATTCACTGGAAGAGAAGAATACAAGTAGATGAGCATAAGAAAAAGTGCACCAGACATTCCAAAAATGAAGAAGAAAAAAAAAAAACGAAAGCGATCCTCCCCGATAGTATTATGTCATTTCTCGGAGGAAAATCATCAGTGCGGAATAAAAATCTTCTTGGAATTCCTCCTTTATCTGTCCCAAAACACCCGGAGATTTGCACAATTTTTCATCCAAAGACATCAGGGATTTCTGCTGGAAGTAATCTCTTGGCGCTTTCGCCAAGTCTCTGCGGTCTCCACAAGAGTCAATCAAAATAGCATGTTTATTTCCATGCCACAATCATCTTCTGCATCCACAGATCAAGAGTCATGTAGCATTTTGTCAACAATCTCAGTATTTTCTACCACTCTCGGTAAACTATATGTATTAGCTGCACTCTTGATCATAGGAAAATGATCACATGGGTGGAAATGCGTTCTTGCAGAGACACTCCATCTCCCCCCAAACGGAGAATACCGCAAGAATTTGTATGTGTGCCGAATCTGCGGGAAGGACACGAGATGATAACCATATTCCATGCTGTCTAAACAGCTATTTTGTAGAATATTTGTGATATTTCACATGAGTAGCAAAGAGAATCATTTAATAAATTTGTCGAAATTCAAATAGAGTTTGGCGTTATTGAAAATAATAACCTAATTCAATATTGTTCACCTACAAGGCTGTATTCTGAAAAACAACATTAAAACAAACTAGTTCAAATGGTTTCTGTACTATAAACTTGAAGAATACTCTTCAAATAATCAAGTTTCTCATGATTCTGTGGAAATAAACAGTCAATTTCGATTATAAAATGATTTCCTCCAAAGCGACACTTTTAATTCTCCAATTTTGATAAAATATTCACTTTGACTCTGTCTGTGAGCGGTGCCGTGAGACTCTGAAGCCGTACGCATTTCATGGGTCAAGCGCTCATAGTTTGTGACTAGAATTTCAATTACAATCGCATTTCATTTCAAACTTTACCACCTAATTAATTGGTTACCTCATTATAAATACTCCTTCAATTGGTCTCAATTATAAATCAAAGGTGAAATGATAGAAAATCAAAAACTGTCCCACGAAGCAACTTGCGCATGCGAGAGGACGTCAATAATTTGAAAATATTTTGATCCAACTGTGAAGAAATGTTAATTTCACGGTGACTTTCGTCAATAATTGGCCCATCCCTGCGGCATGGAGGCTGCGGTGAGATCTATTGAGCGTGCTCGAGGAGAAGGGAAATAATCTCTTGAAAAGTGCGCGCGGTCAGATGCTGTCCATTCACTTAGAGCCGCTGCCAACAAAGAGCGACAGCTTAGGAATTTTATTATTATTATTATGTATAAAAGATACATGAGATTTTATTATTATTCCACCTAATGCTCGTGTGCGAGCGAGATGGAATGAAACACTCAAGTGCGGCAAATCTTTGAGAGGCATCAACTTTTTTGCCTCCTTTTATTTCTTCTTCTCTTTAATTCCTTTTTGCCCCCTTCTTTAATTCATTTCCCCGTCTCTTTCAGACAATTTTCTTTCTCGCTATGGAATCTTCATTATTATTTGCCTCATTGCTGTGTGCCTCCTTCCAATCGTTCTCTCGCGCGTTTGCCTTTGCTTTTCGTGTTTTTCATACGCCGTTTATGTACACATAGTAGTGAATTGAAAATGACGAGGAGATGTAGGGAGAAAAGGCACGGTTGAAGAAGAAAAACACCTCACAACACTGCAACACAGAGATATACACGTAACACTCCATAATTATGTTCATTACAGACATTTGACTTGAGATGCAATGAGAAGAATTCTACAAGATGGCTCTGTCTATTGATGACTTCTCTCCGTCTCTCTTTCTCTCGCTCTCTGTCCATTCCATCACGGGGTGTTTTGAAGGAGTCTCGCCGAGATATTCTAGTGGGCGCATTAGTCTGAAGCCCCTTCATAACACCAATTCCCATTTAAGTTGCAAGAGCCATCATCTGACAAAGTAATTTAATCGATTAGATCACTTCGACGCGCTGCTTCGCCTCAAGAGAATAATGTCTGCACGTGAAAAGTTGAATGACTGGCAAAGTGTAGAGATATCAGCAGAAGGAACTTATGCAAAAACCATTGAATCCCCGCTTTTCAGAACAGTCAGCACGAATAATTTGAAAACTTTTCGCCCAACCACACATTTCTAGAAATTCCACTACATGAAAACTTTTACCAAACTCTGGCATTTGTATGTAATACTATGCGTGTATATAGGAATGTAAATTGACTCAACAGTGGTTGCATTTTCAAAGTTTTCATTTGCATTTTTAAAGCTCACTGACACTATTGACTGATGCACTGAAACACTTTCAATGCAGGAAATTCAATATGCTCACAGGAGAGGTTAAAAACCCGCGCTCCCGACAAACTTTCATCGTCAATCACAATTCCCGAGGCCTAAAGTGGCAATAAAGCTTTTGATTTTGTGGCCGAGCGGCCTTTCATTAGCCGTGCAATCAGTTCCCGTCATACAAAGTTTTGTCCAAATATTTTGGGTGAAAATCAAATTTATGAAACTCTGAATAGAATCTCCACTTTGTCATACACAAATTGTCCATGTGAAAAAGTTTCGGCTAAATAGGCAGCAATGTTAATTACATGAACCACTCACAAAGTTCTTAAATTGCGAAAATTAAATTTTAAGTACACATTAAACCATCATTTTATTTCCCAGTCACTGAAACTTTTTCCAATTAGGAAACATTGTGTGTTGTACAGAAAAAGACCCGAAAATTAAATCCCATCCCAAGTCTTTTATCCCCAGCCTTGAAGGCGAATATCATAGGAGATTTTATGATACATTTCAAGGGATCGTTTGGAGGGAAAAATGTATATTGACGAGTAATTTAACGCTTTCTTTTCCCCCTTCTGTAACGTCAAAGAGATTGAGTGAAAGAGGCAAATCAAACGAAATTGATTTTGTGCCTCGCATCGAGAGAAAATGAGGGAATCATTTGGCCTGAGAGAGCTCAGCAAGGGACAAGCAGAGAATAGACAGCCAAATGATGATGGAGACGAGGAAAAATCCAGATGTGTCAGCGGGGAATTCGAGGGTTGTCAGAATGGCCAATTTCCAGCATTGGGCATTTTTATTTAATTTTCTCAGAAATCTCACAAGAGGCATTCCTCACCAGAGCCCTTCTCTTCCACGGACTCAATCCAGCATCGTATAAATCTGTTTTTTTTTTGTTCCTCGTTCTTCTCATGAAGTCGTAATTAATTTCTGACCACTTGGCGAGATTACTCTGACCGTCGTCTTCTCATCCTTGTCGTTCTCCCACTCAATCTCATGCAACACTCAATTACCAAAGATCGAAATATGGATTGGGAGTTTATTTTGAAATATTCTATCTCGAGATTGAACATTTTGTGTGTATAATTTCATTCATGTTGTGTAATATTTAATTTATGACTCTCCCGTTTTTGTTTCTCGCACTCCTCAATCAAAGTTCAATTTCTCAGCGCGATGGCGAAATGGAAAAAAGGCCGCAGTCAATTTCCCGCACTTGAGAAAATCGCTGAGACTGATTTTTTTCCGCTCCACAATAAATTTTTCTCCAACCAAAATGCCACGGAGAGTAAAAATATGTCTAAGATGATGATTTAAATTTTCTCTCTATTCATCTTTCACTTCTTTTGCTCTTTTTTTTCTGTCTTACCCCGCCGAGTGTAAAAACATATGGAGCCAACAGGCCATCAAAAGCGGTTCCTCTTATACATATAGAGAGAAAAGAAGAATGTATAAAAATCTTAAGAGATCTCCTTTTCGTCGTCGTCGTCTTCTCTTTTATAAAACACCATGAAACGCACCGCCCGGCCGACACAACGGAGAAACGCCAAAGTCCAAAAGAATATTTTGCCGACGATCTCTCTTCTTCATCTTATGTACTTCTTCCGATCTTGAGAGTAAATAATGTGGCGATCGCATATGGTGGAAGCCATTCACTGTAGGCTCTTCTTGGGATTTCATCCCGCCGTCTCGCTCTGGCCGCAGCGTCGGCGCGCTCCCTGTCCCGCTCTGGCTGCCGTCTCAAGTCCACAGCGCAGAGTCATCGGTCAAAAGTGCCTTCGAAAAAAGGGCCTCACTCTCCCTCGAGGCAACCTCCTGTTGCAAGTGTGTTCTTCTCGCCATGGGCACAAGACAGAGATGGGAAATATTCTCTTGATCACCTTTCCGATGGACAATAAAAAGTAGCGACAAAGCGGCAAAAGACACACAGCACACACATCTCGTGCTCCTTTCCCCCAAACCCATGCTCGATCTCGCGATCGACTATTGTGTAGCATCAGCTCGAGAGGCCGAAAAGAAATAATGGAGAGGCGAAGGAGAGATGATAATAAAAGAAACACGAGAGAAAATGATAGAAGCTGAATGTGAAGGAGAATAACAACAAGAAGATGCCGATTTGAGATACTGAAAAGAACTCGCCGTTTCTCCCTCCCATATACCTTCAATCTCAATGAGAAGTCACTCCTCTATCCCGCATCCATCTCCTTGAACATTACAAAACGAGAGGAAAAAAGGCTTATCGCCGTCTTTTCATCAAATTACACACACACACACACGCCCTTGCGCACCCCGCAAAAGGGAAGGCAAGTGAGACAGACAAACAGGATCATCTGTCTATCAATTTCAAAGACAATTCCCGTGCGCTTGCCCAGAGTCAGAAGGGCTAAAGACCGTGAACTATGGCGATAATACACATTTTCTCCACGATTACCCGTATTTTTCAGAATAATTGCCTATCAAACCGACAAAGTACCATTTCTCACTCACGATCATCAATTCGTTCTGACGCCTGGGCTAAGAAATGAGATGAGAATATCGAATTTATGTGAATTGAAGGAATCAGTCCTAGGTGATCTCGCCCAAACCATCTTAAGTGATCTCGGGATCGGATTTCACAAATCTCAGAAAATCCTTCATAAATACAAATTTATTACCAATTTCCTCCACTAGAAAGCCAGCCATAAAATACGATCGCACTCGTTGATCTCTGAGTGATTTTCATTTTGAAAAGTCTCTTTGAATGCGGAGCCAATAGTGACAGAAAAGAAATGTCTAAAGTGATCAAAGGCGATCTTGTGAGCGTAAAACTCAAAGAGAGCTCAAAAGAATCTTGCGCTTTGAGAGAAGGAGACGGCGGAGCATAAGAAAAACCACTGTGTCGGCATGAAATAAAGTGTGTGTGGAGAGGAGAAGAAAATTGTTATATAAAATTTATTTACTATTGTAAGTACCGCTATTCAATAATTGAAGCACAAACGCTTCATGTGCCGTCTTTGCGGCTATATCTTTTCGCTCTCTAACACTTTTATATGCGCGCACGGTATTTTAGTATTCCTCCTTGTTGTTTGACCACAGTGAAGCATTTTACATGATTTTCACATTAAATTGTCACATTCCCATTGAGTGGTGATAAAAACCCAGCCTTTTTCTCTCCTTTGATCTATTGCAACGATTGTAAATCACGTCACTTCCCCATCACGCACAGAAGCTGCCTATCTATTTGTGTATTCTTGAAAAATCAAAATATGCGCTCTCTCACCATGGTGAAAAATTGATCAATTTTCGCGCAACTAATTAAGAGTTTTTCATTCGAGAAAAATTATTATTTCAGCGAGTTGCTAGAAAAACAGCGCGCGCGGTTCACTCTGTAGCGTGTTTTTCTTGTTTCGTCTGAAAAGTAACAACACAGTGGAAAAAAAAACACCGTGAACGCGTGAGAGAGCGGGACAAAAAAGACGACTAAGAGATATAGAGGAAGGAGAAACATTAAATACCACTTAATCGCATTGAAACATCTTCTAATATTTATTTTTATCTCCATTTTATAAATATTAAATGTGCCGTTAAGTATTTTTCAAGAAAGCATCAAAGACCGTCGAGCCGCACAAATTGAGAAAAGTTCAGAATTAGAATTTTTTCCGCTCCTTCACAGTCACTTTGCCGCGACCACATTGACTCACTTTGTATCTTTCCGATTGATTTCATTTATCGCTCTCGCTCTGTCTCTGAGGAAAAACCACTCAAGCCACTCTCGAGAGTTCTCCTCTTCTGCTTGCATTGCTGCAGCGGCAACAACAATAGCCAGCGCCGAGATATTCCAGCGACTCACAGTGATTTTTCTTCCTTTTTATCTTTCCATGTCAATCCACCAGTTCTTCAAGAGAGTGCAACGGATTCTGAGGAGTTGATCTACCCCATGAGGGCACCGTCCTCATGCAGCGCCCCGCCGGACTTGCTGCTCACGAGTGATCGTGAACCGATCACCAGTGGCTTAATGACATCCACACCAAATCACCACATATCAACGACTCACCAGCAGTCACTCAAGATGACAAATCGGCGGGAATCGTCGCCGGCCAATGTCACCTCCGCCGCAGTCGGTGGGAGTCACAAGAATCATCAGAAGGCGCCGCCACCGTCCGTCTCAAAGTCCGCCGAAGACGATCGTGTTCATCTCGAGGTGAGCCTGCCACCAAACACTTCCATCCTCACCCAGTTCAACGTCAATTAATCACTGCGCCTCCGGTAAAAGCTCCGCTCGGTGGGAATTTCATAGACCCTTTTGGCGCGCCGTTCGGCGATTAACCAATGGAAAAGTGAATATGAATAATTACTTGGCGCTCGATGTGTGACACAAAACACCACATTCGTTAATTTACTGTTAATATCGCTCTCATGCTGGGTGTTCAATAAAATTTAGAAATCGAGACAAACGACTAGAGCTAGACATTCATAGATTTGAGATCAACTCCCGCGCACGCGGAGTGTTTGCAATCATCAAAGCTTTGCGTATCAGCGAAAAAATTGTTTGCACATATCAAACAATTAGCGCTGATATGCTTGCGATTTTCCGTTCAACAAATCACAATATTTGCAATATTGAATGGCTCTGTAATAAATCACATGCAAAAGGGGAGACACCCCTCCAGACCTGTCACATCAACACAATGCTATCGATCAATTAATCCTGCTGGAAGACTGGCAAATATTTACCCAAATAGGAATACCGATAACTTCTCCGCTTCCCGGCGCACCGCGAGCACAGGGATTTACAAGAAAGGGTTAAATGGACACTCTGCAGACTTATTTCTTTCACATTGCATGTCTGTCTGGGGAACCGAGCGTGACACGTGGTTAAATTCTTTCCTTATCGATCCCTTGTCGCATTTTCAGTACGCTGGAATGGTGTTGTGAAGCACAATCGCCGGTGTTGCCTATGAAATATTCACTGATTACCAAATAGGTTCTTGTTCGCCTTGGAAATAATAATATCTGCGCATGTGTGTGTGCATGAGAAAAGGTGCCAATTGGCAAATTATCTAATTAAAATGTTCCCTCCTGTCCAATTGACAAATTTCATTCCACTTCTTCTGTGGTGCAAAAGAAGTGAGAATGAAAAGAGTGCGCAAGAAAAAAAATGAGTGCGAGACACTGAGGAGGAAGAGTAATCAATCAAAGGCGTGAAATTTGTATTCTCTTTGAATATATCTCTTTCTGACTGTTTTTTTTTTTGACGACACCGCAAATATTTAGAGAGAGAGAAGCAGGCAGTGAAGTAAAAAATAGCGCGAAGGGGTGGAGGAGAATCAAAAAGAAATCGCGATGAAATGTGACACGTGGATGCAGATGATGAGACAAGATGATTGATAGATTGGCTTTCTTGCAGGAATTCCACTGTGACGTGTCACTGGAGCACCAGGGAAAGACCCCACAGCCCGTGCAGTTCTCCTTCACACTGTACGACCTCGATGGGCACGGCAAGATCACCAAAGACGACATCGCGGGCATCGTGTCGACGATCTACGAGAGTCTGGGCAAGAGCATCGTCGTGCCTCACTATGGCAGCAAGACCATCAATGTGCGCCTCACCGTGTCACCGGATGCCAAGGTGAAGACACCCACGAAGAAGGCGGCCCTTATCAACTCACGAAGGAGATACAGACCGCGGAAGCTCCTATCGGACGACGAAGGCAGTGACACCTCGCACGACAACGTGCCAATCAAGTTGAGTCCAAAGACAACGAATGCCAGAAGCAAGAGTCATTGTTCACACCATCAGCATCAGCAGCAGCAGCAGCAGCCACAGAAACTCACCAAGGAGACCAACAATCCACCGAAAGACTGTTCCACAACGGACTCCGCACCGGAGCAAAATGCGCCCAAAGCGCCGATCGCATGTGAGGAGCCGCCACATCTTTACGAGAGCATCAACAATCTCAAGTGGTGCTCCAAGGCCAATAACTTGCAACAGCAGGGCAACAATAATAACCCCATCGCCAAGAAGCCTCCAAACTGCTTGGAGATCCTGGACAATAAGCTCGTGGAGAATGAGGCCAACAACGAATGCGGAGGATTCTGCAGGGAGTGTTCTCTCGTGGAGCGATATAACCTCGAGGGAATGCCAGTGGTGAAGCAGAGAAGACGTGTTCTGCGGAAATCACGATCGCGAAAGCACAAGGTGATAATCTGCGACTCAATAGGTTTCTGCGATCTCTAACGCCGCGTCTCTTGTTGTGTTTTTTTTAGGGCGAAGGAGCCTCTCGAGTGCGGAGCCTCTCAGTGGGAAACGAGAATTGCTTGATCAGCCGCGAAAAGAGTGAAGAGGAGTGCTGGGAGAGTTCACTCAGGCGAAGGGAGTTAATTGAGATCATCCGGAAGAGCATGGAGAAGAATCGCCTGTGTTTTCAGGGAAATAGGTGAGTAAGGAATAGCAGCCTAGCTTGATTTGTAGATTCCTAGTTTTCCTAGTTTGTAATTGATTGAGTCGATTCTACCGAAAACCTACAAGGAATTTGTGTAATGTTTGCAGAAAACCCACAATCGACAGCCCGCGGTATCGCCATCGATCGCATACGATGAATGGTCAGTGTGGCGAAGTTGGAGCGCCCACGAGACTGGAAAACTCCCCGGCAGTCTCACCAGACATCGTACCCACGAATCTCTGCGGCTACGACTCCTTTCTCCACGCCACCATCTGCTCCAATCTCAACAACAACATCCAACTCACGCCCAGTGCGGTGCCCATGGCAGCGATAAATCTCGCCGGAGTGACGCCCGTGAGGAATCATAGTAGCCGCATGCTGCGGAATCGTGCCCTGCGGCAGCACGAGTCGGTGAGAGCGGGAAACCCAATGGGATACATGCGTCTGCAGGCGTCCACGAAGACAGCCAACACTGCGACACCCAAAGTGGCCAACAACAAGGGTGTGGAGAGCAAGAAGCTCATCTCCAGTGACTCCCACGCGATCAAAGGGAAGACTAAGGCACGTGTGGGACGCTTGCAGCGCTCGAAGAGCAAGGAGGAGCTCTTCACCTGTCGCGACAGCACTGCCAAGATCGAGGACATCCTCAATGCCGATGTGTTTCTCGACAAACTCAAGATCACCGAGGAGGTGGCAGAGAAGTCAGTGGAGTCCCCGCGCAAGAGTGTGGCCAAGAGGCCACTCAAGAGTCCCACCAATCAGGCAAAGAGCCCCACGAAGGGCCTCCTCATGGAGTACGCGTCGATTCCCGTGAGCGCCGATCCGGCAGAGTGCGAGAACCTGCTCAAAACTCCTGTCTCGGATGGCGACGAGACAAAGATCGCCGATCCCTCATCCACTGTGCATCGGTACGTGGTGCACGAGCACATCCATCATCACTACCATCACTTCGAGGGGAACACCAGCCCCAAGGCATGAGCCCTGGACACCAGAGGCGCGCTCCAGGGGACGCTATATAGGCTTAAGTTGAGCGATTGTGTGCGTTTTGTGTGCTTTCGATGCAGTTGGTGAAGATTAACTTATTTATTTAAAACACGTGCGCACGGGAGATTATTTGACGAGCTAATTGAGAATTTTTGTATACTTGCAACCACAAAGACTGATTTCCTCTAAAAACAAAAGAAAGAAGAATACAATGAAAATGGAAAAGCATTAATTTAGAAAAAAAACGGTCGGATATTCATCAAACTACCTCTTCACATTATCATTTTACTCTTTCAATCTCTCTTTTTAGATCAATGGAAAAAATATCTTATGTTGAAATTAATTTAGGGGTGAATTTTTGGTGACAAATTCCTTCCACTTTTAAGATGTATTTGACTGTCAATATTGCTAAATATAAAATCGTATTTATTTATTTGTAACTACACCTTTTTCCCACATTAAAAATCGTCTCAAAAGAAATGCAATGGAGAGTATTTACTTACCCTTATTTCACGTCTTATAGCTTGGCTCTCGCTCCGCCTTGGACGGGGCACAAGTGTCCATTAGTCGGTGGGATGTTTACTAGCATGTTGCACCTAATTCTGGAATGATCTCCTAGCAATTCATTCCTGTGATGCTTCGGGAAGAGCTTCCGCATTTCGTCCAATGTCTTGTCTTTGTACTGGTCCTTATCGTGTGTGATTTCTGTATAGGATGGCTCTGCAGGATAAAGTGAATCACCGGGATAAACATCCAGAACAGCGTCGGCGAGATAGAACTGATAAGGAAATATCAGAGTCAATCCGTGCTTCTGACGGTCACGCATGAAGGCGGCCAAATCATCAATATCCTTTTTGTGGCTTATCTTCGACAGTTCATAGTGTTGCGGAGGAGGAAGAAAATATTCTCTATTCCTGGAGCGATCCAAGATGCTTTCAGGAGTCTCCCACTGAAGAATACAATAAAAGAATTAGTTAAACATCACCTATCGATTATCAGAACTATCCGAATTACTCACCCTTGAGGACTGAACTTCATTATCCTCGGCAGTGATTTGGGGCTGATCTGGCAGTGCGACAAAGAAGAAGGCAGTGTTGAATCTCTTCTTCCCGAAAGTCGTTGGCGTGAGCCAATTTGCCGATTCGTAGGCGCCAAAGATGTCCGGAGCCACATTCAACTCCCGGCAGAGACGGATAAACTCCTTATGATCACCGTGGACGATTTTCTGCCACTCCTTCACATCGAATCCTGTCACAGCGTCCGCCAGAGGGGATTCCATCGCAAATTGCTGAGCATTCTTCGCAAAGAGTACTCCAACTTCCTCAAATGTTTCACGAATGGCGCCAATTCTCAGGGAGATTTCTCTGGCCAAGTCAGTTGGTCGTTCCCGCTCAAAGATGAATGATCGCTGACCAGAGATTTGACTGAGTTGAGCAATCCTGGCGTCTGACACTCCCAGATCGCGGTACAGACTCAACCACTCATGAGAGCTGTCACTGTCCTCCAGGGTTCCTCCTGGGAAAACAATCCCGTTGGGCATGAAGGACGCCTTGGCGGATCTCTTAAGCACCAACACTTCATAATTGAATGGTTTAGCACGCGGAGATCGCCCGAGAATCAACAAACTCGCCGATTCCTTCCAGAATTTCGCGTACGGCCTCATTTCTGATAGGAACTTCTTTTATGGTTATGTTACCTGATCATGAGAGCACTAGAAATTCCTCTGATAACAGAACACCAAGAATACACCAGAAGCCATATATCTTGAATCGCCTATTTATTTTTTAGAGTCTATTTCCCTAGTTTCTAGGATAGCCATCCTCTTTATTCTGGTGGTAGATGGAATTGGTTGAACTTAGAGAAGACGGTTCTATGAGTTCGTTCTCCACATTCTGCAGCGCGAACTGATACTCCGTGATCTCCAGCGCTTCCCACTCAGCTTTGAAAGCCGCCTTGGGATCCTGGGGCATCGACACAGCTGCCCCGGACATCTGATCCTGCATCGCCTGTGTCTGGTCAGCCGCGTTATTCTCTCCCAGCACTAGTGTGTAGATACTCCGCAAGCCGAACACATTGAGAAAGTACCAGGAGGCCGAGGAGACCCACGCGGCATCGAGGGAGGCCAACTCAACGCCCCGCTGGAGCATCGGCTTGAAGCGCAGAGTCAGTGGGAAGGGCACTTTTGTCGTCACGAAGCCGGAGAACATCCAATTAATCCATCCACCAATCACCACCATCGGCAGGACATTTATGAAGTTCCCCTTCACCAGATCCGACAGCATTGCAGTGGAATTGGGGCTCACAGGTGGCCTCTTTTGCGTCTTGAAGTACCCTGTCTCCTCATTGTTGAAGTAGTGCCTCCGCATGGCGAAGGCCTGGCTCGTGAGGTACTTTCCGTTCTCACGCAGAAGGCGCGCCCGTATCATGGCTTGGCTGTGGAGCAAGCAAAGACAGTGAGAAGGACGCCAAAGGCGGAGTAGGAGCTGCTCACCTGTCCTGGATCTGCGTCAACTCAACCTTCTTCTGCGAGGAAATCAGCATGGACACGTAGTGACGAATGATTCCCACGAGAAACGTAATCACAACAATCGGCAGGAACACCCAACCTCTTATGTGAGGATCTATCAGGAGTTCTGCCATGGTTTACACGAGATTTTCACGGAAAATTCGAGGAACAGGAGTTTTTTTTCTTCTTCCTTTCTGACTGGAATACAAACTGTTCTACAGCCCACTAGCGCCACGAGGGAGGGGAACTGAAACCTCGAATACGCCCGGCGCACACCTCGAAATCAAACATTCCGCATGGCGCCATCGGTTACTCACTCTTCCACTCTGTGTCGGATTTTCAATGAAAACCAAGCTAAAAGAAAATCACTACATTCTCCTTGATGCTCATATGGTATTTCTGTGCAAATCCTCTGATTCTCCCCATCACTTTGGAGAAAATCCCTCGAGGCGCGCCATGAGAAAAGTGATCCCCCCAGAGAGATTGAGAAAAAGCAGCTGCTTTTGAATGAAAACACCATCGGAAGACGACGCCGAACGACTCCCCGCAAAATTAGAGCGCCAGCATGAGAATCTCCTGACGAATATCTTCAGTGTCTCGCCCAATTTCTCCCCAGTAAGTCGCATTTCACTCTCGATCGAATTTATTTCTTAGTCGATAGAAATAGCCACAGTGTTTGTGTGCGTGAGAGATAATTTTCATGAGATGTGTTGTCCTCATTAGATGATTTCTTCCCACCGAAATATCATTTTGTGAAAGTTAATTCAAGTGTCGTATTTTCGATACATCTTCCATCAATCGTCCGATCTTCAAATCAAACCCACATATTGTGGCAAACTAATTGCCTTCAATTCTTGAGCATGCAAATTGTGCAAATTTTTCGGGAATGTTTCAATACGGAAATTGTGTGTAATTAAGAATCAATAAAATTGGACTATTTTTGCCTATTTCTCCTCAACCCACGTGCGAGTGAAGAAAAAAGATGAGGAAGTGAACCCGCGCATCCCCCCCCATTAACGTCACACACTCAACGCATGAAATTACCTGAAAGTGTGCGCCTCATTATCCCCCATTAGACACACAAAGTCCCCCCGAAAAACGTAAGAATGACAAAAAAAAAATACATGTGGAAAATTCAAGGGAGTCATTCAGCCTCAAATTTCACAAATGCATTCCTCAATGTCTAATTTTGCCCGATCTTGCGTCGCCAGAAAATTGTCTCACACTCGTAATTTATTTATTTTGCCCCCCATTCTCCGCACATCCTCTGGAAATTCTAAACTAGATGGAAAATTATGGATGAAAATTGACTGTGATGGAGTGTGAGGGAATATTTTTGGACATTTTATTGCCTCCGTCGAGCCCTAGCACCATATTTTCCATACATTCTCACTAAACGGCGACAGAGGAAAAGCGCGCACGTTGTCTTTTTCCGGAAAATGCGTTCAAGTGCATGTCTCAACTGCACCACGGATCACTCACTTGCGCATTTGCTGGCTTCAGAGTGTCTCTCTTGGCGCGCCACAGAGTCAGCCAAGGTTGGGCAAATTTGTATTGTGAAAAATTGTGTACAAGAGGAAAATTCCTCAAAAGCCCATCAATCTCTTTAATGAATCTCCTTCTCCCCTTTGATCGCAGCGGAGATAATATGCAGATGAATCTGCCCTCACAGCATAAAAAAAAGAAGCGATATGATGACGAGAGATTCTTTGTGGCAATGTGTGAAGCTTCCCAAATTACTCACTTCCCTCACACTTCGCATATATCAATGCTGATATTGCAAATTCACATTCCTTTTTCTCTCCTCTCAAGGCGATTCTCTCTCGACTGTTCCAAATAATTGACAAACATTTTCCAGAGAAAGCTAATTGAGTACAACTTCTTACTTTAATGACTCGCCCTTGTTTTTCATCTCTTGAGCCATCGTTGGCTCAAGTCCAAGCTGACTTTATCTATTTTGTCTCCTAACAATTTTCATTGCGCCTTTTTGTTCATCCTCCTCATCGGCGATATGCGAAAAGTCTCATGAGTTTCATGGTGTTTTTGTCATCTCAACACACAACTCAAGAATGAACGCGCGTCTCAATATTCGCATGAAAATATCGCGCGAATTTCACATGGCACAAAGGCAGTGTTGGAGGAAACCATGTGTCTCAATCATTCCCTCGCTCATTTTTATCACAATCCCGTGTATTTTCTTGTACGAAACATCCAAAATGTCTCTTATTTTATTTTCCTTTGCCTCTTTTATTTCATTTTCTTTATAGATTTTTCTCTCTCTCTCTTTCATTTTTGCTCTCTTCAGCTGTTTTGGTCGCGATAATGGAGGCTTTTGGCAAAAACATTGAACAGTGAGGAAGAAATGACTTCATACGCTCACCACTATCATGCATCATTCTAATTTCGATTCTAAAGTATGATTTTTCTCTCTCGCTTTCTTCACACCTTTTTGTCCTCGCCACTAATTTTAGTTTGCTTTATTTTTTTCTCCACCACCCCAGTCGAAACCATTTGTGGATTCACGTTCCTCATCCTCGTCCACCTCATCGGGATTCTCCCTGTTTCGCTGGTTCCGCCGAAACGAGCGCATCAGATCCAAAGTCACCCCCATTTCAGAGCCCACAGACAATGGCCAGAAGTTCAACAGTTCGGAAACACTGAGTCCACCGGAAAGTCCAAATCTCAGTCGAGGATACAAGTCACAGAGCTCTAGCTGTGATAGCATTTTGAGCACAGAAACAACAGGATTTGCTTTTGTGCCCGTCACATCCTTCCATCCGCCCACAGAAGCTGACAATCAGGTGAAATATTCAACATCACTGCGTCATTAAACAACAATTTGCAATATATAAATTATTGCAGTGAATCATGTTCAGAATAAACTCACTGGCATTTCCTTGCAGCCACACAAAGCATCTGGGAGTGATTTGGACACTTTCCGAAGGCGTATCTTAGAGCAAAAGCGCAATAGACAAGTGGAGTTGAATTTGACCAAGAAGTACGGACTCTACGCGACTGACACTCTCAAATCCGTCCGGGAAGATGCCGAGAGAGTGGAATACTCTGATCTGAGCCTGCCCACGCCAGATATTCCAGCGAGATCTCATCGAAGAAGTCACAGCGAGTCCTCATCGAGAACACGAGCGGCCAAAGTGCACGTGAAGGGGAAGAGAAAAGCACCACAGCCGCCAAAGACTGCGGACACAACGCTTCAATCACCCGCCTCGACTCTCGGCCGGAAGAAGCGAAGGGCGCCACAGCCGCCAGAAGCTGTGGAAAATGCCCCAAAATCCATCCTCGCGGGTGGTCTCTTGGACGACAGGGAAATTCAGGCAATTCTCGGAGGATCCACAAAAGTCAGCGAAACAATGGATCGCATTCGCATGCCGGGCAAAGTCGATGAGGAAGTAATCGCCAATGACACTCTCAAGCTCGAGAAGGGAGTTCTGAAGGCGATAAAGCCCGTGGAGGCGAAGGAAGAAGCCAAAGTCACAACGCCATCATCGCCAATCTCGCCTCGTCCATGGTATAAAAGACCCCTGAGTGGTAATCGCGACACCTCAATCCCCTTCAAGAAAGAGGTTATTCTGCGCACTGTGGACAAGAGACGCAATCGCGAGGCAAAAAATAAAGATGACGATGCGCTACCAGAAGTCAACTACTCCAGAAATTCTTCCCTCTTCGATCACAGCAAATTTGGTCTCTTCTCGCGACATCACAACCGTGAAGAGACGAAGCGTCGATCAGGCATTGGAATACCAAATATCAGTGAACTCGATCGAGAGGCAGCTGAGATTGTGCAGCAAGAGAAATCCCGCGGACTGAGTCCTCCACAGGCACTCATTCTCAGGCCACAGATGTTCGCTTCGCCACAATCATCACTTGACGATGATGACGATGAGGATGCGCCCAGGAAGTCAACAAAGGAGCTCATCTCGAAATTCGAGGCATCCTCGAATGGCGCTCGCATCACACTCAACACGTCATTTATTGGGCGTACAGATAACTTTGTCGACAGCCGTGCGAGAGTGACTGCAAACGAAGAGACTATAAATAAAGCAGATGGACTGGTGAACTCTCCAATGGCACAGAAACGGAGTATTTTTAGTGACACTCAGAGGAGTCCACCGAATTCACCAGAAGCCAAGGCCCCAATTGAGGGGAGGGATGACTTGAAGTCCATCGGGATCTGGACATGCCCGTACTGCACTCTTGAGAATCCCAACTGGAGAATCCTCTGTGAGGTCTGCGAAAGAATCAAGCCCTACGACAAGCGTCTCGTGAATCTCATTGAGCCGGAGATAAAGTCACCAACGAGTCAGCAAGTGCGACCAATTCCGGTCACTAAACCGTCCTCACCTAAAGAAAATTGGGAACGAAAGGCAGAAATTGTCAAGAGATACTTTAGTCCCGGTCAAGGTTTAAACTCACTGGCAAAGTCAGCCTCAGAAACTTCAATTGGCAACAAACAGCAACAGAAGAGAACTTCTCCCAGCAAATTGATCGGTTCACCAAAGTTTGGTTTGCGCGGATTCATTCAGCGATACTCCCCCGAAAAGACCAAGATCGACAAAGTGGTGAACGAAGAGGACAGCGATGTGGATCAGAATGAATTCACTGCCATATCAATGGGCAGAGATGGAACACCAGATTTGGAGGAATTGAGGCAAGTGCGATTGAATCGATTCAGAATGGAGAAAGCAGTGAATCCTCTGACTGACCGAGACTCTCTGGAGAAGGAGAAGAAGCGTCTCAGAGAGATGATAAGAGCCATGAATGCCAAGGCTTTGGCAGAGAAATACCCTGTTATACAGAAGGCAGCATCCTTAGATGAAGCATCGTCGCCACCATCAAAGGGAGCCATAAGGAAAACTTACCCAAAGACTGATCTAGTCACTGAAGAGATAAGACAAGAACCCGAGAAATCATCCAAAGTCTCCAGTTCGGCACAAACTGGAGCCATTCTTAAGAAGACACCAACACCAGACCCAGAAGAGAATTCACAGGAGCAACAGAAGAAGCCAACAGAGCCCATGGAGCCCATCTATGTTAATTTAAATTGTCAGGTGAATCATGTCAAGTTTTCAGAGGTGGAAAAGGCAAAAGTTGATGAACTTACAGAACAACTGAAGTCAGTTAAGGGACGAGAAGAATTCAAAGCTACGCTCAAATTTTCCGAACTCTCTTGTCACACAGACACTTTGGCCATTAATAAGATTATGAAATCCCTCGAAATAGCCATAGTTGAAGGACAACATGAACTGGCGGCAACTCTTGCCCAGGATTTAGCTAAAATGAAAGTCTCTTTATCCGTAACGAGACAAAAATCTCGACCACTCTCCATTACAGATATGGACATGAAACCATTCATGTAAGTCACTTGAAAATCACACTAAATCAGAAAGAAAAAAAATTATATTTTATTCTCTTTCAGGATTGATTTGTACGTGGAGGACAAAGTGGCTCATAAAGGACCTCTGCAGATATCCGTAACCACCCAAATGACTCTCATGGAACTCAAGGAAAAAGTTTCTAAGGATTTTAGCATCCCGACTGATGTTCAAAGATGGATTTTAAACGATCAATTAGCCACGGATGAGGCTAAAAAGCTTATCGACTACAGCATAAGAGACAGTTCGGCGGTAATCTATCTCTATCTAGTCACTCCGCCCGCAAGGAAACCTAGTCACAAGGATCCGATGAAGTATTTCCTCGCTGAGGAAGATCAATTCAGCATATGCGACTCAGATGAGGAGATCCAGAACGAAAAAGTCACAGTGGACGAGGGGATGAATGAGGAAGTTGGAGCAATAGCTCTTCCCACACCAGAAGAGACGTCAAACACCCTCGAAAAGGGATGGTCTTGTCCTCTCTGCACTCTCATTAATTCTCCCACTCGCATGGGATGCGGAGTGTGTTCTGAGGCTCGTCCTTTGGACTACATCCTTCCACCAGAATATCACAAACTCGAGAAGACACCCGAAGCTTTGAAGGAAAAGGTGGATAATGTGATACTGCGTCCACTAGAGCGGAAAAACGATCTGAATCGTGTGAATCCCAATAGAAAGTCTGCAGAACTCTTCAATATAGTTCAGGAGGAGATTCGCATGAGAACTTCGGGTTCTCAAGAGCCTAGTCCCAATATTACCAAGAACAAGTACCGAGGAGTTTACAATTACAATCCAACCACAAAATATACTCAAATGCCTAGTCGGCAAACGACTGCTAAAAGAGAGCCCAAGAAAATCGCTCCACAGCCGCCGAGTCTCCACAGAGAACTTCTCAATCTTGACAATGCAGATCTCGTGGCAAATATTGAGACATTTGAGTGTCCAATTTGTTTTATGAAATTTCAACCTGGCGAGGGTGCAATTCTTCGCGATTGCCTTCACACTTTCTGTCGCGAATGCCTTGGGCACACAGTTGAGTACAGCGAAGATGCCGAAGTCAAGTGTCCCTTCATGAATGCCGTCTATAGTTGCGACTCAGTGTTGCAGGATCGCGAGATTAAAGCTCTCGTCACGCGAGATTTGTATGAAAAATATTTGGCCAAATCCGTGAGACAGGCTGAACACAAAATCGAAAATGCCTTCCACTGCAAGACGCCAAACTGTCGAGGATGGTGTATCTATGAGGACAACGTGAATCTATTCAAGTGTCCCGTGTGCAGGATCACAAACTGCCTCACATGTCAGGTAAATATAGCTCAATTCTTCATTAGAAAATACTCTGTGAGACATTCAACCAGGAACAAGTCGTGAATCATTAAATTTTACATCGAAACTCTTCTATTGTACTTGAACTAATCAAACGAACAGGAACCATAACTTGTGAAAGTATTGATAGTGAGCCAATTGGATTCTTGCCAATTTTTTGCCAAAAAGAATATTGTTGCAATTTGTCAGAGAAATTAACCTTTTCCGCGAAAGCTAATAAAACCCGAAGATTTTTTTTGTATAAATACTACAAGCATCACTAAACTTGCCTCATCCATTTCCGGAACAGGTCATCCACGACGGTCTCAATTGCAAGCAGTATCAGGATCGGATGAACAGCGACTGCGACAGCAATGCAGATGCTCGGCGCACGAAAGAGATGCTCGAGATGATGGTGGACAAGGGCGAGGCGATGAAGTGTCCCACATGCCAAGTTGTCCTGATGAAGAAGTGGGGCTGCGACTGGCTCAAGTGTTCAATGTGCAAGACAGAGATTTGTTGGGTCACTCGAGGACCTCGTTGGGGTCCTGCGGGCAAAGGCGACACTTCGGCGGGTTGCAAATGTGGCGTGGATAGCAAAAAATGCCACCCAAAGTAAGACAAAAATGCCACACTTTCCCTTCACCACCTCAAATGTTGATATCCTTTCCAGGTGCAACTACTGCCATTGAGAATGCCCGTGAAAACCCTGCAAGGAAACACATTAAGCAAATATTTTAGACTTCTAAAGCGAACAGTGTGAAAGATTGTGATTTAACATTGAAAACAATATTTTTTAAATAAATATTTCGAGAATATTACCTGACTGCCAAAACTGAGCGTCTCTTCTCCATTGTTGTGTGTATGTGTGGTGAAAAATTCCGCTTTTGTATCATCTTAATCCTTTTATTCAATATGTTTTTCATCTCTCACGAGAGCTCTGACAAAAGAAAATAGGGCTCTCGTCCTCTTCAAGTCATCTACAATCCCACAAGAACACTACAGTGTCAAACTATCGCATAATTCCAGCGCTGGATGTCTCCGTCACTTCACTTCCTGATCCTTCTGTTGTGAAGATAAGTCCTTGGGAGAGATAATCATCAATTCAACTACCCTCCCACAAATTCTAGCCCACCCAATTCCCCAACAGAACATGTCCTATTTCTTCCCCCTCATTTGCAGAATGATCATCATGAAATCAAAATCATATTTGTATGTGCGACATTTGAAAATGAGACTAAGCAAATGACTAAAAATCGTTCACACACACAGAAATTCCTGCAAAAAACTGTCAATAAATCGGAAGGAGAGGGAGAAAATTCACGGGTAATCTGGAAAAGAAACACAGGAATATCCTCAGAGGGTATTTAGAGACGATTACAGGCAATCAAATGTAAAAACACCCACACGTACTCTCTTCTCTTCTAGTGCTCTAGTGTCATAAAACTGATCGGTGATGTGCCTGATCTTTTCCGTCGATCATTTCTCGCTAAATTCAATTTTGCACTTCAACATAATTGGGAATCCCTCAAGAAAAAAAAACAATGTAGATAAAAAAGGCAATATAGGACGAGATGAGATGCAAAAATATGTATGTTCATTTGGAAAAGAGAAAATGAAAAAAGAGGTAATATATAAGACATTTCATCTTATATCCCCGATTTTTCCATTTTCCCTTCATTACGCTCAAATTCAATCTCTCTGTGAAATTCCTCTTCTCACTTCCCTCAATTGTTCTTGCATTTCAATTGGTTTTCTCTTCAGCGATAACGCCTATCGCGGCTTCTTGATCGATCGCGTCGATTCCGATCATGACGCTCTCTGTCGCGATTTCTCTCGCGTTCACGCTCTTTCCTCATTTCATCCATGCGTTTTTGATGCTCTTGCAAATTTCTCCTTCGAGCCTCCTCTTTCACTGCGATCTACAAACAATGCCATCAGTACACTGAACTTCTAGATCCGCACACAATCTTCATCTCACCTGCTCAGCAGTCAGTGGTAGCCAATAAATACTTGGTGTTGTCTTTGTCTTGCGGAAAAGATCATCCAGTAGTCGAATTGGTGGCTCATTCTCCTTCTTGAATTTCCGCGCTGCAATAATTATAACAATATTAGATCATTTCATTGCATTTCCCAGCACTATTAATGCCTTCTCACCCGGCGAAGTTGACAATGAGCGCCTTCGCTCGCGTCCAAATCCTCCCTCGTTGCCTCTCTTGACCTCCTCGCGTTCTCTGCTTCGCTCGTGAACTCCACGATGATCGCGTTCCCGCTCCTTCTCCCGTTCATCCCTCTTTCCCACATCCCACTCGCGAATGGGTCTCGTTGGCTGCTCCTAAACATAAACGGCACCTTGCAATAATATCTTGCATCCAATTGAACGCAATTTCAATACTCACCCGCGTTCCGCCTTCAATTCGATCTCTCTCCCATCCCACGATGATCCTCTCGCCACGACCAGCGTCGCCATGCTTGGCCAAATCCTCAGCTGTGGACTCAATCGCCTTCTGCATATCCTTCTCAGCGCCAAAGTCCACGTGAAGACATTTGGGATTGGATGTTGGCCACCGGACGCCATGAAGAGCGTGGCGAGTCTCCACCGCTTGACTGAAAGTATCACAAATTCCAGTAAGATGACCTCAAAATATATTATTATAATAAACTTACTCTTCTGTCTCGTACTGTACGTAGCATTTTGACTTAATCTTGTCAATCCAGAAGCCATTTTCCACAATTCTCCCCGTTCTGGCAAGCAATCCCTTCAGCTGAAGCACTGTGAAGGGTCTCACGAGATTTGTAATGAATAAAATGCAGGAAGAAATGTTCCTGGGCGGACTCGGAGGTTTCACTGTCTTGCCAATATCGTCAGTTACAAGCAAAATCTTGCGATTTAATCCAATTGGATGGGCGACTTCAGTCGATGCTCTCACTGTCTCTGAGTCAGAAATCTTCTCAACCACAATTGGTGCCTCTTTCTTCTCCTTCGGCGACAACGGTCTCTCCTCATCACTCTCATTATCCTCCTCATCCGCTCCACCTTCAGTGTCCGACGTCAAATCCAATTTCACATCCACCAGTGGAACTGGCTTTCCATCCGCAATTAATGGCTTCAGAGAGTCTGTAGAGATGGCCAGGATGTTCTGAGTGGAGGGTTTCCGTGACAACCAACGACGCTTCCGCTTCGCCTGTTCATCTACATTCGCCTTCCCGTCATTCCGCGTCAGCTTCGTCACGAATGTCACTTCCGGGGCTTTAGCCTCCTTCACAGGTGACTTTGTCACCTTCACCGGCTCCTCATCCTCGCTGTTGTGTTCAGATTTGGAATGATTGTGGTCAGGCGACTCTTTCGAGTGCTCATCCACAGAATCATCCGCTTTGCTGCCATCGTCAATCATCTGATGGGGCAATTCACCGTCCTCGGGTGAGCTTGACCTCTTCTCATCATCCTCATCCTCGCTCTCCTTTTGCTCCTCCACCGATGGCGTCTTTAGGCGACGCTGCTCCTCTTCAATCGGTCGCTTTTCTTCTTCCTGAACATTCGACTGCAGACTTTGGGCTCCAGTCTCCTCCCGGTCGGCCTCACTTGGCTGTTCGGGACTCAGTGTCTTCATATGGACATCATCATCCTCATACAACTCGCATTGCTCGGGACTGGAGGTTCGTTGTGGAAAACCACTTTCACTATCCTCAGTTACATGCGGCTCAGGATCAGCTGCAACAATTTCTATGCTTACCTTTTCACCCCCATTTTCCTGTTCCGCATCATCATCATCATCATCATTTGTCTCGTCGGGCAGAGTAATCTCAGTCACCTTTGGTTCCTCGACCTCGGGCTGCGGCGCCTCCGGTTCACGCTGAGGCTCCTCCTCTTCTTCTTCCACCAGAACCGGCTGCTCAATTTTCTTCGGTGCTCCGCGCTTCCTTGCCCGAGATTTTGGTGTCTTCACATCACGTTCTGATCCCGAAGACGCCTTGGAGCGCGCTCCACGTCTCCCGCCAGTGCGCCGAGTCTTCTTCGGTGAGTACTCCTCCTCACTGTCAGAGCTCGTCTCCTCCTCGGATTTGTAATACTCATTCACAATTGCTTGCTCCACGGGAGACGCTCGGCCACGTCGCGTGGAGCGCCGTGTGGCCTGCGGCTTCTCCGGGCTCTCGCTCGAAGTGTTCGCTTTAGTTTTGCGGCGCATTTTCCCCAAGTAAACGCAGTCTCTTGGCTTTTCTGCGTGAAAAAATTCATGGATAGAGTCGCCCTCCATTGAAAACGCCCCGGCGTCAAAGCATCATTTTCAATTGTCTCCAACACTTACCCCTGATGACTTTTCGGCAGGTTTTCTACTCTACCACGTTCACTAAACACCTCTGAAGTGATTAATGTACAATTTCAGAGCGGAAAATGCGTAAGTGCTGCAGAGAAATGTGAAAACTTTTTCACAAACTCAAGTTGCGTGTATTTTTTCTCAGATGCGCTGTCAAACGTTGTCTTCTAAGTGACGACAGCGCCTCGTGCGATAGGGTTCTGAAACGTGTTACTGCGAAAAAACGGCAAATGCGGCGAAGTGATTTTCTATGGGGCGATCGCCATGTCTGCTTTTGCATTTTCCGCTCACGAGTTTGCTTTGCGTTTTTAATTTTTCTCAATTTTGCATGCTATGGAGAGTGTATGTATTACAAAGTTAGTGTACGTCGTGCCAAACACAGAAATAAGTAGGATCTGGGCGAAACTCGTGTTGGGTGAGAAAATACACTAAATGTCGCAATGACATTCCTTTGATCTTTCTTCTATTTTGGAATAGGATATCACCTGGATGTGAGTCCTGAAACGGTATACCTTGAATTTGCAAGAACCAACCAATACCTCAAGAAGGAATATGAAATCCTGCAAAGCGGACAGAAGCCAATACATGTTGTGAACCTTGCGCAGATCATCAAGTCTCTTGGTAAGTCTTTTAATATTCTTCTGGGATTTTCTTCTCATAGTTTCGCCGATTTCTAGCTGAGAACTATCAGCAGAGTGGGATACTGAACAGATCTTTGGTGCAGGACTTGATGAAGAATCTGGGTGTTCCGTGTGTGGAAAAGAGTCAGCCGATGAAGAGAACCTTCACGAATACAGACCCAAAAAATCAGGACAATGAGCTGATTCCAGAAGAGGAACGTGGCAGAAATTTGGAGACAGCTTCTCAGCCAAAGAAATTGGTCAGACTGTCTATAGCCAAGCCTAGACAAAATCATGCCATGAAAGAGTCCTTCGTGGAGGAAACAAAAGCAACTCAATCATCCGGCAGTCCTCAAGTAGGATTGCCATCCTCATCTTTGCCTGAAGACAATCAAGCTCAATGCATAATTGACGTTAAGAATGGTAACACCTGGATATCATCTCCAGGAATTGAAGCCGTACTTCAACACATCCTCTCATTTATTGATGCATCAGAATCTCAGGAAGCTTAATAAACAGAATTATATGAGTTTCTTGAAGAAATCCACGATATGATATTGTTAATTCTTAGCAATCCTAAAGCAAAGTTAGGACATTAACCATGACTGGAAATTGTTTTTTCTGTAAGAATTTTTCTGAAATCAGAACCGGCTAAAGTGATTAAAACTACACCAAAAATTCACCCTTCTTGACTTACATGAGAATTGTGAAATGTGTATATTGATATTCATCATCGACCAAATAAAGCTCTTAAGTAATTTAGAAAACATCCCTTGAGAAACAATAAAACGTTGCGATAGATTTTCTGCGAGAAATTGAATTTTCATATGATTATTTTGAAGAATTTGTATCATTAAAAGCTATTTTCCGCACGAGGCAACGTATTGATAAAGAGCATGTTTTCCGATGAGGTGGAACATTAGGGAAATGGCAAGAGCGCCCGACGAGAGAGGTGAACGGAATGCGCTGTGGGGTGTTGAGAATGCCACGAATACATCCATCGCACGTAATCAATTGAATGTGGTGCAGAGAGTCCTCAGAAAGACAATTTGTCTGATAAATCAGGGACATAAATTGGAATTTCCATCATCACTCAACATCACCGTGTCATCATCAGTCATATATATCGATTATTATTGTTCTCCGCACAAGCATTATCTGCATGTGTTGTTCTGCATCGGGTAAATATTGACTCGACTTCATCCCTCGGGTTCACTCACTTTCCGGTCGAGAGAGTCAGTCAAAGGTGGGGCTCCAGGGACGTCTTGCATTGTTGTGTCATTTTGAGGGAATTCCGAAGGGGGACAGTTTGCGTGGGGCGTAAATTATGTTTATCTTCTGTTTTCGATATTGTTCTCCATTTTTTAATCGTAAACACTTTTGGCTCATTGAAATATAAAAATGTAAAAATTTGTGTTGTGTAATTCTTGGAAAGGCTCCAATGGAAAATTTCACAAGTCTCGCTAATGTTGAAGATAAAATTCTTGGGGCGATTTTCTTCCTTGGTTAGAACCGAGACGCTTTACTGACACCCCTTGAGAGGTTGTTATTCCATGAGACGCTCGAGGAATTTTCCGGAGATTCTTCGAGATGGAATTCTTGTTAGTGTGGAACTAAGCAAATAAACTGTGACAGAAATCTTCCCCTAAGACGAGACCCGATTTTCGTGTGGCATTTTCCTTGGCAGTCGGGCATCAGGATGCCAAGCTCCATCCCTGTGGGAGCCATCAATTGACATTCTAGTCACACTGGTGTGTTCCTTCAAATAGGCTTCGCCTGCCCGCCCACCGGGTGCATGTGGGCCGAAGCAGGGCGTCCGGAACAAGAGGCAATAATTGGTCGATGTCGGAGTGTGAATGACGATTTTTGATCGACGTGCAAATTTGGAGAAAGGATGGGAGAAAGTTCACATGTTTTGGCGGGGTTAGATCACATGCTGTCGCCTATATTCGACACCCTATTTTGTCGGCGGATGGGTAACTGGAGCTGACACGATAAAAACGGCCCAGTGATTCCCATTCTGTTCCGTGTTCCTACAACCGCCCCTTCCGCTATTTATTGCAGCACGAACAAGCAGGAGAGAAGTGAACGTAAATGAATTATTCCCGAGTTATTGAGGGATCAATATGACTCCAGAGGGAATCGTCGCATAACAAGAGCCACAAATTTTATTCCCGATTTTCTCATGCAAATCACCAACCCACTCATTCTATCAATGATTCAAGGGAGTTTCGCTCATTTTGCCTCTTCGCATCGTCCTTCTTCCTCTTCAACGGGCCACAAAGCGCAGAAGGATCTTTTTCCGAGATTCCTCTGTTCGTCGCTTTAAAAAGAGGCGCCAGAATTGCATGCGACTCCCATGCAATTGAGTGAAAGTCTGCGCATGGCGGTGAATTTTCCAGCAAGTGTGTTTTCCCATCCACCCCCTAAACAATCCTCAGTCCTTGCTTGAGTCTCAACGATGGTGGGTGCTTGTCAGCCAGTGTGTTGAAGCCACTGAGAAAGTTATATAGCAGGAGTGCGATATATAAAAGCATCAATATTCATAGTGAGACAGTTCAATCGCACCAAAAGTGTCCACTCCAATAATGATTCGTCGGATTCGTCTCTAGTTCTTGTTGAGAGGATCTGTGTGCAGGAAAGCCAACACATAAAATCACCCCTTAAAATAGACGCTGAGCGCCACAATGAAGGACACATATCGGAATTGTAGAGCCACGATGGGAATTGGAATGATTGTCGTATTTCTTGCCGGTGAGTGTTGGTGTGTCAAAAAATTGCAATTCCATCAATTTCACGTATAAAATTGGGAGTCCTTGAACTCCCACTGGCATTTTCGTCACCCAATCCAAATGCTGTCGGCACAGTTGAAAGAAGGCAAAACTTTAGTCCACCCACTCGATTGGATATCAAATTTTATGGTGAATAAACAATAATGACAAAACAATTAACTTGAGTTGTCCAACAACACTCGCTGAAATGACTCTTTCAATTTATTGCATCCAGGGTGCGGATGAAAAGTAATACGGGGAGCATTATGCCAATAAGCAGGGGTGAAGATTGGTTGTGCATTGGTAGACAGAAAGGGAGAATATTTCATCATTCAATTAATTATTTGCTGCCACTCAGACAAAATACACTGGTGGCCAATCAATGGGGAAAAAGGGAAGCCACATTAATGCCCCAAACACATACACTTGGTCACTTAACTTTCACCAGATGCGGGTGTCGAGTTGAGGACTCCATAGATGGCAGATAACGAAGTCGGACTTGTAATTAAACACTAATTATCACTACTTGAACAATTCTCTGCATAATAAGGGCGGAATGTTTCACTTAATTATAGTCTCGTAATAGTGAAGTTGATAACATATTTTCTGCTTTCCATTCCAGCATCCCAATTAAGTTTGTATTGAATTTTCGATTGGAACTTTCTATTGAAAAGTTTGTGAGATGAGCTATAAGTTTGACTCCTGTTGATGACGCATTTTGGGGAAATTGTTTGAGAAATTGCGATCTTAAATATGCTCTCGTGCATGAAATTATGCACTGCGGCTTTACATGGGATCCAATTGTGATACTTTCCTCCTGACGTACTGAATGTGGTTGGGAACAATGCCTCTCGCCAGTGGCACAGTAATTTACAATTTCGAGGAATTTCAATATAAACCACTCAAGAATTAAATAAACAATCCCATTCATAGAAATTTAATTAAATTCCTCGCGCTGTAGCTTTTCCATTTGCGTCTTGCCCGCATCGTGCTTTTCCTCTCTATGTATGCAAACTAGAATGGTGGCGCTTTTTCAAAAAAATCAACTCTGTTCGAGTGATGCGAAAATACGTGATAAGATGAAGGAGTCTATTATAATGATTAGCAAAGTTTTATTAGCAAACTTTACATGAATGTTTAACGATTTAATCAATTTTTTTTATGTACACCGGGATAAGCTTTTTGCACGGAAATCCACTGCAGTGTCGCACACTGTTGGGGGTCGGGAAGGAAGCTGTATTTAGGGGTGAAAAAAAAAGAGACGAACGAGGAGGAAGAAAAAAAATCAATGAAATGAGAATTCACTTCGCGAAGAATGTTAACAAACTCGTAAATTTGTGCTTTCTTCGCATTCTCCTGTGGCAATATTAAAGTGAGGACGAGAGATATGTTGAATGAGTGCGTCATTTGGCGAATAAGTATACGGGGATCCACTATTCTTCTGGCATCAACTTCCTCTTCCATTTATGGTGGGTTACAGCGTCAGAGCAGCAGCTGATCTCAATTTTGTGTAGACGACACGACTTGCAGACGCCGTCCGACTCATCCCACATGAGAAGTTCGCTTTTGTGTCTCCCTTCGGTCGCCCACCCCGCAACACAAACTCTTGGGGGAAGTGTAGGAAAAATTTTCCTATGTTTGTGGATTGCACAGCCATGGCCGAATGGGTGGGACAGGGCGGACGAAATCATTAGAGATCTGCTCTGTTTTGGAAGTGGATCTACAGAAATAGACACACACTGACTTGAGGCGATTTATCGAGGCCTGGGTCAATTTATCGTGATTGCTTATTTTGAGGCATTTCCTGATTGCTTATCGAATTTGGCCCCTAAATATCTCTCGCCTCACCTGCTCGGTCATCGCCTCGGCGAGGGAGTCAAAAGGAGGAAAGATAAACACTCTGGCTTCTGCCATAAATTCACTTTTTTTCTGCCACAGCACCGAGCTATATTCGCACAAGAAACTAATAGAGTCCATTAATGGAGATGGAGAGAATGACTTAAGCTCGTCATGAGGGGGAAACTTTAAGACAACATGAATTTTTTACTTGAATTTCACTCGTGAAATTCAGAAACGATAAAAATCTGAAATTGCACTTTAAAGTTCATGACGAGGGAGAATTTTGATACTAACATTGGGATATTTATGAGATATATGCCAAAAGTATTCAGATTATAGGATAGAAACACCATCAAAAATTTATTATTCAACATATCACAGGGGATTTTAGCAAATTGTCCCAACTTTATTTACCATAGAATAATTCCATGACAAAATGCTCTTGTTCAGTGATAATTTTCATAGATTCAACCGCTAAACCCTTTTTATTGCTGCACAGCAGCTCTTGAAAGTACATAAAAAATCAAATTTTCAATATAGTCAAAATTTATTAACGAAATAACACCACAGGAAATTTAGTGAGACAATAAATAAAGGCTTTCGGTTATAATTGAAATAAACCATGTCATGAGATTAAAGGTCTTAAAGGTGGTTTTGGTACAATAGATAATTGAAACAGTGATGCTCACAATTAATGTGGGAATTTCAGAATGTCAAAATAATTGCTCCAAGAACGTATTGTTCTTAGCATATGATATAATCAAAGGTCTAGTAAGACGTACATCATATACATATGCTTTCGTCTATACCTTTTCACCAAAGCGGTATAACGTGAATTACACCCACAAGCTCAAAAGCGAGCTTTAGATTATTTCTGCACTTTCATGTGGTTTCAGAGGAACCTCACTAAATGGAACACCGTCTTCGTGCTTTGCCCTAAATTGTCTCGTCACTTTAATTGAATTTGCCACTTTTATTATTCTCTTCCAAATTGAATTCTTCCTAAGGCAGTTTCTTCCTTGAAATTCCAGTGAAATCTTTCCGGGAAATTCTACGAAATTTCACAAACCTCTCTCAATGCTCAGCGAGAAGCCAAAGCTCTGTGTACAAGTGAGTGTGGTTGAAAATAGATGATTTTCCCTGACACCAAATCAATAAAAAAAAGAGCACTCATCGCGAGATTGAAGATTTTTTCAGAGTCATCGAGACGCCACTTTTGAAATTGATTTACCAGAAAAAGAGGAACGACGCAAATTTTCACAGAAACAGAATTCAAGTGGGGTGGAATGTTGAGGGCGGAAAATCCTGGAGATTTCCCGGTGATCAATAGTTTTCTCGTCACCCCTCAGATGCAATAAATAGCAAAGTGCGCCGAAAATTGGTCGATGGAGAAAAGTTTATCCCCTCGGAAAGTCATTGTATTTACTCATGGGCCTCGCATATTCGCATTTTCTCGTTTTTTCTCCTCTTCCACTTCATTTCCTCTAATAGTTTTTCCACGACGCCAGAACGCTCCTATGTAGAGTGTTCCTTGCGCGCTTTCTGAATGAAAAAGAGGAGCGATATATGTGTATCTGTGTACCTTTTGGGTGAACTTTCTGGGAACTTTTCCATTTTTGGCGTGCCAGAGATGGTGTTTGGGAGCACTTCGTCGCATGTGGAAAAATATTTTCCATTTACTTCAGGAATTTCCATTACAATTTGCACACTGAAAGCGTCGCAGCAAATTTCCAGTCCCTTCACATTGACGATTGAATCTGATATAGAGCGGGTCAGTTAACTCATGCACGTGTGATTGCACGGTTTTCCTTCAGTCTGATTGATTACAGCCATTAAAATTGATGACACTGCTCATAAATAAATTCAGTCTATTTTTCAACAACAATTCAATAAATCTCCCACCGTGCTATTCATCTCTGCCTTTTTCTGCCCATCGACATTACAAAAGAAGCTTTCGCTCGGAGAGAAATGGACGGAGAACAACTCTGAAAAAGGACTCGCAAAATCTCCCCGATTATCACATTATTGCGCAGCATCCCACACACAATCAGCATTGAAATTTCAATTTAAATATTCAATTAACATTCCCCAGAAAGAACTGATCTAATGGAGATGGAAAAGTTGTTCGATGCGAGGGATGCAAAAAAGGCAGGGAAAATTGATGGTTCACTGGAATTCCCATTGAAAATGTATAGGATTGCAATCAATAATTCAACAAATGGAGCAACCCGAAATGCTGCATATCAGTTAATGGATGCACATGGAATATCTCTGAAATCAGAGAGGGTATTTCACTAATCAATTCATTGGGCCACTGGAAATTATTGCTAAGTATGAAAATCCTCCAACTCCCAAAGGGAGACAATATATATTTCACGTTCATTTGTACACAAGTGTATGAGCATTATTTGGAAATTCGCCAAGCATATTAACACTAGCTTGATTCTTGTCAAATATTGGATGATTTTGAGAAGGAAATTCGTTTGCCTTCTATTGTTTATTCGCATGAGTCGGATTACTGACCGCCAACGTTCTGCTATGTATACGCTAAATAGCATCACGGAAAATGTTAGAATATTCACTGTTATGAACTTTGTTAATGCACAAACACTTGCTAAAATAGTTTTCTCTGCATTACAGTACAATCAAGAGGGCACATTAGTTCTCTCCAAACTACCTGAAGAATATACTGTTGGTATGCAGAAAGATGCAATTCAAGTATTGATTTTCTTCGTGTGCCACAACCTGTGAAAAGAATAACTCGCATGTGTAGAGAAAAATTAGGTGATAACAAGGAAAAATTGCAATAATAAAACCAGACACATGAGAGAGAAATAAAGCCCGTGCTAATTCTGTATGATAATATCATGGTTTTGGGGGAGATTTATCTTGGATTTGTGCGAATAACACGAAATAATTTAATGAAATGGTGTACAAAAGTTTCATATTAAGAGCTTTCCCTCATACATGTTGTGATTTCCCCATTTTATTCTCTCTTACAGAATTTCATTTTATGAGGGAACAAGCCATAATTGACTCTCCTTCACTCTGTCGACGATGTTTGCCACTTTCTTCGGTATTTCACCCTCTATCTAAACATGTAGGTTATCGTGGTTACGTGACACACTACGAAAGACAGAGAAAAATGCACACGGAGAGTGAGAATCTTAATGGATTATTTCCATGTGCGACAGACGATGAAGGTGAAAGGAGCCCCAAGTTATTTTTATTGCTCCAAGCCTCTCCTTCTTCATACGGCTTTGGAATCAATTCTGTGATCGATTGACGTCTTTCACCCCCATGTCTTGACCTTTGCCTTCATACGGAGATTCTTAGATTCGGCTAATTAGGAATTTTATTGCAGAACTTGTTGGTCTCTGCCTCTTCCTGACAGTCGTTTTAGAGAAAAGACATTAGAGCCCATATTTTTAGGAGGATTTAGCTAATTAGAATAAGTATCACTGGAAGGTGGTTTTAGGGGCGCTAACAAGTCTAATTAGTCTAGATTTATTGCTCGGTTTCTGGTTGGGGAAAAGCAGTCTGCAAAACGCTTGCGCCTTCCTTCTAACGTGCTCGTTTAGCAACCTAAGAAAAACCCTCCGAATTTAACCATCTTTAAGGAAACTTTCTACCATAAATTTGATTTCTTTTCCCTTTTTAATCATAGACGCTGTTGTATTAAGAGAGGATAACACGAGTCTCCTTCATCTTCAACATCAATAAAAGCCCCATAAAATTTGCACAAGGATGTGAAATCTCTACCACAGCAAAAAAGGGATTTCATGGTGCACAGACGGGATTCAAAAGCCATGGGGATGCCTCAAAGCTTAGAGCAGTCCCTTTAAGAAGAAAATATTACCATTTTTGGTGGCGCAATGAACGTGGTCAGAATTTTGAGTTGAGAGAAGGAGGGATGGAATCTCTTCCCCTTTGCAATCAAAATACCGAGACATAAAATTACACCCAACATAACACAACAATAAATAATCTCTGTCGTTTTGCCAACATGCCTTTTCCCAACTGGAGGTAAAAAAGGTGCAAATGTAGCTGTAAAAAGTTTATAATCTCTGTGAACTTTTATTCCCTCGCCAAGAGTGGGCTGAGAATGTGGCAAATCAGAAGCCAGACGCCGAAGCGGAAGAAAAAGATGTCATAAAATGCTCCACTTTTCACCCACAATGTCTTCTTCAATTAATAGCAAAGGGAGGATGAAGTGTACAACGATGGGGCAAAATGAAATAATAAATTGATTTAAATTTTCACCACCGAGCTCATAAAGTCGCCACCACGGAAAAGCACCCTTAGAAGGCCAACCCCTCGGCATCCGCCCACACTCACTAACAATGTGGGCATGAGATGATAAAATGTGAGAAGAATGTGAAAGAAAATGAGAAGAATGTTAGCAACATAATGGAGAATTATAATGAAAATATGCCTCTAAATTCTCCCTAAATGTATTTAACACAAATCCCTCAAGTGTGAAATTTGCACGCTCTTCAACCAACTTTCACGCCCCAAAAATGCTGTCCTTCGAAATCCCTCCCAAGTGAGAGGATCATGCTCATGGCAAATTTCCCTTCGCAAAGTCCGGGGCAAAAATTGTTCTCATAATCATACAAAATCACCGAATCCTCTAGAAATAGTCTCTGGAGGCGATGGTGAGAGATGGAGCTTGTTGATTTTACATTAATCGGATCAAATGGATTTCTCCTTTTTCCGTTCTCACACCCAGCTTAGCAAAAGCTCTCGCCTGAGGCATTCAACTGGTCAAATAAGGAGTGCAACGAGAGGAATTGTATCACATCTTCGACCATTCCACAATCACAAATGGTCGAATAGCTTTGGGATAGGTTGAGAGAAAACTGTTTATATAGGATTGGAGTTTGAATGGTCCAGTTGAGTTTTAGGAAATTATCTTTTCTTCGGCAGAACTTCTCTCTATGATTTTGAAACTATACTTGGAATACAGCATCATATTACTTTATCTTGCAAAACTCCACTTCAAAGTTTCAAAGAAATCCCAATGAAAAGTTTCTCAGATCTGCTGTGAGCTCATTTAATTTGTCAAATTAAAATATACGAATATTTTGAACACAAAAGAGATTCGCAAATTAGTTTACAATGAAAATTCATTGAGCTTCATGTTGGTAAATCGTGAATATGCCGTAAATTACATGCTAAATGTGAATTTTCGTGTGGGAAAGGATTAAATTAAAATCCAAGCTATTCTTAGAATGCTCCGAAATTATTCTGGAATTCTCGACGTATTGTATAACATTAAATTTCCGAATTAAATATACATACATGTTGTATGCTTCAACTCGAACATACATATTTCCACTTAAGCAGAATGTCTTATGTAGAACAACATTTTTCCATCCGGCTCATACAATAGGAATCCTCCGCAAGGTTAAATCTTTAAAATACGTTGCATATTTCAGCTCTAAAATCAAATTTAAAATCCCTCTTTCTTTTTTCCTATATATTGAACAATCTTTCTTGAATAAAAAGTAGAACATGCGCAATTTTCAGGGGGTGAATTTATTCATAGCAGTCTAGATCAATTCAGAAAATAGGCATGAGTGAATTTCATGCATATGAAAATATATAAATAGAATTTGAGACGAAGGAAAAAACTAGACACAGAAACAATAAAGTTGAAAACCCCCCGGGAAAATATTTGCGAAGATGGCAATGGCAAAAGCAGCAATTTTTGATATTATCCACCCAGAAAGTTCTCCTAATGAAGTATGAATGGTGTGTCTCCAGGCAGAGTCGCTTTTCCGCCGCGCGTATCTAAGGAAATTGAGTATCCAATGAAGTGATTCAATTCACAGAATTCCTCCACTTAATATTATTTAATATGTATATTTCGTTAAAGGTCTCGGTTTTCTTTGTGAATGACTGGAATTTAATATCACCCATCAAGTGTTTTCTCAACTGTGACTGAGAGAACATGAAAAAATATTCCTCTGGGAGATAATTATACTGCGCAAATAAAGTTGTATCGGGTATTGAGAGTTTATTGATGCTCAAGGGGAATGTTTCAATGGGGAATGTTTAGTGAAAGGTGGAATGAAATTGAGGTGTGTGGGGGTTGTGGTGGTGTAATGAATGTGAAAACTTTATGACAGAATATTCCCCGGGGAAAACAAGAGGAATGTGACGAGATTTTCTCATTGAGCATTTCTGTATAGAAAGTCGTGTTGGCGGGTTCATTTGAAGCACAAAATACCATAATTCAGTCACTGTGGGAAAATTAAATTGCCACTGGGGTGAAATATCTCATGAAATGTCTGTATTTTCTCTCCTCTTTCACAGGCTTTACCTCTGAAGCTGCACATCACGAGAAAATTAATCTACAGCCACCTGTTCTTGAGGTGGTGAAATCCGTCAATGATTCTTTCATTGTGACGTGCAACGCACAAAATAACGTCATGGCCGTTCGATGGCAGAATCCAAAGAGAGGCTCAATAAGGGAGCGCAAAGGGCGCATTCACACTGAAGAAATCCGGGGTGAGTCTCTGAGGAATTTTCAATTAAATGCGCTCCACCATATAAATCTCATCTATCTCTCTCGCCAGATTCCCTCGCCCTTGTCTTCGAGCACATCACACTTGCCGATCGAGGCGAATGGAGCTGCCTGGGAGACGATATCGAAGACATAAAAAGCTCCTTCAGAATGATTGTCAACGGTGAGAGATATTCTGTGCCATTTCACACGCAAAACATAGCCATCAACCTTGTCACGGAAGAGAGAGAGCTCTCGTCTGCACCACAAACAAATTCTTTTGCATGCAAAAACTAACAACACAATTTGCGATAACACAATTACCACCCCTTTGTTCCACCCCTAACACTAGAGCCACCCTCTGAGTGTGGCATGTAGTGCTACTGTGTATAGTTGGAGATGAAATGTGAAAAATACATAAACATGACGTGAATTTTAATAGGAGATTTAGAAATCTACAGAGTGACGCGTGACAGTGTTTTGTTTGAGAAAACGTTAAGCTGAAGATTGTCATTTAATATATTTGATGGACATTCATGATCTATTCAACTTTGCAGAAGGAAAAGTTGCACACAGATTGCGCTTTCCCAGACAGGAGTTGACCATTAAGAGTTAGGACGAAAATTGGGAATATTCAGCTATATTCAAATTCATGTTAAACTTTTAAGTGGAATTTCAAACTACTCTGCATAAAAAAAATATTTGGTAATTTAAGTGGCACACACAAAAACATATGTGAAGTGCTTTATAGAGGATAACGCTTTGATCTCACTAGTTATCGCACATTTTCAATTAATTCAATTCAATTTTATCACATTTCGAGATACACATCAAACCAACCGTGATGGCTTTCAATCAGCAAAAATTCATTGAAAACCATGATGGTGAATAATGAAAACCCCGTTTAATGAACATGATGCTCCTGTCAAAGCCACTTGCAAAATGAAACTGGAAAAATAACAGGATATTCACTGTATAAAACTGCATATATAGCTTAGCGAATAAACAAGAGAAGATAAAATTCTTCTCCTGAATTTTCTTAATGACCTCCATCACAATGTTTTGATTCATTTGGGTTTCCTCAAGACATGAGGTGTTTGAAGTAAATAAAATTTTAATGAATCCCCTCAGGGTGACTCACTCCTTCACATTCTAACAAAGACTATTCATAATTCATAGGGGAAGAGGTTTTGGTGGATATAAATTTTCATTGAAGAATTTTCCTCTTCTTTCCATCCACTCATTTTTCGCATTTCTTGGCATTTTGTGAAAACATCCCTTTTCCCTTCCCACGGGAGTTGAAGATTGAAAAGTAATCCAGCCAATGTTATTTTTTACAGAGGAAATGAGGTTCGTGGATACACCAATTGTACAGCTGGCACGTGAACATCGAGACGCTACAATAAGATGTGAGGTCAAAGGTGATCCAGAGCCTCTCATTTCATGGGATTACAACGGAAAACCCATACAATGTAAGACGTATAAATCATCTTATTTTCGTGGGGTGAATTCCACGGGCAAGCGACACATTTTGGAATACTTTCGGTAAAAAATTCTCAAGGGGGAAAAACACCAATCTTATCTAGCACTCCCTGGCAATTGATATACATTTCTGGAACACTTTTTTCTCCCCCTAGACAGCCCAGCTACAAATTCTACAGACAGAAAATTTATTTCCTGCATTGTGTGTCGCGATTTTCGGATGAAATTTCTGACCGTGAAATTCAGTTTTTGTCGTCAGGCTGTTTTCGATGCAAATAAATTTTCTCCTCACACTCCACTAAGCCCCACGTTTCGCGAAATAGGCCCATGAATAGGTGAACTTGCAGCAGATGGAAGGGATTTTATTGGAAACGGGAGAGATTGAATTTTGCATCGATTCGGATTGTTTTGTGAGATATTAAATCACGGAGTGAAATGGAAAAAAATGTAATAGAGTTCGGGTGAATAAGGAACAAATAAAGATATCCCCATAAATATACAAAAAGGGCTCGCATCAATGAAATGCTTAGAATGATATGTGTAATATTTAGTAAGGATGAACATTATGTGAACGTGTAATTGATATTTAAAATCGATTGTGGTGTAATTAATAGCCAAAATCCGGAACAAGCTTCCAAAATTCGGATGTAATAAAGATCAAATGTTCGATTAATGCTGGTTTCTACAGCTCACAACGGAAGACTCTGTGAGTGTTCACCTTTGTGTATAATTAAATAATAACGAGCTTCTATTAAATGGATAAATGCTTCCCGTATAAATGCGAACTTCTGCCTCTTCCGTCTTTTTTGGCGCAAGCATATGACTCACTTTTCACAATTTATGACAGATTTTCGCGTGGAAAGCACACCACCATTCACATATGAAAAGCACACATCATGAGGAAGAAAGACTAATTTCTATTGAAGTTTATTTTGGCGAGCTTAATTCTGCGAATGTGGAATTGAGTGAAATAAATGGATGAGATTTCATATGAAGAGTGCGAGTTCCACTCATTAATTACGCTCAATATAAATCTGCTCGTTTTGTTGAGGATTTAACTCTCGAGGGGTGAGTAATTAATTGGTTGGGGTGCTTTGACAATTTTTCAGGTGCTTCGCTTGAGCTGCGACCAAATATTCTATGCTGGCAAATTGCACGTGAGGGGGAGATAGAGGGTGAATAAGCTCAGAGGATGCGAGAGGTGTTTTAAAATATTCTCCACACGCTGGAGGATTTAAATTTATTATCCACTTCGCTTTCACATGCATCGAATTAAGGGTCTTTCAATTATTGCTGGTGAATTTATTCCACTGATTTTGTATTCTATTTTGTGCGCAGTTCCACACGAGAAGTACATCAAACTGGCTGATGGGCTGTTCATCAAGAAGGTTCACCGAAACGACAGCGGGGAGTACACTTGCAGAGCATTCCAGGTACGACTAGCGTGTAGAGATAGGGATGGAAGAAAACTTTCCATTGAGACGCTCGGACTATGCGTATTTACGAAAGGGGAAGAACAAAAAATCTGAATTATTTATTGACTTGTTTCTTGAACAAAGTGAATAAGCACCCTTTCCTGGAGATGAGCAGAAAATTCCATTACACTCCGCCACAATGAAATTGCTGGTATTAATTGCGAAACCGCTGAAAATTAATGAAACTTGGTAAAACTTTTAAGTTAGTTTCGAAAGAAGGGCGCACAGATGAATCTAATAAAACACAAACTTAATACAATACCCCAAAAAAGCATGACTGTCTGGGCGATTTTCACAATTCTTCATGGAGATTTACACTTTTCCTTTCAGGTGTCCCCTTCGATAGTCAACAGCAAAGAGCAACGAATTCGACTCAATGTTCAGTGTAAGAAATAAAATCCCCAATGTGAGGTCGAACACACTCAATAGATATTCTCTCCGCAGACAAACCCATCCTCCTGTCTAAGGAGAATATTCAGTACATCTACAAGAATGGGACGATGAATCTCACATGCGAAGCTGAAGCCGAACCACCGGCAAATTTCACATGGTTTCGTCACGGAGAAAATAAAATGGTAAAAATCGATCCTGCCCAGCAGACAATCCACGTGGCCCTGGGCATTTCCCAGCTGGAAATCACTCTGACAGAAGCATCGGTTCTCGGTCAATATCGCTGCAGGGCGATCAATCCTCTGGGCAGAGTTGAACATGATATCTTCCTGAAGGAGGGCGTGAAACCTGATCCGCCGTCGAGCTTTGAATTGCTCGGCAGAAACTCAGTCGTGCTGAACGTGGATGTCGGAGCTCCGAGACAGATGGAGTCCCCGGAAATGAATATCGTTGGCTATCGCTTCCAGATCATGCCCGTGAACGAATTTGAACTTCGCGATCAGGATTGGACTTTAGCGCGTCAAATTGACTTCTCCGTGGAGAACAGGACGACCTATCTTCTGACTCAGCTGGAACCCCAAACCAGGTACATCGTGAGGGTGGCCAGTATAAATCTATCTGGACTGAGTGATTACACGGATCCGAAGGAGTTCAGCACCGTAAGTCACGGGGTGTCGAAGGCCTCCGTCAACCTTCTGGCCTCATCCCTCATCTTCCTCCTTAACTTCGCCTTCTGTCACTTTCTGTAAGCCTCATCGTCATGTTGTCGTTGCATAAAATCGTCGCTTCTTGTGAACCACACACACCCCATAATGTAATAAAAGTGTATTTAAGTACTTAATAGTTTAATTTCATATAGATAGTCACAGTGAAATTATGTATAGAAATTAGCCTTACATGTAGTCTATCTTGAAATATACAAGGAACATGAAAGCGCCTATAACATGTTATTATTTCGCGTCTCATCCATTAATTGCTCCATTAAGACTTAAATCACAACTCATGTCCTCCTCCGGGAATGCCACGCTTCGGATTTCGCCCACTTTTCGCCGCCCAACAGCGTCGTTTTATAACCTCTTGGAGGGTATCCAAGAGAGCCGACGAAGATATCATCTCTTCTGTCATTTTCCCCCAACATTTTTCTCCATTCTTGTCCTTCATGAAACTTTTCGAGATGGTTGTCTTCTTCAACAAAATATCTATTTAATGAGTGAACACACCAGCGTCGCAGTAACACTTCTCCACAGCGTTTTCAGGACTTAAAGTAAAGAGCAACATATCACAGTTGATACAATTAAATTGTTATCTTATTGTTTTATGGCAGCAAACACCAAGAGAAGCACTACATGCTCACAGACTATTCAATAAGGCATGCGAATAGTTGCCTAACTTTTAATCAATAGATAGTACACCGGAAATTTCTACAAGATTGTTGATATTTTATGCATTTCCCAGAAATTCTACATATTTACACTGCCATTTCCACGCGTTTGCCACACGATTCTTTGCGTTTCATTCACCTTATTTATAGAAGAAACAACTTATTGGATTCTGTCGAACCATTCAAGATTTATGACAAATAATATACTGCAAAATGAATGCATTCATATTGACTTGTGAAATTGCAATTCCATGCATCAATAAGAAATGTAAGTTCTGCAGGTGTTACTTTATTTCTGTGAATTCATTTCTCCAAGGCGAAAGAAGTGTAATAAGATTTTCAGAAAGTCCAATTTCATATTCCACGAATCAAAATGCAATCAATTTTTTCCGTTAGTAGAAGAAAAAGAATTGAGCTTTCCACACTGCATAAGCTTCTCGTAAGCAGTGAAAGCACGGCAAATTGAAGAAATTTCTCCAGTACACAAACCATTTGGAGAAAAGTCTCGCGTGCTTGAAAGCTCTGCTCACTGGAATGCACTGGAAGTTGTTGTTATTCCAATGAGCACTCTCTGTCTCACTTTTACATCCAGTGTGAATAACACATTCGCAGATGACAATTCAGCAAATCATTTGCCACTGATAAGACTCGATGTGTTTATATCTGTTGTGAGAGACAATCTTTAAACTGCATAAATTGAGAGTGGTTGTGTGATAAAATGCAAGAGTGATAAGATATTATGATAATACGGTGCATGAAGATTTGCTGTGCAATTCTCCTGAGTTTCCTCTTCACTTTCTCACTGGGCAAGTTCGTCTTGTGTCTGTGGGACAAACTCTATACCACGGATGGGGATCTGGCCCTGGACGTGGACACCTGGCTCGAGCAGAACCACTTGGGACAGTACAAGGAGCTCTTCCGCCAGAAAGGTGAGTCACCCCGTGAGCTTTTCCTCGTCACTTGTCATCACCCTCAAATGTGTCCCGAGAATCCTTCCGACTTCACCGAGATTCCGTCTCAGGATAAGTGTGCGGTGGACTAATTAGATATCCATTAGAGTCACGCCAGAATGTAATTTGCAATTATGAGGGCACGGCTGAACAGAAAAAAAGTAGTCACTCACGGAATCCGACAGGTTGGTGGCCCTGGGAAAGGGTATGAGGATAGTTCCGTTCAATTTGCAAAACAATGAAAATGTATGTATCACTTGGCAGAAATTCATGTGAAAAAAGAGTAAAGTGAGCAAATCATAATTTTGTCTCACAGTGGGAGAGAAGGTGGCTTTTTGGTGGAGGAAAAAGTCTGCACGAAAGAGGAGAAAGTCAGAAAGTTCTGCTGCAAAAATTCCCTAAAGGGCCATTCATTTTAATAGTCTCACACAGAACAGAGACCAAGATGTGCCATTCTTCTTCAATAATTATGTGCATCGGAGTATACGAACGATGTTATAGTATAGAAATTCAGAAATAAGATTCTATAAGCTTTTTTTAATTCCTGACATGCTTTAGCTTTTTAACCTATTAAAACTTTGTTGGATTTTTTGGCACAAATTATTTCCTAACAAAGCAATATTTGTCTGTGGTCTTGAAAATGATAAGACTCTTATCCGGACTGTCCCAATACACAATATTGGTGGATTAAAGCACCCCAATTACGTAAGTGAGCAATGGGAGAAATGCTGAATTGAGTGCACATTACACATGATTGATAATCCCCTTTGTAGCGTCCTACGCTGAGGGGAGGAAATCAATTGACCACCGCGAAAGCTCATGCGCATGGGAAATGTTGACATGGAATGCTCGCAGCTCGAATGTAGAGGGAGAAGAGTGATTTATTTTGGCGGAGCTGAGATGAGCGATTGTGGATTATTCCACAAGCAGTCTTATCAAGACGTTCTCACGATAAGCTTCAAATGAGAACATCGTGCTCATATTGTCCAAACAGTGACACAGAAATAACGTCCGATAAACACGTTGCGCGTCTTTCTTTTTCCCGCCAGTCACAGGCTGGGGAGGTAGGCTGGGGAACCTCAGAGTCCCACTCGATACGTGCACGAAGCACTTTGTCTCAGTCGTGAGACATTGCTCTTTAGCTACGGATGAACATTCCCCCTTAGCAGTTGTTCCGTTCTCAATTCGTTTACATCACATTCCTCCACGCCCCCCTTTCCGAGACAGAACACCCGCGATTCACCTCTCAATTGTGTGTCTCTTTGCCTTTGTTCGTGACGAATTTCTTGCTTTTCTGTCCCGCGTGTTTCCGGGACTTTTTCCCATCACCCATTTCCTTAGTGTTTTTCTTGCGGAACGCAATCAAACGATTTCCAGCAAAACTCAATTATGTGATAGAAGACAAAGGGTCATCACGCGAAGCAAAAATATGTGCTTGTATTGACAAGAAGTGTGAGGAACACTGTGTTTTCCCTCTCAATATGGTAAAAAGCTTTATTGTCCTCTTTGTTGTGAGGTGAAGAGCTTTTGTCGTGACACTCGAAAGCTTACACAAGAGCCAAAGCACCGAGCCATTCCCAGTGTGTCTCTACAGGGAGCCAGAAGACGCGAACGTTCTCCCTGCTTTTCATTCACTTAAAGTGAAATAAATTCTCGTCACACGACATTCAATTTAACATCTTTTGTGGTGATATCATTAACACTTTTTAACTAACATTTCGCGTGAAATCGTGTAAATAAATTTCCCCACTTCAAAAGCCATCAGCCAGCCGCCAACGTCACTTCCCAATTCGCGTAGTTTGCAGTTGGGTATAAACGACTTAAGATCAATTACTAAATATGCTCAATAATAATATAAATTCGAAATAGACAAATAAATAAATAGTGCCGTGATTCTCACCATATCATACAAGAACGAAATTCAACAGAATAAGACATCGAAAATCGTTTATTTTCCTAATGAGTTACTGACGCCGTTCACGAAGGGAAAATATCCTTTGTAATCCCATCCATTTTTGATCAACCTGTGACAAGTGTGACAAGCAAACGAAATGGATTCTGAAATAAATTCCATCGGAATGACAATGATGAGAAATTCAATTTCATCTTCATCAGGTACGTTTAAGTTTATCTAACTTTCTGCTTCTTTGTGTCGAATTGCATAAGGATCGTGTTGGTAAACTTTTCAAAAGTCTGCGTCAAGAACAATTAAACATTATAATTTAAAAGAAAATGATTTTTATTGAAACTCTTTGTGTGTTCGCCAGGCTATAATTGACCTTTTTGCTTAGAAGAGTTCTTGCAGATAAAAATCTGCCTTTATTTCCAGTTAAGGTCAGATTCCAGATTATATAATCCGAGATAAATGTCCACTTTGCTAAATCCCCAGCTGAAATTACGCAATGGGGTTATGAAAAGGTTGCCACGAAAAAACATCATAATTAATGATGATGCGAAAATGTCTGAGATGCATGAATCAAGTGAAGCTTTTTGCGGCATTTCGGTTGTGATACATATGGTGAATATCCATTTTATGTTCAAAAATTCCATTTACTCTCTCCCCACCCTCCCGATGGTGAAGTTGAAATCGCTTCCACACCCACATTGGCCTCTTTCTCGCCCGAGGGTGGCAAAATTGCAAATTTCAGCACTTTTTCTGGAGGCCATTTAGATTCACTGAATGTACAGCAAAGGCGGCCAGGAAACACTATCAATCAGAGAGTGGATTCTTGCCTGACGAAATTCTTGGCTCGTGTTCGTGCTATGCAGTCCCCATTGTTGGCGTCAAAAAAGTCCTTTCTTTGCCACTCCTTCCACTTCACCATGTCAAAGAGCATTGCAACGGAAAAGCACACTGCAGGAGATAGCACGGCTGGAAAAAGTGTCGCATTATGCATATTGTGCAGTCGGGAAACTTACATAATTACTTGGCTGTATGGCTTTTGCTTGTATATATTTGGCCAAATAACGAGAAATGGAGCTGTAAACAGTGGTAATTCCATTATCTGAATTACTCTAATAAATCCAATTTAATTATTAAGCTGCATTTCACGCCAGGAACACGATACCATTCCTTGTTCCAGCATCCCACACAAAAAAAATGATAACTAATGGGCAGAGCATATGAACTAAACAATAATGTGACTGTGTTACTTTCAAATGTATTTATGGGCACCACCTGAAACTAAAATGGAACTTATTTATGAGGCCGCTGCCACACAATAGGACACAGTTCTGAAAATTTATGTCGTGGAAACACACGAATTTCTGTTTACATTGCAAACTACATCTAAACTCACAAATCCTCAATCATATTTCCAAATGTTTCAAATTCATTCGCAAAACACGCTCTAAATCGTTTTCATAAATACTCTTTTTGTGCGCACGTCAGCAGAATATGAAAGCACTCTTCTTATCTCTCACTTTGCTAGGACAATTGATCACAAGAGGTGAATAGTTTTGGTCAATATTGCGATCAATGAATAATGATTACATTGTATTATGCCGAAGTGATAATGAGAATAAATACAAGAAGATGCTTATCAATTTCAGACTCTATCATAAAATAAATCACAATTTACTTTGTGTAATAAATTGTCACCATGATATTAGCAGGGAAAGATAACAAATCTAACACAAATTCCAGCAAAAATGTTGACAAACATTTGAGGATTTTCAAACTAGAACTAGAGTAACTCTACCCAATAATTTGAAAAATTTTTATGTGCGTAATTTAGACATAAAATAATTAGAGCAACGTGTTCTTATCATTCGTCTTCCGCTGGAATGAAACAGTTAGTCCACATGGAACGTTATGCCTCAAATTAAGTATTCCCTCTAAAGTGTCACATCTTCCAGAGACAATTAGCGAAACAACTTTATAGACATCTTATCTCCCTGAAGATAGTATAGAACTTCTGATAGCCATTTGTTTCAGCACTGAGTGTCAAAAACCGAGAGGTGCAATATTTCGTAGGTTTATAAGGAAAAATGATCTCATTCTCAGAATAGAGACACTTATAAAGTTCAATTGAAAAATCTCACGTGCGTTTGAAGTGTTCAACAACAAATGCTTCAAACCGATCCGCTTTTTTCCGTACCATAAATTTCAATTGATTTAGACATAAGATTTATTGTGGGATTGTTTCGGTGCTGTTTGAGATAAATTTTTGACATGTTTCAAGTATTGCAAGTAATTTTCTTTCCAAAGACGCATATTTGCTTTAAATTTTGTTATAAATTAGCCATATATATGATCAACAGAGTCTTATTGCTTCAAATTTGCATATATTCCACCATCGCCTTGCCTCGCAATGTCATTTCATACGTCCGAAAGTGGAAAGAAAAAAAATGAGGACATTCCCTTTTGCTCAGTTCAAATTTCTAAGTCAAATACAATGTTTTATCATGCGTATCCTAACTCTCGTTGTGAAGTTATTTATTTTATGGTAATTTTATCTGTCTCTCGTGATCTTATTTTTCCCTCGGGTTTCCTTTTCCCTCTCAAACTTCGTACTTTTATTTCACATGATTAAACGCTTTTAGTTTTCACAGAAAGTTGTGGAAACTTTCCCCGGGCAAACTTTACACCATCCCATCGAAAAGTCAGAGATTATCCCTTGGCAGTGGAGAAAGATAAATTGGCTATTATTGCTGTATAATTATTTGATGATTCAATTGCAAATGGTGTCTTCTCGATGGTTTATGTATGCTATGTGTGTACACAGATCTGTCTCCTTTTGCCTAGTAGCCTCGTGGGAGTCTCATTGCCGAGGATGTCGTGTGTGAAAAATTTATCGGAATAATTGCCCTTGAAGGGTGTTTCTGTGCGGAAGAAGTACTGATGGAAAATGTAGATATCCACGACAACTTTTTCCACCTGTAAATAATTAAAGCCGAGTAATTCTCAATGACATTGTCTCACGGACCATATGGTGTGCTTCTCCACGTGGAAAAGTTCATGAGCCATTTTCCTGTCGCTGCGAGTAATTTATTAATGGGACAACTCCTGACTTTTCACGTAATCAAACAACATTTTCTTGCAAAGTCCTAAGCACAAGTGAGCTTATGTATTTTCTCCTTGAATTGTTGTGGGGAATTTTCAAGGGAGTGTATTATTAACAGTGGCAATTTGGCGTGGTTACTAAGTGCGCGGCACACAGAGAAACTAATATCTCAGAATTATTGTAAACTTTTGCGTCAGGAATTATTATTAAATTGATTTGGGACTTTGGTTTTGATTGCCGCAATCAACGCTGAAACTTCAGAGAGAGAGAGTGAGAGAGTTGAAGAAACACCCTTCATCACGGTGAAGTTGTCTTGAGCAGGAAACAAATTGAAATTTGCAATTTAGACGATTTTCTTGTAGCACTTGTGAGGCGAAATAAAGCCAGAAGGTATTTTCCTCCATGTACTCATTAAGTTGTATACTGTTGACTTTCGCTCAACACGAAACACCAGAGCGGTAAAGCTCAGCGTTGATTGTGTATTGTATGTAAGTGTTGCAAAGTGTGGAGCTCGGAAAGCTTCTCGCAATTAATCAAATTAAGCATAGCCAGTAGGCAAGAACTATCGTGAGATAATGGAATGGCTAAATAAGCTCCTGCTCCGTTTGTGTGACTGTCTGGAAAATTTGGGCCATCCTCTTCCATATGCAAATCCATCCAGCTGCTGCGTCTGTTTGCTCTGATACCGAGATACAACTCAAATTGCGAGACACACGTCGAATCACTTGCGATTACACAAAACCTGCAGATTTACTTATTTCTCCACACGGCGAGACCACGGCACTTTTAGCCTCGTCATCTCTGTTCTGGGTATTGTTTGGATTCGCTCTTTTACTTCTTCCTCGCCAAATTATTAATTTACACACACGCCTCGCATTGCCCACCATGACAACAAAGCCAACGCCGAGGCTCCACACAGCCGAGATGGGAGGCACAAGACTGCGAGAAAATTGAAGCGGAAGGAAGATGGATATTCAAGGATTCAGCCGTCACGAGCCCGGATTTTCGTGTTTGAGGAAAATATTGCGTGTTGAGAATTTTTTTCCCACACTCCTTCCATCACCATCGTATTCAAGTGAATCGAAATCCATTTGCTTAATAACAATAAAACAACAGAAGCATCGGCTTTTATAGCTCGCGATCCTTTCCACCACATAAGCTTGGAATGTGTAGTGGGCGAGGGTGGTTTTCTGCAATTTCTCAATTTGAGAGCGACTGAAGGAAAATGTAGCGGATACTCACTCTCATGCAATGTTAACCATGATTCATTATACAATTGCTTAGGAACGTCGAGAATTTGTGTACTTTTCAAAGTGATTAACATAAAAATCCTCTGCAATTTAAAATCTTATTTTTATATTTAGACTAGACGATTAAATTGAGAAATGCTTTATAAATTAAAGAGAAAGAGGTTGGAAGTTGAGTGCATTGCAGAATTGTATTTTAATCTCCAAATACAATTTTATCCACAACATCTAAATTTTAAAATATAAATTTTCAACTAAGCACTCAATATTTGACATGTATGCAAACAAAAATAACTATTCAAACCTAGTGTGCATGAAAAAGAAACCGCAGTATTAATTGATTTTTCCATTTGATACGCCCTATCGCATAAGGATTCGAAATAACCCTCTCATAGTGAATAACATTTAAAAGTCAAATGTCAGGGTGGGTGTGGACTTTCCACCCCAGCCCATCGAGGCAGCACGAAGAGTTTATTGACAAACTCACCGTCATTATTTTCTCGTCAGGGAATCTCTCGCATTTTTTCCCGCGAGGTGTTTTTCCACTGAGAAAGTGGAGCAGATTTTAGATGGGATTTATGGCATATTGTCTGCGATATTTCACTCCATGGTGCATCATTTAATTTTCATTTGGAGCCCCCGTGGCACCGTGATGGGGATTACATGGGTTTGGTGTGCGAATTGGCGCGAAAGAATGCAAATATTGGTTCGCAGAGAAATTTATTCCTCAAATTGGATACATTAATATTCGAGTGAGATGGGGCCATTGAAAGGGAAATTGTGGCAATTCATTTTCATGTGCCATCGATAAACTATGTTATGCACAAGTTTGGGCACTGTTTGCTGTGCAGCATGCGAGGTGATGCACCCAAAAACACTATATGGGCAGAGTGCCGTGAATGGGACACATTTATGCCAATTCGCCCTAAAGCCCAATTGGAAATCAATACAACAGTGGAGTTTATTTAATTCCCTTGTATAACCCCACAGGAATATCATCGTTGTCGAGCTGTGGTGACCCAGATCGACTGCCTGAATTGCCGCCGGGCGATGAGAAAAGATTGCAGAGAGCTGCATTGAGTTTGCAGCAAAAATTAATACTGAGGGAATGGCTGAAGGAGCACAGGCTCCAGCATCACTATTCGAGGTATGTGTCACTAACTCAATAAGCCCCATCCCCATCACCCTTGGGTGACTTTCAATAAAAGGCCTCTCCCATCAGTGTCAGAATAGTCTATAACATCCAAGGCATGAAAAACAGCCATTGCAAGTGTTCGTCGTAATGAATTTTCCGGGCAATTAGTGGCCATAATGGTCTTTTTTCACTTCCCCATCGAACAAGTTTGTTCCATTTAGAGTGAAAATCCACACAGTCGTTACAGACATCTCACTCGCCGCAACTTTCTTCCTGACCACCGAATGTGTTGGGGGAAAATCGATAATTATTGATGAAGTGGCGATACAATTGCACGACTTTGCCATTACTTCTCCAAAGAGAGCAAGAAAGAAAATTTCTCCCAAGACTTTTATCCCCCAACCCACACACTACTGAACATGCTTTTGCCACCAATCATGGTGCTTGAGCACTCTGATTCGAGAAACGATGTGTTTCATTGCCTCAAGAGCTCACACACGGATTTCCAATGCAGCACTGAGAGAATAATTATGGCTGATATCCAATGCTTAGGATATTCTTCACAAAGAACTGAACATGTACATTTTCACATCTTCACGATAATGCTGAATGATTCAAATGTTGAAAAGTCCAAGATACACCTCCTCCAATTGCTCACAGCGAATAATCCTTGATAAGACTTGAATTATTTCAATATTTACTACAAGATGATATATTGGGCTTTAGCCGTCTTATCAAATCAACCATAAGTGAGTGAATAATTCTCTTGCAGGTGTGAAATTCCACTCGGACGGATTTATGCAAATCTAGAAGATTTCTATTTTTCTCTTACAATTTGACCAAAACTTTTCAGCAAACCCTTTATTTTATTTGCATTTTTAGCGTGAATTGTGATGTCAGAATCTTATGTAAAGACTTGCAAGAGAAACTAGATTTGCTCGAGAAATTTCAAAATAATTTTCAAACCCCAGGAAATTGTTCTGTTTCTGAAAGTTATCCCTACAAATTTCTACTTCGTCGAGTAATGTAGTCACACAAGTCTATAATATCTTGAGATTAAGGCAAATTCGCGTAAATTGTGCAATTTAACGAGTAAAACATCTCTATTCCCAATCTACCGCAACAACACTAATGGGCTCATTTAGCAGGGTGCCTTTATGGGTAGAGTGTGAAATTTACAGCACTTTTAGTACTTAAATTAATAATCTTTAATCAAGATTTTCAAATGTTCCACCAGCTCTGGTCGTGAAATGCGAGGGTGGAGAAAAAATGCTAATTTTGACCTGAATTTACTTAATTTCCTCGTAGATTGGTGGCCATCGAGGTGGTGTCACTCGAAGATGTTTACTGGCTGGAGGATCCGCGTGCTCGGCAAGTCCTGGGCAAGGATTGGTCAGTGTGGTCAGGAGCCCGTCAGAGTCTGCCGACGTCAAAGTCTCAGCTGGAGACATTGAAGGCCAACCTGTGGTCGACTGTTGTTAAATCGTCACAGCATCAGGATGCCTGGACGTGGGGCGGGATGCTAGTTGTGTCTGTGTCTGTCGCGGGCCTTGTCACGCTGGCAGCGATGACGCAGCCCTCATTGGCTCCAGAAGCACGGCACTCCCTTCTGCAGTACGTGACGGGGAAGTACCTCCTGCCGGCCAACTGCAAGGTCCAGTTTGACTGGAGTGATCCTCACGTTGTTGGTGGCACCATGTGCTTCACCGTGCGCTTCTACCAGCGCAACGGACAGCCCTATCCCATCTGCGACACGGATCAGTTCTTTGTGGAAGTGTGCCAGGGCACGAGGAAGGTAGTGACACTCAACTCATTAGGCGGCACAGATCCCAACAACGCTAACATCGCCAAAGTCAAGTTCACCGTTCGTACTGCTGGACAGTACAAGATCTCCGTTCTCATTGGCTCTAGCCACATTGCCGGCAGTCCCTTTCTCAAAACCTTCATCCCCGGAAAGATGGACGCCCGACGATCACGACTCATCAGACCAGCCAACACAGTCGTGTGCTCTGCCGGCGCTCCAACTCTTTTGCACATTGAACCTCGCGATGAGTTTGGGAATGCTTGCGTCTTTGGACCAGACGACGATCCCGTGCGAGGATACAAGATCGACCTATTTGATCTCAATGGTCAGCCGGCCGAGAAACTAATCAGTGCCCTAACTATGGCCTATGACAAAGTCAATTCACGCGTCACCGTCACGGCGCTCTTCCCGGAGCCTATCTGTCTAAAAGCAATATTCCACTATGAGGACCAGAGATTGCCCAACGGGGACTTCGATATCATTGTGCTGAGCAGTAAGTATAATGCACAAAGTTCACTTTAAAAATTCAATAGACTCGCAAATATGATAACATTCAAAATTGACTCATTCAACGCATCCAACACATCATTTTGGTGTGCATATTAAGCGGATTCATTACTGAATCACTTCTAAATGCATATTCGCTAATGAACCTTAATTTGGCACAGATTTCATTGCTAATGTGTTTTTATTAAAAAAAAAAAACATTTCATCATACTGAATTCGACCATGAAGCTTTACAGTTTCAACAATAAATAAAAAAAATTTTGACCCTAAACAAAACTTTTCGATAATCACAGTTCAGTGTGTAATTCAACGAAATTAAGATATACTTATTAGATCAAAAATACTATAATTTTTCTTCAATTCACCTAAATATCCGCTTAAATGAAAGTTATTGCCCAAATATGACTTTCAATCTAAATAAGGGCAGAATCAGTTTAATTCTGACGCAATAAAAGTAAAGTTTGCGCTGAATTGAGGGATAGTAAAATTGATTTTCGATTATCACCCACTTTCAGGCAGCGATACAACCCTCGTGCACAAAAACATTGCGTCCAGGAAGCACAATATCTGCTACGAAGCGAAATTAATAAGTATTTACGGGCAAATTAAGACAAAACCACGCAAAGTCTTGTGCTACGTTGGACCAAAACAAGTGAGTATTTCCTAACAAATTTTCAGCTAAATATATTTGAAGCCCATTTCATGTTATATATCTGCGCGGATTAATTTTGTGTGGTTGAAGATTAAACGATTAAATGCGATTTTGGCGTTTCCTCTCGTGGTTTTCCTCGCAAATGAACACCGTAATGATATTTCCATGCAATTTATCTCAGTATGGTATAGAAAAAGCTTAGTTGCATTTCTGCTCGGCAAATGGCAAGACTTTTTCGACAAAAGCTACAACATTTTGTTCACTATTTGGTCCATAACTGAAAACTTGTGCATACACCAAGTTAAGATACAAGCTTTCACTTCAACATACAACATTGAAGCTAACAACCAATATAATGTTGCGAGCTTATAATGTATTGAGAATTCTAAGAAAACTCATTTCCTCGGTGAATTAATTTTTCACCCACAATAGAAAGCATTTTGGATAGTTTTCACTCCAACAAGTTTCACCATCGTCCAGTCATTGTGTCTTTCATGTCTGTTATATTGAAGATGACTATGCGAAAGTCAATACATTTCTCCAAAACTTCTTTTCAGATCACAATTAAGGAATTGATTTTGAAATTCATCCCCAAAAGAATTGCCACTTTCCGTCTCTGTCCATCAACTAAGGTGAGTGTATTTGAGATAAATTACTTCCTGCTGTTCATTCTAAAAAGTTTCTTTTTCTCATGTTGCAGTTCCATTTCTTACCCACAACTACTGGGCAAAACCACGGATCGGTCTTTATCATTGACGATGGATCACAGCCAAGAATCGAATTGGCATCGCGCGATAGGAATGTCATTGCAGCCACATTCACCCATTTTCTCTTGAAGAACATTGGTGGTTCTGAGACGTTCAAGGATAAGCAGGACTTCTTCTACCATGAAGTACGCAAATTCCACTCTCACTATTATCACGAGAAACTAGCTCTCAAGGTGCAGCGCGATAAAATCCTCGAGTCCAGCATGAAAGCCACCAAAGGATTCTCCGTTTCGGACTGGTGTGGCAACTTTGAGGTGACATTCCAAGGGGAGCAAGGAATTGACTGGGGCGGTCTGAGACGGGAGTGGTTCGAGTTGATCTGCAGCGCCTTGTTCGATCCCCGCGGAGGACTCTTTTGCGCTTTCCACGACAAACGCCAAGCTCTGGTGCATCCCAATCCCAATCGTCCGGCTCATCTCAAGCTCAAGCACTTTGAATTCGCCGGAAAGGTGGTGGGCAAGTGCCTCTACGAGAGCGCCCTTGGCGGTTCCTACCGTCAGCTGGTGCGTGCCAGGTTTAGCCGTAGCTTCCTAGCTCAGTTGATTGGACTACGAGTTCACTACAAGGTAGATCATATCCTCCAGTGCGTAAGAATCCAAAGTTTAATTGTTTATCTTCTTTTAGTACTTCGAACAGGACGATCCGGATCTCTACTTATCCAAAATCAAGTACATTCTGGACACGGATCTGGATCAAAGCGACAGCCTGGAGTTGTATTTCGTGGAGGAAGTCTATGACTCGTTAGGCCAATTGAGCAAAACAGTGGAATTGATTCCGAATGGTGCCAAAGTTAGAGTGACCAATGCCACAAAGTGTCAATATCTGGATGCCCTAGCACAGCAGCGTCTCTGCAATAATGTACGCGAGGAAGTTGACAGTTTCCTGAAAGGCCTGAATGGGATCATTCCCGACAATTTGCTGAGTATCTTCGACGAGAATGAATTGGAGGTGAGTCAACGATCTATTCTAATGTCTCTCTTTGTCAGATGAATAATAAAATTTTGCAATATTCCAGCTCCTGCTATGTGGAACGGGAGAATACTCAATTGCCGATTTTCGCGCTCATCACATTGTCAACGGCAACTCGGCTGAATTCCGTCGAGTCCTGGGATGGTTCTGGGCTGCAATCAGCAACTGGAATCAAACTGAAATGGCTCGATTGCTCCAGTTCACCACCGGTTGTTCTCAACTGCCACCCGGAGGCTTTCAAGTGAGAGCTTTGCTAAAGTGCAGTTGACAGGCGAACAAAAAGCTCACCAAAGCTCCTTTTTCCATTTCCACAGGAATTGAATCCTCGCTTTCAAATAACAGCCGCACCAACTTTCGGAAACCTCCCAACGGCTCACACGTGCTTCAATCAACTCTGCCTCCCAGATTATGAGAGCTACGAGCACTTCGAGAAGGCCCTGCTCCTGGCCATTAGCGAGGGCACCGAGGGCTTCGGGATGGTGTAGAAATGCTATAGAAATGACTTGACGGAAAATGTTGCCACAGAAATTTTTGGTCCCTTTTTAATGTTTCAAATCGCAAATGAATCGTAGAGTGTATTAACAAAATTTAGGCCTGTAGAATTATTTGCTTTGTTGGAGGAAGACAGCAATTATATTTCCGAGGAGTTTCATGTAGCAATAAATTGCATATAACATATTTTTAAAAATCGTTTAAGCGAGAACAATATAAGAAAAGAAAACTCATTTGAACTGCCTAGAGAAGTAGAAAAGTATTTGCCTTATAAATTTCATAATATAAAGAAAGCAGCAGAGAGTCAGTGAAGAGATAACCCGAGACATTTCATTTATCAGGCAAAACATTCATGAGCAAAGGATTTATTGTAAGGAAGAAATAAAACTAATAGAGGAAGTTGAAATTGTGAAAACCACGAAGATTATTCTCTGTGATATTATCAAGAAGGAAAAAAAAGACAAAACTCACAACAAATACAGAAGAAAATCACTTATTGATGAAAAAATAAACTCTTTCTCGAGCGTTTGAAGAGATTATGGAAAAGAAGAAAAAAAAGATTTTCCCCTCCCCCCATATTGAAGAGAATTAACTATACAATATTAGATTGTAGTGGAATATTTATTGAAAAGATGAGAAATGAAGATGAGAGAGAATTACTCAAATAAAATATTGTTGAATCGCGATAAATGGAATGTGTGTAATTAATTTCACAACAATTCGACACCCCTCAAGGTGGGATGACCGTGTTTACGATTTGAGGCTTTTCCACGAAAAGGCGATCAATAAGCGAATGGTAAAAGCATATTAGAGGGAAAGGGTGCTCTTGGCCCGGCTGAACGAGTTTTAGGTAGCACGACAGGGAAGCGATTCGTAGGATTATCGAGGAGAATCTGAGTGCTATTGAACTCAATTGAGTGCAATTCTTTGAACGCTCGTTCCAAGTTAATGTGAAGAATAAATCGTAATGGTTTCAAAGAGGGCTATGAATACAAAATGCCGACGAAGTTCTATCGACTCACTCTTTCCTGGTCACTTGGAAATCGCGTGATGGTCACCTGGGCTGTCTCACGAGGTCAAGGTTAAACATTGAACTTGCCATTAGTCGGCAGAAGGATCGATTGCACAAGTGTTCCGGCGAAAGCACTTTGGAATTCCTTTTCCCATTGTTGGCAATTTGATTAATTTTCACACAAAATATTGAAGTCACATTCCATCCAGCACAGAGTGCTTTACCACCACCAAAGTGAGGGGGCAATTTGTGAGAAGTCACGCAAGATTCCGAGGAAAAAACAATCACTATGAAAAATGACACAAAAGCTCAACTCAATTGAATTCTAGGAATATTTATTGTACCGAAAATTGAGAGTTTGTACCATTTCCATTTCTCGGAATTGTCTGTTGTTCTCCTGGGAAAATTCTCTTGGGAAAATGGATGCAACCACGCTCGATGTTGGTTGATTTCCCAGAAATATTCGACTTCCATACGCCAGCATGAAAATGTTTGATTTTCCAGGACATTTCTGATAGCAATCACATGGAATCGATGTTCACATCACTGAACATCACCTGCCAACCAATGTTTGGCCCGGCAAAACTTTTGGGGCATTCTGCGCTTCATCCCTTAAAGTGCTCCACGTCTCTTCAGCCCTTCAATTAGTGAGTCACGGAATTAGTTCCAAGAAATGTCTTGTGTTCCTCCCCCACATTCTCGAGACCTCATGCGCCACGGGGGAGAATCACCCCCCGAATGATTCGCATAATCCGCAAAATTTCACCGAACTTCCAGCATCTCTGATGTTGTTTTCTCTATTAATTTCTCTGAAATTTTTAATTTTTCAACCTAAACTTCCGGAAGGCTTTTAATCTCTACTGCAGTGAATAATTCATGGGAAGAAGGTGGAAATTTCTGTTCGACGAAAATCACCCCCAAATTTCGGGACAAAATGCTGTCGAATAGAATTCCAAGAGCAGCAACCCCTCGACATACACCCTTCTCCCGCACATTCATTGGTATTCAAGTTGATGGAAGTGGCTTCACAATTCGATTCGTGCCTGAACGAGAGCGAATTCTGGGAGGGTGTTTGTAGAAGAATCATGCCATTTGCGGTGGTGCGATACTTAGGGAATGTTCTTCTCGATGGGGTGATTTGTTTTTCCTGGTAAAAAGCTCACTTCAATAGTCTGAGTCATCTTCGACACCATCAGACCACACACACAACGAGCTTCCCCGGAAGAAAATTAAATATGCTGAAAGTTGCGATCACAGAGCGTGATTACTGAACCCCATGAGAATTTGCACGCGGAAAACTTATGGCGTGATTCCGTCGAATGTTTCCGATAGTTTCAGTTTAGATAAGAAATGTCAAGTACATATACACAATCATCTGCTCCTTTAGAATTCCACGGCCGCGGAGCTTTGAAAGCTCAACAAAGATGACATCATGTTGACGCATATTTTTGAATTATTCGCTGTAGCCATTTATATTCGTTACAGTTCACCCTTGTATATTGTATACTTTTCTCGCAATAATCTTAAGCTCGCCCTTATATTCTTCTTTAATGCATGAATGAATCATGCTGAGGGTGGAGTAAAATTGTAATGAATGGCAGAATTGGAGAAAGTGCGTGAGAATTTGGCCCCGCATTGGCGTCCGGTCACCTCTCTTGGCATTTTCAATGTTGTTTTTTCACCACGCCGTGCCTAACGATCCTCATTAACCCCTTTCGGGGTGTCACATTGCTGAAGAGGGTTGCTACCTGACTCACCCGACTTGACACAGCGCTTGGCGCCAAGCTCTCGGCTTGAGGTAAAAATTGCGGGCGACAGACTGACTGTTTCACGCCGCATGTACGCCTCTAAGTCGTAAGATACAAAATGACTCAATACGAGTGATATACACCAAAGACTCAGACAATCTGATGAAATTCACGTCAAATTTGAATGAAGTCGCGAAATTTTTAAGAACGCAATGTTCTCTTTGCACTGAATCTTTTTATGTATTCAGACAGTGTGTAAAGAAATACCAAATTGGAGAGCCATATACACAAATCTTGACTTGTTTAATTAAGCAAAGATGAAGTTCAAAATTAAATTTCAGTAAATATTTACGGGAGAGAGGTGCTGAAATGCAATAGAAGAGAACTCAATTAACATCTCTATTCAAGTTCTTAATGAATAGACTCCGGCAAAGGTCACAAAACATTAAATATTCCATCGAGAACAGTATTTGACGCTCTCACAGCATATTTCTCTTTGACTCTATTGAAACATGCAGTCTTTTGGACCCACATCTGTGGCCAGATCATGTCGCAGAAGAGTGAAACTGTCATGAAATCTAATTTTAAGTGGATGGGAAAAGGCATCGCCCTGAATGAATCACTTCACGAATTTATTCACACTTTTCACTGCTTTCCTCCGAAATCCTCTCTCACTCTCTCTCTCTCTCTCTTGTACTCATTTTCCTCTCACACACATTCTGTTTCTCACACACACATGCACTCGCAAAGCGGGGTGTTTTCTCTGTGTTTTCCAAAGAGAAAGAGCGAGAGTGGAAGAGAGCTTTTATGCGTGGAGGCGCCGGGTGATCGAGGGCGATAAAGTGGAGACGCCTGGTACCAGGCAATGCCAATCAGTGCAGGAGCTTCTTCTCTCCCGAAGCGGCATTTCCCAACGCCTCTCTCCCGATGATTCAATCAATTCGATCTTTTTTTTTGGCGTATGTGTTGATTTCGGCGCCTGTGTACGCCTATTCGTTAGATAACATGTGACTGGGCGCGCTGGTGTGTGTGAGAGTGAATTTCCAGAGAGTCAGAGCGAGGCAAGTTGGGAAGTTTGTGAGCCATCAGCACGAGTGAAATATCGCAGAAAGCTCGTGGACAGTCAGAGTGTATGGACGTCTCTGTGTTGCGCCTTTTTCATGTGGAGTGTCTCATTTAATTTCTAACGTCTTTCCGTTGTTGAATCTCCACGAAAGCACCTTCGAGGAAAATTTGTTTAGTGTCACAGTTCAAAAGGCTGGATAAGCTGTAATTGTGCCAATATTGGGTCTCGCACAAAGACCTGTTGAGTTGTTGTAAGAGGAAAAATTGTGAGCGATTTTTTTTTGGGAAGTTTGTCGATTCCGGTTGGGGGAATTTTGCAACATCAACTACGTCACTATTCATCATCTCCGTCTTTAACATATCAGCAGAGAAGTCAGTGTATGTTTTACTGTGAACGAGCTCTATACGAAAAAAAATATCAACCTTGACTGTATACAGAGTTAACAATTCTCCAGCTCTATTGCTCAGTTTTTTTTCTCCTTCTTCGTGTGGACTATTGATAGACAAATTCCACCAATACAGTGCTTTCTCAGTGAATTTGTGTGTTGTTTTGATAAGAGAAAGCCAATATCCACGACTTTGATGACGACACGCAGTGCTCGCTGTGAGGTACTGATTAGTGCCCAGTAATAGCTTCGCTCTCCGCCTCGCCGTGACCGCCTCAAGTTCAGGGGGTGACTAGAGAATTCCAAGATCCGTGGCAGAGTGTCTCGAGCGTCGAGGAAAACGTACTTTTCGCCTAATGAGCTATGTAATTGGCAGGCCTGGCTTAATGGAGAGGCTGCCCTGAGTAAATAGCGAAGGCGTGCAGTTGTGTGAGGTGCCACAGTGCCCGGTCGCAGTGTTATCGGCAGTGACCGAGTCCACCATCTGATCGACAGCGTACGCACACTCGATCGCGACTCTGCCTCGCGGACACCGATTGCCAACACCTACGAGCGGTGGGAGCCGATCAGCGTGTATGCGTGCCACGGGGAGCCGCATAAATCCAGTTGAGCGGGAATATCGCTGAAAGTTTGTGGCAGAAGGAGGTAAGTTGCGATTGTTTTAAATGGCAATATCTCTCACACACTCCATAATTTTCCCACTGGGCCACTGCATGTGCCTCCGTGTGTGTTGGCTGATGGTGTAAAAGTTTGAATTAAAAATATGTTTATAATATCGATGTGTGCTTGTAGTTTAGTCAGTTGCGATGTGACGATCGGTGACGAGTCAATTTTCAGTCTCGATTTCTCAACAAGTTTTCTCTCATATTTGAGTTTTTACGCTTCTTTCTCGTCAGTTTTGTTGTGTTCCTTGTGTCATATCGTCGATGCACTCTTGCCCAAAGCGGCCGTGCGTGAAAAATTATTCATAGAAAAGTCAACTCGTGTGGTAGATATTTTGACTTGTGACCTCACCCTGTAAGTGATTTGTTTCTTGCGCTCATCTCCTCTGCGACAAGTGAATTCCTCGGGAGCTTTCAGTCCGTGACTGGGAACAGTGTGTTGATGCGAAATGATTGAATGGGCCAGAAGAGGAAGTTGGGATTGTGTGTGTGGTAAAAGTTAAATCAATTTTTTCTCTCTGACCTCTCGAGGAGACCTCCATCGGCATAGCCACATTGTCCACAGACACAGGGCTTCTAAGGATATTTTCTATTTATAAACCACATGCTTGTTCAACTTATTTTCTTCGCCCGCCCTCCACACTTCGTGTCAACATTTAATATTCAGAGCACCATGAATAGAATCAATTTTCAAAGGGTACCACCAACCGCAGGTATCGGTCAGGGTGGCGAGCGAGGGGTGAACAACATGCAGAAGGACATGGAGTGCATTCTCCCCACCATTCAACACACTTCAGCAAAAATTTCACCCAATATTTCGCAACTGTTCACCTGTGCTCTCTCGAGCATTTCACTTTCGAGGCCACTCTGGCTCTCTCTGTCTCTCTCTCGGTCGCACCTGCAACATTTTGCAGAACAATCACAGCCAATTCTGTCAATTTCCCTGGTGCTGCTGTGCAAAAAGCTAGATGTACATATTCTCCCTGCTTTCTTCCAAAGAGATCAATACACTAATGGCGAAACACTTTCTAAAAACATTTCTGAAGAGTGGCGCCAAAAAAGGCGATTAACACCCATGCATGGCAGTGAACTTTAATTTGTGCATTCCATCAGTGTAGTTGTTTGAAATATGTGCAGAAGTGCTCAACAGGGTACTTTCGTACCTGCTGTGCTGGATAATTTACCTGAAATTGCCGAAATGCCACTTCCAAACTTCTCATTCTCATCCCAAACCGCCAACACGAGAGGAACAGTAGCAACAATTTTGCGGTTCTCGCAACATAAATAATATTGAATTTCTCAACTTCTTTCCCATCTGATCATTTTTCACAATTAATTGTATTAAAATAACGCAGACATGCAATGTTGTATTAATTGTGCGAACCGATATAATTACTAGCAGTGGATTTTTCTTCGAAAATATTATATGCGTGCTCTGAAAAAATAGAGAAAATACTGTGTCTACATATTTGTTATTAAATTCCGCTGTTACGCTTTTATTGTAGACACACGTTAGAGTCTCGTAGATGAAGCGCGTGAACAGTGAAATTATAGAAAAAAAACAACATCCATGGAATTCTGAAAAGCCTCACCTTCAAATTTTGGCTATAAACAATTTGTTATGATTTTTTCGCTTAAATCTTGACGACACATATCTTGACGCAGCGCCATTTATTCATGCATCCGTATACTTGTTTGACGAGGTTCGGTTCAAAGGTATGGACACGTGGTCAATGAGACAGATGCGATGTTGTTCCCCAGGTTTTATATTCCAACGCGGAATCAAAACATACATCATATCTGCTAGCTGACAATTAGTAGTGCAGCTATATTTCCTCAAAATTTCCTCCTTCCTTGTCAAAATGAACTTGTCCTCACCTGACAATTTTTAAATAGATCTAGAGAGATCAGGAATTGTGCTTAAATTTGAATGATGTGCATGTCATTGGATACAATTTCGTCTTGGGCTTAATTTTGAAAACCACAACATTTGTGATTTGTGGTCTCGGAGAATTTATATTGCGCGTCTTGAAGTTTATCTCCACAGTTGAGAGGAAAAACTTGTCCTCCTCTAACCAGTAAATTTACATTTTATGTCGAGAGATTACTCTGCTTATAATCACGCAGAAACGGCGCTATTAAGTCTTATGGGCACTCCAGAAGCCCTTTCCGGTCGATGTGATTCGTGTTGTTTGAAAAATGGACTTCATATGCCGGCAAAGATGTCCACATCTCGATTCTATGACAAAAATCTGACCTTGGCTAATCAAATACAGTGCAGAGAAGTCTCTCTAATGTTACCTGACGACACGTGCCAAGTCCTCCGCGATAGCAGAAAAATTTATTTACAGAGAAATCAAAATTCACAGGCTGAAAGCAATGGATCATGACTTCAGTCTCTGTCTCTGGTCAGTGCCAATGGTATTTCTTGGAATTACTTTTTGCAGTACTATTTTTCCACTCGGCAATATAAACAAAAAGGCGTGCGCGCTTCCAAGACGACGTATAAAGGGAGTGCGAAAGAGAGAGACTTGTATGAAGCGATTAAGAATTGAATAAAAATCCCACCTCTTCTTACCTCTTAACACATTGATGAACTTATTCGCGTTGCTCGTCACTCGGGTACAACTTGAATAAATAACCTTGCAGTAAATTTTTTCTCACTTCCACTATACGTGATTTTTTTGTCGTGCTGCCGCATTACATTTAATAATAACATACACACAGCATCATACAGCGTCCAATCATACTCTTGTCGAATAGAACTGGTTAATATTGATGCTTTTTAATTACATATACTTATTTTGTTGTTATTGTTTCACAATAGCGTGCTTTATCTCTTGTTTTATGTTTCTCTTGTTTTGGTCTTTTCTGGCTCTTGTGTGTGCGTTCTTGTCTCTTTGTGATACTTAATAATTTGGCATGTTGAATTTTTCACATGGATTCAGCAATGTTAAATTGATTTACGAACATTCTTCCAGCCACTGATACTCTTCGAGAGATCGGCAAGAAAATCAGACATTTTTTGGTGGTGGTGCTTCACATGTTGGATAATTACACTTTTTAAATGTGAGCCGCAAGTTAGAATTGTTAGACAAAAGTGCCATTTTTACGTGTGTTTGCAAATGTTTAGACTCTGTTCTCGTTGTTCTCGCCTCTAATTTGCCATCAAATTTAGAGGGTGATGAAGCAAAGCAAAATGAGTGTTAATTTTGTGATGTTGCTGTAAGAAAAGTTTATCGTGATACTTGAGAAAGAGAATCAAGACGTGGTAAAGGAAGAAAAAAAATTGTTGTCCAATTTGTTGGAGCTTTGTTACTTGGGATAGAAGTTTTGGGTCTTGGTCAATAGTTTGAAGCTGCTCTCTTACTGTCGCAAAATCACCTGAATTTCCGAGATCATCTGCTCAACACAAATCACAGAGATGGATCAAGATGAAATAGGTACTGTGACTAAGTTTTTACGTTTAGTAGAAATACAAAGCGAATAATTTCCAAAATGCACAGTTAACAAAGTCTCTGATGCTTTTATCTCTACAGTTTCTTTATCTCACTTTATTTCCTTCGATCAAAATGTAAAAGTTGATTATTTGCATAAAATGTGTTTATTGAAGCTGTAAGATACACGAGATTATATGCAAGTGTCTTTTATTAGTTTTCTGCGTGTAACTCTCTGTCTTTTTCTCACACGTGCAAATTCTTAGAAATCTGTACGTGCTATTTTATAATATTTATAATTTTATATTAGCACACCTCCATACTTTATTAACCATTCATTACTGTTAAGCGTCTTTAAATGCATGAGAACAACTTTTGTGTATAACATCTACTGCATGCAATTTAGTACTGGAAAAACTTTTGTAGCAACGTTTTGCACCCACGCAAATTTGGAACTCTGCTTAAGGATCTTCAATATGAAAATTGGTTGTTTTAAAATAAAAATTGTTCAAGTTAGGTTACAGTGCAAGGCCATTTAGATAATTAAATCAACGTGCTTGTGTATAGATTTATTATGAATGGGTAAAAAATGAGGAAATATATTGTCAAGAAATTCAATCCAACAAACGTCATAACAGCGAATTTGCATTGGAAGTTTACAAAACAGAGAGTTTGAAAAGCCCCTTTGGCTCCAAATCTGTCGCACGAGCTCCTAAATAAAAATTCTGTGGATATTATCGCTATTTTGGAGTCTCCAGCCGATTTTTTTTATTGCCTCATGATATCAAGAAGGAGCAAGAAATCGGGCCGCTTTTTGCTCGTGTCCACTGTTTCTTACGTCTTTAGGAGAGAAAATTATGCGTGGAGGAAAAAATTAGCATATCACAGTCACAGAAATCAGTGAAAAATTACCGAAGATCGGGGTATTCCCCATTGAAAGACCCGATACGTAAACACGGTTTGGCCAGAGAGGCAAGAAATCATACATAAAAGTGTGACTTTACAGACAAGTTTTTTGCATTGATGACGACATTGATAGAAAATTGATGGGAAATACAGAAATTTACACATAAAATGTCCAAGCACGCCGCGCAGATGTTTTTTTCCATGTTCTCTTGTGCTACATAGCGACAGTCTTGGACAATTCAGTGTGAATCACCTTTCTGGTGGAGCAACTTTCAGGTGCGAGAGGCGATCCGAGACGCTTGTCCACTTTTGATTTTCCCCAAGAGTGGCTCACTTAGCTGAAATTATCATTGTGATTCATCAGAAGCCCGGCAATTTGTATGTTTTACATCCATCTCTTTGCGTGATTCTGTCTCGCGTTTTCTGTCCAAGGGTGCTCTTTTTTTGTGCCAAAGTAAATCTCAATAAATGCTCGCACTCACACGATTTCCTCATGACGAAAGGCCATTTGAGCAAATTTCCAACGAATTTTCTGGGCGTGTTGGCAGACGCACGTTTTTGTAGTAAACTTCCCAAGTGATGTGCAATTTTCAAAGTGAAACCTTCGTTGTGTCATCAATTATATGGACAAGAGTAGAGACTTGTATTTTTATTTATAACCATCGAAAATTGAGACCTCAAAATTGCGATGAATTTGTTGTTCAAAACACAGAAAGTGTCTAGACGTGTGAAGAATAAGGTTTTGATGGATATGAAAGGGTAGTAAAGGTCAATAAGTATAATTTATTTAGCTGCAGAAAATTTAGTTTGTACATAATATTCTGTCTCATGTTGTTTGTAAACACCTTCTCAGGCGATGCATTCATGGCTTTGTTTAAATAATTACTTTATAACCCAATCGACCTTAACATATTCATGCGAAAATATCTTCAAAACAACCCTTCAACTTTAAATGAATATGAATTGCATTATAATCTACACGTAAACTTTTGCCGACAGTCAATAAAACTTTTGCCATCACTATTTCGCGCAATTTTCACCATTTCTCTTGTTATCCCTATCTTTTTTTCTCGCGGAAATAGATTATGCGAGAGGAAGACATGTAGCAAAATAGAAAAGAGTGAGAGATAAAGTGTTAGATGTTTCACAGAGAATATCTCAATTTCTTTCATGGCTAAAATTCCCCTCTCTCTCTATTAAATTGCTAAGTGAATGAGAGGAAAATATTGAAAATTCATGGCACGATCTTCGAAAAATGCCTCGGCATTTCTCTGTCGGTTGAAAGTTTGCGTTCTGTGCGTGTGTGAGTTTGAGGTGTAGAGATGGGGAAAAACGGTAGTACAATTAGAAGAGTGACGTCATGGAAGTAAAATCTCGCTAAAGGTTGGCGTGAGCGCGTCGATGTGCGAACGGTTTTATTGTGATTTAATTACTTGTATCGCTTCCACGGAAGATTTCAATAGCGCCATGCATCTTGGCAGTTCGGTGCGGTTATGATGCATCATGAGCAGCTGCTGGAGACGCGGAGGCAATTTATTAGGAAAGAGCGCGCGAAAGCCTAGAAATTCTGCGATTAATCACAGGCCAAATGGGTCGAGAGGGTGACACCCGGAGGGAGGTAATTTATTCACTTGAGAACACTACGAAGAAGTGTTATGTGAGCGGGATATCGCCAATTTGCGCGCGAAATTGGGCCTCATTTTCCAAATTCAATATTTAACATTGCACGCAATCTCACAAAGTTTCTCGTCTGCGCTGGTGAACAGGGAAAACCTACACACTCTCAGTCTGTGTATTTCATTAATTTAACTTCTGGCTATCATAAAAGACACACCACATTATTATGAATACCAAGATTAATTATTGAGGGATGATTTCTCATTTAAGAGCCACACGAGGCATTTCAAAAGGTCCTTTGAAAACTGTTTGTACAAAAGAGAACGAAAGTCCGTTAATGAACTGAAGGCTTGACTGAAGGAATCCGACAGGATGATATAAAATGCACTTCCACTCTATTATGTATAGATCAACTTGAGAATTATGAACTTGTATCTTGTTTTGGGGCCAATGCGCACAAACTTTGCACAAAATTCCTTTAATCTGGTAAATATTCAATTGGAAGCTCTTGAGATTGCATAGTTAAGGCAAATTGAACAGAGTTTCTGAGTAATTATTATTCTGTTTGTCTTCAGATTTTAATTATCTCAGAAAGTGTTCAAGTCAAATTTATGGTAAAAGTTTATACACCTCATTAAAGATTGTACAAATGTATGTACATATTAGGCAGAGGCAAGGAATCTCTCCTTTCATAATCATGATTCGGAAACAGAAATGTTTAGAGTAATACCTTCCGAACTTGAAACACTCTTGATCGGAAATTACTGTTTATCTACGAAAAAGTACATAATTATCGCGTTTCGGATACACTTAAATTTCCTAAAATTCCACTCTGTATGTTGCTTAAAGTCTAAAGTATATTGTTTTATGTCAGTTTTATGGGACCAATTATTACATCAAGTGCATTGGGGAGAACGTTTATTTGTGCAGAAAACGAAATAAAATTCATTATTTAGCATTGAAGAGGGAAATTATTTTTCTTGACTTTTATTAACTTTTCTTATGCCTTCACTTTACAAACAATTGTGCATAAAATGTAAATTAAACAGTGTTTGCTTGAGATTTGTGAACTTTGTCTCTTGTACAGAGTATTTTTCAGGGCAAAATTAAATAAAAGTTGATCCTCGATTTACGACTTTGTCGTGTAATGCGGCCGGGATGAAAGATATTTCAGCGTTATTCTCACAAATGAGCCTTTTCGACTAAATCACATCATGAATTTTATCTCCCATCGCATTTTAGCGAACGTTTTAACACATATTTATTAATAGCGCGTGTTAATGACTTCCAGTGCTGTTAATGATATTAATATGCTTCCACTTTTTGTTCATCCTTTCGAGCTCTTTTTCCACACTTAATAATGAGGAATTCTGAAAGTGTGTTTAAGCATCCAGTATTTCTGGATTTTATCAGTATTTCTGGGTGGTAAAATTTCAATCGGATATTAGCTAACGAAGAATGAGAGAAAATGAAGTAATTCGAATTATGGAAGGAAAGAACGTTCGCAGGGGAATTTATTCTTGTCAGTGATGTGGAAGAAAGTGGTGAATAGCAGACCTTCTGTGTCACCAATCAATCATTCTGTGGAGTTGGCGAAGAAATTGGCACGATTTCCCAATTGAAGCATGCCACTGACTTTTTCTTCATGAATAGAATGCTATTCAAATTGCTTTTCCTCCACACATTCTTCAAGACAATTTAATATAATTCAATTTTGGCTGGCAATGATCGCCTTTATACATTTTTGGATGCGTACTATATCTTTTCACATCTCAAGTGGGTGACAGACTGTCGGAGAAATTCCACCGAATTGTATATTCAATAACAAATCACACATGTTTTCCAACATTTACATCACTTTTTGTCTCTTTGTCGCACATTCTTTCTCGCAATTGCGCTCATCTTTTCAGAGAGACATTCAACTTGTCCAAACTATAATTAGTAGTTGGTTCGTTTATTTTCATACGCTAAATCTGCACCTGCTGTTGAAAATAATAAACGCAGTGCGAAATAAACATTCTCTGAAAGATTGTTTTGGAGGCAATTTGATGTTTTGCAGATGCTGCATGAATTTAAATTGTATCGGGCTCTCCAACTCCTGGAAAATGAACAGTTTTCGCATCACGGGCGACTGCTTTCGTCACTAAAAATCTCCATTGTTGGCCATCGATGGAAATTGAATGGTCCGTTGGGAAAAATCGATAACGGAAATTAGAGGGGTTTCCTCAATAAACCACAGGGGAGAAATTGTGTCACAGAATATGAAAAATCATTCGGTATACCTTTTCTGCCATGGCGTATGGCTTTTGTATAAAATCCACCCAGGCATTTGCAAAAGGTGTTCTCATTTGCTGAAGTGCTTTCCAGCCAAATGGCAGGAAGAGATGTTGAGACGAGCAGTTCTTTCAGCTTTAGTAAGCATGATATTTTGCAGAAAGTTCCCTTTTGCCTGCAAAATGACTTGTCACAAGCGTAGAATTGCACTGAAGAACTTTAATTTCGCATATCTAATCCGGAGAAGCTTTTCTGTGGCTCTCATGAAAATTAAAACCAAGAGAGAATATTATGATCGAGAGAAATGCGATGCCTCTTGCTTTGCTCAAAGAAAGAAGCTTACCCTCGAGTCCAGTTTTAATTAAGAAAAAAAGAAAGAAGGACCTATTGTGGGGGTAATTTTATGTAAAATATGGCTTCACCATTCATAATTCTTTACATAACTATACATACAATTCTACAATTGCAATGGGAAAATTATTTATTTGCAGAAAAATAGCAAAACCGCTATTACTTTTCGCATTCTTTCAACTCCGTTGCTGTACACGTACATAAAGGGAAACTGTATCAGATCAATTTCCATTTATTTCTCAGGCAATTTCCATCAATTCCTTTTCACACCAAATACACCACAAATGTGGTGTTTTCCTCTCAATTACAACAGTGAAAATAGTGTAGATGAAATTTGCAAGGAGATAAAATAGAACATGTGCAGATGATTGTGTTCTTTGAACAGACAGGAGGAAAATGAGAGGAAAAACTCCTTATCTCAAAATAGATAGTCACACCAAGGAGTCACTCTTTCATTTAATGCACAACAAATTGATCGATTAATATTTAATTATACAACCAGAGTCAATTTTAAATCATCTCACGAGAAGAGCAAGGGTTACCACACAGGGGATTCACATGATATTCTGTCCAGTGTGAGGAATTTATTTTTACACCAGATCGAGAGTGTGATTGGCGAGAAAAGGGGTCTTTTGTGCTGAACGATTGTAAATTATGTTACTGCTTCGTGGTTATATTTAAAACGTACGTGGAGGGAATAAATTAGAGGCAAGTGTTTTCAGTGTGCGATTTTTTTTGCACACATTCAATTACACTTTCACGTACAATTTTCATGGACTTCGCATCCACCTACAGAAATTCTGTAATTTCTGTCCAATTTTATCTCTCATGGCTGAGGTGGTGAATGTGGAGAAAAAGCCTCAAAGTGGTGTCACGTCCTCGCACCCTTACAAATCACTCACAATCCAAGAAGAAAAAAGAGGAAAATCAATGTTTTCCCCTCAAAACGTTTTTTCTTCATTTCAGAAACATCTCTATTGAGGGAAAAAAATCCATTTTACATTTTTTCCGCGAAAGCGAATGTAAGGAGAGGCATGAAATAACGACAATTTGAAATGGCAGAATGGAAAGATAAATTTTATTGACATTTTCCATTTTTAAAATAAGAATATCTTCTTCCACAGCTTTTTCCATGTGATGAAGAGAATCTGATTATGAAATGTGAAAAAAAAGACGAAAACTTTAAGCTCGGCATCACACAAAGTTAGTCATTTTCCGCGTGAACACCGGCAGATGAAACACTCCATTGGGAAAGTAATCATGATGATTTCATTCATAAATATTTTGGATCACATTCAAAAATTTTTATGTGTTGGCTATACTTCTGCCTGTTCCGCTCAAACATAATCCTGTCATAGGAATCCGCATTCCATTGGTGGTGTTTTTGTTGATTTTCACCCGCGCAGAAAACATGTGGCGGTGGGAAAAGCCATTCTGCTGGGGAAATTGATGAGAATTGTCTCTCCCTCGGGAGGTGCGGTGCCAAAAGATGGAAAATCATTTGAGGAGAAGCAGTGTCAATGAAGCCAGCAAAGATAATTTCTATCGGCGTAAATGTTTTTTTTTCACTTGAGAAAATTCAACAAATAGGAAAAGCCAACAAACACCCTCTTCGATATTTTACCTTTCCCGGCATACAGCACTCCTCCACAATGTAAACAATTTTCACGATGAAGTCATGGGCGGGAGAAGGGGACAATTTAAATGTCGAGATGAAGACGCCTGGAATATCCGTGTGCTTTTGTTGCAACACATTATATTTTCTTAAGCAATTCACTCGAGTGTGGGTGGATGATAAGAATTTTATCACTTCGCCAATTGGATACACTCTGTAAAACCCGTGTGCCTCTGGTTGTGGGATATAATGTGAGGTTTTTATCGATTTTATCCTGCCATAACACAAAACTCAACATTCCCTAATTATTCACATGCATAATATAGGTATATAGAGACTCCAAATGACCCAAATACTCACTTTGTCCCACCACAAAATTAGCTCATGAGAGGGAATTACGGGAGAGTATATCCATAAAAAAAATCTCTAAAGCTCTGTCCATGTAAAATAGCTGGATAAAAAACAACACACCCTTTGCCCTTCTCTATCCGCTCCCAAAAAGTCCTCTTTAAAATATAATAAATTCAATTTTGCTTCTGTATCAACAAAAGAGATGGCTCTTTTTTGCTCCACATCCATCACCAGCCGTCCCACACAGAATATGTTGGGTCTCTTCTTTACTGAATCATTAATTTATTCCAAGGTGATGCGAAATCCACTTCGCCTCAGGAGGATCTTGACAAGAAAATCGATACACTTTCCTACTTCAGAGTAATTTTCGTAAGAATGCAATTGTTTCCATAGTGCATAAAACCATAATTTCCAACAGAGATGCAACTATTTCCAAGAAAGTTGAGTTTTTCCCAAGAATTTTACAAATAATATGAATATAATATTCGCAGAAATCCAATCGATTCTCTGAACTTTTCGGATTGTTCCATTTTTTCCTCTTGACATTCTTTACTCACTCTCACCGACTTTAATTGATGGTGTTTTCCTCTCTTGCTGAAAAAAGAGGAAAGAAAAGCGACACTTTTACTGCTCAATTTTGAGAGTGAGTAATGAGTGAGGAATTCCGAGAATGCATTTCACTCTAAGACAACACATTACTCTGCTATATAGCAACTGTTGTGGGTGGAAAAGAAGTGAATGTTTGCTGTACTCGTTAACTGACCGACAATACATAAACTCACCCCCTTGCTTCCACATTCCTGGCATTCTTTCAATCGCCCACTTCCTTTGGGGGTTGAAACATTTTCCATGAAAATTACCGACCATTCTAGAAACATTTTCCGTTTAGTATTATGCTTCCATAAGCCAAAAAACTGAATTATCTCCCATTCTCAAGCGTCGATTTCGGGGATGTTTTTATCTTAATTCAAAAATTGTCGGCGAAAGTTAACCAAGAAATTGTATTACATTGTATTGCAATAAAAGAGACAAGCGCAATTTCTTGTAAAGCAAGAATTAGACTTTTTAGTATTATTTAGAATAAAATATCTCTTAGTTTTAAAATTTGCCGCTGTCGTCCAAGAATTTACTCTATCGATATGATTCAATATCGAAACTTGCGGTCTTGATTCTTTGAGTTGTGAAGACTCGTTCAATTTACTTGTCTTCAGTTGCTTCACAGACGTTCTCGCAGCACAGTCAATCGCTTTGTTCATCGCTTGTTTAAAGTTAACATCGAATAGTACAACTCTTTCTCTCTAAAATAAATTCATATGTATAGTATTTATGTATGTATGTGAATTGTGAAAATCATATACAAAGCTTTTGGATAATTGTGTATAATATTGTTGAAAATTTACAATATTCCTTTCCTTCTCACCTTCTCCTCTCCGTAAAGAACCATTAACACTCTGCGGCAGTGAAGCTCGGGCTGTTGGTAAATTAATGCCGAAAGCGATATGGATCCCTTTGTGAAAACAATTGAAAGTTGAACACGAGTGTATTCTCAAGGCTAGAATCACACCCACACTTTTTTCCACCTTCCTCAAATTCTTCGCATTCTCTCTAAAGATTGGGATACACGGAGCTTTAGGCAACTTATGAAAGAAAACACCCACAAAAATATTTGTATTCTGACTGACCTAATTCTTTCTTATCTTTCCTCTTTTTACAGGAGACGTTCCACTTAACTTGGACAATGCAATATATCTACAGGATGAGAATTCACAGATCAATATAAGTGATGTCAGTAAGTATCGATTTTCACAAATATCTCTCCGTCGGCTTATCCACGCCATGTAGGAAGTCATTTCCAGATACACTATTTGAAATTAATTAGCACCTCTTGTCCCATGTCTTGAGTGGAATTTTGCCGAGGCAATTAAGAATTTTACACCTCAATTTCCTTCGACGAATATATTCATGTTTTTCGCGCGCAATTCTTTGTCTCCATGGCGATTAGTTAACGTAAATTAACTTTTTATTGTCGATAGGGAGCGATAAGAGAATTTGGAGGAAATAATCAGTGCGAAATTTCTCATGTGAAACCATTTATTTTTCAACTGGATTGAAATTGATGTGTAATTAGTAAAGCATATACACATATGTATCTATTTCCCTGTTATTTGACTGCTTCCACGTGTTTTCTGGCATAATCTTTTCCAAGAATCGAGGAAAGAACTTTTTTTCCTCCCCGAAAACCGGATGGGCCTCTCGATCAATTTGTAAAATAATCAGTGATACTGCTTGCGGCTTTATTGTTCATAAACATTTTTCTTGCACACCAGATAAATGTATGTGTGTAGAAATAATTGATATGTATGTAATTGCTAATCTTAAAGTATGACACAACGATTGCCATACCCTGTGTTTTCCCCCTTAAAGCTGAGCTTTGGGTTTTTTCACACCCAGGGTTTATTGATCTTTCAGTGTAAATCAATCAATGAACAACCCCCGAGCTCCAATAAATTAGCAATTGACAATCGTGGGAGATGGATTTTCCCATTCACTACGTCACTCAATTTGAGGAATTCCGTCTGAAAATAGCCAGACGATAAGCAACAATTCAGAAATTAACTTCAGGAAAGTTTATCGCATGCCATATACATATAAAAAGGCTATGCATGTTCGCATTCTTGGGCAAAAGAGTGAGAAAAATTAATTTATAGAAAAAAACTACGATAAAAGGCAAAATGTGCCGACGACGAGAGCACAGACTATGAGTGGCGGAGATGAAGAGGGTTTATTTGGGTACATGTTTTGTGTTCTTCGCTTTTCCCACATTTTCCTCCAGGCATTCACTCTCTTTTCTTTCCCAAGCCATAAGCTTTTCTCTCCGTTGGTCTCGATATCAATTCCTTGACGTCATCAGATCCACAAATACATCACCATTTCCGAGGCGCAAACTGGGCCCGGGATAAAAAGTGTCAGTGAAACACAGTGAGAGTCTGCTAGTGAAATTTCGTGGCTTTTCCCGCGGCTCGGGGGAAAAATGCGTGAAAAACAATTGGTCTATTTATAGAAATGCAATTAAATGGCGATAAAACAAACAGGGAGTGCTATCTTAAGCGTCTTTCCACTCCAAGGAGCAAAACTCACAGTCGAATTCACTGTTGTGATGGGTTCACGAAATGTTCTATTTTGGAGATTAGAGGAGACTTTCATGTCACAAATAATGCCACAGAATATTCATCAATTGGCTTAAAGAGATGCCACAACAGAGATGGAGTCAAAGAAGACATGAAAAGGGCAAATTTTGTGCTCAGAAGCACTCAGATTGTGTCTGTTACATATTTTCTGCAGTATCAGAGACAAAGGGACCCGTACAACCTGAATATCAATGAAATTTTAATGAAAGTCATCTAATTTTGTATTACATATTTGTCTGGCATAAATAGACTTTCGGGTGGGGAAATAGTCCAAGTAAAGGTTCACTTGTAAATTATTAAGAAGGCATTACTCAAAAATCCATTTTCATGCATAATTTAACACGGTTGACTCCTGCGATGTGTTTTCAAATCAAATACACTCCCACGAAATTGTGTTCGTCCAATTTTTTGCTTCAGGGTCTGAAAGGTTAACAGAAAGTTGCTTCTTTGCAAAATACAAGGCAATAAATTATGGTACAAGTGAATTCTTTTCGTATGATATCAAATTTTATGCTCGATTGTCGTCATTCGGTCACTGACCATGGCGAAAATTACATGTCTATGCCTAATGAGTATCCGTACTTATGAAATGAGTGAAAAAATTGGAAACTTCTATGCTGAGAAATCGATATTCATTGCCAAAAACAAAGTGTGAAAAGGCATGGAATATGCTCATCATTGTCCAAAATTGATTGATTCCCTGTTGACTGGTTGATTCCAGTATGAGATAAACGATGTCTATATTCCCGCAACCCACGTGGCAATATTTTGGATTTTCTTATCTTAGCGGAAAACCCAAGATTTCGACACCTCATCTTCCACGTTCGCCGGGTTCCTTGGCATGGTGATCTGCCAGAGAATCAATCAAGAGCTGAACTCATGAGCACAGCCAAGAGTTGAGAAAAAATGATATGGGAAAACTTGGAAGCAGTGCCGGTGACATGAGAGCAAAAATAACCCAAAAAGCGATGAGCGAATTCGGCGGATGGCGATTTTCATCGCGCATCTGTCTTGTTCAATCGCAACTGTAATTTAAAGGTCGCGATCGAGCCGCTCAATCGAGAACCGTGATCATGATTTCGGCCTTTTTGCACGCGGGAGCTTTCAAAGTGGACGTAAATCACCCAATTTTTTCGGGGAATTACCAAAATAATACCATGGATATTTCGTCAAAGATACTATCAAGTGGAACAAAGTGGCTGATTGAAAAGAATTAAGCATCTAAAAACTTGAGTGAGAGAATGAGAAATTAGATTTAAAACATACACACAGTCACAATCTCCACCTCATATGATTACCCATTTGCAGAGATTCTCAAGGATTTTCTTATACAACTGAGCTATTTTTTTCCACACTTACTAATGCCTCTTGGTGAACTCTGTATTTCCTCGCTTATTTTCCTATGACTTCTTCATCATTTTATTCCCTTTTTTCTGCTTACTCCACTGACTCTTTTCTGAGATTCCGAATTTGCGTCAGAGGGACAAAAAGACCAAGAAAGTGTCAAAGACGAAAAAGCCATAATTCTTTGTTTTAGTCTATTAAGTTGTTGTTTCTTTTTCTTCGCCGACAGAAAAAAAGTAAAGTTTTGGGTAGAAGAAAAGCCATGAATAATTTTTACTTTGATGAAACATTTAGCGACTTTGTCGATATATTTGTGATTCAGGAAAAAAATAGAGAATAATATGTATTCATCGAATTGGGATGACTTGAATTTTTGGGTATTTTAAAGCGCAAGGATGCCTAAGAGCTTTCTGTAAAAAGAATTGATAAGAAGTTTTTAAGTCTTTCCGGCAAATTTCCATGTTTCCTGACAATTGAGATGATATGTTCAATTTGTTTGATGTCAAAGACAAACTTGGTCCGGAAATGTTAGAAGTTTAGCAAGACTTCATTGCTGATATGAAATATTTAATTAAAACAAAATGCAAAATCATGTGCAATTTCCGTCAAAACGAGAACCACTTTCACAATTTCCAACGCCATTTAATTAAATTTCAAACTGCCTTCATTTTCACATCGACCCAATAAAATGATTTGAAATTAATTGAAAATGATCAATGCTCCTGTAGAGGTTTTTAGGCGTGTAAGAGTACAAGCAATCTGTGTCAGAAAAAACTCTGTGTATAATTTGCAATTCTCGCCCTTCCTAACTTGATACACCTCGTGCCGATTTAGGTGTCAATTAGTGTCTGCAGAGGCGCGAAAAAGAAGAACCAAATTTGCGGTGTGAAGAATTAACTTCCAGAAATTATTTTCCACTCTCAAATCAATTGTGAGCTACAGAACAATATGTGAGAAAATTTGAAAATAAACTCTGTTTATATATCAGATGGAAAGGATGAAAAGAGAAATATAGCAAGAGAAAACATTAAATTCACCAGGCGGCTCCACTACATGTTCACACGCGGATTTTTCACTCGAGGGGTTCGTCAATTGCCCTACCAAGACCCCCTTTAGGTTTCTTTGTGGGAAACTTTTGTGCGGAAATAGAGTATATATTATCATGTCTATCTTCCTTGATATCCGGAATGGTAAAGTAAAACACCCATTTGGGGCGATAAGATCGTCTGAAGTTTAAGGTCATCTATGGAATACTCAAGAAGGTCACTGTCAATAGATAGAGATCGACTCGATACGGTACAGTGACTACTTCATTGACTTCGAGATTGGGTAATACAAAGCGGAAGAGTGAAATGGTGGAATTCTGAGGCTCGTGGATGAAATGCCGAAATATGAATCTCCCTCTCGGCGATTTTGACTGCGGCATGAACGCACACAAGAGAAGTGCTGGTTACGCAAAATTGAGATTTTATAAATAGACACTGTGTAGCTCATAGTTGTGAACACCACAAAATGATCTCAAGACTCAAATTCAGTTAATTTTCATATTTTACTCGTGGAAGGATCCAAATTTCTTCGTTTTTCATCTCTTGCTCATTGTGTATCGTGTGGCCCGGGGGTGACACTCAGAAAAGGTTGATCCTCATTTAAATCATCTCTAGCATAAGCAATCGTGAGTCATTTGTGGTTTTTCTTGGAAGAAATTTGCCGAAGAAATTGAGCAAACGTGAGATTTTTCGGGAAAGTGTGTAGAATCAGTGTGAAATGACAAAGGATGTATATAAATATTGAAAATTCCGTCGATGACACACTTTTCATGGCACTTTTCCAAAAGTCCCACGGAAGAGCGATTTGGAGTGCGATAGTGGTTGATATTCACTCTTCCTAATCAATCTCTCTTTTTCCACTCTTCTCACCCGCAATAGTTGAAGTTATCCAAACAACGGATCCTGCATCAGCATCAGCAATGTTTAAGAACGGGGAAGGATCGTCCCAGAGACAACAGTCAGTTGGCAATAGTACAAATACAACGAGTCACATACGGCAGAATGCGTATGTGAAGATCACGGAACAGCCGGCCCCGAAGGCGCTGCGGTTCCGATATGAGTGCGAGGGCAGATCGGCGGGCTCGATTCCGGGTGTGCACAGTACACCCGAAAATAAGACATTTCCCAGCATCCAGGTGGTTGGGTATCGTGGCAAGGCTGTCGTTGTTGTGTCATGCGTCACCAAGGATCAACCCTACAAGCCTCACCCGCACAATCTCGTGGGAAAGGACGGCTGTCAGAAGGGTGTGTGCACACTGCAAATAAATGAGGATACGATGAGTGTCACCTTCAGTAATTTGGGCATCCAGTGTGTGAAGAAGAAGGACATCGAGGATGCCCTTCGGCTTCGCCAGGAGATCAAAGTCGATCCGTACAAAAGTGAGTTACAGAAGAACCCCAATATTTTCTCAAATTGCTTAACCGTCAACATTTTTCTGCAGCTGGATTCAACCACAAGGACCAACCCTCAAGCATCGACCTGAACTCAGTGAGACTCTGCTTCCAGGTGTTTGTACAGGTTGGTATAGAATCAAAAGTCTCATGTGGTGGAAATTTTTCGTTTTAATTTCCACCCCACAGAAAGACCCGAACAAAAAATTGAAAACACTAACATTCGACACTTTATTTCGCACGCTGTTTGTGCAGCAGGATGATTACATAGCTCTCCCACCGGTTGTGTCGGATCCCATTTTCGACAAGAAGGCCATGTCTGATCTCGTCATCTGCAAACTCAGCCATTGCTCTTGCAGCGTGGCCGGTGGTCAGGAGATGATTCTCCTGTGCGAAAAGGTCGCCAAGGAGGACATCCAGGTGCGCTTTTACGAGGAGAAGGACGCTCAGGTGGTGTGGGAGGCCTTTGGGGATTTCCAGCATACCAATGTACATAAGCAAGTTGCCATCACGTTCCGGACGCCACGATATCGTCAGACATTTGAGGTGGATCAAATAGTTAAGGTAGGAGCAGTACCATTTCCCCAAAGACAATGCTTTAATATACGACGCATTTTCAGGCATTTATCCAGCTGAGGCGACCATCCGATGGAGCTACGAGTGATCCGCTGCCATTCGACTACGTGCCCCTGAATTCAGGTAGGAAAACCTTCTGGTCACTGCACCAGGGTCTGAATCTCAACAAGAGGAAGACCACAACCTCTCTGGAGGAGACTTTTCAGCAAATACTCGCCACGGATCGGGAGATGTTTGGGGAGAAGGAGTCCAATGGGACAGGCGGGGAGGGTGTAATTGTTGACACGCCAGTGGTGGAATCTCCCCCGGAGAATCCCGTGGAGCCGCCAATTAACGTGGAACAGCAAAAGATGGCCAATGAGAAGATTGCTGAGTGGATGAAGACTAGTGAATTTGAACAGCCGACTCTGGTGAGAAGCGACACTGTCCGAGAGGATGAAGATAAGACGCTCAACGAGCTTCTCGATCAAGTGGCAGAGCTCGATGAGATCTATACTGATCATCAATTGAGGCAGCAAAGCATTATTGAGAATGAGCTAGCTTGCTTGGACAATTCCTTGCCAAAGTTGCCCGGGAAAGAGGAATCCATGGACATTGATGATATTTTCGATGATGCCGCAACTTATACAAGCCTCCAGAAAGCCTTTAAGAATCCCATTTCTATCCCAATGGATGACTACCCTGTGCCTCCGCCTCGTCCTCCCCACTCGGCAGGCTTTTACGATCAAGTGGAGCCTATGATCATAAATCCCCCGGCTCCGATAATCGATGTGAGCCCGTCAAAAGGGGACAAGGACGAGGGCGAAAAGCTGCCTCCGCTGCCGCCCAAGAGGGTGAAAAAAACTCCAGGAAGCACCCCAATTCACGATCCGCAGGACAAGGAGAATGATTCAACCAAGTTTGTTGGATCGGACTTCGAGAGTGGACTCAGTAGTTTCTCCAATAGCCGACGGAGCTCCACACGCTCCTTGACACCTCGACCACCATCCCAGATCATCATCATGAGGACCCCAGAGCCCGGCCAGAGGCCCGCAAGTCCCGCTAGTCTGTCCAATACGTTGCCCAAGCAGAAGAAGTCTGGCTTCTTTTCTAAACTATTCTCCAGGCGCAAGAGCAAGGGTGACACTGCATCCCCGTCCAGCAATCGAACATCCCCCAATTTGTCCCGCGAACCCAGCGTCACAAACTTCAGCTCACACGATCCGAACCGATCTTCCGTCCGCTCCCTCAAAGTGCCCACAACCACGCGGAAAACCGGCAAGCCTGTGGCCCGCAGTGCCAGTTCGGTGTCCGGCAAGAGGCCTCACCTCACGCCAGACATCGTGCACATCCCTCTGAAGGGTGAATCGTCGAATTCACTCAATCTCCGTAGTGGCAGCGGCACGCACCTCTCCTTCCCCGGTAACGATCTCTACGAGCGCGCGTCCACGATCACGCTCAACAACAATGATCGCAAGACCATGTCAGCCCTCCAGCTGGCCGACTTGCCCCTGCAGGACGGGAATATGGAGCTGATCGCGATCGCGGATGCGCAGAGCTTGCGAAATCTCTGCGACGGACAGTATGGTGTCCAGCTCGATCCCAGTGTTGATCTCACTGAGGCTGAGCACTATGCTCTGTACACTTCCGTCGCACCGCACGCTACCCAGAGTGAATTCGACGAAACCTCCGCGTACTACGCACCCGTGGAGGCGGGAGAGATCCTCACGCCGGCCGAGGTAGCGCGAAGGCTCACCAACAATCTCTAGAGAGCTCAAAATTTACATTTGTTTTTGATGTTTGCCGAGAAACGTGTGCAGTGATCATCCGAGCCTCGGAAGTTCTGCCAAAAGTGTGCAGAAAATCCATGATCACCTTGCAAGCGTCCTCATTGCTTTTTTGACGGGAAACTTACGATCCTCCTCTCCCGGAAGAGTCATATCAAATGGGAACATAAGATCTAGCTTTTTACACTTGATTTTCTTTTCTTTTTTTGTAGAACTTAAACATAAGCGACCAAAAATTGAGAACAGGGACATGCTATACAAAAGAACACAAGAACACAATTTGCCCAGGAACCCCCAGCAAACCCTCAATAAACCGGATGGCGGTAGTAAGTGTTTTCCTCTTAATTCTCTCTCACATGTACTGTTTGGGGGATGACGGGGTGCTTCTGTCCCTTATTCTCACACAACTTTCATGGTGGTGGACTCAATTGCTACATTTACATTATAACATTTTATCATATATACTGGTGGTGGAATTTCGGAATTACTTCACGATATAGAAAATATTTCGCTCCTTCTTTCGCAGATGGATGAATTCATTGTTCATTGGGAACTGTGTGAATATTTTAATGCATTTTTGTCTTTTGAAAACCAAAGATATTTCAGATGTGGGACATCTTGGCGAAATCTGAGTTTACATTAGTTGCAGGATTGTTATAATGAAAAGCCCTGAAGTTGGAAAATATTTTTGCAAAAATGAATTGTATGAAAAATCTCAAAATCTTGTTAAAAAGGGCAAAACATTAAAATTGTGCATCCTGTAATTTAAATTCAAGATAATCACAGATTAATAACATCTCTCAAATGAATCCCACTCTGGAGAATTTTCTTAGTTTTCGCTCTTGTCCTGACGACAATGACGCAATTTATTGATGAAATTTGATAAGAAACTTGCTCTTGGAAAAACTTAGAAACTATTTGTAAGAAGTGAAAAACCAAAATAGTATTTTTTATAACAACCAAATCTATCTAAAAAGAAAAAGTCGATAACCAAGATAAGATATTTTTAAACGGAGATGAAAAAAAAACATTTGCACTCATATCTTGAAAAATTTTAATAAACAAGAAGAAAATTGTAATTTGTACGATTGAAAATCGAATTATATTTGACAAAAGATAAAAAGTACTTTGAAATGAAAGAATTTTAGGATTTTCCCCTTTACTATGTGGAAAGTTATTTGTTGATGAAGTTTTAACATGAATAATAAATGAAAATTGTTTTTACTTGACAAAAAAAGAAGAATAAAATTGAAAATATTGTACTTAGACAGAAAACAAAGAATTTATTAATATTATGAAATAAGAAGGCAAGCAATTCTTATAGTGTTATTTAAATGTTATAAACAAATTTAGATGAAATTATTATAATTAAAAGAATTAACAAATTAAAATATAAACTCGTACTTGAGCAGTTTCAATTCATTTTATTTGATCACATTTTCTACGACTTGTTATCAAAGCGAATTATTTAGTGAAACTAGAGAAAAATTGAGAATTTCTCAGAAAAGGTGGGAAATCCCGTAAGTCTTCGATGTTGTGTGGAATTTTGTGTTTTATGCTCGATTCTGTGTTTTCTCACCAATCTTTATCTGATATTAAGTAATTCTGTGTGCATAGATAACATTTAGACTTACTTTGTGTGAATGTAATTCATTTTAATTTTCATTTAATTGAACTAACAATTCGCTTCTGAGATTTAGCATTTAATTGGCATCACTAATTATTTTGTGTTTGTCTGTCACACTCATTTCGTAGGGCAGAACATGGGCTTTCTCAATATCCCTATGGCGGACCCGATCAAGAAAGAGCCGCGGGGTAAGAATGACAGCCACTGAGTGCTCCTGGTACATCACTAATAATTCTCGCATTGATCTAATCCTCGGATAGATCTGTCGCCGGGAAACCAATACATGTTCCCGGGCACGTACAGGAATCCCCAGACGACTCCGTCGCCTCAGCCCATGTCACCGGCCACGCCGAGTACGCCGGCATACCAGGTGCCCAACGTTGTGTCTTCATTTGCTCCACAGACGCCGCACTTGGCGCCCAACTACGAGATGGACTTCGCTGGCAACTACCCGAGCCACTTCCAGGGGCCCTTCCCGCCAGTTCAGCCCTCGCTGCAGCCTCAGTGGAACGTCCTGGGCGTCCCCAAGTCGTCTGCCAGTCAGCTAAACAACTTAGGCATTCTGACTCCTGCGCCTCAGGCCGCCGAAGCCGTGCCCGCGACATACAACGGAGACTCCGCCACGAACCTCAGCAATCTACTCATGGACATGGATAGTCAGCAACTCACCCAGCTCAACTCCGCCGAACTGTCTGGTCTCTCGCTCTCGCTCCTGGACGGCCACTTCCCCGCCTCGGCATCCGAGGCGGCGGCCGCCGTGAAGCAGGAGGCCGCCGCCCGGATGGACGCCGACCAGGACAACATGACTGATAGCTTCACGAAACTGACAACGGCCACCATCGATGAGCTGACCAATCTTAACAACATGTACAACCGGAACAACAACAACAACTGACGCCCGCAGCCGCACGAGAACAAATGTGAACGCAATGACACAGTGTCTTTCTATTAATTAATTTTAAGCTAATTAAACTGTCCCTTTTTATCTCGTTAGCCATTTATGTTTTGCATTAATCTGAGATTAAACGGTCCACGGTGGTTCCGCAGAAGAGTAATGAGCTATGGTTTTATTTATTTAGACTCGACACGAAAGACACCCAACATCTAATTTTCAGACAAACACGCGGAAGGACAATTTTTGTTTCACGTTAAGGAATTTAGGGAGGAGATAAACGTGATTACAGGTTCGTATTCATGTTACATATGTACGTATATCAAGGCTATTTATGCTTGCGGGTCGAGGGGAAGAAATCCGGAAAAATATTACCATTGCGCGGTATAATTATGACTGTATTCACAATAATTTTATTGAGTTTTCGCTCCCCCTAAAAATCAATACTCAATTGCTCTATATTTGAAAAGTCTGAGAAATTAAATTAATTTTTCCTGATAACAACTCAAAAATGTTAATATTTTCGCCAGAAATCCCAAAACATTTTGCGAAGACAATTCTCCGAAATCAAGATATTGAAATTGATGCTTACGGGGCGGAATTTGGGAGAATCGCCCACGCTGAATACGATTTACTGGAAAATACCACCTCCACACGTTTCTCCAATTTCAGAGAAGATTCTTGCATTGAATTTAACATCTCACAGAAAATTTAAGGCTATAAAAACTCACCAACTTGTGCTCGGAAGAACTTCATTGGATGCTTCACAAATAATTATTTTATTGATAACTCGCCTCACTGAAATAAGTTCGCGGATTCTGCCTGGGAATCATGATCTCAGAGTGTCTGCTCACAGACTTAGCGACAGAAGTAGGGCTGCCCGAGATTCTCGTTTTTCTCATTCTTCATCATGCGAAAGAATCGTCGAACATCCTCCTCAGTGACCACCTGGCGATTGGCCACAAATGTGTGCAGATACTCCTTGAGTTTTTCCCGCATTCGATTATATGCTGAGATAGCGTCGATTTGCCTGGTGCGATCCATGGAGGAAAGAGCTCTCATTCCCCTGTCATAGTCAGATTCCTTGGCCTTGTTCTTTCCATGCTCCTCGTAGCTCTGCACAGTGTCGTCCAAGTCCAGGAGGAAGACCACCTTGAGCTCAGCATATATCTTCTGGCACTCGCTACACTTGCAGAGCTGCTCACGCCAGTTTTCTGGCCAGAAAGTGGCACCGCGCTTATGAGAGAGCTTCAATGTCGGTCGTTTGCATACATCTGACTTGTCCTCTGGAATATCCAACTTCGCCCTCTTAGCCTCTGGCTCCTTATCATCCATGGAACTTGTTGACTGTTCTGGCTCTTTAGTCTCCACAACTTTCTCCTTTACTTCGGTATCATTTGTAGGCTCAGAAGTTCCTGATTTATCCTCACTGTCTAATTTTTCCTCCTTCTTCTCCTCAGTAGCTGATGTATCTTCAACATTGAGCGCAATTTCTGGAACTGTCTCACATTCGTTCTCGATTCTGCCCACAGATAATCCCAAGTAAAAGTGCAGAACATCATTCTTCTCGCTGCATTCAGCGCAAATCATCTCGAAGAAGGTTTGCCCAGTGGGAACAGCGATTTCCAGGTGGCGACAATGGAGCCAATCCTCACAAATGATGCACTGGATCATCTCATCCTCAATGGGATCCTCGGGATCCGGATACGGTCGGTGGCAAGAGCAGTAGAGTCCCGAGAAGTTCTGATTGTAGTGATTCTCTGTATTCTCTGACCCCTTCTCTGGCTCAAGGGAGCACTTAACATCCGGCATACGCACTCCGCCACAGTCACAGCGGAAGTTGCGCTTTGTATACAACTCCACCAACTCGTGGCCCTCGTGACAGTGGTAACTGCAAGCCAGGCAAACTCCAGCACACTTTGTGGTGTCCGTGGAGGATTCCGGAGAGCATGTCAGACACGAATACAGCGCCTGTCTCTTCACGTAGCCCTGCGAAAGCAATATGGATCATTGACAAGACTCCTGGAGAGTGTTTTTAGCGGAAAATCACCTTGGAATATGTGCAGAACTTGTCATCAGAGCCCCCAAGCACTGCCAGACTCTCTTCTTCCAATGCTTGCTCTTCGTCCAGAACGTCCAGCATGGTGACGCTGGATTCATTAAGTGAAGGATCTTGTTCTTGAGCCATTGTATTGTCACCTGAGCACTTACAGATGAAATTTAAAGCCGACTGGAATGGGAAAATGGAAAATATCTATTCACGAAACACAACGGAACAATGCCTCTCTTGATGGATTGGCATCACCGATTTTCACAATCGCAACCAACTTCACACAGTAACACCGAAGGACGCTGAAGAACGCGGGAATATCCCATGAAAGTTCCTGCTGAATTTTTCTTCACCAGAAATTCACGAAATACAACTCTCGTACACCTCCACTGAGTTGCAATATTAACATACTGTGACATAGAGATTTTTATTAAAAATTTTCAAATCAAACACTCTTCCTCAAACAGTTACCATTTTCTTACACATGGTGGCTCTGCATGGATTTCGCTCGGGAATTTTCGCCTCTTCTCGGCTCCTCCGCATGGCAATACTGTCGTGCCGAAAAATATCCGGACAGTTCGGAGAGAGTCTCGGTGAAAATTTTTCAGCTCATGAATGTTTTGTGCCTAGAAAAGTGACAAGAAAACAGTAAATTCCGCTTGGAATTGCAACAAAATTGCATCCCGTTGCTTCGATAAAACCGTGGAAATGTAAATTAAATGGTGAGTTGTCCGTGCACAAAGGAAACGGTACCTTTTTTTCGTCGCACTTTTTGTGGCCCCATTTGCAATTTTTGCGCATAGTCGCCATTACACACTATTTTTGGACTCAACTTTTCCATCGCACTTTTCTGCCACTTTGCCTGAGTTTTCGCAGTGGAGAATACGCGAAAAGTGTCCGCGTTTCGTCATGGATCAGCTTTAGGTAGGATTTTCGTAGAATTATTGAGTTGTTGAGTGAGAAAAGTGGGTGGAAAGTGGGGCAATGTGGGACTCCGGGAGAGTGTGGGAGACCATCGATTCCGGAAGAAGTTTCTGGAGCACGAGGAGTGTGCCAAGAAAGTGGATTTTTCCTGTCTCTTATCTGATCATTGACTCGCAATAAATGAATCGCAGTTGGAGACGAGAGTCGCGACTTTAGCCAGTGAGTGGCAATTTGGGTATTTTGGCACCTTGAGTGTTGTTTATTTTCAAACAAAGAAAGTGCGAGTTTCTTGGCTCATTTCGGCATCAGCTGCCTCGGGGAGACTCACTCGATTCCCGTGGACACTCAGTTCGCCACATTGCGTCGGCCCAAGGAAAGATTTTTGCCCTGAACATCGCTTCCGGATGTCTTACACAGGGTGGAGACTTTCCTCAAGGTGAAGGACTCGTGCGTGATGGACGAAAATGTGTCCACCTGATCATCCCCAAATTGTGACCTCAGTGACTGATGCAAATCCTAAGCATATCGTAAATTTTATAGTGATGCAATCTGCGAGTTGTCTGAGCTGACGAAGTCCTTTCCATAGGCAATAGGAACCAAACAGATCGATAGGCAGGCTAGAAAAATTGACCTTGACTGTGTGTCAAGGTGACATCGATTTTCTCATAAGCACCCCCAGTGAAAATCACTCCTAAACTGCCTGCGAAAGACAATTTATGATAGCTATTCCCAGTGTGAATACATATTTTATGCACAAAACTTTACGGCCGCACGTCGCAGTCTATTATATCGCAAGTCGGCCTTAGAAAATTCAATGTGTCACTCTAGATAACAGTTTGGAGACTATTTTGGGAAACAATTGATTGTTGTTTCATTTCAAAGCCTACTACTTCTTACCCGTGATAGAATGGAACTCAATTGAATCCATAGGGAAATGTGTTTTTTGGCAAATTCACGCCAATTTACTCAATGTGATTGACGAAAGATAGGCTGGAAGAGAAAATTTAAAAATTTCTTCCCTCAAACAAACAAGTATTTATTATGGTGAAAAGAGAAAAAAGTGAAAACAACATTGTTCCCAGTAGTGAATTTGATATATCTCAGTGATACAGAAAGAAATTGATAAAACGAGAGAAGAAATGAATTATAAAAAAAAACAAGTCATAAAATACAGCAACTCAGCACAATTGAAAATAAACGCATGGGTAAACAAATAATTTAGTGTTGAAAAAATTATATACAATACTAATTAAATAAATATGTAAACCTTAAATTTATAGCAATAGCGACAAAATATGGATTACATAAATACAATTTTGAAGCACCTTCGCAGGAAGGAACGAAGAGAAAAAAAACACATAGGTTAGGTGCTCTATGGTTGAAAAGGTTTCATAATGTACGTATAATGTGGTTGTCTTTCGCATTCTTTTGTCTCTGACAAGAAACAAGAAGAGAAGAAAAAAAAGCGACACAATATAATGGAGAAATATAAAACTCATCCATTAATCCAGTTTAAGTAATACAAAAGTTTATATGCGCAAAAGAATAATACTAAATTTATCCTGTCCTTCACGCAAAGCATTTGACTCTCACTTGGAGAGGCATGAAATAATCGGACACCCAATGGAAAAAAAATGTTATAATTTCAATAATTGTGCATAAATTTGCTCTTCACCAATAGATGTTGACAAGTTTAGTGAAATTTTATTCATGTTTACTTCCTCTGGCGTCTGTTTCATAAGCGGGCGTATAAGAGGAATTTTCCTAAATGATTTTTCCAAACTTGCACGACACGACGGAAGAGTTTTATACATACAATTGTGAAAGAAAGTTTCCACGGGTTTTCTATCGCAACAAATAAATAACAAACCGATTGAGAGACATTTTAACCCTTTTGTTGGATCATTTGAAATGGATGGAAAAAGGTGAAATAGAAACTACCATGAATATTTATTGCGGTACAACTTTTTTCTTGCTCATTTGGAAAATGGATTCACGCGGAGGCAATTGTATTGGTTAGTGTTTTCTTATTAACCCATTCGTTGGAAAAAGAGTGTTTTGTGTTCATTTTGTGATTGCATATGAAATGTTCATATATAATTTATTATGCAATGGCACAATGATTGAAGAATGATGTGAAGACAGTTTAGTGAGTTACGAGGCAAACTATTATCCTCAGGCTAAAGGGTTAATGGTAATTGTGCGGTGGAAATCCAGAGGTGGGAAAGACAAACCAAACGACATGAAGCAATTAATGAAACTTCTTATTAAAACGTATTTAATTCATATCTCAATTAAATGGTTCCGGTTTTCTTTGCAAACTAAGCCGCACATGTTTCGCTGTGTGTTCAGTTTAGCCTCTGATCATGAAGAGGTGCACATTTTATCCGAGTGTCATTATCAAGTAATCAAATGATTAAGATGGGGACGGCGTTGAAGATGATAAAGACGTCGCCGAAGAGAGTGAGAGAAGGATTCTGAGGAGATGTCAGAGAGGAGATATTGGAGAAAATGGCAGCAATAGATGAACGTGTGCGATAGCGGATTAAAAGGTCTGCTTTTCCCACCTCAGCTGCTGTGCCTTGTTAATTTTGCGTAATTGAATGGCGCAAGGAAAATGAAGATTCAATTGGGCATTGTGCCAATTTAATTGCATTGTCTTTTCTCTCCTTTCACACTTGACATTTTCGTGACATTAATTAAAAATTATTTGTTCATTTTCTTTTCAGCAGAAGAACGAGAGAAATTACTGCTCAAACTAATGCGCTTAAAAGCGTTTTAGGATAACCTCAACACCACCGCAGCAGAGTTTTTGAGAGTAATTCTGTTTAGTTATTTTTAAGTTTTTCTTCTTTTCCCCACACCTTTTCCTCTCTTTCACTCCCTCTCTGTCTCCCCCTCCCTTTCTTTCCGGATTGTGTAAGTGGAGTTCAAACGAAGAAAAAAAGAAAATTGTGCTTAAAAGTGAAACGTGAAAGAGTCAGAGAGAACAGCAAGTGAAACAGCAATAGGATATAAACCATCATCTTTCGACTTTCATACTTTGCCGCATATTGTTTTTTGTCTCCGCATCTTGACTGTCCAACGAAAAGATACGACGGAATATTCTACAGAGTGAACATCGAGTTTTCCACCCACAGTCAAGGTATGGCAGATGGCTTTTTTCTGGTCTTGATTTTAATCTCGTGCTTTGGGCATTAAAAATGACAATATAGAGAAAAAAAATGACGGTGAAAAAGCACAGAGAGATGTGTAGTTTTTTTGCGTGTGCGTATGTGGAAGATGAAAATGAAAAAAACACGTGTTTTACTTCACTGCGCTCAAATGAAAATACTCTTGAAATTATAGATGTATTGTGAAAGAATTGCTGAAATAGACGCGCTTGGCGCATATAATGTGTGATTGAAAATTAAACACACACACTTTTTATTTTCCCGTGGCGTTTTGACCCATTCGTGCTATCACGAGACACTTTTTTTTCTCCTTCTTTCTCACTCCAATGCGATGGTAGAAGAGAATGCTCAAAGTGTACAACCAGTGTTATCTTATTGTTTTATCTCTCGAGCATCGCATATCATTAAACATTTCCCCTATCAAACACCACGTAAAAATTTCCATTCGTGAAATTGATGAAGTAGAAGCAATGAAGAGGAGAATACCGTAAAAAATCTTAGTCATATTGCTGATTCACAAGTTGGAGTTATTGTAGCATTTTGCAATATAATGTAATATTTCACAGAACGTTGCTACACTGACTATTTTCCTCACCATTTACTCTCTATTGATTTTCCTCGTGTGAAGTTAAGACTTTTTTCCTCATTGTCAGGCGATAAAAATGGTTCTTAGCCTGTCAGATTGGTTTGACGTTACAAGCTTCATAAAACATTTCCACGTTGTGAGAGAGAAATTTGGAAATTGACCACATATCTCTAATGTTCGAGTTTTCCCCTCCAACTGAAAATGAAATAAATTGTTGCAAATGTAAAAGTTCCTTCACATCATTGCAACTTTTTTCTCTGCGTGACGTTCAGTAATTTTTCCCATCAAATTGCCTTTATATGTATAAAATGTAATCTTATCACGGGAATTATAAATTTAATATGTGGTGAACTCGACTCAGACCACAGAAAATGTCACTAATGAGTGAAAGAGACAGAAAAATATGAGAATATTGATAACGAGGCATTGGTTTTTCACTAAGTGGTGGGATTAAACCGATTAAACAGGAAGATTTTTGTGAAATATGCCAAAATAATAAAGATAATGTTTGTGCTTTTTCAACTACGTAAATGGATATTTAAAAAAAATAATTGATGTATGGTAAATATAGCTTGGATTTACCAGCAACAGTGCGAATTGAGAAATAAGGAAACGAGAGAAAAAAACACATGAAAAGACTTCTGTGAAATATTTATAATTGAAAGTGAACAGTAGACGAAATGCGCAGCAATTGGATCGTGTATAAAAATTTGCAAGATTTTTTTTATTCGTCACCGAGCGATGTCTATTTAAGCGATTCAACCTTGATGACTGATGTTTCTGCTAAGAAACGCCCACATCATGATACATTGTACAAAGACAATATTTTTGTTGTTCCTTTGGAAAAAAGCGTGACTTGTCTTTAGAGTTTTTTTTTCAGTTGATTTCATGCGTTAGATTTTGTGATTGAGTAATTTGATTACATGACTTTAAAATTCAAGCTGATTTTTGCGGTTGAGCCAAGCGAAAAAAGTGATTCATAGTCAGAAAAGAGTTGCAAAGAATTAATGTGCAATGCGATAAGACTATTTTATTTTGATCAAATATATTCCAGTGTAGATATTTTGGTATTCGTTTTGAGTATAATTTTCCCCATTTTGCGTGTGTAAAAGATGACGAAGCACAATTTGTTCAACGCGTGTATTGATCTTTAATGAATTTCATCATAAATTGGCCAACTTCTCTGGCAGTTTTCATCCAATAGACACAACAACGCTGTGTTTGCGGAAGAAATAAGATAAGATGGAATGAGTAAAAAAGCGAATTGCATTAATTGACAAAGAAAATGTACTTAATTACATAGCATCTCATATACACACTCTTGATTTTAAGAGCACATCAAAGAGATCCTCTTTTATTATTCCTTCTGAGTGCCAATGTATCTTTCGTCTATGATTCTTGAGAGCAACTCAACTTTGAGGAAGCAGCGAGTAGGAGAAAAAAGCACAAAATTTAGAAAGTTTATCCATTATTGAGTTGCTTTAGCTCTCATGGTTTAAGCATAATATATTTGTTTGAAAATAAACCTCTGACGGTGTGTGAAAGAGAAGAAGTCAACTTTGTGGCGTTGCCCAGTGTGAGACACAAAAATTGCCACACGACAAACATGCAAAGCGCAATCGCAGATGAAGAAAAAATATATGTATATATTCACAACTAAGAAAGAAATTGTGGGGAGAGAGAAAGAAAAAAAGCTCAAAAGTTTAACAAATTGAATTTTTGGCAGTTAAATTAATTTATGAATGCTGCCTTTGAAGTGTGTGATTTGCAGGAGTGGAAGAGAGAGAGAGAGAGTGAGAAAGAGATCATGAGGTGGGGAGAAAATTTGGTTGAACGTGAACGAAATAATACATATCGAGGTATTGGGGAAATATGTAATTTGTCGAATGACTTTGTGGTGACCAATAAGATGATGTGGAAAGTCATCAACATGCTTGAAAATGTCCATTAAAGTGGATTAAAGGCAGAACTTTGATTCATTATGGTGAAATATATGCCATTAGTGTCGTTAACGCACACAACATGAAGCCTTTCACGAACTCTCAGTGATTTCACGCAATATTGGTAGATGAATGTACACTTTGCATACTTCTCGCAACAGCGAGCTCAACAGGGCTATGGATTTGTCAAAGTTTTCAAAACACCTTTTAATTGCCTTAGTTAGATTAGGAATTTGTATTATATTTATTTAGCTGGGATTTTTTTTCCATGTCTTGTTTAATTGATTCGTATTTGAAGCATGAAATTGTGTGATGTTATAATTGATTTCCAATTTTTTCTTTAATCTACTCTTTCAGATGGGAGACGTCGATCCAGAGACGCTCCTGGAATGGCTGTCTATGGGACAGGGAGATGAGCGTGATATGCAATTAATTGCGCTGGAGCAACTCTGCATGTTGCTCCTGATGTCAGACAATGTTGACAGGTGCTTTGAAAGTTGTCCACCGCGTACCTTCCTTCCGGCACTCTGCAAGATATTCCTCGATGAGTTGGCACCTGAGAATGTGCTGGAAGTCACGGCACGTGCCATCACTTACTACCTGGATGTGTCAGCTGAGTGCACCCGCCGCATTGTGGCCATCGAGGGAGCAATCAAGGCGATCTGCAACCGACTGGTTGTGGCCGATTTGACCAGTCGCACCAGCCGTGATCTCGCTGAGCAGTGCATCAAAGTATTGGAGTTGATTTGCACTCGCGAGGCTGGGGCTGTTTTCGAGGGTGGCGGACTGAACTGTGTTCTCTCGTTCATCCGAGACTGTGGATCTCAGGTGCACAAGGATACGCTACACTCAGCCATGGCAGTTGTGTCGCGTCTTTGCACGAAAGTGGAGCCACTGAGCCCCACAATTCAAACATGTGTCGAGAGTCTGAGCACACTCCTACAGCACGAGGATCCTCTTGTGGCAGATGGAGCGCTCAAGTGTTTCGCCTCGGTGGCAGATAGATTCACACGCAAGGGTGTTGATCCAGCACCATTGGCTGAATACGGACTTGTGACGGAACTTCTCCATCGACTGAGCAATGCCGCAGGGCCTGTGGCGTCCACATCTGCAGCAGGACAGAACCTCCAAGAGGGCGGACATGCTGCTGCCGTACCAAAATCCCAAACTGCCGACACCACACGATCGAGTCAATCGATTTCCACTACGATCTCACTACTTTCCACCCTGTGCAGAGGGTCTCCAACAATAACTCACGTAAGTTAATCCTGTGCTATAAAATATTCACATTGATTTAATGGACTCTCCTTCTCATGCAGGATCTGCTGAGGTCAAAACTGCCGGAGGCAATAGAGCGAGCGCTCAAAGGTGATGAGCGATGTGTGTTGGACTGTATGCGCCTGGCGGATTTGCTGCTGTTACTCCTCTTTGAGGGTCGTCAAGCGCTAAATCGAGTGGGATGTGCACAAGGGCAATTGGTGCCGCGAGTTCGCCGCGCGGACTCGAGTGCGGAGCGGACACACAGACAGCTGATAGATTGCATTCGGAGTAAGGACACGGAGGCTCTGCTGGAAGCTATTGAATCGTGTGGAATTGATGTCAACTGTATGGACGATGTGGGTCAGACGCTGCTCAACTGGGCGTCGGCATTTGGCACGCTCGAGATGGTGGAGTACTTGTGTGAGAAGGGTGCAGATGTGAACAAGGGACAGCGCAGTTCCTCCCTCCACTATGCTGCATGCTTTGGACGTCCGGGTATTGCAAAAGTGTTGCTCAAGTATGGCGCCAATCCGGATTTGAGGGATGAAGATGGGAAAACACCCCTCGACAAGGCACGTGAGCGCCTCGATGAAGGTCACAGGGAGGTGACATCGATTCTTCAGTCGCCAGGCGACTGGATGTCAGCCATTCGGCCGGACGCAAAGGCGGATGGTGAGGAGTCTAATGAGCCAAGGGGTGATCCTGAAATGGCTCCCATCTACTTGAAATTCTTTCTGCCAGTCTTCTGCAAGACCTTCCAGAGCACAATGTTGGCGAGCGTGAGAAAATCGAGCTTGGGTGAGTGTCATTTTCCCCTATAATATTCTCAATTCCACCCATTTTGGCCTGTGTTCACAAAATGATGTCACGTTTTGATCCCAAAAGTGGAATTGCTAATGAAGCATCACTCTCATTCCACGTTTTTACAGGACTCATTAAGAAGATGGTCCAATATACCCAACCGGAATTACTCTCGACACTCTGCTCCACCCAAAATGACCAAAATCTGGGCACATTGCTGGTGGAAGTGGTTGCCAGTGTGTTGGACAATGAGGTAAATAGCTGAATAATGTATTATAAGTCTCTCCACACATCACTGAAAAGTGGGGGTGGTGGGAGTGCTTTTTTTCACTATTATATAGCAATATAATTAGTGCTGTGCTTAGGCTATATAAGTTGCAATATTAATAATAATTGTGGCGATGAAAGAGTATCATGGGTATAAAAGAAGTGAATGCGGAATTTTCAGATAAACTACAGTTGGCCCACATTAAATTTTCAACATCCCCTCCGTAAGGGAAAAGTGGGAACATTAGTGAACAACATAAAACAGCATCAGCACTACAACCTCTATATAATCCCACCTCAGCCACCAACGAATAATCAAGTGGCGGTAAAATTCATACACTGAGTAATTTTCTATTGAGAGGCAGAAAGGAAATTTCTTCTTTTCTGCACATGAGAGAGAGAGAGAGAGTCTGAATAGACAGATAAATATAAATGAGAGATATATGAATAACAAGAAAATTGTTTCTTTCATTATCTACATTGCATTGTGTTAATTTTTATCCATTTACTTTTTTACCTTAACATTCTTAAACCAATTTTCACTTGTTTTTCTTTCAATTGTGTCTATTTCGTTATGAAATCAGTCGCGTGATTTTGTACATTTTTTTTTTTAATTTACTTTTTGTGTCTCTAACGTTTTTATATTTACGTTGTTTTTCTGCTAACTTTTCCTTTTTCTTTTATTGAAAATGATTCATGTACTCGTCAAAAGTTGCATTTGATGAGAGAATCTCGAAGAAATGGATACAAAAGAAATTGTGTAGCTTTTCCAATTTGCCCTGACAACAAAAAGATAAAATATTTTACTAAAGAAGCGTTAATTTTTATGAAAAAAAAAACAGTAATGGAAAATATATTGTGTTGCTATTTTTATACTTTTACGAGTAAGATTTTCGTTTTGCGGAAACATTGAAGTAAAAGTGCAATCATGAAAATCGACGCTCTAATTTCCTCTTTCTCGAGTAATTCTCTAATGAGATTTTCCTTCCTAATTGCAATGCAATGTAGTTATTATCACTTGTATGAATTTTGTCTGCTGCATTGAAATGAGTTTTTTTTCTTTTCTTTTCATTTTCAAAGCAAAAGATGTTTCCCAGCATTTGTTGTGCACTGTTGAGATACTAAATTTTTTTTTTTGATGTCTTGTGTAGATTTTTTCATAATGAAACTAACGTGGATGTTTTTCTCCACATCTTTTTCTCTTTCTCCCGGGATTCTCTCTGTAGGACGACGAAGATGGACATTTGGTGGTTTTGACGATAATTGAGGAATTAATGTCAAAGACTCACGATGAATTTCTCGATCATTTCGCGCGTTTGGGCGTGTTCTCAAAAGTGCAGGCACTGATGGGTCCATCCGGGACTACGGGTGAGAGTGGTGAGACTGATGTGATAAAATCCCAAGAGGAGGGCGCCGCCGCGTCAACGAGTCGACAGCAGAAGCTGGGAAATACTTCGGGTGCCGTGGAGCAACTGGGCGGCGAGAGTGTGCTGGAGGATGCCAAAGAGATTTTGCCTGGGAAGGCTTATCACTGGCGAGACTGGAGCATCTGCCGTGGCCGTGATTGTCTGTACGTGTGGTCAGATTCGGCGGCTCTGGAGCTATCGAATGGCTCGAATGGCTGGTTCCGGTTCATCCTAGATGGTAAACTGGCCACGATGTATTCCAGTGGGAGTCCAGAGAACGGAAGTGACAGTTCAGGTGAATAACCATTTAATTGTGACTCTCTTTCAACTCCTAACAAGAACTTCTCTTACAAAATTACAAATCGTAGACATATTGTCGCTCTTTCATTTCCCTAATATTCAATCATGTGTTCTTAACTCAGTCATCTCAAGATGTGGAAGCAATAGGTTTCTTAATTGTCCTGAGTATAATTACAATTGTAGTATAATAATTTTGCAAAAATTGGGTAGTTTTCCCATCTGAAAAGCCTTCTCCTATTTTGTTACTTCATTCACTCATCAGACACATTTTGTGTTAATTTCTGTTTTATAGGCAAAGGGCATAGCGTGGATTCTATTTCTAGTGAAGGTGAGGCCATTTTTGTCACTTATAAAACAAATCATTCTTCTCCTAACTCTCCCATCTGTCTCATTTTGTCCTCGTTAAAACTTCATTTTCAAATTAAGGCGAAGATATTTTGCGAATTCTCTTCTTAATGTGAATGTTTCTTCATGTTCAAATTAGTTTCTTGGCAGCTACAACATTTACATTTATATGTTATCTTACACCACAAATTGTCTTACATGTTCTCTTCTACTGTGGATATTATACATTTCAGTAGTCAGCAATGAGTTAATGTAGGCTGATTTATGTCTTATTGCAGAGAATCGTGGAGAATTTTTGGAGAAATTACAGAGAGCTCGCGCTGCTGTTCGCCAAGGATCGATATCACAGCCAATTTTGTCTACATCCACATCAACAAGACTGATTGTTGGCAATTGGGTGTTGCAAAATCAAAAGGACAATCAACTGCATATCCACAATTCAGAAGGTCATCAAGTAAGTGATCTCAATTAGTGCATATTATTATGATAAAATCTCTTCTGTGTGTAAAACTGTGAATTTTTCACATAATTGGTCTTTCTTAAGATCGTGTGAATTTTCCCAGGCAGTCTTTGAAACATTTGTATTGCAATTCACCTTCGTTTTGTTTGCTTTTTACAGGTGACAATTCTTCAGGATGACTTGCCGGGATTTGTGTTTGAGAGCAATCGTGGCACAAAGCACACCTTCACGGCTGAAACGACTCTGGGTCCGGACTTTGCGTCTGGCTGGTCGAGTAGTCGGAAGAAGAAGATGCGCTCGAAGGCGGAGGCACAGAAGTGTCAGGTGAAGAACATGGCACGTGACATCTACAATCGTCACTTCAAGGCAGCTCAGGCTGTGCCACGTGGCGCTGTGGCCACGTTGGCGGTGATTGTGAGAGAAATTGAGACCGCTCTGGAGGAGCAATACTCCCTGACGCTGGCCAGACAGACGATGGAGGCTGGTGCTGTGGCGGAGATTTGCTGTGAGAAGATCACATGGCAGGAGAGACTCAGATCAGCACTCAGCAATCTCGCAACCCTTCTCCACGTGGATGGCGTTGTCAGTGCCTATGAGATGCATAGTTCAGGCCTTGTGCAGGCTCTAGTGGCACTTCTGTCAAAGAACTACTGGGAATCGGGACTCACAAGGAATAAGGCTAATAAGCTGCAGAAGCAACGAATTGCCATTTTTAATCAATGCATACAGGCGGGTTCAAATGTCGAGGCCACTGATGGAGCGAAGTGTAAGAGCACGGCGAGTATATTGGTAGCAAAACTCGTGGCAGTGCTGGAGAGCATTGAGAAATTGCCTGTGTATCTTTATGAGTCTCCTGGTACGGGATATGGCTTGCAGATTCTCACGAAGCGTCTGCGTTTCCGCCTGGAGAGAGCCTCATGCGAGACCACACTGTTTGATCGCACTGGAAGGCACTTGAAGATGGAACCGCTGGCCACGGTGGGCCAATTGGCTAAGTACCTGTTGAAGATGGTGGCAAAGCAGTGGTATGACATGGACAGATCAACGTACTTTTTTCTGAAGAAATTGAGAGATTGTGGAAAACAGATTGCCTTCAAGCATCAGTACGATTTCGATGAGAATGGACTGATTTACTTCATCGGCACGAATGGAAAAACAACTGAATGGGTGAATCCAGCTCAATATGGTCTCGTGACAGTCACGAGTTCAGAAGGCAAGCAATTGCCGTATGGGAAGCTAGAGGATATTCTCTCGCGTGACAGCATCTCAATCAATTGTCACACAAAGGACAACAAGAAGGCGTGGTTCTCCATTGATCTGGGACTCTTCCTCATCCCATCGGCCTACACGTTGCGACATGCCAGAGGATATGGTCGATCTGCGCTGAGAAATTGGATGTTCCAAATGTCTAAGGATGGCGTCACATGGCAGACGCTGTATACTCACACGGACGACAAGAGTCTCGTGGAGCCTGGCAGCACGTGTACATGGGCCATTGAGTGTTCCCCCGAGGAGACAATTGGCTTTCGTCATGTGCGCATTCAGCAGAATGGGCGCAACGCTTCGGGTCAGACACACTACCTCAGCCTGTCTGGCTTTGAGATCTATGGAAAGGTGGTGTCGGTGTGTGAAGACTTGGGAAAGACGGCAGCTAAGGAGATGGAGGCGAAGATTCGTCGTGAGAGACGCCAAATTCGGGCACAATTGAAGCATATCACTTCGGGTGCAAGGGTGGTGCGTGGTGTAGATTGGCGCTGGGACGATCAGGATGGGCATCCGCCATGCGAAGGAACGGTGACGGGAGAGATTCACAATGGGTGGATCGATGTGAAGTGGGATCATGGCGTGAGGAATTCATACAGAATGGGTGCTGAAGGGAAATATGATCTCAAGTTGGCCAATTGTGATAGTTTGATGATGGAACCGGGAAATTCTCTCATTCCGCTGTCCACAAAGAAATCAACGGATAAGACAAGTGTGTTAACTAGCAGAAAATCAAGTTCCACACCAAGTTTGCCGGAAGCAACGACAGAAATCAGAAATTCCGTAGCATCAACAGATCAAGCATCATCGGCGGATAATCTGACATGGAAGCAAGCTGTGGAGGCAATAGCTGAGAATGTTCTCTCATCAGCTAAGAGTGATATTGTCAATCCAGGAGAGATTCATCCCAATCAAACGGAGGTTTCAGTGGTTGTGCATACGTTGAGAGACAATCATCCAGACTTGTCAGCTATCAACAATTCCACACAGACTATTGCGTCGGATTTGGCAACAATAACAGAAAATCTTACGCTAAATACACCAGAGCCGACGTCCAGTAGTACTGGAATTCCGTGCTTCGTGAGACAACAGAGTTATCCAGAGGACAGCAAGATTCTCAATGAGGCCAACAACAAAATCAACGCCAGCAATTCCACAAACAGTATCGCATCCAAGAGTCTCTTGAGCACACTCAGAACGCAATCTGGTGGGGTGACAAAGATGACAACAACTGTGAGTCAGGGAGTGGATACGTTCCGAAATAATGCCAGCAATATTCTCTCTTCGGACATACTGTCCATCTCCACAGCAAATATGCTCACGCCGGCAGTGAGGATGACACTGCAGAAGTCAACGATTGCTAACACAACCACAACGCCGAGCAGTGGTGAGAAGATGCAGACAAGCAGTGAGGAGCAGAATTTCAAGATGCGTAAACCATTGCATCGTGTGGAGAAATTGCTGCAGATCCAGCAACAGCCGGAGGATATCTACCTGCCATTGCCGCCGTCAGTGGCGAAGGAACGTGATACAACGAACAACTTGAAGAATAATCTCGTTGCCACATCCACGGCGACTCAGGGCACTCCCACGACAACAGAGACGCTCGCCCCGGCAGGAGATCCCTCATCAACGAGCACCAGTGCTGATGCTGTGGTGGTGGCAAATCCAATGAGTGTGTCAGTGCCCAATTTGACAACATCAACCAGTGAAGTGGCAAATCCCATTGAACCGACAACGCCACACGGTTTGCTGGAAACTTTCGCCGCCATGGCGAGACGAAGAACATCGCAGGGAAGTGGTGGTGGTGGCAGTGCTTTCCAGGCTAACAATCAGGCCATGAACACGGTCAACACCAGCAACAATCAGAGCACATCTGGATTCTTTCCCCGCGGACCCAATTCTGTTACCAGCCTCGTGAAGTTGGCACTCTCGAGTAATTTTCACACCGGTCTCCTCAGCACGGCACAAAGCTATCCCAGTCTCACGAGTTCCGCCAATATTCCCCCGACAACTACAAATTCAGGAACTACGGCCGGTGGCATCACGACATCAGCCAGCAGTGGTCAGGCCGCCACATCACCATCACCTGCTCTCAATCCCGCCTTCACAATGAGTCTCACCTCAACGAGTAGTGACAGTGAGCAGGTATCGCTGGAGGACTTCCTGGAGAGCTGCCGGGCGCCGACACTTCTCGGTGATCTGGAGGATGATGAGGACATGGAGGAAGACAACGATGATGAGGAGAATGAGGATGAATATGAGGAGGTGGGCAGTACATTGCTGCAAGTGATGGTGTCTCGAAATCTTCTCTCATTCATGGACGATGAGACGCTGGAGAATCGTTTAGTGGCAGCGGGCAAGAGGAAATCATGGGATGATGAGTATGTGCTGAAGCGGCAGTTTTCAGCACTGATTCCCGCCTTTGATCCTCGACCAGGACGCACGAATGTCAATCAGACGACAGATCTTGAAATACCTCCGCCTGGTTCAGAGAGTCAGTCTCAGTCTGTAGATGTCACACTCATCCCGCAGCCATCGCTGCATCTCGTGCTCAAGGGACCGAATTTGGCAGGTGTGGGTGATGTGGAGATTCCTCTTACCAATCCTGACTGGACAATATTCAGGGCTGTGCAGGAACTCATGCAGATGACTAACATGAATAAGACAGTGAGTTGAGATGTGATGATTTAAATGATGTTGAGCAAATTCTAAGGTATTGTTATTGAATAGGAGAAGCTGCGAAAGATCTGGGAGCCGACGTACACCATCATTTACCGCGAGGCCACCAGTAAAGAGGACAACAATGTGAGCAGTGGTGAAGGAAGAACAACTCCTGTGGTGTCTGTCTTCAGTTCAGGTCGAAGTGGAGGATCAACTCTGTCACCAAGTTCACCTCTTCCAAGTATGAATGCCATTTGTGTGATCAATGTTCTCCTTTAACTCTCTCTCTCTCTCTCTGCCTTATTCAAGTGACTCCATCAACGCTCCACTGCTCTGTGGATGATGTGTTGCAACTTCTGTCGCAGCTCAATGCCATCAATGGCCAACTTCTGGCGGCAGAGAGTGATAATTCCATCACACTAAGCGGTGATCTGTTCATGAGCAAAAAGATTACAAATAAGCTGCTGCAGCAGATTCAGGATCCATTGGTGTTGAGCAGCAATAGTTTGCCGTCTTGGTGTGAGAATCTCAATCAATCATGTCCGTTCCTGTTCCCCTTCGAGACACGTCAGCTGTACTTCAGTTCCACGGCTTTCGGTGCCTCACGGAGCATCGTTTGGCTGCAGTCGCAACGTGATGTGACTCTCGACCGGCGGATACCTGGCTCGAGTCCGCGACGCGATGAGCAGCACGAATTTCGTGTGGGGCGTCTCAAGCATGATCGTGTGAAGGTGCCACGAAGTGAGAATCTCATTGAGTGGGCGATGCAGGTGATGAGGACTCACTGCACGAGGAAATCTGTGTTGGAAGTTGAGTTCATGGGCGAGGAGGGCACCGGATTGGGTCCCACCCTTGAGTTCTATGCTCTCGTCGCGGCGGAACTGCAGAGGAGTGATCTGGGCATGTGGCTTTGTGACGACGAGGTGGACCAGAAAATGGATGAAGCGACAGAGATTGACTTGGGTGAGGGTGCGAAACCTATTGGGTATTATGTGCGTCGTCCGGCTGGATTGTTCCCGGCGCCGTTGCCTCAAGATTCGGAGATCTGCGAGCGAGTGTCCAAGTACTTCTGGTTCCTGGGTGTGTTCCTCGCCAAGGTGCTGCAGGATGGTAGGATTGTGGATCTACCGCTGTCGACGCCATTCCTTCAGTTGCTGTGCCACACCAAGAGCACCAAGTGTCGCAACATCTCAGCCACGACAGGTGTGAAGTCAAGTGAGGACATTATGATGTCGAGCATGATGTCGGAAGAGAGTGATCGCGAGACAATTGACAATTACTCTCGGATGCTGGGCGCCAGATTCCCGGCCTCTTCGTGGTATGACGGTGTTCTGGGCTGCGATCAGTTGGCTGAGATTGATCCAATCAGGGCGGAGTTCCTCAGAGAGCTGCAGGATATCGTGATGCAGAAGCAGAACATTGAGCAGAACATCAGTCTGACACCCGATGCCAAAGCCCAGATGATTGAGGAGCTGAAGTTAACCACCAAGTGTGCTGAGGTGAGTCTTGAGGACTTGGCGCTCAGCTTCACATACCTGCCCAGTTCCAAAGTGTACGGATTCGCGAGTGCTGACCTCATTCCCAATGGCAATCAAGTGGATGTGACGGTGATGAATGTGGAGGAGTACTGTGATCTCACCATGAACTTCTGCCTCCAAGATGGCATTGCTAAGCAACTGCAGGCCTTCCATGAGGGATTCAGCCAGGTGTTCCCACTAAACAAGTTGGCTGCCTTCACGCCCGATGAGGCGCGCATTATGATCTGTGGTGAGCAGAATCCCGAGTGGACGAGAGATGATCTTCTGAACTACACAGAACCGAAATTGGGTTACAGCAAGGACAGGTGAGTTGATGATATATTTTTGGGATATATTCTGGAGAGATTGTTGATTGCTGTCCTCTGCCTTGCAGTCCCGGCTTTCTGCGATTCGTGAATGTACTTATGAGTCTCACGGGTCCGGAGAGGAAGGCCTTCTTGCAGTTCACAACTGGCTGCAGCAGTTTGCCGCCGGGCGGCCTTGCCAATCTACTGCCGCGCCTCACGATCGTCCGGAAGGTGGACGCGGGTGAGGGGAGCTATCCGTCTGTCAACACATGCGTCCACTACCTCAAGCTACCTGATTATCCCACGGAGGAGATCCTCAAGGAGAGACTACTCACGGCGACCAAGGAGAAGGGATTCCACCTCAACTAAAATATGTGCGCGCGTAGAGAAAAAAAAAATTGCAGATGAAATTTTTATCAGTCACACAAACACACAGATTTCTCTCCAATTTTCTAAAAAGAGAAGCTCTATCGAGATTTCGAGGGAAGAAGAAACTGTCTCTCAAAATGTTTTGATGAATATGCAGAGAAAAGAAAAGATGATTTCACTAAAGAATTTGGATATTTAGGACAATATTTAATCACAGCAGAGAAGATATTTTAGACGCGAAGTAAATGTAGATGTACTTTTAATTTTTCTTCGTCTCTGATTAACTTACAAAATGTATAATTAGTGTGATATTCAAGTAACAAGAAAATGATGTATTGAGTGAGTGGAAGAATATATAGAGAGAATAAAAACATACAATAATTTTAGTACATTTCCTTTGAGGATTCTGCGCGATTTCTGTGTTTGCGGGGTTTGCGGCGTTTACGGTGATGGCGTGCAGAGGTCTCTGGGTGGAAGTTCGAAAAGCCGAAGTTTGACAGTGAAAATCAATGACAAAGAGCGGCCATTTTGCGTTTTCCAGCAGGAGAGTTTCTCGATTGGGAAAAGTGTGATTTGGTGTTGAAGAAGCAGGTAAAATAGCTTAAATATATGGTCCTTAATGTAGATTGACTCCCTCTCTCACCACTGAACATGGTACAATCGCTAGAGATGGACTTGATAAAGTGCAAAATTGCCTCGATCGCCACAGAAAATTGTTCCCCACAAATTACATAATGATGGCGCTCAGGGGCTTCTTGGCGAGGGACTCGCAAAATATTCTCTTTTCATCCCGGCGTGATATATCTTGAAAAAGAATGTCTAATCCACATTGAAAATGCCTTGCGTGGCTGCTATTATACCTTCTCAAGTTATTTTTGTAGGAAGCTCTCAAAGGTGCCCAAAAATTGCCATATCCTCCCTTGGATGTGTGTGTTCTCCATCAACGTATCGTCGTATGGTCATCTTCCGCCCTCACAAAATCATTGTTGTCGGCGGGTAAACGTAATGTAGCACATTTTATCTCACTATTTATTACTCTTGACATCTATTTTTTTGCAATTTTGACTCGAACCTCAGCCAAAGAAGGCGCTTTTGTGGGCCTCCGAGCGGAGGTGCTTCTTTGGCATGAGCGTTCAGAGTTTCTCTCTTTTGCATTTTGAGTTTTCTCTCTCGCATGGTGGTTCTCAGCGAACTTTATCTAAAGCTTGTGTAAATCCCCACTTGCAGATTTAGAGAGAGAGAGAGAGACAGGACAGAATACACACAGGAGGGATTGAAGAGTGGGTGAGTGACGATGTCGCATGAGGCATCCGACTACAGACGCTCGTCCGGATCGCGATATCGCGAGAGGGACGAGAAAGACAGCTACCGAAGGAGCCGACACCGCGAGGACAGTCGCCGGAGTGAGAAATACCATCACCATGAGGAGCGGAAGGGTCGATATTCCTACAGTAGTAGGCGAAGATCCCCGTCTGATGACTATCGTGAGAGGCGCCGCGATAGATCACGAGACCGTTATCGCTACAGTGTCTCCCGCTCGCGCTCGAGATCACGCTCCAGAGACTATCGGCGTCGTCGCAAGGACAGCTACAGTCCCGCTGAGAATCCACCGTCGCCTCCGAAGTTCTCCCGGGCGGATTCGCGCGAGAGTAGCGAAGATGACGCTTTGCAGAGTGTCGAACAGCGTCCTGGAGAGTTTGGCGAACGCAACAGCCAGGCTGCTGATGACCTTTCCGAGGAGTACTTCGAAGATATTGAGGCAAACAAAGAGAAAATCCATCAGGCCATGGAGGAGCGCCTGAGACAACATCTGGCCGCGCAGGGGAAGGTGTATCCACCTCCAAAGCCTGAGCCACAGCAAACAACCATGTTTGCCAATGACGGCTCCTTTATGGAGATGTTTAAGCGCATGCAGGAGCAGCAGAAGACAGAGCAAGCTAGTGGGAGTGGAACGTCGGGGGTGAAGAAGGCTCCGGCTCCACTGTTCGGGAAGCGCCGCGGTGGCAAGATCCTCAAGACGGGCATTGTGGAGAAGAAGAAACCCGTCGAGGAGGCCACGCCGGCGCCTGGGTCCGCCGATGCCTGGACGCTCTACATGGCGGAAGTGAAGAAATACAAGAACTTCTCATGTGATATCGACAACAACTCGCGACCACTCGTCAAGTGAATCGACAGAATGTCTGCAAATGGCAAATACTGCAATTTATCAAATTCATCCTCTAGCGATTGTCTCATTTATTCTGTAGGCGAGAGAGAGAGAGAGAGAAAGAGAGCCACTAAGGCGGCTCGATATTCTCTTATTATTTTTTTTTTTTACAATAATCTATGATAGGATATATTTTTCCCCATTCGTAGATTCTTAAGCGTAAGTCGCGCTAATTGAAGCAGCGCACAACTCTTGAGAAATTTGAAGAAAGAATTGATAGAAATGCCTGAAGTTCATATTCCGGAAACCCTGGGTACGGCACCCTTCGATCCGCGGTTCCCCAATACGAACCAGACGCGCTATTGCTACCAGAGCTACTTGGACTACCATCGGTGCCAGAAGCTCCGCGGTGAGAAGTACGAACCGTGCAACTACTTCAAGAGGGTCTTCACGTCCATCTGTCCCCATGCGTGGGTGGAGAAATGGGACACCCAGAGGGCGGAGGGTATCTTCGCGGGAAGTATTTAAACTGCAATTGTAGACACAATATTTCCTCCCTCTTCGCCCAAGCGAATTACAGTAGGCATCATGGATAAATTCACGAGAGAGAAATAAAAAATTACTGAGTAAAAGCTTCCGAAAATTTTTCTAAGTAAAAATCCCTGTTGATTTTTCCTTATCAAACGGCAAAATTTCAAAAAGTTAACCTCAAAAGTGGCTCATCAAGTCAAGAAAATTCCATGTTGCATCATTTCTACAGGCGGGAGAATTATTTATCTGACCAGACAAGTACCACAGCATGTTCCGGTGAGAATGGTGAGAAGTGAGTCCATGACCCCGTGTCGCACGTGCACAGACTTCAAGAGCTGGAGCAAACAGATGAGCATGCCATCGACTGGGAAGGTAAGAAAGATCTTCTGCAGCGCATCCAATTGCCTCATCTTCCTCTAATTCACGCAGGAGGGTCAGCAAAAGGCACACAGGACTGACTGTCCCCTCGATAAGAATGAACTAGGACGCTCTACATGGGGATTCCTGCACACAATGGCTGCCCATTATCCAGAATCCCCGAGTCAAGAGGAAGTGCGCGACATGAAGAACTTCTTCAGCCTCCTCTCGAGGTTCTATCCCTGCGAGTACTGCGCGAAGGACCTGCGAGATGAGTAAGGAGTTTTTGTGGTCTCTCTCTCTCGGGAAAGCCTTATCTCAGCAAATATCCCTTTTCAGACTGAAAGTCGATCCCCCTAAGGCAAAGACCCAGAGCGAACTTTCCCAGTGGCTGTGTCGGCTGCACAACAAAGTCAATGTAAAGCTGGGAAAGAAGGAGTTTGACTGTGCGAAGGTCAATGAGAGATGGAGAGACGGATGGCTGGATGGGTCCTGTGATTGATTCTCTGCATGTCTTGTGCGTGGAGGTTGAAAAAAAAGTATTGAGGAAATTTTTTGCCCAAATAAAAGAGTTTAGAATTTATGAGGTTATGTCACCCCATCTTGACATTCAATCCGGGAGTTTTCCGTAGTGTTGCTAGAGAATGGTTGGATTTGCGTAGTAAATTGCAGGTAAAAGTGGTCAGAAACCATCGTGAGCTATGGCACTGTGTCTCAGGAGTTTGCCAGCGCGTTTTGTTCCTATTAATGCGATTATTTGCACAACAAAACCGCATTTTGTACAGAAGCAGGATGAACAGTGGTCACCTGCAATGGTGAGTTCAGGGCTACCCATTGTCATTTCTAGTCTTTGGAGGTGTCACGGCACCACAAGGAAAAGGAAGAGAGTGGCAGGAAGTTGAGATTTTCATCTTTCTTTTGGATGATGTAACCTCACAATTGCTTTATTTTCCAGAAAATCCCATCAAAGCTCCGGAAAGACGTGTCGCTGCTTGGTTCCCGAGATGAGCTTTTGAGCATGTGTGATAGGACTTATAAGTATTGCGCACCAAATCCCATTGAGAAGTTCGCTGAAGCCCCAGGAGAACAAAATCATCAGGCGCCGGGTGGCGAACATCCTAACAATGAAGATCTCGCAAAAATCTTCAATGTTCTGCGCACAACTCTGCCTAAACTCTTCGTCCAGCCCATGGATTACTCAATTTACGATGTAAATCTGATATTAGAAAACAATATCACGGGGAAGCGGACAGTGTGAGTCTCCCAAAGCCCACCAGGTAGTTTGACATCTGATTTCGCAATGTCTTTCTCAGGGGACTTTTTCACTATGTGAAGCAAGTGGCTCTCCTGCGGACTGTGGGGCACTTGAAGTTTGCCTATGTAAAATTCGATGTCTTAAAAATCACACAGCATCCAGAGGACTTCACGGTTCGTGTGAGATGGCGTATCAGTGGGATTTCCGGCATGAAAGTCATGTTCACGTTCTGGAAGTACAAATTGTGGAATTTGAAAGAAACGTTCGATAACATGGAAGCGTGAGTACATTGAGAATAGCCTGGAGTTTGAGGAGGCTCATGATAACTTATCTTTCAGGTGGTATGATGGTTTCTCCACATTTTACATTGGCAATAAGGGTGTCATCGTGAAGCACGTTGTGGACAAGGTGAGTGAGAAATCAATGCTGTTTTCTTCTGTTTAGTGACATTGTGGGCTTACAGATGATGCCTGACGATAGCCGGGAGCCGAACAAGGTGCAAGCGTTCCCCATGGTCGAAGGAAGACCTGTGTAAGAGCATAGAAATTGTTTATAGTTGAAAAATAAAATGCACCGACTAGAAATTTAGAATCCGCCAACCTCCCTGAACGTAGCCGAAATGCGGTTTGTGTCTCGGCTAGGGTTGTAATTCGCCGCACTTCGCCACCAACGGAGTGTATTTTGAATATCTCTCGGCTCAGAGTTAACTTCACGCCTATAAAAATGCTTGCCACAGCGCGGCGCACCAGTCGGCCACTTGTCAAAGCAGGGATTCGCCACCAGTCAGTGAGCGAAGGAAAAACCTTGGGAAAATCAAGAATTCCCCTCAATTTCTTCCCTATTTGTCGCTCTTCTTGCACTTCCTCTTCTCGCTATTGCTCAGTGCACAAACTGTGACTATCGGTGTGGTGTTTGTCTAGTGAAATTGTACAGGAATCTAATAGGAAAAGTCGACTCACCTTGCATGAGTGTGAGTGGCGTGGAAAATGAACTTGACCCGCACAAGTTAAAGTATCTCTCTGAGGAGTCCCCAGTTTTTTTCCGCCTGCCATTCCGCGAGCATTTGCACCCGAACACCACCGCGGGGTGACAGTGTGGCGAGGCGGTTCACGCAGAGACAAATGTTGAGTGTGCACCGGAAGAAAAATTTGCGTGTCTATTGTGTTTGCTGCCGTCTTAATTTTCCCTGACGCGTCAAAGGAGCAGCTGAGTAGAATTTTTTCACACCTCATTTCAGTTTGACTTGTGTTTTATTTTTTCACCTTCCTCTACCTGATTTTCCCACTCGCTGAGAAGTGATCGTGTGTTTGGTGTGTGACTCCACGGAGGGAGATCGGGAGAGCCGTAAAGTGTCTTGTGAACCGTGAGGCAGGAGGGTCAAAATGCGGTGGCTGCAGAAGGGCAACTCCACAGTGCTGTGGCTCTTCCTCTCCGCGCTCGTCCAGATCACAGTGGATGCCCTCGAGACGAGCGGTGATCACATCCAGGAGGACTTCGAGGGGCCCCAGCGCGCCCACACGCCCAGCCCGCCATCCAAATTCACTACTGCAGAGCCTGGCGGCACTCACATGCCCCACAGCGCGCCCCCGCCACATTTTGGGCCCGCGCCCGCAAATCCAGCTGGCGCAGAATCTCGCAGCTCATACGCAATGCTGAGCCAGGCAATGTCAAAGGCTGTTAGCCATGAGTTCAGCGGTAAGTACACACCACTTTTTTCCTCTTTCCACACGCCACAGTCATGGGCAGAGATAGTGTAGACAATAGACCTGAAAATGTAGATATTTGCCGAGTTAATTGGTATTCTCAATGTCCCAGAAGAATAGTCCAATGGTCAAGTTGTTCCAGCGTTTTTGGCGAAGATTGCAAAAATACAAACATTAGTTGATTAGCTTTGCAAAAGTACGTTGACCGAAATATTGATCACAGATCCGAAAACGAGTTTTTCAAGTATTGAAACCTCAAATTCACTGAAAGCTATTCGACTGTGTATAAAAGTTTACATCATTACAGCACATTGAACCTTCCGGGATTTATATTTTTCAACTGTCATTCCTCAGAATTACTTGCCTTCAATTGGGTTTCTCTTTGCAAATTTATTCATGATCTAATTGGAAAAAATTATATACAAAAATTTGTGTGTTTCGAAAAATTTTCGCCATTCAAATTTGAGATTTGCACTCATTTACCAATTATTTCTTTAACTTAGTCTATCTCTTACGCATTAGTAAATCATTTTATAGCATAAATCATAAAATTTTTGAGAAATCGAGACATATATTCAAGGTGGCCAAAGTGTGCACAGATTTGAAGATGTTTCGCGTTTCGACTAATGGAGAATCGTTCAGATAGCAAAAGTAATTGTAATTCAATTGAGAATAGCGTCAACAATGCCCATCTCTGCAGCATGTGTGTATTTTCTCCTTCAATAGCACAATAATTAAGCAGCAGCAATTCTGTGGGCGCGATTTAGGGCAATAATTCAGCGAGATGTGCGGCGTGAGGATGAAATAGTCGAGAAGAATGGGGAATCAATGAGTGATGATGAGATACTTTCACTTGCAAGGCGAGAGAGTGGGCAAAGAGTGTAAAAAGCGAGAGAGAGAGAGAGAGACTGAAGTGGAGAGGAAAAAAACACATTTCAATACTGCGAATCTCTCGAAAAAGATATGAAAAAATTATAAATAGATTTTCTCATGATTTGATCTGTCGTCAACGACATTTTGCATACAATTGAGCATCCGTCCCGCCCGCGTTTGGCTCTTTCACACCTGCCCCAGCGTGCCTGCATTAATTTCCTTTCAGTACCATTTTCCTCAATTTTATCGAAAGACACACAAGCGCGCAACGCGCCGAGTGCGAGAGTCATTTGAAAGCCAAGTACTAAGGACGTTTGTCGAACTTGAAAATTTCAATATGCAGCGACACTCATTATATCACTTCAATACAACACATTCAATTGCCCGAGAGAGAGATACAGTGTAAACAATCGTGTTGTTTTTATTGGGTGCGAAAAAGGAAGGTAAAGTCGCGATAAACTGGATTTCTTATGTGTTGCTTTGGCAATTTATGGGCTTACAGTGAGTTTGTCGGTGATTCTCCATTTTGTCTACTTTATCACTAAATCCCTAGAGAAATATTTACTCCAGCTTTATTGCTCCATTCAAAAATGTTTTTGTTCTGATAGCGATAATAGAGCAATTAAGTGTTGGTAGAATTAAATCTTAATTGCATAGATTCAAATTTTCATGTATAGAAATGATTAAAGAGGATATTTTGTTGCTTCACAAGGAGTGACTCATGAAATTAGGGCAACATTGACAGTATTATTACATCTTCTCATCAATTTATTTTATTTTATTCATTTGCAGAGTTTTAACGAATTTTCCTACTGCCAATTTCGTGTGTTTTTCTTTCAACTTCTTCTCTGCTTAATTGTGAAACCTCGATGAGAATTGAATAGAACTCTTCATGTGATAATTAACAAATATATTCCCTCTTTTCGTGCCACGAGAATATTTTTAGCGTATATTAACGCAAAAATGGGCAAATATAATATTTTTCTTCCCCTTCTATCTTTTTTATGAGTTCTTCATAGTCGATCTTTGGTTTCCTTCGTCTGAATATTCGTGTGAAATTGTGAGGAAAGAATATTGATTTAGGTGTGATACTCTGTGTGTCATGTAATTTTATCGAGTTAGGCACATTCAATTGTTTAAGTGGATTGATAAAAGTCATGTAAATCAATCAATTCTTCACGGTATGTGCCTTCAATACCCTCAACTTCTCTAGTGTCTCATAACGACACATATTGCTCGATGAATCGTGGCGCAAATGTTATTGGAATGATTGTTGTGTTGTTGTTTTTTCCTTATGATCATATTCAATAAAGAGCAGAATTGTGATTCGCGTCGCATTGAGAGTTTTGTGGGAAGAAATTTTCCTCAACACCTCGGCCAATCGTTGATCAATTGAATTCATATGATCAATTTTTCACATATTTGGGATGTCGGGCGTATCAATTGGTTAGTCAATTAAATTTTTGAAGGTATACGTGAAATATTTATAGAATCAGCACTTTCAAATGTGCTAATTGAATGTTAAATATTTCAAAATTACATGTTGAGGCGTTGAGAGGGAGGGAGAAATTCTACTTATGCGAACAGCCTCTTCTCATCAATTCACACACCAATGGATTCTGGATTGGACTGCATATGATGATTCTTTCCTTGTATTGCAAAGAAAATCATCATTCGTCTATACAAACATTGGTTGTTCGGAGAAAGAGAATTGATTAGGAATCCACACACTGGCAATTAAGTGAACAATTTTTTTAGCACATAATTTAATGAAAATTGCCACGGGTTGTTGTAAAGTTTGTGAGATAAGACATAACACGAGTAAACTTGAGCTGTAGTTGGTTATTTATTTTCTTTGGCTGCATTGGTGAAGCATATCATTACAATGTTCTCAGCATTTTCAGCAATTAATATCAGACCTTATAAATGCATGCACTTTACCATATGTAATTTCTGTGTATGCTCACAAAAAAAAGAGCCATAATTGAGAAAAATGTTTGATAATAGAGAAGAACAAGCGCTCTATTGAACTGCAAAGTGCTTTAATTGACAAGGAATTGTGATAAAAAAATTTATATGTCTCGTGAACATGGGAGGAAGGAATTGATCATAAAATTGTCATTTGTAGGGTGATAAATCAATTTGGAACATATTAATCGGATTTTAATGCCCAATTGAGAATTGATAGGTTGGTTTTTCATGTGAATCAGTGTTTTCTTTGAAAAATTCGTAACTTTTTTTCTGAAAGAAGCATGAATTGTTCGATTCACCATAATTGCTCTGAACGTGCAATATTGAATTGGAAATTCAGTACAAAGTGCAAACTATAATTCACATGTTCGATCTCTCTATCATCTACAAGGTATTTCTGGAAGTGGTTCCCCCGATGGATCGTGTCATGCTGATGATCTTGACTGCTTTGGTACTGTTCACGATCGCCTGGAAATGGAGGCTATAAGATCGCTGCATCAGCAATTGGACGATGATGACAATGGGAATATTGACATTGCCGAATCTGATGATGTAAGACCGTAATTTCCAAACTTTTTCCTAACATACAGCGAGCGTCAATCATTTTTATGTGTGTATTTTTGCTAATTTATATCTATTTTTCATCAATTTTTGCTATAGTTTCTGCGTGAAGAGCTTAAATATGACTCAGGATATGAGAAACGCCACAGAGCCTTTCACTACAATGACGATATGCACATCTCAGTGAAGGAACTCTGGGAAGCCTGGTTGCGATCTGAAGTGCACAATTGGACGGTGGAGCAGACGAGCGAATGGCTGGCTCAAAGTGTACAATTGCCACAATATGTGGAGTTGTTTAAGCACCATAAAGTTGCTGGAGCTACATTGCCGCGGTAAGTGTGTAGAATGGAAAAACAAGGCCTAATTCTTATACAATTGGAAAAAAAAATTCACTGATAGAGAGCAAATTCCAAATAGTAAGAGAGAGAGAAAAAATGTGATAAGAATCCACTAAATGACTGGCTAATTTACCTTCAATTGTATTAATTTTCATATAAGATATATTCTCATTTTTCTCCCTCCAAAGTCTGCCTTTTTCTCTAATTTTCACGTGCCACAATCACGAATATTCATTGCACACACACAATTCATATTATTATATATCATGAAAGAGGAAAAAAATGTATTGCTTTAGTAGATCTAAAACTCGTGAATGAGTTTTCCAAGTAAATGTTTATATATAGTGTAAATAATGTGTAGATGAAATCTTTGTAATAGAAATCTCACAGATGAGATAATTAGATTTTTGCGTGAGATCGATATCGAATGGGAGAACAGCGTTTAACCAAAAATGTATAATGATTCATTTACAACTCATGAATGTACAACGCAGATCATCTTGATAAACTGGCTCATTATTGCAGAGCAATGTTTATAAAATGACTGCAAATGCAAGTGTTTACAGATCTGTGAATAATAAAAAGTACACTTTCAATCCTCAAATACAACAGTAGTTGTGTGAAAATTCATAATCAAGTAATTGTCGTACTATTGAGATCTTCGAGAGATAGACATTAATATGATGTGATTTTAGCTGCTTTATCAGTAAATCTTATCAAGTAATCGCAAATTGTGTGAATGACTTTACTTTGGGAAATTCTACAGTATTTTTCCGCTGCTGTGGAACAACTTTCTTCCCAAAAAAAACAGCCCGCGCAAACACATTTAACTCATTTCACGATAACAATATTTATGATTACTCACTCACACAACTTAATAATCCTCTCCTTGTTCCAATATACAACACCTCATCTATTTACACAAAACATTCTCTTTCTATGTAATCAACCAACATTGAATTAGAGTCTCTGATTGAGAGGAAAAAACGCAACATCTCTTTTTGCAAATCTCCCTCACTCTCAGTTGGACATGCGATTTTTTCGCTTGATGCTAGAGAGAATTATCTGAAAAAGAATTATGTAATAAAATTCACCTATTGTCTTCATTTATCTCTCTCTCTCTCTCTTTATTTTCCGAATCGTGTGCTGCTGGATCTCAATTTGGCTTGAACTTGCCCTGACGCTGGATAGATTGGCAGTGAATAACATGCACTACGTGGGCAATGTTCTGGGTATCAAAGATCCAATTCACAAACAGAAGATCGCCTTAAAGGCGATGGATGTGGTTCTCTTTGGTCCGCCACGAGGTAATTTGTTGTGATAAAGGATTGTTTTATTGTGCTTTGCCAAGTGTGTGACTCATGCAAATTGTGTGGTTTCTTCTGTCTCCAGAGACTGGAACACGGTGGAAAGACTATATTCTTGTGACACTACTGTTGAGTGTGATTTTTGGATGTTGGTACGGATATCAGCAGAATAAGAATTCAAAGACTCATCTACGTCGCATGGCGAAAGATATGGAGGGATTGCAGAAGGCTGAACAGGCTCTCCTTGAGATGCAGAAGGTGAGAGAAATAGTGACTTTTTTGCATTAAAAGTTTATTCCCTGTAATTACACACACGGTTTCTCTGTCTTCGCAGGAGCTGGAGCGTGCTCGCATGGAGCAGGAGAATGTGGCGACTGAGAAGATGGATCTTGAGCGACGTCTCAAGGAGACTCCGTCTCTCACATCATCGAGCTCGGACCTCGAAGTGCAGGCACTGAAGCAGGAGATTGAGATGCTTCGCACGGAGCTGTCGCGGGCAGAAATTGAACTGGTGGATCACTGTTGGTCACCACCGCAGGGTCTGCAGACGTGGCTGCAGCTCACGTACGAACTGGAGAATAAGAATCACCTGGTGAAGCGTCGCTCGGCGGAGAAGCAACTCCAGGCGGCCAGGGAGGCCTGCGAGAAGCTGAAGAGGAAGCGCACGAGCTTAGTGGGTGCTTTTGTATCTACACACGGGAAGAGTATCGATGACGTTGACAGGAGTATCGTTGAGGCGCGAAATGCCCTTGGCGAGGTGACAAATGAGCTCCAGGAGCGGATGCACAGGTGGAAGCAGATTGAACAGCTGCTCGGCTTTAGCATTGTCAACAACAATGGTCTGCCGTACCTCGAGAGTGTCCTCTATGCGCGCAACGGTGGAATAACCGCCAAGTCAGGAAGAGGTGAGAATGATAGTCAATTGCGAGGATAAAAAAAGTAAAATACAGAAAACATCTGACAAGACAAGAAGACACACAATCTTATCTATTCCCTCAATTGACCTGGATTCAGTTAGCAATAGTTTCTCTGTGAAGCCGATAAATCTTTTCAACAAAGAATAAAACACCGAAAAGCCTCTGTGTGAATTGTTGATGGTGATTGAAAAGTGAGCATAACTATTAACACATTTTCATCGACAATGAAAAGTTGTGTGTTGAGGCCAATTAAGATTCAATTATTCTTTTTATTCGCCTTTTATCAAGTGGCCAATAACTATTGGTGGAAAATTTAAACTCGGATGGAAAAAATAGCACGTTTTTGCTGTGAAAGAGACAAAAACAAAAAGGAAATAGTAGAATAAAACAGCTAAAAATGAATTCGGTTTGTTAACACTTCGGGTGGTAATGAGGTGATGTGTGTATGTGATTCACAAATGGGTTCAATTTCTTGTGACCCTCACTTTGATATAGCGAATTTTCTCACGATAATAATATTCTCTTGCCTAAAAGATGATTTTATGCAAAATCACAGAGATTTACGTGCGCTAATTGCTAATTGAATTCTTCAATTTATCTCTTTTTCGTGTCATTTCTTAAGTTTGATTTTAATTTTTATTATACACTTTTTATTACCATCTTCTTGCTACGTGTTCGCGTCAATTGATGTTGTGTATATGAAGAAAAATTAATTTTCATGCGAAACTAAAAAGTGTTCTCTTCTGCTCTAGGACGCATCACAAACAGTCAAGATGATTTGGATGATGAGTCCACACAAGGTAAGGTCATCCCATTTGACAACTTTTCTGTTTTCTCATCGGAATAGAGAATCTTTTGTGACAATATATATATATCTATATATAATTATACATTTTCTATTTAAAAGAACCTCACACTATATTGTCGATTCTTAACGATTTTACACAGTAAAATAGAGATAAAATGTAAATGAAACCTTATGGCAGTTATATTTAAAGTATAGAATTAAATATATAGTTCTTTTTTACATAAACATGAGAATTTCCTAACCATTTTGAAACTACCATTTAATGAATGCATTAACCTTTGTATTTAGTCAGTATGAACAAAGGCTAATTGAGAGCAATATACTATATTTTATTGATTAATTGGGTGATGAAAGTAACAATTTATATTGGCTATATTCTTACTTAATATGTTTAAAAACTTCCTTGGTCACTCTATTATGTGAAATGAGTAGTCAAAAAGTGTAATGATAACGTACATATATTTTAACTATATATGCAACAAAAGTGAACATGAAAAACCCCAGACCGGTGATAGAATTAAGACAGAAAATGATATTTGTAAATAGCTTTGCTTTCATATTACTTCCTATTAAGTGATCCACGTTTTTTCTTTTACATTATGTCTAACACTTTGGAAGATTTTACACACATGAAGGATTAAAGAAAAAATCACAGCAATCTTTTATGGCAATTCTTACAATTAGGAACATAACATTTCATCATGTAGACAAATAATAATGGATAATAATGAATGATGACTTAAAACCAAATGAGAACACATTTAAAATCTTGGTAGATGTTCGTACTTATAGAAATCACACATCTTTCATGAATTGTTCAGAAGAGAAAAGATGATTTAAACAAAAAAAAAACATAAAATCCAGTCCGTCTTCATTCTCTTAATTAATTATTATCTTGATGAATATTAAGAGACACACTAACACCCACTAATATTTATTTTGATATACCTAATTATTGAATTCACTGTATGCTCTCCTCAGAGTGTTTTACTGAATGAAGAATGACTTTACGTTCTTGCGCTTGAATTGCACAATATTTTCTACTTTTCACAATCTCTTTCTCTCTCTCTCTCTCTCTCTCTCTCTCTCTTTCTCTCTATCTTTCCGGAAGATCTTTTTACAATGATAGAATTAGTGAACAAGCAAAAAGAAATATCCGTCACATTGAGAGATTCTCTGATTTTTGTTTATTATTAAATTACTGTTGCAAAGTGACAATTAAAGAGAACACAATTATAAAGAACAATCAGTAGAGAAAAATCAAGTAGAAAATAATGATGAAAAAAAAGACTTGTGTATTATTATTTATTGTTGATTTTTCATTTACCTATTTTCATCAAAATAATAATTTGTTATTATGAATATCTGTGTTTTTTCTTTGACTTTTCTTCCTCCTCATGGAATGTGTGTTTTTTCGTCCATTGTGTCCTTTTTTCATTTGCTCTTTTATCCCCTTAGCAGTTTTATTTTTGCAAGATAAAAACTTTAGTAGTGTTGAATTCTCATAATATGGAATACCATATCAATTTTTCGAAGGATATTTATTACACCTTTTCCTAGCTAGTTAAGTGATTTGTTTTGGCATGAATTTTGTATCAATTATTACATTTCATTAGAATTTAACTTCCATAATTGCCTTATATTGTAAATTAATTTGATAGATAAAAAAAATGGGACAAATCATGGTGATAGATTTTCCTTATGCCACATTTTAAAGAGCAAATTCCAGTGATTTTTTCCTAAAATATTTTTTTCTTTCTCTTTGCCTCTTTTTTGCCAAAACATAAAAAATCTGGGCTCTTCAATCACCTCTTTTGCTTACTGTCCCAATGGAATAATTTGCAATACGAAAAAATACCTCTTTCATCGTACAATAAAGGACGAATGGACAACTTCGATCGCATGTTCGATGATTCTTCAGCGAGTGAGGATGGCGATACGAATCCTCCTGTAAATCCAGTAAAATTCACTGTCGGTTCCGGATCACCCACACCACAATCATCTGGCTTCAACTCCCTCCACAATATTATTAAAAATGCAGATAGGTATTGTCTTGAATTTCCTAGATGCCATTGTTGTTGTGTATGTATAAAAAAAAGAGAAATCTGAGGAAGAGCTTTTGCCTCATGCGACAGAGAGTTAGAGCTTTTCATGTTGTTTCTCGTGTTTTTTTCTTAAATCTTTTTTTACCATTTTTTTATGGAGAAAATTGTGACGCGCGAGGAATGTGGCTTACTGTTGTTAACGCTTTTACCAAAAAGAAAAATCCGAAAAACTACCTTTCTAGCTTGGCATCGCTAGCGTCATTTGAGGAGACAACGAATCGACACTCTTGCGAGAGAATCCTTCCGCGTGACTTACCGCGTGTGGGTAAAAAGTTGACGTCCGGACAGATTCCACCACCGCCACCGCCGCCAACTTTCATCACCGGAAAGGCTCCAATGCCGCCGCCGAGGAGAAGGTTTGTGTATCGCATGGCATTGCTATGTTACATGTGCATTGAATTGATCGCCTCTTGCCGGCACAGTTTTGCAGCGATGTGCTTTGTTTTACCTGTTTATTTTCCCTCTGTGTTCTTTTCAAATGGGTGTTAGGGTGTGTCCATTGAAGGAAAATTGTAGAATCCTCGAAGCCATCCCAAGATATAGATAGCCATTATGAAGTAGCTGAAAATACAGAGTTAGCATTAATAGTTCAGCTCCAAATGACCTGCATAAACTCACAGAGTGTTCCTTTTTCAGCAATAACTCGGATAGAAGAGAATGAATTATGTGCTTTCAGTGCAAACTTCCTGCAAACTTCACCTCACGTGTAATCACAATTTATTGTGAAAATGTGACAATGGTCGTAAATTATGTCGTGCTGCTTTCTCTGACCGCTCTTAAATAAAGCGATTAAGCGGAAATTAGTAGTAGCAATTTTTTCCTATTTAATGACTTCGCTATTTTTGCTCCCTCAAACTCATACTTGAGATGTTACTCAATAATATCATTTTCATGTGTGTGGTTTTTCCCCACCGAAGATCTATCCGAGTTGTTGCTGAATGGAAATTTGCGTGAATGTGTTAAGGAGATTTGGCTCATGGCTTGTGTGATCTCTTGCAGCCTCAGCAGCTCCTTCATTAAGAGGTCTCAAAGCACAGACATGGTCCCCGTGGAGTCCCCAACATCAACGAGCTCTCTTGTATCGTCAAACAGCACCATCACGTCCACAGTCAGCGAGCTCTCCTCCACATCTCACGGCCAGCAGCATCACGAGACCGACGATGTCACGCCACCGTCCACGGACTCATCAATTGTTGATGATGAGTTCAAGAAGCGTCGACGAAAACTACATTTCCCATCGTTTGGGCGAAAGTCCACCAAGAAGTCCGCCTCTTTCACACACTAATCACACCGCGAGTCTCCTGAGTTTGGATTTTTCCGTGCGAAGCAACCCCTTCTGACTCTTCTTTCGGCCACTCTTGAGCGCCATGCCCGCCGAGATGTGTGTTGTGGAAGAGGAACACGCTAATTGATTGAGATAGGGCAGAAGCGGTGTGGAAAATAATTGCAATAATGCACCCTCACGGAGGCGTGGGAGGTGTAGAACCAATGTCAATTACGGAATGATTTGAAGATACAATGTGAGATAGAAGAGAGAGAAAAATAACAGGAAAAGCAAATTAATGCGGATTATTGGATGATCACGCGCGAAAAAATGTGAATTCATAAGCAACAGATTTGAGAGGCAATAAGGAAAATCAATTGTGGTAATATTGCAAAACAGAGTAAATCAATCAAGCAAATGATGATCGGAAATTGTCCGCAAGAGTATTTTTTTACCTTTTAATACGGATTAATTTGCAGATGTGGTGAAAAGTTGAAGAGGCAAAAGAACACAATATAACATGGAAAGTGAGATGAAAATACTTAAAAAAATATATAATTTATGGGTATATAGTGAATTTTTTTTAAGCTTTAAAGGGTAAATAACAATTTCACTTAATCTTGTGTAGACCACTTAATTTTATTGTTCCCCAAATTAGCGCAAAAGATAGCCCATTGATAAGTGAAGCACGTGACTTTATCTAATCTTCACAAAAGTTTCTCTTTTGTGATATAAAATCTGTGTATAAGCTGCAAAGTCCCTCGAAGAGAAAATAAAATATCCATTCCCTGTTATTTGCAACACTTTGATAAATTATATTCAACTTATAGTGCAGATTTATATAATTTGTATTGTGAAAAGGAGGCAGAATGAGAGCTTTTTGTACGGGGAAAAAGAGCCACTCCAAATTCAATCGAAATGACCTAACTTGCTTAATTTTTTCGATAAATGCGACTTTTCTAAAAGACTTGCCAAAATTTTGTATACACGACAAAAAGAGAGAGAAAAAAAACAAATAGGATGTGAAATTATTATGAAATTGTATAAACTTCCTCTCGTAGATAGGATAATTTTTATTGCAGGTAAATTGATAAAAGAAATTGTTATATAGAGAAATATGGTGCTGCAATTTTGTGAGAAACAATGAATAAAAATATTTGAGAATTTCCTTAAAAAAAAGCACCACACTATCTTTCACTGATTTTGTAATCTCTGGCGACTCTACCTTTTCCTCATTTGCAACTGTGAAATTGTTGGAAAAAAGTCATACAGCCGAAAAGTCAGGTAAAATTTCATTACGTCACTCGCAATTCAGTGATCACAGAAAAATTTACGCTCAATACAGTGGCGACGAGATGTTTGTAATCACAGATTTCTATTCTTAATTTATGTTCTAATTATTATCTTATTTTAATGTATTGAAAATCATCACACATTGGCTAAGGATAAATTCTGAAATAAGTTTTCTTTATTTCCAATACAACATTTGGTCTACTATCAAAGTCTAACGTGATTTGAGCACAATTGCAATGAGTGTATCATATGTACTCCAGAGAGATGGAGTGGTGGTGAGGAGTGAGAGAGAGGAGAAAAAGATTGTGCCCAACAGACCGCAATTCCCCACCTTTCTGTGTATCTGAGCCGTACAGAGGAGTACATTGTATGACTTTTTGTGTTTAATTCATTTTAGTGTAAATTCTCTGTCCATTGTGCTCGGAAAATGTGTGTAAAAAGGTGTCTCAAAGTGGGAGACGCAATTAGAGGCTCTAGTGTTATTCTGGATTTTGACAAAGTTGAACATATTTCAACTTTTTCCACTACTCAAGTCACAAAGTTTTCTTTCCTCTCCCAGTGAGATCTGCCGCAAGATAGATTTGTAGAATTCAAAGTGGCGTGATAATTCCAGTGATAAAAAAATGTGCAATAGTCATTCTAAATTGAAATTTATGTGCGTTTGTGATGAGTTTTTGGCGCGAAAACGCCCTTCGTGTGTGAAGAAGTTGTGAAAAACAATTTTTTTTCTCCACTCTGGCAGTTTTATACCTCTTTTTGGGTGAAAAATAAACACAAGTATTTTGCAAGCAAGAGTGAAAGTCGGCCGAAAATGCATAAATTTATGGTGGTGAAGAAGTCATCGCGCGAATTGGAGCAGGACGCCTCAACGTCCTCCCACAGGAGAAACCCCGCGGAGAAGCTCAAGTCATCTGACGAAATGCCTGTGATCAAAATGTGTGGATACTTGAAGAAGAAGAGAAATGTGAGTGTCCATGAAAAACCACCCAAAAATGTCCTCCTTCACACAAAAAAACACACACAAACACACAAATTTCAATGAAAGCCAACAATTCTTTCTAATTATAGCGCGTGGGCGGTTGGCAAAAACTGTGGTTCATTCTTCAAAATCAACTACTCCTCTCCTATAAATCACGAGAGGACTATGAGAAGAAACTGGCACCCTTCAGAGATGTTCTCAATCTCGTTCCCGGCACTGTGATTCGTCCTGCATCTCGAATTCGCTTCACCATAGAATCAACGTCAAATATCATTTACACGTTTGTACGAGAAAAGCCTTAAAAAGCAGCTTTTTTCTCTCTATTTTTGTTCTTCAATTTTTGTCGCTCTCTTTTAGCGCTGCAACGACACCAAAGAATGCTCTCAGTGGATCAGCTCAATTGTCGATAGTCTCAATCAGCAGCACGGCTCAAATGCCAGAGGCTTTGCATTACTTTCTACCCCGATGGAAAAATGCGCAAGACTCCCAAAGTTGCCAATAATTAAAAATACTGCGCGTATTCTCAAGTATCGTGATTTTGACGATGAGACCTATTCTGACGAGGAGGAAGATGAAGAAACTGAAATCACAGAATACGTGAATGCCGTTATTCAGTGAGTTTTTTCACCTTTTTCTACCACTCTGCTTCCCATTTAAAGCATTTCAACTCATCTTGATAAATTCTTCTGCCCCTCGATTTCGACATTAAATGCCACGCTCTGCTCTTTTATTCCTCACGTAAAATGTGTTATTTTTAAAAATAAAACACCACTTCTAAAATTAGACTAAAGGAAAAGCGGGTCGTTATGTGTTCTCAAATGCTGGAAAACACACACGCGCGCACATTATATGACTAAACCATTCCTTTCGGGGAAAATAGTGCATATAAATAAAAATCATGACTCGAAATCTTATTCACTAATTTCTTGGCCTTTGCAAAATAACACATTCCGTCGTGTGTTGGGAAATGTGTGTATTGCCAAAAGCAAGTAGAAAAAAAATACATGCACTAATGACCAAAATAATATTTTTCTTTCCATCTTCAATCGTAAGCAACTTTAGAGCATAAATAAGAATTTCAATGAGACTGAATTGAATTCGCAGTGTTTTGTGTGTGTGTCTATTCTTTCAAACTGAATCCCAAAAGACCGTGAAATATCGGCTGGCTGATTTTTACAAGATCTCTTTCTGGAACTCATGCAAATCTTTCCTTATTACTTCTTGAAGAGTGCAAGCACCCACGATTATGCTAATGAGCAGTACCAATTAGAAAACATGAAATTGACCACCCATAAATATTGGCACCAAATCAAATACGCCCCTGATTTCTTGCATAGGACAAGCCAGACGAACTATAAGGATAAATTGTGATATATTGTCTCACCGCTACTCTGTTGTTTTTCCTTCGTCACTGCGTGTGCTCTGGAACCGACACACGCTCGCTCCATAGGGATTCTGGACTGTGCGAGGGAAGCAACCCGAGCCGGGGAAATGCAGTGAATCAGTATCTCGAATACCACCGCAGTGGAAAGATGTTTTCATGCACCATGAGTGCATCTGCTTGCAGTGTTTCCCTCCTTCGGAACTACATGCACACCGAGGAGAGAATTGACGAAGACATTCTCGAGGGCGACGAGGCGGCAGCTGAAAGTAAACAGGAAGATTTGTAAGTCACCCAGATACACTAATACCGCATGACTTTCTTCTCTTTTAATTGTCTCACATTCAAATTTTCGCAGTGATAGCGACACCGAAGAGCAAACTCTCTGCATTTCTCTGGACGACAAAATTTCCCTGACATGTGACGATGAAAGTGATACTTTACACGAGGAGAAACCATTAAAAATTGACGAGCCAATTTATGCTGCTGTCGACCTCAAAGATAAGTACGCGCGAAGGGCCAAGCTGAAAGAGGAACAGGAAAGGGTGGTGAAAAGTGTTTCTAGTGATTATGAAGAGGTACTCTAAGGTTCAACACACTCTATCCATTATTAATGTTTCACTTAACCTTTCGTCTCCCTTCTCTCCCACCCAAGATCGTTAACTTGCCCACACTGCCGGAAAATCGAGAGAAAACCTCCGAGTCTGACGAGGAGGATAACATCTACGAGCCTGTAAGAGCAAAACTTCAATAAATAGTCTTTTGCACATCATGAAATTCACCGTTTTCCTTCTCACCTGCAGATTGAAATCGCCAGTGATTTGTCCAGCGACAGTCGAGACGGACGCAATGGGATGTGGAAGTACTTCTCCAGTCGCATCAACATGGACAACTTCACAGACTTCGCGCGAAGGCACCGCCGAAGGGACGAGAGCACATCTGAGCCGACCACACCCTTTGTATCATCCCTGGCGGAGATTCGGAAGAAGTGGGGCTCCCATCGGAACTCCATCAAGAGCCGCATGAAGCGCATCTATAGCCGGCGAATGACAAAGTCAATGCCCGAAGTGGGTGGAAAATCGCCAAATGAAGAGAGGAAGCTGTTCAGAAGCCTGTCGAGGTTCAAATTTCCACGGGCGTCGTCTCTTCTCGAAGATCTGGCGTCCAGGAAGCGACTCGTCGAGGAGCCTCCGCCGAAAGACACTGTAAAGGAAGAGGATGCCAGTGAATTGGATAAATTTCCTGGCGGAAAAGTCGTGTGCCATAGCACATTTTACTACTAAAGAGCATCATTTCATCTGTGAAGGGAGTTTAATACAATATTTCATTATCATTCTCCGCAATGATCTTCTGAGTCTCCCTGTAAAATTCATTGACAAGATTCCGAGAGGGTTCAACACAATAAGGCTTTCTCAAGATTTTTGTCATCTCAAGTTCAAAGACTGTTTTCAAATCCTTTTTATCATAGTTGCTCGACGGTCCAAGAAGAGGCATTTCCTCATCCGTGGAATGATTCAGCTTTGCATTGGACTCCAATTGGTTGAAAAAGTCATCAATGCTGTGAAGAGAGTGTAATAGGGGGAAGATTATGGGTATTTTCACACAAAAAAAGCGTGGTTTACCCAATATCAAAAGGTTCCACTGGATTCTCAATGTCAATACCAGTTCGTTTCAAAGATTCTCTGTACAATTCCATTCTTCGTGTCTCCTGCCAGTCGCTACCTTTTCCTGTAGTGTCATCCAGTCTTGGCTCTTTCGGATTCGGTGCTTCCAGATCCTGAGAATTCACTGACAATGCTGTGTTTCTCGCCATCGTGGAGAAATTCTGTAAGTACTTCTCTTTCGGATCCAAAATCAAATGCACATCAACGCCCACTGTGATTAAAATCATTAATTAATTCGCTCAATTCATTTTCGAATAACAGTATAGAATACAAAGAGACAGACTCACCAAGAGAGAGATGAAACAAATGGATATGAATACTGGAAAATTTAGTGTCAATATCAACAGTAGCCTCGTAGTTATTTCCGCTTTCAAATCTGCAAATAAACATATCATTTTACTCTTCCTCAATAACTTATAAACACTCCATTTCAGTATCATTTTACATATTTCCCGCGAAGAATAATAGCGAGTTGCTTTCTTCATCTCCAACCACCAATGCAACGGATTCGTCTTCATTCCTGCGATGTTCATTATTATTTTGCTGAGCCTGCACGATAATCGTCTTAGTATTTGTCCAGAAATATTTCACAGAATATTGAGGAATTCTTTGAATGCTTTCAACGATTGATTTGTTGATTTTTGAATGTTCAGGAAAAAGCTGAAAAAAAACAGACATTAAACTCAGTATTTAGAATATCTAATTTGCACGTATTTTACTTCATTCAGTTCACGATAATTAGTTCGCCTTAGAGCTTCGAAGCTCTTGAATCCACTATCAGCTAATATTTGAGCCAAATTGCAGTCATTCTGTTTCACTTCTGGCAATTGACTGCAAACAAATGGGGAATTCTCCCACAATTCTGCCGTGAAACATTTCTGGAGTGTGAGAGCGCTGAAGAAGGCGGAAAACTTCTCACTGTGCATTATCTTCAAGACTTCCAGCACACATTTTATGAGATGATTTGCCATTTTCATCACTTTGTCACTCTCATCGCGTAAATGTGTGCTCTTAATATCAAAACATCCTAGCATCGCTTGCAGAATACTAAAAAAAGAAAATGACAATAAATTATCACGTGCAGTGACTCACTTTGTGGTGATGTTTTACCATGAAACTTTCCCTGTGATTGAATTAATTTTTCCCGAGATTGGAAAACGGATTTGTTTGCTTCGTCCGGCGGGATATTCATCATCTTCAGTGATCTTGTGAGATGTATTCCATTCATTCAAGATCTTCTTGTCAGTAGCACGAAGTGTAAACTGCTGAAATTCTGAGCATTTGCATACAATGTTGAAGAGTTGCATTATTTCTTCTCTGCCAGTAATCTCCTATATATGAGAGAAAAACAGCACATTAAAGTGATTCTACAGTGATATAAGTAGATTCTCGTCAGACTTGTATACCTCTTGAAATGCTTTTATAGTTTCCAGATGAAGAAAGTATCGCGCCATCAGAGATCCATAAGCAGTGGAAGATAAATTGTGCTTCTGCAGTGATTCCTTATTGCTCCTCTTCTCACACACAAGTCCCCTACCTTTGAGACTCTCCAGCGTTGATTTGCACAGAGCTCGAAAAGAATAATTTGACGATAGTTCACAGACGGCATTTTTGAAGCCATGCAATAATTGTTTCACCAATTACTCATCCTTAAGGCATGACGGCACATGTGTTTGGAGAGGAAATTATTTATAATTACACCCGATATTGTTTATATAGGGAAATATACAGTGGAATAAAACCAACACGAATCGTGTCGTAAAAGCCTCAGCAGACTGGAGAACAAACAAATCAGTTAAATCATCAATTATAATAATTACTTCACTTTAAATTTTCACATGAAAGACACACTGGTTAAATGACAGAACAATAATCAACCTGTCCACTGGATTGTGGCAGAAGAATTCTCCGCATCGACTCCTCATCGACACATTCCAATATTAGTTGCAGGGGGGAAAAGTGTAAAACGTTAGCATTCACAAAAGTCACACAGAAAGGTGAGTATTTGCACATCTGGCAAAGTGCATCAGCAAATAGTAAAAATTATTCAATTCATTTTTCATCAAATGTTCTCATATTTCTCCATACAACCTGCACCTTTTTGCACTTGCAAGACGACTAGAAAGAATGGAAATTCTTCAATATTTCACTGAAAGGGAGAAGAAAAAAGGGAAGTGCTTTGTCTGGATAAAAATAGCTGAAAGCTGGTACTCCACAAGTTTGCCAAAGTCTCCAATTAGTGCTCTGCTGTTGTTCTTTTACAAACTCCATGTGGCACACACCGCGTCATTGCCAAAGAAATGGTAATTGCGTTGAAGAGAATTACTTTTTGCATCAACCAAACTTCACGTGCAAACTGCTCTTTAAGACCTTCTCAGAGAAAAATATCATTTGACCATAAAATATACCTGATAATTGATTTTCAACGGTGTCCTCTTTAAATCCATAGTGGGTGGGATTTATGTGCACGCGCACGTACAAAAATGACGATCTTATCCACTCCATCGCCGTGTCCTCATCACTAATGTTCCCCGTGAAGATCTCACAGTTCATGTAGTCCTGCAAATTCTCATGTAGATGCGATTCAATTGGAGAAATTTTCTGCCGCATATTTTGGTACATCGTCTGAAAAGCAGAGTGAAAAAAATGCACGTGAAATATCACTTTCATTGCAGTTCTCAAAGCAGAGAGGCTCTTATAGGGTCAGTGTCACTCACTGATGTACACTCAAATATATAATGTTATAAATTGCATAAGAATTTACAACATTAAGCACTGCTCTATTGCATACTCTTCCCATCTCACTCTCACCGCAGCGCGAATGTTTTGTAAACTTGTGCTGTAATCGACGGTAGTAACACACAATGAAAAATTGTCGTTTTCGTATAATGCCAATAAAATGACACTCAATGCAGAAAAGGTAACTTATTTGTACATAAATAAACATATTCAAGAAAATACACAAGACAATTTTCTGCAAATTTCTTTGGTCATTTGTTGGTATTTCGCATCAATGAGTGTCGATGATCTCTATGCAAATTTCAATGGAAAAAAAAAACAATTCTTAATAATTGGTGAATTAAGAAGAAAAACACAGGAACAGTATATTAGCGAATAATATGAATTATCCGCGAGATAATCTAATTATCACTATACCTGCCCAGTAATGCGTGATAATAGGAAGAACAAGCATCATTGTCTGTAAGTAGCTTCATTATTATTATGGTTTTATCTCGTAATGACATTAAGCATCCAGTAAAATTATGTTATAATGTTTGGAGTACATAAAAAAGCAGAAAATGAGGATTACTCATTAATAATTTATGTGCATTATCCATAAATATCATGCGATTGTATTAACATTTAATGTCAACAAGATTTTCCTCTCCATCCACCGCACAGTGCATCTTCCATTTGATTTATTTCATTGGAGTCTGTTGCGAGTAATGTTATATTATATGTTGTCTCTCTCTCACTCACACTCAATCTTAATTTTAGCAAGTATTGTGGAAAAATATTTTCCAATATTATTATACAGTATCAATCAATTTGGAAAAAAGAGCATTCAACAATCTTCTATATTGATGAGACTTCTTAATAACATTTAAAATTTTCCACCCATAAAAATATCCTCAATTGACGAGATGCATTTTGATCAAACGACATTGCTGAGGAATTCTTTTGCCAATCAGCGAGAGGAGCAGCAGCGTGCAGAAATTGCATCTTGGAAGTCACTCTCTCAACACTGGAATTCTCTTTGGGTGTGTGTGACCAAGAACCACGGTGAGATAAACACGAGAAGATCACACATTTTGCTCATCATCAGTCCAAATAGGTTAGCAACGTACTCTCCCATGTACACTTCAAGTCACTCAAGCAAGCAGGTCGCCAAGCGGCTGCTCAGTGTGTGCACTAATGCACCAATGCTGGATAGTCTCAAATATATGGCAATCGTGATTGATCAAATGTCATGAAAATAACTCGCCACAGACCCAATACAATAGAATGCTTGAAGATCACATTTTAACACGCGAGAAAATTCGATGAAATTTGCATTTCAGACTACCTCTATGAATTAATTTACCGACTCTCGGTACTTGGGAATGTCCAAAAAGACGACTCCTTGTGCAAAATGCTTCAATTACCATTTTGCCTTATTTTATCAATTGCACAAAATTGATGGGATGGAGTCAAACAATCAAGTTGAGATCATGTGAATTTACCATTCCTCGCCTCTTTGTTCCCATCACAAAGTCAGCGTATATTTTTGTGCGTGCTAAAACTAAACGACACCGATTACCACGTTAAATCATAATTAATTGCACAGCGTAGAATAAATTTAAATAGCAAAAAGAGCACCCACTCTAAAAAGCAAAGAGCGAAAAATTCGCACGATATTTCTTCTTCAGGACAAGGTATTTCCACCGTTTCCCGCCAAGAAAGCGGACAGACCATTTGCTCTCAATACCTTGACCATTAATTAAAATTTAATTTTAATACAAGACGTTTCAGGCAATCTTACACAATTTTGGGGGGAAAACCATTGTGTGACCACTGTGTCCATATCTCTCTGTCTGCCGTCTTTTTCTACCCTCTACACGTGTGAAGTTGCTAGAAATTGAATATCTCAGAAAACAACAAGCAAAGGTGGGCATAAAGCGCAAAAAACTGATACAATAAATCATAAATTAGAATTTTTAATACATCAGAGAATATTCTCAACAAGGTCACACACCATTCTCATGACATCCCCTCCGCATGGTTTATCACTTTTAATTAATAAATTATTTATAACAAAATCCTAACTTTTTGTTCACTTCACACTATGAAAGTGAATCTTTTCCTCTGACACAAGATCGAGTTGAGGAACTTTATTACTAATATTCATTATGAAATGTGATTCTTTTTCAATAAAAATACTCTATATGCATTTCCATAATTTCACACAAGGGCGATCACAAAATACAGATGTCTGAAAAATGTACAGAAAAATAAACTATATGAAATGCATTTAATATTCATTAAATCTCTAATCTATCTTTCACAAAGAACTACAGGAGAATTCTCAGCACAATCCACGGAAGGGGAACACAAGCTGGAGAAGCTACAGGTGGGGATTTGTGACTCGAAAGAGAACTACCTTTGACCCAACATTTCATCTTCTCCCCCAGCACACGCTCGGCAAATTGTACTGCGAAAAAGAGAGACAATAGAGCATCACGGTATAAAAAGCACAGAAAGTCAGCATCTTGTCATTAGTTGCTTTTCGTCTCTTGTAGATTATTTATCAAATCGCACACCAGGAGCATTTTCAGAGTAGTGCCTGAAGTGAAGTATTGAGTAAACACGGGCAAAATGTGGAAGATCCTGTTTGTCGTTAGTGCATTTGTGACCCTTGTGATTTCACGGCCTCAGGGACCAGGAGAGTTGCCTGAACCGGTAGTGATTTGATATTTTGGCAATGTGCTGAGGCATATCTAGAAATGAGCAATTTAATCATTCTTGCAGTACGAGTATCAGTACGAAGTGAAGGATCCGGAGAAGGATTTATTTTTCGATAAGAGCGAGAGTGGCGATGCCACGGGAAAAGTCACTGGAAGATATAGCGTCCTGATGCCAGACAAGCGACTCATGATTGTGACATATTCCGTTGAAGGTGAATCAGGATTTGTGCCACAAATAACGTTCCAGGATAATGCCAACCCATTCTAGTGGATAGTTAATACCGACGAGCATTCTTGATCTTTCAGTGGATAATATTTTATACATCATGCCCCAATCAATATGATTTATAGAATCTTAAGTTATTGAAATTGACGAACGCCATTCGATGGAGATATTACCCTATTATACATATGTATATAATCAAATATGCAATAATTAAAGAGATGAACAGAAACGCCACTTACTGCATGACACGTCCTTGTAAGAATTACAGCAACACCAGCGTGAGTCGTGAGACCAACGCGGCCTGCGCGGCCGATCATTTGAAGCATTTCTGTGACTGGGACTGGACTGGGCGCCTTCACAATGACCAAGTGCGCTGGGAAATTCACACCCATCGCTAGTGTCTGAGTGCACACGAGAATGGGAACACTCTCCCTCCTATAGACATCCTCCACTATCAGGCGATCCCCCAGAACGAGTCCGCCATGGTGAAAGGCAACACCCTTTCTCAAACACTCCCTCAACTCCCCATTTTCGACCTTCGCCGCAACATTGTCCAGCAATCTTCGCTCATTCTCATTCAGTTCTATGCAGAAATTTCGCACAAGGTACTTCGCCGTGCCCTCCGCTCCCATCCTTGTGCTGCAAAACACTATCGTCGGTCTGCCCTGCCAATGTCTGGTTACAATTCCAGGCAGCCAAGAGTTCATAATAGCGTCTACTTTGAAGAAAGACTCCTCCTCGCCCAGGGGCACGCTGATGATCTTCTCCTCAACCGTGCTGCCGTGTGAATCTGTGGATATTGTATAAGCTTTCGTGTTCGCCTGGCCAAACCACTCTGCAACATCCTCCACATTGGCTAATGTAGCCGAAATGCCAATGAGTCGTATGGCGGTGCCAATCTCGCGAGCGCCAATTTGGATGCGGCAAATTGTTGCCTCCAGGGCAGCGCCACGACGTGCCTCATTGAGTAGGTGGATCTCGTCAATCATCACGAGTTTCACGGACGTGAGGAAATTGATATATTCGCGCCATCGCCTCGACAGCGAATCCCATTTTTCCGCTGTGGTCACCACTATGTTGTACTCCGCCAACTCCTTCAGATTCGTCACATTTGTCTCACCAGTCACCTCGCAGCACCTCATACTCAGCCTCGAGAACTTCTCTTTCCACTTCCCTAATATCTCCGAGCAGAGAGCCCTTGTCGGTGCCACTAAAATCAGATTGAATTTAATGTGAGTAAAATCCACAAGGTGGCGGACTATCTCAGCTTACCATAAATAAATCGCAGTGGATCGCAGGTCTCTGGCCAATTTGCTTTCATCAACTCCCGCATTATTGACAAGAGGAAAATTGTGGTCTTCCCACTTCCTGTTGGGGCAGTGATCACCATTGAGGAGCCCGAAAAAACACAATCATTGAAGAACATTGCTTGCATCCTGTTGAACTTTTCAATATCACTGAAAAGTGGTCGATACTTTTCAACGATGAGAGAATTCACAGGTAAATCACTTGCTCCGATGTTTTGTGACAAATTATGTGTGCCTAAACCGTGAAGTAATTCATTCTTCTCCATCTCTTCGGCAATTCCCAGATCCGTTGATCTCGTGTCGAATCTACAAAATATGCCGCTTCAGCTTCTACTTCACTATGTCCACCGTCTGTGGCGCAGCCTTCGTTTCCAGCGAATTTTTGCCACTTTCGCCGGGATAATTCAGCTGATTGCAGGCGTGATTTCGCTCTTGCTGCTGCTTTGTGTTTATTATTGTATAAAATTAGTGCAAAGTACTCAAATAATGTCCGAGAACGAAGGTAAGAGACCTAATTTGAAGGTAAAGCATTCAACTAGACGGATATTCAATTGTATTTGTGTGTATTTGCAGAGAAAGCGCCCGCTGTTGAGGTAAGTGGTGCGTCAAACGCGTCAAACGATGAGTCAAGGGACAATCCTGATGGCCCAACAATGCAGAAGATCGAAGATATCATTACAATTGATCCAGAAACGTATGAGTTGGATTTGAATCATCAGCGAATAGGGAAGATCGAGGACCTGGAGCCTCTGGTGCGCATCGAGAGATTATGTTTCCGGTGGAATCTTATAAAGAAAATTGAGAACCTGGGCACCTTGACCACTCTCAAGGAGCTGGAGTTCTATGACAACCAGATCACAAAGCTTGAGAATCTGGAAGCTCTTGTCAACCTTGAGATTCTCGATGTGAGCTTCAATCGTCTGGTAAAGATTGAGAATATTGAGATGTTGGTGAATCTTGAAAGGCTGTTTCTGTGCGCCAACAAAATTCCACGCATTGAGAATCTGGATTCTCTGATAAATCTTACGATGCTGGAATTGGGGGACAACAAATTGCGGAAGATTGAGAACCTTGATGCCTTAGTGAATCTGAAGCAACTCTACCTGGGAAAGAACAAGATCACGCGCATAGAAAATCTTGAGAAACTGACCAATTTAACGTGTTTGAGTCTCCAAGCCAACAGGATCACAAAGATTGAGAATCTGGAAAGTCTCACGGCTTTGTCGGAACTCTACTTATCTGAGAATGGTATTGAGAAGATCGAGAATTTGGACAGTAACACGGCAATCGAGACCCTCGACTTGGCGCAGAATATGGTCAGCAAGATTGAGAATCTCTCACATCTCACCGATCTCGAAGAATTTTGGGTAATTTTCTATTTTTCTGTAGAATTTAAATGCAGTTAATAATCCAAATTTCTCCTCTCTCACAGCTCAATGATAATTCCGTGTCCGATTGGGCTTCGGTTAATCACTTGTCCGGGAACACTCAGTTGGCCACAATCTATCTGGAGCGCAATCCTGTGGCTTCGGACGTTCAGTATCGCACGAAGCTAAAGCTGGCCATACCGTCACTCACGAAGATCGATGCTACGCTCTGTCGCTAGTCGCCAGAGAGAGAGAAAGAGTGAAGAAAACACATCCGCTTAGGAAAATATCAATACCTTTGATAGGAATGAGAGATAATATATGATAAATCGCGAAACAATAAAACAGAGTCACTTGGGAATAACGGACATTCTACTTGAGAGCATCATTTGTTGCGCCATTGGGATTATCATCAGAGTCATCCTCGTCAGACGCCTCGTCAACTTGTGCCCCCAGTTCCCGCAACTGCTGTCGATACTGCTTTATTTTGATGTCCTGCAACAGAAGAAAAGGATTTTAATTCACACTGTGTCGAATTTCCATCCACTTTTACACGTCGTATTTGATTGTAAGAGCAAAATAAACCATAGTGTAGCTCACCTGATCTGTCAGCATTTCCAATAGATCTTCCTGGTCCTTTCTCAGTTTCTCCATCTCAATCAATTCTTCAGTGAACTTCACTTGGAACTCCCTCAGTGTCAGCGAGAGTCTCTCAACTTCTTGCTGGAGTCTGGTATTCTCCGCTTGATACTGCTGAAGATGGGGATTGTCGTGTCCATGTGGCTCTTGATGTCCATTTCCCGTAATATTGAGGGCTGCCACGTGATTGCCAATGTGATTGACCTGACTAGTTTGCAGCTGCTGTGCGAGGTCCGTGGCAGCGGCCAGTTGAGCTTTCAGCAGGATGTTTGCATCCGTAAGTTGAGCATTGGATGCCTGTGCTTCAGTCAACTTTCGCCTGGTCTCCTCCGCATCTCTGTCACACCTATTAATCGTCGATTGCAATTCTGCAATCTTCGTGTCTTGCTCTCTTATGATGTCCTTGTACTGTCCCACAATCCCCGAAGCCTCCTGACTCAGCGTAAGTTCTGTGATGTTCGTGCCTTCGGTGCCAATAGATGTGACTGTCTTCACCACGATCGCCTCGAGTGCTTTGAAGAGTTTGCAGAACTCATGATCCAGAAGGACTTCTGTGGGTGCCCTGAAGCGAATCTGTGGCTGTTTGGCAGCCTTGCTGTAGCTCTCATGCTTCGACACTTCACCGAGTTTGGTGAGGAAAGTCTCACAACTGATGCGTTTCACGACCAGCTGGCACAGATCCTCGCGGCGGTAGTTGGTCACAGAGTTGTCGTTGAATTGTATGCAGATGCCCATGAGGAAGGCACAAAGTCCCTGGATGAGATACTCATTCTCGTCATGTTCATTGGCACTGATCTGGGCAATGAGGAAAGCCACACTGTTTGGCGCTGATAGAAAGGCCTTAACGGCCAATTGGCAGTGACAAAGCCATGTGCAGATTAGCATAAGAAGACCAATTTTGCTCTGCACTCGGTAGTTTCCCTGTTGCAGCAGGGTTGTGCATTGTTGCAGAAGAGACACCGGAGGACTTCCCATGGCTGTGGCCAATAACACTCGCAGGAGTTGCTCCTTTTGCGCTGGATTCTCAATTAGACCGTGCATCAGAGCCACAGCGCTAAACCAGTTGGCTAGAGCGTCTGTGCTAAAGAGTCCGTCGCATAAGAGCTGCCCCTGAGTAAGACTACTCACTTCTGTGGATGACGGCAGGAGAGTCTGTACGAGAGCAGTCTGACCAATCTCGTTGCGATACAGGAAACACTCAAAGCAGTATAGAACTGCACATCTCAGTGACAGTGGCTGCTTCTCATTCACCATTGACATCAGGAGAACAACAATTGCTGGCCGCGGAGGATTGCTGGGTGCCATGACAAGGCTCAGGAATTCCTGGTTGTTCATATCTCCCCGAACAACTTCTCCCACGGTGTTTATTGTCTCAGTGAGGATGTCAGCCGGAACTCCGCTGCCCATAAGCACGCCACATAGCGCCTCCAGGAAGCCACAGTTCCTCATTGTCTTCTGACACGATGCGATAATTTGATGCGAATTCCCGGGATAGACCAGAGATCTCACCACTTGAAGCATTATTTGAATATTGGATACTTTCTGTGGAGTCCAGCCGGTCTCTTCCAATTCAGGTGGCATCTCGAACATCGGCGCCAGGCGTTGAATATAACTGCCTTCCTTGAAGAATTGCTGATTGCTTGAGTTGTTCTTTAGAAGATTCAGCATCAGAATCAGGCAGTCTTCCACAACAATGCCTCCATCAGAGCATCCCTCTTCCCGAATCACGTCAAAGAGACGGTCAAAGGCATTCTCAAATGCCACAATTTTCTGGATATTGGCATTTCCCTTTGTCAGCTGAATCAGCAGCAGGAGAGCATCGTTTCTCACCACTTCGCGACTGTCACTGAGAAGATCCATCAACTTCGACACTCCCATTGGGCTCACGAGTACAATCTCCTGCAGATCCTTGGGTCGGTACTCCAGGAGATTCGTGAGAAACTTTATTGATGGCCATCGCACGCGGAAATCGTATTCCTCCAAGTAGGAGAGAACAAGGCCCACATTCTCGGGATTCTTGATGTACATCTCAGTGAATTGCTCTCCAACATTCACTGAAACAGTGGGATTTTCCATTTCCTCTTCAAATTGCTCTGGGGCAATGATGTTGCACAGAGTATCGAGCGCATAGCCGATGATTTCGCAATCTGCCCTATCAGTCTCCAGGATCTGCACAAGAGCCGGCATCCCTTGGGCCCCAACCTCAATCCGATATTTCTTTGAGAGGGCCTTCAAGGCACGGCAGGCATCACGTCGGTCCTCAAGGAGCGTTGACGATGACACCCTATCCACCAATTTTTCCACCTGAAACAGAGGCAAAGGTATGTGAAAGCGCCCCAAAAACCCCCTGAAGTGTCAATTTCATGCCATGCAAGCACAACTCACAGTTTCTGCTCCACTAGGCAATTGGCCGGCTTCCGGCGCCCCCAGGACACTCTTGAGTCCTCTCTGGAAGAAATCCATGGCGCTGTCTTGCGGAAAAGTGCCCAAATTTGCGAGTTTTTCACTGTTTTCTCAGCATTTTGCACTCACGAACACGTCACTGCTTGTTTTCGCCGCGTTTCGCCGCGGAGGGGGGATGACGGTTCAAAAATCGACCGAGAAAAGTGCATTCAGTGGTGCTTGACAGAAGGCGGTGCGAAAAATAGCTGTTTTTACCGAAAATACTCCCAAAATTCACCAACCCACTCACGCACTTGAGAGCAGAACGCCCAGAGAACGCAATGTCAGATGTTCAGGTACTCTTGGATATGGGATTCACCCGTGAGAGGATGTGAGTTGCATTTAAGGTTAGGGTAATGTTTATGTTGCATTGTTCATTGAATTCCGGGGCTTTCTCTGCAGCGATCGAGCTCTCGCGGTGACCAACAATAAGGGCGTGGAGCCGGCCATGGAGTGGCTGCTGGCGCACGCCGACGACGATCTTCCCAGTGAAGTTGTGACCAGTCCTCCTACCGGCGCGGTGGAGATTACTGAGTCTGTTCCAGAGTCTTCACAGACCAACGAGGCAAAGCCGAAAGAAGAAGGTGAAACTGCAGCAGCCAGTAATGACGATGCTGTAGCGAAGTCCATCAAATGTGATGAATGTGGCCGACAATTCCGTTCGTCTGTGGAGGTGGAGTATCACGCAGTGAAGTCTGGTCATTCTAGCTTCTCGGAATCCACGGATGAGAAGAAGCCTCTCACTGAGGAGGAGAAGAAGGAACAATTGGCACAGCTGGAGGAGAAGTTGAAGAAGAAGCGCGCCGAAAGAGAGGAGAAGGAAAAAGTGGAGGCACTGGACAGGGAAAAGAATCGTATTCGCTCGGGGAAGGATTTGCTTGAGGCTCGCCGAAAGATGGAGGAAATTGAGATGGCTAAAATCGTGGAGGCGCGCAAACGGGAGAAGATTGAGGAGAAATTGGCCAAGGAGAGAGTGAGAGCACAAATTGCGGCAGACAAGGAGGCCCGAAAGGCACGAATGGCTGGAGACACAGGAGCTTCGAGTGCTCCGCCAATTGAGCAAGCCACGCCATCATCTTCCACGTCAGTGAATAGTGTTCCATCGAAGAAGTACTCCAGTACAAAGATCCAAATCCGCCTTCCGGACGGCAGTTCTGTGGTGGAGACATTCGATGCCAAGGAGCAATTATCGGCTGTGCGACTCTTCATTCAACTCAAGCAGGGCATTGAAGTTCCTTTCCGCCTCATGACAAACTTCCCGCGAAAGATTTTCGACGAAGAGGACTTTGAGAAGCCGCTTGAAGTGCTCGGTAAGTCTTTTTTATTTCACTACAAGTGACTTCGTCCACCCAGGGCATCCCTGACTAGTTTCACTGCATATTTTGCCGTTCCCGGAGATGTAGTCACTCCAGATCCGCCATGACCATAGTTATGAATCACACTCATGGGTTTTCCGTGCGACGTGGGGAAGAATTCCACTTCCACACGAACAGGGTCTCGATGGGGACGCAATCCCACGGACTCGCGAATAACTGGAGCTCCTCTGAGGCTGGGTAGGAGGTCTTGGCAGCGCTCTCGAATCGAAGCCGTGTCGTACTTGCAGATATTCAGATTGTAGGAATCGAACTGACGCGTGCCGCCCAGAGTAACACCTTCAAATCCGGGGATAATATAGGTGTCGTAGTCTCCATAGAAGGCTGTCTTGACCCAGGGAGCTTTCACCTTTATAATTTGCCCACGAATGGGTACCAATTTGTTATCTCCCAGCATCCACTTCGATCCCAATCCTGTACAATTGAACACCAAGTTGAAATCCTTTTCCAAGTCAGTCAATTTGCTAACATGTCGCGTTACATATTTTCCTCCATTGCCGAGGAATTTCTTCTCAGCCCATGGCTGAAAAGTTCTGAACTCGGTCAAAAGTGTTGAAAAGAATGATCCGTACTTCCAATCTCCTGGACACATTTTCAATTCATCCTCTGTTGCTCTGCGATAGAGAGGCAAAAGCTTTTCGATGCGAGAATTGCGCACAATTGCGGGATTTGTGGAGGAGAATATGTATCCAGAGAGATTACAAATGCCAACTTTGGCACTGCCCTCTCTTTTGCGAAGTTCATCCCAGTGAGCAAAGGCGTCGTCAATCCATTGCTGTGTTATTTCGTCAGTGGGTCCAGCGAAGGAGGCTGCTGGTCTGAAGATTCCCGCAGCGACAGCTGATGTCGTTTCTGTGGCCCACTTATCAGCCACAATAGTCACTTTAGCGTCCCGGAATTGACTCTGAAGCTCCAGGGCTGTGGTGAGCCCCACAACTCCACCTCCCAGCACTCCGAAATTCATCCTGGCCACTGCGTTAGGTCACAAGACAAGTGTCACTGTCGGGCAACAATATAATCTTAAGCTTATTTATAAGGCAATTCAGCAAGTAGGGATGTTGGGCGGGACAAAGAGACACTCAATTGGAAAGATAAGCTTTCGGGCACTCGGGTGAATATGAAGGCAGTATATGGCGGTAAATGATCAGACACGAACTGGGGTCACCTTCCTATAGTAATATTTTCAAGTGGTGCGATAAGATAGAATATGCAATGCTCCTAAATTTCTTGACCTATCACGAAACTCTGTTGTTCTTCCTATTTGACTTCCAATTCTCTATTAATATGGAATTATTCCTCAAGCAGAAGTGTTTCTTTCTAAAAGCTCATCTCCCCATGTGAATATATTTGCAGGTCTCGTTCCGTCGTCCGTCGTGATCGTCACTAAATAATTAGGTCGGGCTTCTCTCCACCTCTTAAGGACCTCTTCAAGACATGTAATCTTGTATGTAATGCTAATATTATCCTCCTCAGCATATGAATTCAAGGTAAATTGTATTAATATAGGACTTTGGTAATAAATCACACAATATCATGACTGTGGGGAATGTTTTTGGCGACGAGCAAAGTCAGGGGGCGGACAACTGACGCCCCGCGAGTGCGCTCGTCTTTCACACAAACAGTGCAATGAGTAAACACTATTTACATTTTCCCAAGTGGAGGAATTTTATTGTTTTTCCGCAAGTGGCTCCTATAAATAGCGAAGAAAGCCAATCTTAAGCGCTAATTGCCCATTGCAATAAATCAAGATGCTTTTTGTGTGTGGGAAAAGAGCCTTGACGCGATGTTTGACGTGCAAATAGGGAAAACTGGTAGATCCAGAGTTGTGGCTCTCCGCTGGATTTTCCTCGTGTTTTTTAGATGTGAATCGTGTGTGCGGGAATGAAGTGGTCCGGCGGATAATTGATGTATAATAGGTGGCTAATTTAATTAAGAAAATAGTGGAAATTGAGCCGAGATTGAATGGGCGACCGGTTTTCACGATGGAGCCGCGCGCGAGAGAAAGGGGGGCCGATTTGACACTGACAGTTTGCGCATGAAAATCACTGTCGCCAGAGGAAAAAAATCTCTCGGGGGATTTTCTTCGGTCTCCCTGCCAAATTTTCCTGTGTTTACCAAACAACAGTGCTGTTGGTGATAAAATGTACACCGTGGTGATCTATTTGTGCCAGTGAGTTGTGCAAAAAGAGCAGAAAAGTGGTGATTTTGGGTGGGAAACGGTGAGAAAAGTTGGGAAATAATGAGAGAGATAACCTCAAAGGGGAAGGAAAAGTTATCTGGTTGAAAAGTTCTGCCTCGTCTCGCAGCATCCGGGTCATCTCGCAAGAAAATCTTCTTCCAAGCAGGAAGGATGTCTTCGGAAGCCCTGCCAATTCTCCTCATAACAGCCAACGTTGGGAGTGTCTTTGAAGATGTGAGTTCCCTTCTCTTTCTGCGTCGCTCGGGAAAATCGATATTTTCTCAAGGGAATACCCCAAAATATCTCAACTGAAAATACTCTGCTGTTCACCCTCGTAGCCGTCAAAGCTGCTCAAAACATGGGTGCAGGAGTTTATGGGCGTCATCAGGAAGTGGGAGCCGGTTTTTCTGGCTGTGCACATGCAAGAAGTCGGTGGGAAGACGTACGAGAAGTCCATGGAGTATGTGCAGGAGTTCATAAAGATTCTCTGTGAAGCCAGCGAGTTGGCGAATTACGATAGAATCCGGATTTACCTAGATGAGGACTACCAATCTGCTGAACATTTTACCGTGAGACATTCAGAAAACACTTAATCAGTGGAATTGAGAACTAATTGTGTGCACTTTTTCTTGTTATTTTCAGGCCTTGGGAAATCTCTACTTTGCCAGAAACTCCATCAAATCCCTGAAGATCTGGAACTTCCTCATTCATGAGTGGGAGGATGTTGTGGGCAAGAGCATCCACACGGGCAGCATCGAGAGCATTCCCACGAAGGAGAAGGCTAAGTTTCCGCAGAACTTCTTTCCTGAGTGCAAATGGTCACGCAAGGGCTTCCTGCGCACCCGCTGGGACATTGAGGGTAGTGTCATGGATTTCGTGAATATCCACTTGTTCCACGACGCCTCCAATTTGGCAGCATGCGAGGAATTTCCCTCCGTGTACTGCAAAAGTCGACGACGGGCGCTCGTGCACACGCTGGAGCGCTTCGAGAAGGACTCGGCAAATTCGCGGACCCCCTACTTTGTCTTCGGTGATTTCAATTTCCGCTGTGATACTGAAGGGGTGGTGAAGAAGCTTACGGAAGCCCTCACGGCACACCGAGTTGCCAACAAAAATGCCGACAGCGTGAAAATGCAATACCGCGATTCTGATGGACAGAATGTACTTACAGTGGGCAAAAAGGAGTTCACCCATGCCGATCATCAGACGCAGTTCAAGGGAGAATGGCTGAGGAAGTTCGACAGAGAACTCGATCCACTGAGGGAGATTCTCTTTGAATATCCCGTAAGATCCTTTTGCAATGAGTGCTCTCTGTTGTTTCTGACTCAATTACTGTGTCTTTCAGGTTTCATTCCCACCGTCCTACCCATTCGAGGAGGATCCAGAGATGCCGCAGAACTACATGAACTCTCGCTGTCCAGGTTGGTGTGATAGGATTCTGATGAGTCCCTCGGCAAAGCAGTTAATTGACAATGAGAACACAAATTACTCATTGATTGGGGAGGATTTTTGCATGGGGGATCACAAGGTGAGTACATATGCTTCATACAATTTATTGGTTTACCCTAGAAATTGCACTCGGTTTCAGAGGCACTAAATTTTTGCGTGAGCATTAAATATTTACACATTAAATTACTATACGCTACACTGACAGAGATAAGAATGGGTACGCTTGACAAAGTTTTCAGTGGCAATGTGGCAATGAATGGTTTGTGTAGAAGGGAAATCATGTTTTTTTTTTTAAGAGAGCGCTGAAAGTGCTCAAGATGCACAAATTGTACATACACGAAAGTGTCAAATATGATGTTACCTAATTGAAATGTCGTGTGAATCTCTCTCTCTTGCAGCCGGTCTATCTGCAATTTCAGCTGAAGCCAAACCAAGGTACGATTCGGTGTAGTTGCTCTCCGCATGTGCTAATGAAAAAATCATCATCGTTGAGTTGCTTGTCATGTAGTAGACGTTTTGCACAGAATCTTGTAGAGTGTCAAAAGTTAGATAATATTCCGTACAATACGTTGCTGAAGAAGCAACCAGAGCCAATTGCTCCACCACTCAATATCCAAATCAATGTCACGGACACGGAGAACAATCTCAATGTGTGCATGTGTGCCTTCTATGAAGTGCCGGGTGCACTCACGGACTACCAGGAGGGCAACACCATCTGCCCACGATGCCGCAATATAATCAGCCAGCAGCCGATGGAGCACAGGCGTGCCCTCATTTCGCAGCGACTCACGCTGGCCAACGATGTGATCGTCAATAGGATAGACACACAGCTCCTCAATACGTTCAGCAGTGCAGCGATGGGGGTTCGACCGGATCCTTACACGCCCGAGAGCGCAGAGTCGCGATCGCCAGTGATCGATCGCAGTGCGCCGGAGTATGAGGAGGCTACAGTGAAAGCGCTGGCCAGGAGCGACGGGATGCCATGTGATCAGGGAAGTGTCACGAGTGGTGGAGTCAATCCAAATCAGCTGAAATCTCGCCTCGAGAGATTGCAGCAGAAGAGTCGTAGTGACGATGACTGCGATAGTTTTCTCCAAAGACAAAATAATTGCTGCTCTTGTATTATCACTTGATCTTTTCCCTTTATCACTTAATTTTTTTTTATTGACTTATCCTCTGTATATAAGTGCACGCCCAAGATTGTGATGATTGCGATTCAAAGACTTATCACACTCTTGGGTGCACCTGCATCACTTTATCTGTTCATTTTCTAATTTTAGCCTTATTATGGTTTATTATTTTCAAGTTCCAAATAGCAGATCTTGCAAGTGTTTTCGATGGTATTTGCTAAATATTGTTCCACCACAAATTTCAGCACTTGAGTCAATGGTTAATGTTTTACTTCCTCTTTATTTTATTTCTAAATGGATTTTCGTTTAAACTCATAGAGAGCATCATCACACCCAATGTTGCTTGAGTCATCTGCATTTCCCTCAATGTTGTCGTAGATTGCTGGAAATGGAAGATAAGTGACAGTGGGAGTGCCATATGATTTTGCTCTGGTGATCATGAAAATAAAAAAAAAAGATGAATTATTAGAGTGCATTTGGAATGCATGGCATTTTAACTCGAATCAATGTGTCTAATTTCGTTAAATTTAGTGCTGATGAATAGCGTCTAAATGTGGTTTTATAATCTCATATCTCTCTCTATCCCTTTGTGCTCTCGCAAAAAACCAAAATATTGTCACAGGATCTGTGGAGAGTTCCCGTGAGATTGGAGAAATAATTGCGGCAATAAATGATATGATTGAGAATGAATTTGCAAAGCAATTGGATGTCAAGAGACACTCGTACATCCAAATAAATTCCGGAGGCGACGGTGATGTTCTTTTGAATGGTCAGGCAATGATTTTTCGCGAGACAACCGTGTAAAGAGATGTTCAAGATATTTTCTAATCAAAATATTTTATAGATATTATTTTAATCTACCTCCGTCCCGATTTAATACAGCAGTATTGTTTTGAAAGTGTATTGTAATGCGATTGTTTATTTTTTTGTAAAATGGGAATCAAGCAAAGCGAACCATAAATGGGAGAGTTTGAGCGGTTTTTTTGTACTTTTTCGGGGAACATCACAATTCCAAGTCCTCCAAAATTGTTTAATGTATTTTAGACGAGAGTGAGAAACATGCTCCATTAATCATGTTTTGCAGCAGCATCACGTATTCATGAAATTGTTGAATATTATACAGCTAAAGGAACATGCAAATTTGATCGCGAAAGAGTCATTTTTAGATATAATTGTTCTAGCACGTAAGACAAGTTCTTTGAAACATTTAATTCCAACATATAAAATAATACATAAGCTAGTCAATTTAGACATAAACGTAGTACATAAAGTGTTACTCTTGTTGTACTCTAGAGAGACAGAGAATTTGAAGAAGATGGAATTTTAGTGTATAGTTGAGTGTATGTATGTAATCGAGTAAGGAATCTTTAGAGGACATCTTTTGTCCATTTGTCACACCCACAAGCAATGGGACACAGAAAGTTCATAAGAGTAGGATTGGAGTGTAGCAATAGAAGGCATCTATCATGAAAAAGAGCTTCAATTTTCATTCTATGTCCTGTTATTTGAGAATTAAAGTTCTAAATAAATGTTGACGATGGAGATCAGTGTGTAACGATATGAGTTTTCAAATTTCGCTCCCTCAGCGCCACGTTGCGGTGACTTCGAATAGCGGCACCCACACCGACGCAGCGCTTTTCGAAATGTCATTGACGTGTTCGTTTTGCTCCACGAAACTGTGTTTCTCTGGAGAAAAGTCCCTGTTTTCCTCGGTTTTCGTGCGTGTGAGGTGCATGGTGTGTTGATGGGAAAATGGGTGGCCAAAAGTTCGAATACGATGAGAGTGGGAGCACGTTTTTTTACTTCGTACTATCATTTCTCGGTCTAATTCTTATTCCATGCACTTTCTACTACTGGCCACGGAAGAAACGTGAAGGTATGTTTGACACTGAAAACACTTATTAAGGTTACCGGATTTCCACGTAATTGCGACTACCTGTGCCATATGTTGCAGACCCGAATGTGGTGAAGGAGCAATGTCAATGTCCCGAGTGCATGTGCAAGCGGGCGGTGTTGCAGACGTCGGAGCCCTATCGCAAGCTGAAGTCGCTGCTCATCAAATTGGTGCTGGTCGGCGGCTGGGCGCTGCTCTTCTTTCTCGCCTACAAAGTCTCCCAATTTGACTATGAGATGTCCAACTTTGATCCATATGAGATCCTGGGTTTGCCACTGGGCACTTCTCAGTCGGAGATCAAGCGCGCATATCACCAGCTGTCGCTGATACTGCATCCGGACAAGCCCACCGGAGACCAGAAGGCCTTCATGAAGCTGACGAAGGCCTATCAAGCGCTCACGGACGACGAGGCGAGGAAGAATTGGGAGAGATATGGGAATCCCGACGGCCCAGGAGCCATGTCCTTCGGTATTGCTCTGCCAGCGTGGATTGTGGAGAAGGAGAACAGCATCTGGGTCCTCGGGCTCTACGCGCTGATCTTCATGATTGCTCTTCCGACGGCGGTAAGACAATCAGACATTTCCTTTCGTCATTACCATTTATCTTTTGAGATAATTTATTCAAGCGCTGAATGAATGTTCCAGAATATTCATTTCTGATGAAACTCACATGGCTTATGTTTGCTTATCATCATATTTGAAATCGATTGTATTGATTGATAATACCCTTTAATTAGTAGCTCTTCTCCATTTCATCTGCAGGTCGGGATGTGGTGGTACCACTCAATTCGCTTCAGCAGCGACAAGGTTCTCCTGGACACCACGCAAATGTATTTCTACTTCTTCCACAAAACACCCCAAATGGCGCTCAAACGCGTGATCATGATTCTGGCCGCGAGTCTCGAGTACGACAAGAGACACAACTCGCAAGTGGTGGAGCGTCAATCGGACAACGAGGAGGTGCCATTGCTCATCCGGCAGCTGCCGAATCTCAATGAGAAGTGCAAGGAAATGCCTCTGTGTCGCATGTACTCCATCAAGGCGCGCGCTATTATGCACGCCCACCTGAGTCGGATCCCTCTGCCGCCGGACACTCTTGATCGCGATCGCATGTTCATCGTGAAGAAGTGTCCCTACCTCATCCAGGAGATGATCTCGTGCGTGAATCAGCTGATCATGCTGGCTTACGCGAAGCGCAGTAAGTAGAATTTGCAATTGTAATTGACACATTTGACTAATTGATCTGCATTTTGCAGTATCACGACTTCCAGCGATTGAAACCATTGAGAACTGCATGAAGCTCTCTCCTATGATTGTCCAGGCAATGTGGGAGTTCAAGAGCCCTCTGCTGCAGCTTCCCTACTTGACGGATGATCATCTCAGGTACTTCGCCACGAAGAAGCGTCACATCAAGAACCTCCAGCAATTCGCGCAGTTGCCACTGGAAGAGAGTCGCGCCATCCTGAAGAGCTTGACTGATTTTGAATACAGTACTCTGATGAAAGTCCTGGGAAAGATGCCTCTCATCGACTTCAGCTTTCGCTGTGAAGGTATGAGTGAGAGACGACGTTGATTTCAATTATATTGGTTGGCTTTTGGGGTCGTTCATGTGACATCTTTTCTCGAATAACGGCACTAATGTGGTATTTTCTCAACAGTGATTGACGATGAGCATACGAATGTTGTGACTGCGGGAGCCATCGTGACTGTGACGGTGACGCTGGAGAGGAAAAATATGAGTGAATTGTTTGGTGACACAAGTGCCGCAGAGAAGCCGAGTATAAGGTGATTTGTTACGGGTATTTTCATCTGAAGTGGAGCTCAATTGACGCTTTTGTCTCACCATTAACAGGGAGGAGGAGGAGGATCAGGAGAATGAGGGCAATGTTGAGAGTCAGAATCAGGTGAAGAAGCCAATCTGGGCGAAGCAGGGCAAGAAAAGCCACAAGGGCGGGAAGAACAAATTCAAGAGTGGAAATGTGAAACACAAAGTCACATCAAATCCATCCAATGCGGCGGCGGCGGCAAAGAGTGAAGAAAAGCCAGTTGTGGTGAGTGAAGAGAAAATGTTTAATCAGAATTTTCTCTCCCGTGAAATTGCCTTTATCGTCACTTTTATGGGAGGAGAAATTACAGGCTTTTAATGTGTTTGGCAATTTCTACGAAATGGACTATTTTCTACCAATTGACTGGGCTTCTAAATGTGTTTAATTGTGGTTTTTCTTCTGGTGTAGAAAAAGCAGAAATCGAACGACGGAGCAGAATCCGATCTGGAGAGTGGCCTAGAGAGTGATGAGGAGAAATTCTCATCGGACGATGAGAAGAAGACAGCTGAAGATGATGACTTCGAGTGGGAGAAGTTCCAACAGAAGTTGAACAAGCGCGAGAAGCTGGAGGGAAAGTCGAAGCTCTCGCACGCGGTGCACTGTCCCTACTTTCCGGAGGACAAGCAGGAGTACTGGTGGACATACATCTGCGACAGGAAGTCGCGCACGCTCCTCACGGCGCCGTATCATGTGACTAATCTCGTTGATCGCGAGGAGGTGCAGCTGAAGTTCACGGCACCGCGCTGGCCGGCGCTCTACACGTTCACGGTGTGCCTGCGCTCGGACTCGTACATGGGCATGGACCAGCAGCTGGACATCAAACTGGATGTGAAGGAGGCCACGGCCATTCCCACCGTGGAACCCCAGTGGGAGATTAGTGAGTCGGAGTCTGATCAAAATCTTCAGGGTAGCGAGTACACCACCGACACATCCGAAGGCGAGGAGGAGGATTGAGGAGTGTTGTGAGAGATACTGTCTTTATTTGGCATTCTGTGCAGTGAGTATAGTTTTCAAATAAAATTAACAAAAATTTCGTATGTATAATTTATATGCTGATCCTCACGCATGGTCGCGTGAGTTTTTCTAAAAGATCTGAGACGATTTGAGGGCCGAAATTCGCAATGCAAGATTTACCTAATTTCGTGGTATCCTCTAGACTACCACAAAGCGGAAATCTGAACGACTTTTTGAATTGAGCGATTTTTCAGCGACGGAATGCCCCCTCTTGACAGCATGAGCGCCTCTGGCGGAATGTCAGCAGTGAAAGTGGCAGAGAAAAGTTGACATATTGGCGCTTTGCTTTTCACTTTTATTTATTTGGGTGTTTTCTCGGTGAAAAAGTCCCAAACACTGGTGAATTTTGTGCGAATTGCACATCTGAGCATTCTGCAAGGCGGTACAGTGCACAAGCGTGAGTAAATAGGCCGAGATCGGAGCTCTCCGGAGGGGGTGACGCTACACACAAAGCCAGGGTGGAGAACCCGCAAAATCTGGTGTACTTGTGTGGAAAAGCGGCCGAGGCAGTATCCTGGGACTCCAGTGGTGAGCATGCAGTGAGATTGATGCCAGAGGAGCAGCGGTGATGGGGATTTTGAATTTTTGCAGAGACACTGTATGATAGACATAACCTCAAACTCTCTCCGTCAATCTTGGGCGACCTCGGAGTGGTGAGACGCGGGAGAGAGCGCCCCCGGAAGTCATCTCCGTGCGTGAGTTGATGCGAAGCGGGGCAACATGTCGATCGAGACGATTAAGTGGAACCAGGTGGTGGAAACCAAAGGACCCCAGCCGAGGCCGCGCCATGGCCATCGGGCGGTTACAATAAAGGACCTTATAATAGTGTTTGGGGGCGGCAATGAAGGTATAGTGGAGGAGCTCCATGTGTACAATACCTCCACAAATGGATGGTATGTGCCGTGTATGCAGGGCACGGTGCCGCCGGGATGCGCAGCGTTCGGAATTGTAGCTCTGGGCACGAGAATACTCATCCACGGCGGTATGATTGAATACGGCCAGTACTCAGATGAGATGTACGAGCTGCAGGCCACCAAGTGGGAGTGGAAGAAGCTCAGCGTGAAGCCGCCCACTAATGGGCCGGCGCCCTGCCCTCGCCTGGGGCACAGCTTCACACTCGTCGGCGAGAAGATATTCATGTTTGGCGGCTTGGAGAATGAGAGCAACGATCCGAAGAACAACATTGCAAAGTATCTTAATGACTTCTACACTCTGGACCTTCGCAATGAGCAGCTCCAGTGGGTGATGCCCACAACCTTTGGCGGAGGCCCGTCGGCTCGCGAGAGCCACAGCGCTGTCACGTACACGGACGCCAAGACACAGAAGACCAGCCTGATCATCTACGGCGGCATGGACGGACGTCGTCTGGGAGATCTCTGGATGCTGGACACTGAGTCGATGCAGTGGACATCGCCACAGATGTACGGACCTGTGCCCGAGCCACGCTCTCTGCACACCGCCTCCATCATCGGATGCAGAATGTTCATCTTCGGTGGATGGGTGCCGCTCAGCTACCCCATGGCCACTGGTGAGATCGAGTGGAAGTGCACAAACACGCTGGCGTGTCTCAATCTCGAGACGATGGTGTGGCAGGACTTCTCGGGCATCATGAACAATGTCCTGGAGAATGTGCCTCGCGCCCGAGCCGGACACTGTGCTGTGTCTATCCACTCGCGCCTCTACATTTGGTCAGGACGCGATGGGTACCGCAAGGCGTGGAACAACCAGGTGTGCTGCAAGGATTTGTGGTACTTGGAAGTGGAGGCGCCGCCGCAGGTGCCCAAGCTGCTTGTTCGCAGCGTCGGACAGGAGAAGATGGAGGCCACTTGGTCGGCTGTGCCCACAGCAAAATGGTAAGTTCTTTTTTTTCCTCTTTACACATTCTCTCAGAGTCTTAATGCAAAGCAGTGGAGCTTTTTTTCTCCCTAACATCAACCCTGGAATTATCAATTCAGGAAGTACATCTGCTCATCCACACTTGTGGTACTTCATCCACAATCTACCGAATAGTTTCGTTACTTGCGCTCATTACATAATCAATCTGAAAAGTTCATTGGTGATTTTGTGGCGAGCAAAAAAATTGGAATTTCTTTTTCTTTCCTTTGCTCGTTGCGGGATAAATATCTTTGTGTAATTTATGAGGTACTCAATGCATTTGTTTTATTTTTTTCCTTACTATAAATTGTGTGCGTGGCTATGCAAATATTTCAGTGTCATCAAGTAACATAATAATAATGTTACCAATTTTTTTTTGAACGGAAGTATTCGTGAGTTTGCATTTTTCATACATACATATCTACGAATACGATAGCTATATTTTCATAACGCACATGCATAGATACACTTATTAATTAATTCTATACAACTGCTGAAAGGAAATACTTCAAAAGAGAATAGCAAATCGACTTCCTAATTTGTTAGAGAAAAGAAGATATTTATTGAGGTAAAAAAAAATCCGGCTTTTTTGGCTCTATCCAATGATGCGTATTACATAAATTGACTGTATAAAATGGTAACTTATGCAATGTTTTTGGCCATTCTGAACTGAAAAATATTTTCCATTTAAAATTTGCATAATTCAGTGCCAGAATCGCATTTAACAAAGAGCCCATTGTGAGCATCTGTGTTACTTTGTAAGAATTCCAAAATGACTCATTGTAATTAGGGTCACGATTCTGTGGAGCTTTTTTATTGATCCAGTGGCTCTCGCTCCTTCTGTTGCAGGTACGTGCTGGAGATTGAGCGAGTCCCCGATGCGCCACCGCCGCCCAAAGTGGAGCCTCCGAAAATGGTGCCAGCGAAGGTGCCTGAGATTGCGGCGCCGCCAATTGTTGCGCCCATTGTGACGCGCACTCCCGTGAAAGTGGCTACGGTGCCGACGGTGGTGAGTCAGGGTGAGGTGGTGTCTGCGCCAAAGATCGTCACGCCCAGCCCCAAGATCCAGATCGTGCAGAATAGCGCCACAAGCAGCGGTGCCACGAGTGTGGTGCAGCCGCAGATGGGAACTCTGGTGCAGACGAGTCAGGGCATTAAGATTATCAGGACGGGAGGACCGGCCGCGAGCGTAATGGCCGGTGGGAAGGGCATAATATCCACAGTGGCTACGCAGGGTGGCACTACTGTCTTCCCTGGGAAGGTGTTCAAGATTGCGACTGCCACACAATCCATGGGAACGGCGGGCACCACAACAGCGGGTCGCAACGTCATTTTGTCAGGACAGCGTCCGATCATTATCAAGATGGGAAACAACACTGCGGCCACGGCTATCAGGCAGCCACAGATAATTCCAGCTTCCAGTGGTGCTGGGACGAAGACGTTCACGATTCAGCTGCCGCAGAGTGTGGCTGGTGGCGGTACAACTATTGGCACGGGACAGCAGAAGATCATAATGATTCCGGCTCAGGCAAAGACCACAGCGACCTCGGGCATTGTCACTACTATTGGTGGGCAGATTGTGAACAAGGTGGTGACGGAGGCGGCCGCGAGCAATCAGGAGGTGAAGTCCGAGCCAATGGATCAGCTGGACGGGGCGTCGGACTGGATGGAGTTGATTGAGCGGAGTCAACGCCGAGATCAGGGGGACAGTGGTGCAAATAGGGCGCGGAAGACGCACAAGAGGTGTCCGAAATACGTGCGCGTTGGCCTGTTTGGCGGCGGAACGTCCCCAGGTGGACCGAGTGCTGATGACGCGGACACACAGCCGGACAATGTCACGGATGCGACCAGAGTGAAGAACTCATTGGATGCTCTCGCCTCTGTTGCCGTGGAGGCTTCCAGCACCAAATCGGACAGCAAATGGTGTACCGTGGGCTTCTACACGGAACTGCAGGCGATCCTCACCAACTACGTGGACTTTGGTGAGTGGAACTCAAGTATGCTGGACAAGGTGACGGATGACAATGTGCCGGATCTCTCCACGAAGACCAGAGTGCCCCTCGAGTCGGGCGTATCGTACCGCTTTCGCGTGGCGGGGATTAATGGGTGCGGCCGCGGGGAGTGGAGCAAGCCCGTGACTGTGACACTGGGGCTGCCGGGTCCGCCCACAAATATTCGCGTGATGAAGACGGGCTCTGGCGCGTGCCTGGCGTGGGAGGTGCCGCCGGCCACAGAATCGGACATTCTCGACTATTCCGTGTACTTGGGTGTGCAGCCAAAAGGGCCCCCGAAGCCCGCAACTGTGGCCAATATTCCCTTCGTGAAAGTCTACTGCGGACGCGAGAAGACGTGCCTCGTGTCTAATCGCAGTCTCGCCACCGCCTTCATCGATCGCACCAGCAAGCCCTCAATTCTCTTCCGGATAAATGCGCGCAACAACAACGGTTCAAGCAGGCCCACGCAGATTCGATGGATCCAGGAGGATTTGGCCAAGCTCACTGGCACCGGAGCGTCGTCTGCAGCGCCCCAGGATGGGGGACCGGCCAGTAAACAGCGCCGAACTCTTTAGAAACACCACCTGAGGTGCAAGATCCCTTTAATTTTCTCCCCAAATTTGGTACTTGGAATTTAAGTTCCATTGAATCATTTATTTGAGGCCCAGAATGTGCCTTTTTTTGTCCCCCCAACATAATTGATTTTCTTTTTTCCAATCCATTGACCGACGAGTCAACACTTGATTGTGCTCCACACATGAACTAATTTTGATTACTTGCTATTTTAGATAACTTGAGAGATGGTATATGTAACTGGACATTTTCTACTACATTAGCAAAGCGTTATAATTTTTTTTCTCGAGAGAATATAAAAACACTACAATATTCTTCAATAAATTCAATTTTATGTAGAGAATAATTAATAAAGAAATGTGTAAAATAACTCATTTGCTCTTTCGCTTTCGCATCTTCTCGCTACGCTCCAGATTGTCGCTGTAGAAGTTGGCCTCCTTGCGTGCCATGGAGATCTCTGTCTGCAGTCTCTGCTTGTACACGGCTTTCTCGTAGGTGAGCCTCTCGCTGAGATGGGCCCACGTGAAGCCAGACAGATACTTGAGGTTCCACAGAATATCGCAGAACTTTGAGCGCTTCCGTGTGGTGATTGGCTTCCCGTTCAGCCTCTGCACCAGCAGCTTGGCCACCTTCTTGCTCTCAAACTCTATCCATCCCTCTGTGTATCTGCGATGCTTCTGTTTCTTCTTTGGCCGCTCGTCGTCTGTAAGCAGAGAGGAGAATAATTAAGATCATCTTTTTCATCTTCAAACAAACATTTTAGGAACAAGAAAGCTCACCATCTTTTCGGTTATTCTGCAGATAAACCCGCCCAACTTTGCCAAACTCTCCAATGAACTCCTTTAGAATTGCTACATTCATGTACTTGGGTATTCCGGAGATGTAAACAATTCCTCGCTTTCGCTTTTTTGGCGTCTTCTGGGGCGCTTCGGATGATGTTTCCACATTTTCCATGTCTTTTCCTAACCTCACAAACTGTCCAGCATTGCAATTTTCACTTTCACTACTCGACATTGTTGCGCTTCTTCTCCTTCAGTATGTATATTAGAAAGAAATCTTCAAGTGATTCCAACTTAATTCACTACTCAATTAGCAAGTAATACTCCAATGGAAGCGCTGCAAAAATTCTTGCCGCTCCATGCATTATTTGTTTACTTTTTTGTTGTCATTCAGAGTTTCTTTGATATTCCGCATGATGCCATCGGCGCTGGTATCGCCCAGACGCGATCGCGAGCGCCTCCTGCCGGAGAAGACGTCGTGGAAGAGACGCCGTTGACAGCGAAAATCAGTCTCACTTTGTCTTTGAAAGCGTGCAGAGAGTTTCCTTTCTCTCCCCCAGAAGCATTCCATTAGACTTAGAAATTCCCCAAAACAGTCTTCACGAGGAGCCTTTGGTGCTTCAGTTGCCCTCAGAGTGAAATTGTGTGAGGAAAAGTGAAAAAGTAAGTGGATAAGTGTGATAACATATGAAGCTGAGTGGCGGCCGTGAACTAGTCATAGAGGGAATTTTCCTTGATTACTCGCATTTCCCGCAATTTCATGGAGAGAAAAATTGTTTGTCCTCTCCTTGAAGTTCCTTTGCGACCGCCACTGGGGCTGCGTGTTGCGATTCGGTAATTAGAGAGTGCCAGGACTCACTTAGAAGGACAGGATAGCTGCACACACACACACCTTTTGGAAAGCCAGATTTATGCTTATAGGAAATGAAGGATCATGGTTTATTTACATTCTCACGGGATGTAATGAAGACAATCAAAGCGACAGAGAATCTCCCGTGATATTGACTCCCAGAGTGAAGAAGCTGGTGGCTATCTTTACCAGTTTGGCGACAAGGGAGCAATTATGAATAACCTGCTTGAGTAAATTGATGCATATGAGCAGTTTAATTGTCGGCAATCGGATTAAATTGCGCCGCGAACGCAAATTATTCACAGCCAGAGTGATTTGAAATGCTGCAAATGGTGAGAGTGGAGTGACCATAAAAATGACGCAATATTCCATACATTCCAACTCGCCAAACTCGCGTTTCCTATTCATATTTCCACATAAGAAATCGCACTGAATCCGAGGTATTTGGACTGAAAGTTGGGGAAAAAATGATGGGACAAGGCCTCCCGGGAATTGCGACCAATAATTCTGACATTTGCTGCCGATTGAGTGGCCAGCGATGGTCTCCATAGAGACAAAGGTAAACAAATTGCCGTGCGAAAGAGGAGCTCAGCACACAGTCGCGGGCATTCTGGGTATTTCGCGGTGAATAATGTGGAAGTGGAGGGAGTGACTATTTGTCTGAATCACTCTCGCACGCCGCCAAGAGAGATATTCATAAAGTGCGAGGAGACGTGACAAAACTTCTTTTCGGCGGAATTGCGCTCGCGACGAGTAAGGGGACAGCTATAGCTGCAGGACAGCCTGGAAAAGCTGCAGTTGCTCTTCCCATCGGCACATGAGACCGCTTGGAAAGACTGTGAATGCTTCTGAGAAAAGCACTGTTATTAGTCAGCAAAATAATTATTTCAAAAGGAAATTATACTGACAATTGAGGTTTTTGTTGCTTTGAACACTTTATTGACTCTTTCATTTGCCTCGATAGCCTCGAAATATGGTTGTTTATCATGGAATGTTTGGAATGATATTAGCAATGCTCTAATAAGAAACTGAGAGACGAAGTTATTTGTCACGGGTTTACAATAACTTAAAAACAAATATTTATTCGCACGTCTTAACCTTACCTTCCTTTCATACATGAAAAAATTCTGGATACAGGAAATTGTGTTATACTCGTTATACTTCATTTACAGAAAATTGGATCAGCAAATTGAAAACATAAACCATGTTAGATGTTTGTTCTTTCAATTAAAAGCATGGAAAATCGTATCTGTATAAGGAGATTACAATATATTTTCAAGATAAAATTGTAGCGCAATTTCATGGAAGAACAGAGAATGAGCTTCTGTGGCAAATTGCACTATCAGTTGTACAAAGATAAGATGCTTTTCATAGAAAGAATACATGTGGATAAGATTTTGGTGTGAACACGTTTAGGAAAGTTATGCAATTGGCCTACGTTGACACCTTTTCAGTTGTTTGTATAAGAATAAATTCACATGTTGGTGAAAAAAATTATTCGTGAGTAAGTGAGGAAAATGGCAAATTCTTGTTCCATGTTCTGCTTTTTCATACAATTTTGCTCGGTGGATTTTTTACATAAATCAAGGGCATAATTTTGTCGGTGTGTTTTCCACATACATATTTCAGAGTGATTACGTCCTGAAGACGAGATTGTTCGGTCACTGGTCTCTTGAGTATGTGTGCGTAGCGAGAAAAGACTTCATTCTGACCTGTCCTTCAAAAGCACGTTTTTTCGTGGTTGATTTTCTCTGGGGAGCTTGAGATCTCTTGTGTGATGAAGATGACTAAAATAATCGAAAATGTGTTCCCTTGTTGAAACCACACAAAACACTGTATCTCTCCTTTTATTCTATTTCATTTTTCTCTTCTCTCTCTCACCAGGAAGATCAACAAAAAATAAATAATACTTACTCTGTGGTATGTGAGCATCAGTCAACAACGAAAATTCTTCAGGAGACAACGACAACGAGACGAGAATATAATGAGAATGCGTGAAAGAGAAATATTTCTCAAGTGTGGCTGAGGGAAGAGAGATGTGGGCAGAGAGGAAGAAGAAAAAATCAGTGAAGAAGCCGGGTGAAAAGAGAAGTGTATTAAATGAGATTATTGAAAGAAAAACACCTACGTGTAGAATTCAGGCGAGCAAGAGTGTGTTTTGTGGCTCTTAATTTATTCTATAAATCGAAAGAACTGAACGAGCAGCGCAAGCGGAGCATGAAAGAGTGACAAATACGAAAAAGTGTAGGCACAATTTCTCAAGTACTTTCTGGTGGTTAACAGTGATAACAGGTGCAAAATGAAAGTGACAGTGTCTTTTGGCACTTGCCGTGTGGTGGTGCCCTGTGGCAATGGGGATCTCCTTGTGAAGGATTTAATCGACGAGGCCATCCGAAGGTACAAGAAGGCTTCCGGAAAGGTGAGTTGATTAGCCAAAGCAGCGCACATTTGCCTCATTAAGCACCTGAATGAGCGGCACATGCGCCAAGAGATGGGCGAGAAAAAATTCCCACCGTCCAACCTAGTCAGATGAATGGGATAGATTAAGAAGTCTGAATATTATAATTTTTTCTAACGGAAGATCCAATTGAAAGAGAAAGTCTGTGGAATATTCTTGGGGAATTGTTTTGTTTCTTTACCATCTTTTTTTCTTACTTCTTATGCTTGCCCCAGTGAACACTGTAAATTCAGTGAATTTCATTTGAGCTTTTAGTTCTCGCCAGACTTGTTGGTGGATTGTGCAATAGTGCTTTTGCATAAATCGTCTCTTACGAGAATTATGTAGTGTTTCGCTGAGTATTGTCTGACTGAAGTGCTTAATTGGCTTCTTATTTTCACGCAGAAAAGCACTGCGTGACAAAAAAAGAGGTGGACTTGAGTGGAATGACAGTGGCTATTTTTGAGAATAGACCAATTACAGTTTGCGAAATGATGATAGTCACAGTTTCTACTGTGCGAAAAAGAGACTTAATGGACATATTTTTCCACTATACACTGTATATAGTATACAATTCGTTTAAAGTGAATGGCTATTTCTAAGGTTTCCACCCACTAAAGTTGACTTCAATCCTCCCCCTTTTTTAGCAGCAAAAAAGCAGAGGAGAGAGAGATGATAATGCTTTTTTGCGACTTGGCATTATACGTGGAATAAAAAAAATAAAGAGCTCAATAAAAAGAATGCCAATAAAAATCATGCGAATAAAGTTGTGAAGGAGTAAAATTAATATTCACGTCACTTGACATGAGACATGGCAAATTCTCTTGTGGCATTCCTCCCACAGTTTTTCCTTGGATTATAATATGCTATATATAAATGTATTATTTTTGCTGATATTTTCCTCTCAACTTACACTTCTTGCGAGAGTTCGAATCTTGAGGCAAATTGCATCGTGATGGAATGTGAAATTTGATTCAAATGGAAATCATTGCTGCTCTGTGTATGCAAAAGGCAAATGCAAACATGTGTGTGTGTACTATATTATGCATTTTTTTATCAGAAAACTTCTCACAATTTGCAAGTAATAATTATGGCGAGTGTATATTTCTCACAGAAAATTTCCAACGCTGAAGCGAAAGATCAGAGTGCGCAGAAAACATCTCAATTGTGCGTTTCAGTACACACACGCATTCTTCACCATTGATTTTTCCTGATCCGTTTCGTTGTTGATCAAATAAGGTATTGGCAATGGTTGTGTACCTTCTGAACAACACTTCCACAATTGACCTACAATGTGATTCTATTTTCGAATTGTTAGAGATTATTTGAAAAGTGGAAGAGCGAGAGAACGGAGAGAACAAAGAGTGAAGCAAGTAATAGCGCGCATTGAGTCGAAAAGTAATGTACAAAATACATAAAGTTTATTTTATTTAACAATCACCTGCCCCAAGTCCGTTGATTATTATTCCACAATATGCTGAAACTAGTTCTTCACCGCCGTTGATGTCGTGCTCGGCGATATATTGAATCGAGAGTGGAAGTCTCATGCTCGACTGTGTGTATATGTGACGGTTACAAAAGTACACACGGCGCGAGAGAGGGAAGGCATATGTTAAAAAAGAAATGATAAAGACGAGAGCTAAGCCATTCAAGTGAGTTATTCGTCATCATGGGTTGGAATTCTTGAGAAGTCATTGAGGTATTTACTTCATTATAAAACACCTCTCCGGGATATATTTGTAGGAAAAACACATCCGTGGCTTTTTATCTTTGGACTTTATCAGTTCACCATTGTGAAATCTTTAATCATGGCAAAGCACACAAATTCCCTGCTTGTGTACAGATGGATTCAATTTATTTACAATTCATCTTAATAGCACGGTATCCGTGGTGTTGCTTTAACACAAGTATCTATAATTGTGTTAAAAGCAGTCTTTTTTTGCGAAAGAGTGATGCAATTTAAAACATGTTTCTCAGCTTAAACAAACAACTCTTAAAGTAAGAGACTGTGAGACTCATCTTATTAGAAATTGCCTACTTTTCGGGGATTCTTCTCTCAATTCTTATTGACGGATTTGGTTTCATTTCTTGAATATCCGACTTTTCAAAATTTTAATAAAAAACTATAAATACAGTTGATAAAAATGATAATTCTTGTTTGACTTTATTAGTATTTTGCTGGAAAATTTCTCCTCTAAAGTTGTCGTAAAGGTCGTGAGAGTCAACCTGAACAGATTTCCTAATTGTCAAATAAACTGGTAAATTTTTTTATTGTATAGAGATAATCTTATTTGTTCCTCAGGAATCAATTAAAGCATAGTTATTTTATTCTCAGTCCAATAGACTCACTTCCGTCTCTTCTCCGAAGGAAGTCAAAAATTAGTTTGATTGCCCTGTAATTGGACAATTATCCGCATTTTTCTTGGTCGTCCTGAACCTGACCTTTTCCATTGAAACATGTTTCTTCTGAATAGCATTTTACATGCAGTGCAACTGTATCGCAGCGTTGCAACAGTGTTTCCCATGACTTGGTTATTCATGTGCTTGGGTAGCAAATGAATGGGTGTAGAGGAGTACAAATTCCACGCAAGAATTGCCCAAAAGGTGAATTTTCAGTTAGAGAAGAGTGTAATTTCCACAGACTGAATGATTCTTCGGCGAAGAGTTTCTCCTGCGCGGTGCAACATAAATGTGTGATACCACAAAGATCTTATTATAGGGAATTGGAGCTTATAGAGAGCAGTGTATTTGCTCCACCTTTGGCGTATTCACTGGGTCGGTGGCCACATAGAGAAGATAGCAATTCTTGTGTATCAAAAGATCTCTCTTTCTATCTTACATGTGTTGACCACTATTTCCGGTCTCCACGATCGGTCTTCTGTGGAGAGGAAAGATTCAATGGGTGAGATAGAATACAGGAGGGGAGGTCAGAATAACAAAAATTACTGTCGGTATGTGATGAGATGAAGAGAAGGTGCTCAATGAATGAAAATTCCAATGGGAAGGAGGGAAGAAGATGAAGAGAAATAACGTTGGGAATTGCAATTAAATGATGATTAAGTGACAACCTTGAAAGTTACAATAAACGGAGGCACACACTGCAGAAAAAGAAAAGTAGAAGACAATTCTGGTTTTAACTCACTGTGAAATTTATTTCTTCGTCTCTCTCTCTTGCGCGCATTTTTTTCTCATGAAAATCGTTGAACTTGAAAATATAACAAGACCATGAGTTACTTTTTCTATCTCTCTAGAGCCCATTCTTCTTCAAAGTAATTGCATTGGAGAGTAGAAAAAATATGTATTTTCACATTTTCCACCACATATTTTAACAAGTCATTTCTTTTCTATTGTGAATATTTCGAATAATCACAAAATCAACATGGGAAAATGCCTGAAAAGTCAATCTCTTGGTGTATACTTCTCCGTTTGAGATAACATGAAAGTGCAATTTACACTTGTGGGAAGTGAAAGGTGGTCTTTTTTCTCATTTTCTATTTGTAATGCAAATACCCATTTCCAATTATTATTGGTATCTGCAGCATGGGAAAGAATGCAAAAAAAGTTCTCTCAAATTTCCTCTCAAGTCTAACCGCACTAGTGGCACTGGTTGCTGCTTGTATACTGATGTTTTTCCCTTTAGCTTTCAATTAGCATTCATATTACTCTAATTGAAACACTATCCGGAGGAAAATATTGTAATTTAATTGTACAATGCAAGAGAGAGAGTGTCTATGAGCGATTGACTGAGAAATTCTCTTTATGATAATGAGAAAAAAGTACTTGAAGACGATGATGGTGAAAATTATGCTTGGTTACATTACAAAATAATATTACATGAGCAAACAATTGTCAGCAAAAAAGGTGCAAACAATACTGAGGAGAGTCTTTTTGCGCTTATGTGGAATTTCGTATAAATATTTGAATTACACATGGTGACTTAAAAGTTGCTGAAGAGTTTCTTACTCGTATTGTGCACGATAGTGTCACAAGGACTTGACAAGTACTGTGTGTTTATATGCTTTATCTCCGTATTTATCTGGTAGAGACATGAGCTACTTGATATGTAACAAAAGAGGAGAAATGTGGGAAAATTGCTGGATGACCGAAGAAAAAAGTATCGCAGTGAGAAATCTATCGTTGAGTTTTTAATTAAATTATAGATAAGATAATTCTATCACGAGCAATCGTGTACTTTGGAAAGAACAATAACAATATTGAGAGTCAATGATGGGGGCAAGAATACTTTGTCCATGACTTGTGTGCTCTGCAGAAAATTGTATAATCCCCGCATATAGAGCTCATCTTTGGATCTGTCTTTCATCATTGCATTTTCCATCTGCCAATCGAATGGTTTTCTCACTCAAGGAGGCGTAAAATTCGATATGATGTCGAAATTGTTATGCCAAGACAATGAGTGAAAATGTAGGAAGACAGTGCATGCGCAGATCACGAAGAGATCATAAAAAATTTTGCATCACTTCCCTAAATGTGGATGCTTGCACTGTTTCACGGCGTTGTTGGAATGTTTGTGGTGTTTTATTGGTTTTCGTGTCTCCATTCGTCTGTGGTGGAGTAAAAAATTGAATTTTCTCCTAAAGCCACAGTGAATTGACCCAGGAATAATTACCTCGCACATTAATTGTGGTATAATTTTCATTTCTGTGCATTGCTAATGACTTCATTGTGAATTTAATTCATCTCATTGCGGCGCAAAGGCGATTTGGAGGAATTCTCTTGAAAATGCATTCATACATCGCCTGCCGGTGGCCACGTAACAATCGTCATCGTAGATTCATGTTTATATATATACGTGAAATGCTCAGTTAGTGTGTGAATTCAAGTTGTGGGTCTGGCCATTTCGTGGTGGTGGAATTGAATGTATGGCGAAGGCAGCCAGGTAACGTTTCACTTCAGTTGTATACTGAATCACCTGATTGTCGGTTGTACTGCTTGCGCCTTCTGGACTCGAAATTCGCTGAGATAGCTGAAAAAGGTGTATTGTCGGGTTTTTGTGTGTTTTGTGAAGAAATTGTTAAAATTACAGTAATGTGTGATGATTTTTTGAGAGTAAACTTTTTTCTTACGTCGAAGAATTTTGTCTCTTGTCTTAGTTGAGGGAATTTATTGGAGAGAAAAGTGCCAGTTAAAATAGCCAATCCATTAAATATGTTCCAAAGCGAATATAAAAGCAAAGTCTCTTCTCTCTATTTTTGGGTTAAAGAGAGCAAAATATATATAAATGGTGTGAATTTTTTAAAGTGATGAACTCTTTTTACAATTTTTCACACTCGTTTTTTTTTCACCTCCAATTTCACGAGATATTTCCCCATTTAGCGAAGGCAATTGAGTGGTGATGATGATTGAGGTCAATAGTGTTTCTTACCTGGGTGTTCTCAAAAATCCAAGAAAATATGTGGCTGAAGTGTTGCAATTGAAATTCCTGAAATTTGTGCAAATATTCAGGTGTTTGTATTAGTCACAATATTGCAAGATAAACCTTTTATCTCTGATGAATATTCAGTTTGCACATCATTCTAGCTAGAATTCTCCGTTTGAATAACGTGCAAATATTTCAGCAATGTGAAAGAGGCCCGCAAGAAAAGATTCCTTTCTATTTATCATGACTGTAATCACATGCCAATTATGGATGGTTTAATGGTGAAGAAGCTCTCCTCATTAGCTCTCTAAACTCATTGCTTTGCATGAATTTAAATTGGCACATTTGATGTGGAAAATTTACTTCTGAAGAAGAGCCAAATGGCTCTGAAGAGGACTAATAAAATGGAGTGATTTGAATGCGTCAAATAAAAAATGAGAACATAAAATCTAAATTTGAATCGGATTTTGTGGGGTAGAAAGTCAGATATTGCATTTCTTCTATGAGAATTAACTCTGCTTTGTGAAGTGATTATTTAATTATCATTTGCATTTTGAGGTGAAATAATTTCACAAGAAAAAATATAATATTTGTGTATCACGAAAATGTACTTTTTCAAAGTGCAGAAAACAAGTGAGGAGAAGTTTGAAAAGTCAGTCAAATGTGAAGAAATCAGCCTCTTCTATTGAAAATTCCCTCATTACACACACAAAAGAAGATGAAAGAGAGGAAAAAACATAAATAAAATAAGTTTTCTCAGTGTTTTTAATGGTATTATGTGTTGCTGCAACATGATATTCTCCCTGAATCTCTCACTCTTCTACTCCAACTCATTCTAATTAAATTTAATAGTCATGGAGAATATATGTTTGTATACACAGTGAAAAAATCTCACACGTAGATTCTTTTGTGTTTATATTTTTACATTCTCAATCCTCCTGACTTTTGAAAAGATGTGTGCAAAAGAGGTAAATTCGAAAAGTCACACGTCGGCACTTTTCTCTCTGTGTAAAAATTGAAAATGTGTGCAATGGTGGAAGAATTTTCTGAAATAAAATATATAAATTAAAATACAACGAAATATTTCAATTTTATTGTATCACACAGTTGGACAAAAGTGAGCAAAAAAGAACATGAATCGAACAATTGTAAATCTAGAGCATTATGATGCCATTTCCTGCAGTTCTGTATGAGTGGCAATTGTTGGGAAAAAAAACGTGCGTAACACACAAAGTGAAACAAAAAGAAAGAGTGTTGGATAAAAGTGCAAGAAGAAGGTGCTCAATCATGGGATAATTAGCAGAATATCGCAAATTCTTGTGAAATTTCGCAAAAGTGTGTCTGCTGTTACGTTGGAAAAATGTTCGACTTACCACCCAAATGTCCAGCATTGGCCAATAAATTGACTGGAATTTTTGGTTGGCGTCACACATATCGTGTTCAGCAGAAGCACAAGGACTTGAATCACCTGAAGAAGTCCTACTCTCTGAGCATTCCGCGAAAGATAATTGTTGAGGTGAGAAGATGAAATGCTGGTAAAGTTGAAGTACTTCGCAAACGTGAAAATTGTCGAGCAATCTTAATTTCCTCTCTCTGACTCTTGAAATGGTGAATTGTACGCAATAAAATCTGAATGAGACTTTCAATAGACAATTTTTTTATTGTGGCACAATCACAATTTTTATGAGATGTTTGTATGTGCAAAAAAAATGGGAGAACAGCAATTTTCTAGTGTGTCAATACTCTTGTTTCCCTTTGTTCTTATCATCGGAGTGGAGTAGAGATATGTATTTAAAGTGTGGGAGGGCGCAGAGGCAAGGTATACAAAGAATGTCATGAATTTGTGAATAATACAGGAGAGAGATAACATTGGGCGCTGTGAGGTGTGGTCTCTAAGAAGTGAGAAATTAGTCAGACAGGCCAAACTCTGAAATTGGATCTATCTGTAGGTTTGCAGGGCTCGGTTCTCATGAAAATTTAATGATACTCGTTTGGAATGCGGTGCTGTGCTCAGTATTATTTGATTGAATGGCTGTTCCGTTAGTAAAGAATTGTGGTGTTTTTTTTCTCTTTCAGGATCCACACTCATGGGTCGTGGTGCATCATTTACAATCTCAGTCGGGGATTCTCGATCCGGATGACTGTGTGAGCGATGTAGCGGATGATCGGGAGCAAATTTTGGCTAGCTTCGATGACTGCCCAGAGCCAAATGTGCCTCAAGGTGGCGGCGATGGAGCCAGTGGGAGTTCCGTGGGCACTGGGAGTCCCGATATCTTCCGTGGAGTCAATGGTGGGAACTTGAAGAGGGTGTATCCAGAAGAGCCCGGTGCCCCCGTCAATGAACTGGGAAAGTATGGCGATAACACATCTAACAGCAGTCGAACGCACATCGAAGTAACAGACAGCGTCAGTCCACTTGGTCTGGGTCTTCAAGTTCGCCGAAGCAGCGATCCATCCATTCCTCAGACACTTGCCCAGAGCGAGTGCAATCAGCGGAGCCCGCTCTGTCAGTGCCCCACACACGATAAGCAACAACAGGAGTCGATGAAGAGGTGGTCAGCAGCACCTGTCTGTCGGCGCGATACAGACTCTCCGGCAGAGAGGATTCTCGCAAATGTGGCGAACAATTCAACTAATTATTTAGCTCCACCTGCGACTCAATGGCCACCAAATGCGCCAAATGAATCAGTGGAATCGCAGGGCACGAGTCCCGGGACGGCATTCTCACGGTCTGGGAGATTATCAATGCAATTCCTAGGTGAAACAGCGCCTGGCTATCGATGGATGGAAGCCGCTGAGAAGGTGGCAGCAAATATGAGTCAATCCAATGGAACGTCATTTAGTTCGAAATCCTTGCCGAGAGATCTGAAGCGAAAAGAACCTCTTGGTCAAGCTTATGAGTCCATGAGAGGCAAGAGAGACACAGAAATGCTGCTGGTTATCAATGAACAAGGTGGAGGACCACTGGGCTTGACCGCAATTCCTGATCTTTTGAATGGGGGTCTCTTGGTGCAGTCCGTGGAGCCCGGCAGCCGTGCTGAGCGTGGTAGACTTCAGAAGGGGGACAGAATCCTTGAGATCAATGGCACAAAGTTGGCCGGTATGTCTGAGGCGGGTCTTCAGAGTTATCTGAAAAAGAGTCTCACGTCGTCGGAGCTGAGATTCAGGGTTTTTACAGCAAATAGAAGTATTGCGAAGAGGCATGAAATGAAGGATGTGTGCGATGGGGAAACTAGGATCCCTGCGAAAGTCGCTACTGTGTCTCCGAATAGGAAAGTTGCTGGAGCCCCGGCGACAAACAGTCTTCAGGCGGCGAATACGAGAAAATTGGGACGTCGGATAGAGATTACATTGAAGAAGGGTGGCCATGGATTGGGATTCAGTGTGACGACACGAGATAATCCCACAGGAGGACACTGTCCTATCTATATAAAGAACATTCTGCCAAGAGGTGCTGCTATTGAGAGTGGAAAGCTAAAGCCAGGAGATCGACTGCTTGAAGTTGAGGGAATTGCCATGACAGGAAAGACTCAATCGGAAGTTGTTAGTATACTGCGTGCCACACAATTGGGAGCAACAGTGAAGATTGTTGTGTCACGTCAGAATGATCTGGATGAAATTGATGAGCGTGAGGTGAGATATGAGGTGGACAAAGAGAACAATGATGGAACTCCTCCGAAGCCTCCACCTCCAGTTTTGCCGCAGAAGCCTCAGAAGTCTCCGTCTGTGAAGAGTCTGGGCCAGTCGGAAGGGAAGAACTCCGTTGGAGGACACAGTACAAATTCATCGTCAGCCGAGAGCTCAACTGGGACACTCTCGTGGAGGAATAGGGAGATTCTCACGCTTCACATTCCTGTTCATGATAGCGAGAAAGCAGGCTTGGGTGTGAGTGTGAAGGGGAAAACAGGATCAAGTGGAAATAGTACGTTGAATCGTCAGACGGATGGTGATTTGGGAATCTTCGTGAAGAGTGTTCTCCATGGGGGTGCTGCTTCCCGGGATGGACGTTTGAAAATGAACGATCAACTGCTCAGTGTGAATGGAGTGTCTCTTCTGGGACAGAGCAATGCTGATGCAATGGAAACCCTGAGGCGTGCGATGTTGCATACGGGAGGGAAGTTTCCTGGGGTCATTACACTGTCAGTGGCGAGAAAGATCTCACGACCCAGCAGCATGGGGGATCTGCTGGAGGCGACAGGAGCTGCGGAGAAGGCTAACGCAACTGTTATTTACTTGAACTGTGAGCCACAGAACAGTCAGAAGGAGGACAATGCCATGGAGATGTGGAACAATCCCGTGGTGGAGAGACTCACTGGGGGTGTGGAGATGAAGCAACAACAGCAACCCATGGCCTCATCCTCACCCTATGCTGTGGCAGGACTGCGAAATGAGAGCTACTACATGGCCACCAAAGACACGACATGGAGCCCTCTAGCCGTCAATAATAACCACATTAACTACAGGAACAACTCTATTCTGATCGAAGAGGATTCAGAGCCCACATCACCGTGAGTCCCTATCGATTTTATTACACTTACATACTTTATAATGCTGATTTCGTGCCAGTCATTGTGTGAGGCGTTGTTTGACTGATAGCGTTTACGCGAAGTAATGTTCTATTAGGGAATTGCTAAAGAAAATTACAATGATTGGAACCTGAGGCGAGGTATTTTGTAGCACAAGACTTTGAGTAATTTGAATTTGCTCATAATTCGCTCATTTTTACAATAAGAACATTGTGCAATGGTTTTATGGTGGAACGAAGAAGGTTGGATTTCGACATGATAAAAGTCAATGCTTTACAAAATGTTGGCAACTCGTTATGAAACTTTTGATTAATTCACATGAAAATGCTTTTAATAGCTAATTGTTTTATTTATTGTCTTTTTCTTGGGGGTATGCAGAACAATCCCGAATCGTCCTCAGTATCAGTCGATGGCCTCTGCAGACTCCAATGCGACTCTCACGTCAGGTGATGTCACCTATTCGAGTCAGCTGTCCCTTGAGCCACCCTCTGGCGAGGCTTTCAGTCGGGATGCCATTGGACGCAGGTCGATTTCTGAGAAGCACCATGCAGCTCTGGATGCTAGGGAGACAGGAACATATCAGAGGAACAAGAAACTGCGTGAGGATCGCGAGAGGGAGAGAAAAGCCGCAATTGCTGCCAGTAAGATACTCTAATAACTCTTTATTGTTCACAAATCACTACAATTTGTCCTAATGCTAATTACAGGTGGGTCAGTGGAGTCTCTGGGGAAGATGGGTAGAGATGCAATGGCGAAGAGGAAGAAGGGCAGCAACTCCAATGTGCATGCGGCTGAGGCGTTGGATCGTGTGACGGATCTTGGACCATCTCTGGGATTGAAGAAGTCATCAAGTCTTGAATCTCTTCAGACGATGGTCCATGAAATTCAGATGGCTGATGAGCCACGCGGCCCCATGGCTCTGCGGACGCCACGTGGGAGGGGCCGAGAGGAAATACTCAGGGCGGCCGTGGAAAGTCCTCCAGATGAAGGTGAGACATTATCTCTCTTATTATCAAATTAACTTTGTGAGGCAGTATATCAGAGTGGATGAAAAGTCTCAGCATTGTTCTTGATTCAATTCTTTTCATGGATCAACAATTTCATATGAAAAGAGAATGGTCGCAGAGAAAAGGTCTTGATAGCCTCTCTCTTGCTTCACATGAGATTGATGCTGATTACAAGAAATATATGGTTTAATGTATCAACATAAATAATAACGTCAATGACAGTGTACGCTACTTAATTACATGTTTTAATTGCTTTTGCAAAAAAGAGATTGAAATCGGTGATCGATATTATGAGACTCTCGCACGTGAAATTATGAATTAACTGTTTCCACGCGCAATGGTTTTTTCTTGCTCTAAATTTGAGTTGTATTTGGTGAATATTAAAATTTACATCATTCCAACAGATGCAACATCGGCTGAATCTCGCAAGAAGTGGCTTTTAGACTACGATGGTCCGGATATGCAGGCAATGGTGAATCGAAATAGTCCTCTGCAATCTTCGATGAATAGTGGGAAGCAGAAGAGGAGTGGCAGTGGGAAGAAATCGAGTCTCCTGAAGGGAATCGGTCACATGTTCCGCTTCGGCAAGCACAGGAAGGATGGAATTGCGCCAGCGGAGACAATGAGTGCCCTCAATGAGCCACAAAGGCAGATTGGACACAAGCGAGAGGCGCCGGCGAAGCCCTACAACGGAGGAAGACCAATGGGAGGCCCGCCGGGATATCAGCCTCCTCCGGCGCCCGGATCTGAGGCCCCCACGGTCAGCAATGATCACTTCTTCCAGCGCTACCGACCCGGCTTCAAGTACGATGATCAGCAGGAACAAATGAGGTGAGCCGGAGACTTTCCCAATGCACGTGAAAGTGCTCCGAGATTGAGAAGAGGCACTCTTGTGTGTAGGATAAATGTGAAACCATTATGTTATGGCATGAAAAGAATCTTTTCTCTCTTCCATTTTCACGCTAACATTGTGTGTTGTGATTAAAATGCAAGACACGGGGAAAGATGCACGGATTGTCTCGTGAAGATATTGTGTTCAAATCACGTGGGACTCTTCTAAGGTTAGAATTAATAGGGCACAATTGAGAGATGTTGATGTCTTACCTTTTGGTGTTATATAAATATTTATTTATGTTGGTTAATCAGAATGTCTAATAATTGGATTGAGAGCAATTTAGTTGGAGTTTGAAATGTCTTTTTCACACATTTAATTATCATCTAACTAAAGAGCATCGTCATCATTTCCCTCCAGTTCTCCCTCTTCTGACCAACTATCTGAATCTACACTCACACAGATGAGACAGCAAGTAATGCACCAAAGAGTTAAAGTTGAAGAGGAAAGGTAACAATTTATTCCCCTTGACATTTTGCTAATAACTCTGCGCATGGAGAGTGTGTAGTGGGTGATTTATTAACAAATACAGTTTGTGTGTAGCTTCATTAACAATAACCAATTAACTTTTTTTTCGCACAATTTCTCCCGATTGTCTATATAATATTGAAGTGCTATTATTGGAGAGATTGAATTATGCTACTCTTTCCAATTAATATATTGATGATAGAAAATGAAAAGCTTTCGCTTTTCAATTCCATTCAGCATTAATATTAATTGATTCAATCGAAATTTATGCTCTTGTTGAGATATTAGTATTTTTCTGCGTTATAAAATCAAGAATAATGAATTAGAAATTGAATAACTGTCACGATTTTGAAGCCTAATTTAGAAATATCGCAGTGAAAGTTTTCTGGGAAGTGTTGAAAATCTTGTAATGCTTGACGCGAGATGCAAATCGTGTGGATAGAAATGAGCTCTGTGTAGAACGATTTTGAAGCCTCCTTTGCCCTTTGCAGTCGAAATCACCAGCAGTATCAATCACAGCGATCGGTTCGCACAGTGAATGCGTATCCGGTAAGGCAGAATTCGCGCCCCATCTCGAGCTACTACGAGTACGAGACGCTCCAGTTCCCCACGGACAGTCGATCGGAGTGTGGCTGGAAGGGCGGAGCGGCGATTCCAGTGGCGGGAAGAGGCAGGCAGTGGAATGGTGTGGGCGGAAGCACTCGCAGTCGTGGTCCTTTCGTCACGCAAGTCACCATTCGGCCGCCTCATCAGCCCAAATCACAAAATTCCCAGCCATCGTCGAAGGTGTGAATGAAGAGGAGAATTTGCCGGTTCGATTTAGCCAAGGATCTCGTGAGTTTTTTTTGTGTAGGTGAAGTAGTAAAGTTTTTTTAGAAAATAGTAAGTGAAAAAAAGTATGTATAATTGAGAAATGTAAAAATTAATTCCATCATTGCATTCCGTCTAAATTCTTTCTTATTGGAAAGATCTGATTTTTAGATCCGAAAACAGTATTTTTCAGTGTTTTGCTGAGAAAATAGCTGCTGAGAATATCAGTTACAATTGCGGGTACATGTTTTGAAATGAAAATGTGTGCTCACAATTCTAGCATATCGAATCAACAGTGCTTGATGATGCAAATATTAAAGTTATGTATGCGAAAAGATTTTACTAGCTGTTAATATAGGTATTTCTAAAAATATATAGTGCTATATCCTATTGTAGGAATTTGCATAGCTATACTTGCATATCCAATTGTTGATCAAAACAGGAAATCAAGCATTTTTCTCAATAACTATGTTTAAAAGAAATTTATTGTCAGATGAATAGCTAAATAGATCGATATATTAGTACTTAAAGTATTTCCAAATGAGATTAACAAGAGTTGTAACTAATTTTGTACTTAATAATTGTTCATTTATCCCCTGACAAATAGATACATATATTTATAACATTTGAATTGCGCTAAAGTGCCTCTGAAGAAATATGAAAAAATGAATAGAATTATATGATATTGTAAAATCTCACATTGTAATTTATCATTACTTGTCCATTGATGAACACCTTTGCCTTAAGAGTTTTTCTTGTACTGTGATCGAAAAGAGCTGAGCCGATGTTTTATATCGGGTCTAATTTACCAGTTTATGAATTAACTTCCAATCAGTATATTGAGAACACTAGAGAAAGAGAGGAATTGTGAAAAGACATTTATTTGTAGAACAGAACAGAATGTATTTTCAGAAATAATTATATTTCTATATCTAAAGAAATTCTGAATTTTCTTTGCAATTGACAGGACAATGTTCAATTGTTATACTAATGCTGCTAACATTTGTATTTGAAACACTTCAAGAAGTATTTATTTGCAGTGTTTTTCCACTCAACATTTGGCAGTCTTTGAGCAGTTACGCATATAATAGGTTTAGCATGTAACATTTAATAGGACGAATTCATTGGAAACCCAGCAAATGTCGAAGATTTTCCGAAAATAATTGAGGGGAAATTCCCCTTTTCAAAACATATCAAAATCATAGAACCAATATTCAAACCACCGAATCGCTTTAAATGTATAATTCAATGTTTGAAAATAAGGATTAACATCTATTTTTGCCAAATCTGCTATAGAGAAGATAAATACTATGCTTTTTCGTTGTAAAAGAGACTATCAGTTAAATTGTGCCTCAAAGAAATTCTATGTCTTACTTGTGAAAACTTATGTGATATTTTTAGCATGTCTCTCGAGACTTTTTATTCTATTGGCCATTGCACAGCTTGCAACCAAGATTTCATCTCATAAAAATTTGCTGTCTGTCAAATGACGTGATTTGCACATATTGTCCGAAAAGTAATAAATTTTTTATCAGAATGAGTGAAGCTGGAAATTCCGTCACGACAATCGCGGCAAAAAAATTCATGCTCTCGAAATGGATACAATAACAGGAAAAAGAGATGCAAATTTTATTTCCAACGGAATTGATTATTCAGGTGCATGGGAGTGAACTTTAACTCGGAATTCAGCGGCGCCGCGTCTATGGCAAATATTTTCAAAGTGTATCCAAATAGAACCACGAAATTGGAGAGCATTTTTTCCAACGCCCAAATTGACTTTTGATTGATGGTGGCGATGGAGAGGCCTTTGTAGAGCGCGAATTGTGGCTTAAATGTTGGTGGAATTTGGTCAATATTGACCCAAATAGACCATTCAGCCCTTTTTTTTGACACAAAGATTGCATGGAAATTTGGCTGAATTTGATTAACTCTCCCTATAGCAATATCAATAACGGACGCATTGGTAGTTTGCAGTGCAGAAAGAACGCAGCTGGAATGTTGACGTAAATTCAGGTGACAAATAATTGACACAACAAATTTTAATTTCCATCTGTGCCCTCAGACAGCTTCCGAAGCCAGAAACTCATTCAACAGCTGCAAATGGGCAAAGTTTCCCAATTATCTCCTCTAGACTCTCCTCGGAAGCACTCTCTGGCGTGTGCGAGAACACACAATTCCATCCATTAAGCACACGAGCCACACAATTTTACTTAAGGCTCTTCCATCCATTTTGCCAAATTTTACACCTCAGAAGGAGTTTAGGGAGCCAAGGTATACCTCCTGGCCACGTTTTGCCTTCTAAATTGCTCTCCTTCACCCCACGCCGGAGGTGTTTTCTCGGGAATTGTTTTGAAAATTAATATTTTTCATATTCATTTGGCTTTTATCTCGCATTTTTCCAGCACGATTTTGCATGCTAAAGACTTTTTTCCTTGGATTCACCATATGGACAAGGAAGGGAAATGATTGGGATGAGGGCAGCAGTCTTGCTTTCATTTTCCAGAGCACAATAAATAATAAATCGTTCATATTAAACCTTATAAACTGCACTCGTGCGAGATAAAGCGAATAAATAGAACGCGCGATGGCGAGATCAGGGATGAGGAGTCATCATTCCCTTTCTTCCCGCCAGCGAGAATGAGAATGTGGAGGTGTTCGCTGTTGGAGCCGTCGAAGAAAGCGAGAGGAGAGTTGAACAAGAGAAATTCCCTCGGCCGGAAACACCTTTTTTGTCATCGGATCTCTGGCGCCGTAAATAAGAAGATTTTCCGTGTTGTCGGACGAAGGATTGCGGGCGGTGAGACAGAGTGGGAGAGTTGTGGGATGTGGGCAAACTATAAACATATCGAGATTTCCTCCCTAATAATCTCTCCAGCCACCCACATAGATTCTGGCGCGGGAATAAATTCCTGCAGGATAAGGAGGACGTGTGGCTGTGGCGGAAGAATCGAGCAGCACACAGAGCGTCTAAAAGTGTCACAGCTCAACATTATGTTTTTGCAACATAAATAAATGGAGATAAACCAAATGCGGGAAGACAGAGAGAAAATCCTTGCAGCTTTTCACTCCTCATTTTTCACCGTGATGTATAGACAGCAGGAATGACAAGTCGGTGGCATTTTATGAGACGGAAGGCGAAAAGAGGAGAGAAACAATCACATCCGTTCTTCATTTTTTTCCCACAGCCGCTCTGAATGTCGCCATCCATTATATGTTCGCGAAGAAGTGTGTCTGGTTTAATTTCCCATCGTGATTTCTTCAGGAAGACGCGACATGAGAAGCACGATAAAGCGGAGAAAATCTGCAGAGAATCTTTAGATACATATTTCATATTTATCTCATTTTTTACATATCCCAGCCACTCCCTTTTTGTTTAATACAAAGCCAGAAAAACTCGCTCTTGATCCTTTCGATTGAAGAATGGTTGTGCGATTTGGAGCGCGGGGAAATGATTTAATTCGAAATGGTACACGAGTCACTTTTGGCTCTCCTCCGGCCTTCATTCCAATCCGAAAGCATTCACAGTAGGTTGGAAAAGGATCAAAATTTGTCCCGTCGGTGCTTTATTTTAGGGAATTCTCCACAAATCCGATGTACGAACGAATGGAATTTGTCTGCATGTTTGAAATGACAAAGCACACCTTAATAGGGATAAAAGGGGGATGTAAAAGGTCAATAGGGTCAATTTCAGTCATTGGCTTAGCATCTTCACAAAATAAGCTTTAAAGATCTTCCACGTGGACTGGAATTCAAGACTTCTCCCCACCTCCACCCACAATTTCTGGTACAATTTATTAATTTCATGTCACGAAACGTGCAATTCCTCCAAAGATTGCTCTTCAGTATCAATTTGACTTTCAAAGTGAATTTTATTGCAGTGAGAAAGTAGGAATTGTTCAACAAGAAATTTCATGAATAAATTACACTTTTTTCCCCTGTCCTTTGACGGAAAACTACTTGTAAATCATTAGTCTGTGCTATTCAAATTTCCACTGCACCAGAAGGCGGCGAAAACAGAAGAGATACGCCAATTTTGCTAACAATGAAAATGTTTCTCGTGCATATAGTGCAATTGAAATGCCATCAATCAATTTGTTGATCTCTTCGGGCGTCCTTTTCTCCGCGCTGCGTGCGGAGAGTGTCTTCCCATGGGCAATCGATTGCTCTCACGTGTCCTCCTTTCGTATCAAAATTCATCCTGTGCGCCATTCCGTCCTGTCCTCCTATCCATGAGAATTACCATAGTTGAAAACTTTATCATCATTTATGCATTTTGCCACCCATTTGAACTTGCCCGAGTCGAAATTGGTGTCGGAGGGAGCAGATGCCATGAATACATGGGCCACGACATGGCATCAAGTGAACTCGATGATGGGCATGTAAATTGGCCTGTGGTGGGCTTTGCGCTAGTTTTAAGGTGCCAACATCCTGCAACTTGTCCTCCGAAGAACTTGCGCTGCTGATCGCCCTGCTCACCCACTCACTCATGCTGCCACTCGCCTTTTTGCCAATACGGCTCGAGGAGAGTGAGAGGCATTGGATTGGATGGCTGGCTGACTCTGGCCTGGAGAGTGCTTTAGCCGGTCTGATGCACCTTTTCAACAGGGCTGAAGATTAATTTTCCACTCATAACAATCCATCAGCAAGCTTCCAACAGTTTCAACACACCGAACCCATTTTATGATGCTCTTCACATAGCAGAAATGTTGCTTCGAGGGAATCTTTTTCTCTTCTGAAAAGCTAGAGCATTTATGTGTCTATTAAAGCTTATCATTCAATTATTTATTTTACTAAAATATATACCCTGAGATATTATGGTTCAATGTGTTTCTACACCGCATTCTGATTGGCGCCAAAAGACATTTTCCTTCCCACTGGTCAGCATTCGACAATTTTCCCAGACGATTGAAAGAGAAGGGCGAGAAAGTGGAAAAACAGCAAAATTGTCACGTTTCGCTGAACACACGAATCAGAAGATGATGGTTCTGGGAAATTTCACGTGTCAGGAAAATTTATGAATTCCGAAAGAGATTGCTTTCACTTGAATTTTTCATGGGAAAACTCATGGATGAGTATCACGTCATCCTCAATTGGTCTATGATTTTCAGTCAATTGAAATAAAAAAGAGCAATACATTGATTAATACATATCCACGCTTTATCTCTGTTAACAGCAAATGTATTGTAGGCAAATATCGGAATTTATATGCTTGGCATTCTTGAAGGATAGACACCTCCTTCCACACACATTTCCTTCCTTCCTTGCCTGGGCGCTATCGAGAGATAGCCATTAGTGTTGTATTGTCTATTGGCACATCAAATTAATTTCCTCCGGGTGACAATCTTGTGGCAAAAATGACGAGTGTATCGATCTGATGGACTCCCACGAGGAACCGAGAGTTTGTGTGATTGGCAGATGGTGTGCATGATGTGTTCTGGATTGTGTGCCCGACGGCAAAATCTGCTTATTTCTATTATTCCCTCATCAATGAACAAATAGAAATTGTATCTCGTTACCTCGTTCAAATGTCAATAATCTGGACGTACAAAATGCCACTCTTGCATTATATCCACACAATGATATACCGTGTGGCATTGTTCATATTCACCTTCTCGCATTGTCCATATATTCAGTTGATAGCATCATAACAGAATCCATTAGCGGAGGGATAAATAGATAAACCGTCTTTTGTATAAATAGGGTAACTAACGGGCAATGTCATCGGAATATCTCTTCACTACAGTTCTGTATGGCGCCAGGAGACAAATTCCTGGAAATCCATAAATCCACTCAAGCACGCGAAGTCACCATGCAGTGTAAGGATGGTATCCGAAATCTCCACTCTTTGTGCATTTTATTTAAAAAAAAAAAACATCCCCACGCAAAATGGATGGCTGGGAATTTTTTCACATTTTGCGGTATGATCGCTGAATGGTGGATG